ACTTCCTCTTCAGAGTCTCATAAAAACTGCCGCTCTGCTCTGTCTGGGCAACTCTTCCTGCAGATCTTTTTGTCCCCTTCCTTTTTTCAGGCTTCCACCCAAATGCCACCTCCTTGGACAGCCCATCTGACACCAGTTGCTTCTCATCACATCACCTTGTTCTGTTTCTTCTTCTCATAAGACTTGTCAATACCCAAGAAATACTAATGGGTGTGCTCTCTCTCTCTCAGCATTAGGTTTCATTGTCTTTCTTGTTACTAAATCCCCCTCATACCAAGCAGGGCTTGGCTCAGGGTAGATACTCAATTAATACTTGTTGACTCAATGTGTCCCCCAAAACTAAACTTTACAAAACATCCCCTAGACTAGTGCAAACTTTTTGTTCTTGTTTTGAGATGGGTCTTCCTCTATTATCCAGACTGGCCTCTAATTCCTGCCTTAGCCTCCTGAGTGCTGAGATTACAGGAGTCCGCCATCACACCTGGCTCAAACTTTCTTTACAGGGCCACATAATAAATATTTTAGCCTTTACTGTCCATATGGTGTTTGTTCAACTACTCCCCTCTGCCACTGTGGGGCAAAAGTGGTTGTTAACAACACGTGAATGGATGGGCATGGTTGTGTTTCCCCAACACTTTATTTATAAAAGCAGCGGTGGGCCAGATGTGGCTCGAGAGCTGCAGTTTGCTAACCCCTGAGCTATTCCAACCTGCCTTTGATATCACCCAGGTAGCCAGGTCTGTGAGAACCATCTCTGCCATCTTAGCTTCTCATAACACATGTGCACGCTGAATATTGCTTCTGCATTTCGTGAGGTGCTTTTGCAATTATGCAAAGGAAGAGGCATTTTTAGTAGACAGCAAAATGTTCTTTCTCCATCTTCCTGTGCACCGCAGTCCACAAACAGGAAGGAGGAGGCAGATCCAGGTCTGACGGGATGGCCCCTGTAAGTGTGCTTGCTACCAGTTCCTGAGCAGAATGTGGATGAAGACACAGCAGCTGCCAGCTTCCCTCCTCCTGCTAGTGCCTCCCCTGCAGAGCCCAGACTGGGAGGGACGGTGCTGTCAGGCAGATCTGGGGACCAATTGTTCCCATGCATTCAGTTTCTGTTACAAACATTTCAAATTCCCCAAAGCAAAACAGCAAGACATCACTCATGCAAAAGAATATGAAAATCAGCAGTGTCTTAACCAACCCCAGGTATAAGGCAAGACAGGGGTGCAACTAAAATGTGACCTAAGCAAGATGGGAGTCTAAACACCTGCCCCCACTGAAAAGGGGGACAGAAGAGAGGCATCTCACACTTCCCCACCCCACCCCCAAGTTCCAGGACTGGTAAGGAGTCTCCTGATCCCACACCCAATCAGCCAACAGAAAAATTACTTGCTCCTTTTCTAGGCCCATCAAGGTCACGGTCATATGCGCCTGGTCATCTGCTAATGAAAAGACAAAGCAAAAAAAATGGTGAGTGGCTTTGGCCAGGAATGGGCACTGGCTTCTGTGGTTTTGCCCACATGGGGCCAGATTAACCTTTGGGTAGTTCAGCGGCCCTGGTCACAAAAGCTGTGCGTCACATTGCGGGGGGGGGGGGGGGGGGGGGGGGGGGTGGCTCGTGCATGGCCAGGCTCAGCAACTCTGCAGTTTCTCCATCTGTCCCTTTCCTTTCTCAGGGCTGACAGCTCCGAGCAGGAAGTTCTAAGGGGCTTGTAAGTTGGGGTGCCATGAGGCCTGACACTGCCAGGCAACCCTCTTGCATAGAAACAACAAACTGGCAAAAGCCAGACACCAGTTTTCCCAGGATCCACTCTCAGCTGTCTCTGATTCCTGGGTGTGCACCCAGGGCTGCCCTGGCCCTTCCACTGGGTAGTAATGATGAGTACAAAAAGCATCCTAGAGCTGGATTAAAGGATGTGCGCAGCTGTTTCTACCAAAGTGGTCTTTCAAAGCCTTGATGGAGGAAAGTGAAAGGTCAACACAAGAGGGAAGCAGAGCCAGGATATACTGACCCTGGATCTGGCTATGCATAAAGCCAGACACTCCTAGGTTTCTCAGTACATTATATAATCAGGAAAATGCCCTGTTTGCTCAAGCTAGTTGGAGTTGATTTTCTGTTACTTGAAACCAAGAGGCTTGAGTAATACACAACTAGAAATGTCTGAGTGTTGGGAGCCTCTCCCTCACTGTCCGTTCACAAGATGGATATTTTCTGAGTACTATCTGGTTAATATTGCATTAGTTACCCCAAAATGTACAGGCCTAGTGCAATCATAGATCCTACTCACATATTCTGTGGGTCAAGAATTTGGCCAACATGGGATATGTTGTAACAAAATAATAGCCGGACACCTTGACTCCTGCCTGTAATCTTAGCTGCTCAGGAGGTGAAGATTGGGAGGATCACCATTCAAGGCCAGCCCAGGCAAAAAGTTCTCAAGACCCCAAGTCAATCAGTAAGCTGGACATGGTGGTACATGTCTGTGGTCCCAGCTATACAGGAGGTACTGTTAGGAGAATTGCAGTCTGAGAGTGGCCTGGAAAAAACATGAGACCCTAAAACATAAAGGGTTGGGGACATGCATCAAGCGGAAGAACTGCCTGCCTAGGAACACAAGGCCCCGAGTTCAAACCTCAGTACCAAACAAACAAGAAAAAGAATTTGGGAAGGGTTCGCCAGGACAGTGCTGGCTCAGCTTGGGATCGCTCGTGTGTAGCAGTCACGTCGGTGGGAGCTGTGGCTGTCAGAGGACGTGGCCTGCGTTGCAGGGTCTGCTTCCAAGGTGACACCTTCATGTGGCTGGGAAGCCACACTGGCTGCTGGCCAGGGCCTCTCTCTCCCCATGGGACATCATAAGACACTTGGCTTCCCCAGAACCAACCTGCAGCATGTAATAGCTTTACAGCCTAGCCTGAGAAGTCATCCATCATCCATCACTCCCTCTGCCACATCCCATTGAGCCAGTGCTGATTCAGTGAGGGAGGACCACGCACAGGGCGGTGTGGATAGTGGGGGTCACTCTGAGGCTGGCAACCTTCCATGCAAGCTCCCACCATGGACAGAGGGCTAGAAACACAGCCCTCACCCCAGCGAGCTCAGCCACCAAGCGACTATGCCCTGAATCCCCCCAACTCTTCTCTTGACTTGTCCCAGCCCTTAGGGAGGGGACTCCTGCCTAGTGAAGTCTTTAGTCATATGACTCTGATTCCAGAAGTGAAGCTGATGGGACAGTGACAGACCCCTGTCACCTGTACCACCCTGGCCTGCCCTTCACTGCACAGAGGCCATGCATCACTGAGCCTTTCGTGCATTTATAACTATGGCATCTGGTACCCACATGGCTGGCACTCAACACTCATTTTCTAAACCTCTGAGTTGTCCCCAGACAGGTTGGCATGTGGCTCCACTGTCCCTTTCTTAGAAGCAGTGAACACAGTGGTTGAGAGCTTTCTTTTGTTTTTGTTTTGTTTTGTTTTTTAGTGGTGTTGAGGTTTGGAACTCAGCCTTGTGCTTGCCAGGCAAGCACTCCACCACTTGATACACACCCCCGTCCTTTTTTTTTAGGCATTTTCAGAACAGGGTCTCAGAGGCCAGACTCAGACCATAATCTCCCCACCTCTGTCTCCAGCGTAGCTGGGATTACAGGTGAGGAACTCTTGGGTCTGGGTTCAAATCCCTGCTCTGCAAGCTGCAAGACCTCTACAGCTTTGTTCCCCCTTTTCTAAAATGGGACTAAGAGTGCACCCGTTCCTGACGGTCAGAGTCCAGGGAGGACCGTGAAGGGCCTGGTGGTACCCAGTGCCCAGTAACTCACCAGAGGCTGCAACTCCTGCCTGTGCCTTCATCCAGGGACGTCAATGTCGACTTTCACCGTATTCCATGAGTCTTCCTCCCCCACAGTGAGGCTTCAGACTCTTCCAGCCTGCGCTGTACCATGCTCTCATGTCACCTGCAGCCAGCCACCTCCACTTTCCACCCTGGCTGACGGTGGACAAAACCCAAAGCGCAGAACTAAGAAGACCGAGATGAAGCCATGGCCTTGCAATGGTTCTGCCCTGAAGCTCTTTGGATGCCCTCACTGAGGTTCTCAGGGTCGTTTTGTTTTGTTTTGCAGTATCACAGACTGAACTAAAGGCATCCTCATTGCCTGGCAGGCACTCTACCACCAGAGCCATGCCAACAGTCCTTTTGCTTTTGTTAGCAAGATGGGGTCTCTTGCTAACTTTGCCCAGGCTGGACTCAGACCATGATTTTTTTTTTTTTTTTTTTGCGGCTGTGGGATTTGAACTCAGGGCCTCATGCTTGCTAGGCAGGTGTTCTTACTGCTTGAGCCACTCCATCAGACCTTTTTTGTGATGGGGTTTTTCGAGATAGGGTCTCACAAACTATTTATTTGCCCGGGCTGGCTTTGAACCTTGATCCTCCTGATCTGTGCCTCCTGAGTAGCTAGGATTACAGGCGTGAGCCTCCAGCACCAGCTAGACCATGATGTTTCTACCTCCACCTCCCACGTAGCTGGGATTACAGGCACGTACCACCACTCCTGGCCTTGGTTTATATTTATATGGCCATTTTATTTTTGTGTGGGGGAGGCTCTGGGGTTTGAACTCAGGGCTTCTTGCCTGGCAAGCAGGCACTCCACTGCTTAAGCCTCACCTCCAGTCCTATATGGCCACTCTAAGTGGTAAAATATGCAAGCAACAGCCTTTTCCAAGAACTTGCCACCATAGAAAGTTGGTGTTTTTAATGCCTCAAGAAAAATGTTTTACATAATTTTTGCCTCATTCAAAATCCTCCAGTAACATGAATGTTATTAGAGGAGCACAGTTCTGTCCTGAGAATGCCAGAAAAAACAGGAAACTACATGCAACAGGCTAAGCCCAGCTTTCAGATGGACTGGGGACGGCCCCCGAAACTCCACTGATGCCTGGGGGACCTGTTGCTAGCAGTGGGGACAGGCTGCGACTTAATGGCAGCACTTGGCACTGGACAGAGCACACTGGCATTTGGTTGTCTTTCACAAGCTCTTAACCTTTACACCGCATCAATAAAAAGCATCATTAACATTTAAAAGTGATGTTTCTGGGTGTCCACTTGGAATAAGAGTTAGACACACTCAGAGGTATGGATTATGTCTCTGCCCATCCCAGATGGCACAGCACCTTCCCGAGCAGCAACAATGCAAACCCACGAGAAAGCCAGGGATCCTGCAAACTGAGCCTCTGTGTTGGGGTGGCACAAAGACCCTCCGCCTTGTTGTCTCTCTGTCTCTGCAGGCTCAGCTCAGCATCCCATCCAGAAGACTAAGAATTACATTCTCTCATCTGCCCCAGGCAGGACCTGAACTCTGCTGAGCCCTCACAGCCCAAGTTTCTGCCAACCAGAGGCCACTGTCTGCTTCTGACGTGTCCCCTACCCAGTGATGGGCCATGCACTGAGGAGGCAGACACCGCAGGCCCATTTGTGCCTTCCCATATGCAGGCATTAGCTTGCTCTTACCGCAAGCCCAACTCCTGGATGCTACTAGCCACAATGCCAACACAGCCCCATCCTCTGCCCTCCATATCCCAAGGCGGCTACCTGACACTTGGTATCTGCATGACCTTCCCCCTAGCTACCTGGGCTTCTTCCTCCAGGACAAGCACAGCTCCTGAGGGGTACTGTGCATCTTCTAAAAACCGGTGACCTACAAGATTGACCATTCTGCACGTGTGTTCTGTGTGGCCAACAGTGTGTAGTAGTTTTAGAAACAACATCATCAACACTTCAAACCCGGGCGATTTCACATAAGGCTTTGTCTTTCTGGCTTCTCTAGGAACAGAACACATTCTCCTGCTGAGAAAGCAAGTCTGAGCCGAGTGACAGGCTTCCTGTGCCTGGGGCCTGTGCTTTCCATTTGCATCATCCTCACAGTCCCTGTGTCCCCATGGCTGTGTGTCACCGTGGCTCTGCCTGTGCTCCTTGCCCCACCCACTTTGCTCAGGGCTCCACCTGCTCCGTGTGAATCTCCCATGTGACCCCAGCATCCCATCAGTGTCACCTGAGTCGAGCTACAACACAAATGAATGGGTGACTTTATTGATTTTACCTCCTAACGGATTTTTCTAGCAGTGGGCAAGACTGCTGCAGTCCCAGCAGCCCTCTCAAGTGTGTGGGAAGTTCACGAGACAAGAGAATCAGAAGGCCCTTCACTACAGAGCTAAGGCCACGCTGACCAGAACTACTCTCACAAACAAATACAAAGACTAAGAATTACATTCTCATACCACCACAACGGCTTAAATACTTCTCTGACAAAAATAATAATAATAAATTATCTTCAACTCAGAAAATAAAGTGTGTTCAGCAGAATGACAGGAGGGTCCATTCATTGCATTGCACCATGGGGCCACACGAGGGGGGCAGTACAGGCCGCCACGCCACAAGAGGGCAAAGGCCATGGCACAACTGTGGTGAGTCGCCACGTGCCTGTTTCTCCGGGTGAGTGGTGGCTCCACTGTGGCCCGTCCCAGTGAGACTACAGCTGCTCTCCCCCTCCTCATGTGCGTCTGGTCTTCTGTTTCTTGGCCTGTCTCTTTGCGTCCTCTGGGCCACTGTTGTCAGAGGCTGCCTGGCCAAGGGCTCGGACACCCTGCAGCCGACTTGTCAACTGCAGCAGCAAGGGAATGAGCTGGAAAGAGAGAAAGTGAGGGAGAGGTCAGAAAGTCCCTGTGCACGGGGACCGTGGTCTCCACTCATCTGATGCCCTCGGCAGGAGACCCAGGGACTGCCGTGGTCCCTTCCAACCTAACATTGTCATTTCTGTGACACTGGGCTGTGGGACTGACCGGAAGGACTGCTCTCCTGACGCACCTTCCTATGAGGTCTCTGCTCCCCCTACCTTATCATGGTTGTAACCAGCCAACAGGACCAGCAGCGTCAGTGGCAGGGCGATGTACGAGCCTTGAGCGATGTCCTGCTCCGGCAGCTTCCTCTGCAAAGAAGAGCGCCAATAGTCCTCAGTAAATCCTCAGTTTTCTCTATGATCCCATCACCCACAGCCACGATCCACCCAGGTGTCCAAGCCAGCGAGATCTGAGCCCTTGCTATCCAAAGGAGGAAACGACAGGACACAGAAATCCCCGAGTGAATCCTCTGCCACCTAAACCCTTGTGACGTGTCTCAAACTTGGACCCAGAGAGTCCACAAACAAGGACCGCCTCTCCCCCTGGGAGCTCATTGCACAAGCTGAGGAAACGTGATATGGGCAGCAGAAACCCTTGTAGCTGAGAAGTGAGCTAGTCTCATTTTGTTGAGTCCCAGCTACACAGGAACTGTGTCCTATAAGGATGTGTGGACACCCACTGTTCCAGGCCCAGGGCACCCAGTAATGAACAAGCCAGGACCAGAGATGATACCCAAGTGAGAAAGCAAAGCCAAGATGGTTACTTCCATCCCAGGGCCATTCTTTTATCTGAGTCAGTAAGTACAGAGACCAGTCGTGCACTGGTGGCTCACTCCTGCAATCCTAGTTACTCAGGAGGCAGAGATCAGGAGGATCACGGTTTGAGGCCAGCCTGGGCAAATAGTTTGTGAGACCCTATATCAAGTGGGACAGCAACTGCGTAGCAAGCATAAGGCCCTGAGTTCAAACTCCACTACTGCCAAAAAAATAAAGAAAGAAAGAATAGAGACCTTGCTTCCTAGCCTCCCTCGCAGCTGGGTGAAGTCATGGAACTAAATTCTGGCCAAAAGTCCCTGGACAGAAGTGGCATGTACTCACATTCTTTTTAAAGAGCAATGGAGGCCCTCCCTGCTGGCTGGCCAGCCATCATCTGACCAAGTGCGCCACAACAAAACAGCAAGCGAGAAGGGACCTGGGCCGGACACCCTGGAGCCACCATGTGATCCCAAGACCACCCATTGCTGGACACTGACATTAAACAGAAACTGTGTGGTGCCCCAGAAATCCCGGGACTCTATAACATCAAATGAACCTGTGCATGCTCTGGCTAAGGAAACGAATGAAACAAGAACTTTCAAGTAACGATAAAAACAAGTGGTGCACCAGCCAAACCAGCGGTTCTCAAAGCAAGAACGGGGCCAGGTGCTGGTGGCTCACGCCTATAATCCTCGCTACTAGGGAGGCCGAGATAGGGAGGATCAAGGTTCAAGGCAAGACCCCCATCTCCAAAATAACCAGAGCAAAATGGACTGGAGGTGTGGCTCAAGCAGTAGAGCGCCTATTTGCAAGTGCAAAGCCCTGAATTCAAACCCCAATCTCACCAAAAAAAATTTTTTAAAAATAAAGCAAGTACAGGGAGCTCTTGTCAGGAGGCTCACAGGCTAACACCACAGAGGGGCCTGGGACTTTCCAGCTTATCCTCTCCCAGCATCCAGCAGGCCCTTCCAGAGGCTGCTTGACGTGATGTCAACACTGCAGCTCAGGGACGGTAGCTTTGGACACTCATGTTTTCAACACTGTTCAGTTTTAATTCCTGACACGATAACATAGACAGACATAGTCCACATAAGGTCTAGCTCTCTGGATCCTCAGCCATCTTGAATGGTGTAGAGGAGATGAAACCACCGTGTACCCGGAGTCAGAGAATGACTGTGGCCGCCTCACCCAAGATGGTCCTCTGAATAATAACCTGATAAAGGCTCACAGTGTAAGAAATGCAGTTCGCACCAGGCATGGCTCACACCTGTAATCCCAGCTACTCAGGGGGCAGAGATCAGGAGGATCACAGGTCAAGGCCAGCCTGGGCAAATAGTTCTTGAGACCCTATCTTGCAAAAACCCCTCACAAAAAAGAGCTGGCGGAGTGGCTCAAGCAATAGAGTGCCTGTGTGGCAAGCGCAAGGCCCTGAGTTCAAATCCTAGTGCTGCCAGTAACAATAATAATCACAATCACTATAAATAATAATGCATAACAATTAAAATTAAAAAATTTTAAAATATAGCCAGGTGTAGGGGCACAATCTGTAATTCTAGCACTCAGAAGGCTGAGGTAGGAGGATCCTGAGTTCAAGGCTAGACTGGGCTACATAGTGAGACCTTATCTCAAAAACAAACAAAATTTCTTTTTTTTAAATGTGACAAGATTCTCTGTGGGAAATGAGGAAGCTCATGGGATGCTGGCAGGAATGTGACACGGTGCAGCCCTCCGCAGAGGCAGCAGCAATGACCAACGTTCTGCCTGCGCCCACCCTGGACAGACCCAGCAACTCCACTGCTGGGAGCCCATTGAAAGACAGACAGACAGACTGATCCTCGACACCACACATGCACAAGGGGATTCACTAAAGACTGACTGTAAGCAGGACATAGGGGACAAGCCAATGGCCAGCACTGGAACCAACTCAATATACTGTGATGAATGTTGGTGCCACCGAATTCCTAGAGTGACAGTCATGACAGTTGAGTTTTGGGGACACCACTTTTGGAGGTGACTGTCACGAGGGCAGAGCCGTCATGAGCACAGTTAGTATCCTTATAAAGGGCTGGAAGGAACATGTCCATCCACTTCCACCACGTAAGGATGTAGCTGGGAGGTGCCAGCTATGGAGCAGAGTGGCCCCTCACCAGACACCTCATCTGCTACCAACTTGAGCTTGAATTTTCCAGGTTCTAGAACTATGAAGAATAAGTGTTTGCTGTTTATAATTTACCTAGTCTAAGGTATTTTGTTTTAGCAGCCTGACTGGACTATGATATGTGGTATGTCCACACAAATGAGTACTATGCAGCTATAAAAAAGAATGGGGATTACCTAAATGTATTGTTCTACAGTTATCGTAAAAAAAAAAAAAAAGTCTTACTTTTCCCATTGACAAAGCTTACAAACAATGACCAGCACAGCAGCTATGAAGCTGGACTTCTGTTTTCAAGTGTAGACTCCTGGGTTTCACTCTCACACCCTACCACATGCAGAATTGGTAATCCTGTGCGAGGGCCCCAGAATCTTTTTTAGTCATTGCTCGTATGTTTCTCTAGTCATCACAAGACTCCACCCCACACCACACTGATATAAATGGTCCCATGCACTCCAAAGATGGTACCAGTTGTGTTTGTTTTGTTTGTTCCAACCTGCTGGACACAGGATCCGTGAAGGGCCCAAATTTCAACTGGTTGATAAACTGAGCGAGTATCTTTTCACCCCACTGCAGGGCATCCTGTGTGTTTGCTTTTCCCCCTTGAAGTTGGTTGAATAAACGTGGTTGCACACTGGTGTCCTGTGTCCCTGGTGGCACTGACATGCTCCTGTGTCCTCTACTTCCTGGAAGTGCCACTGGCTCTACAGGTTTGAGCATGTCAGGTTTCAGTGCCTCCTGATGGAGGAGCACAACACTGTCATGGATAGAGGTGTCCATCTCTCCTCAAGTCCCTCAGAGTCCCTGCTCTGAGCCATTGCACCCCTCTCATTATTCCTTTCCCAGCAGGAAGCATGGTCCCAGGAAATAGAAAAGGCATCTAGGAAAGTCCACATGGGGAACATGGGATCCAGGACAGGGCAACCGTGCCAGGAGTCTTTCGGGCAGCGTCCTCCAGCCTAGAACCAGAGCTGGGTTGGGAGGACTGGCCTGCCCCGCCACCCCGCTGCTACTCACCGTGGGACTGAAGATCAAGGTGATGTGCTTATGGTAGCCCGCAGCGGTGAAGGAGACCTGGGGCAGGATGTACTCATACTGAGACCTGGGCAGTGTGGAGTCCAGAAGCACGACGTAGTTCTGCGCACACAGAAGATCTTGGTTTGAACAACAGCTTTGGAAAAGCAAGTGAAAAGCAAAATCCAACCCGAGGCTGCCACACTTGGGTTTTGCACAGAAACCCAAGGTTGCACGTCCAAACTTCAGAGCCACAATCTCAGCAGGCTCTCCAGTGGCAATGGCCACAGGTCCTGTGGCTCTGGGGCTGACTTCTGATGAGACCGTCAGGCCCCGTGACACTGTTCAACGAGCACATTCAACCTCAACAGCTGCGGTCCTGTGAGGACCGGGCTTCATGAAACACAAAACTTACTACAAGATCAAACCAAGGAAGACGGTGACTGCCCAAAACAAGGCTCAGTTCTAAGGGACGTTCCTGAAGTGGCTTACTCACAAGTAGCAAGTTCTACAAAGGCAGCATTTCTGGAACTATGCCATGACAGCCACAGCCGTGTGAACCAAGCCCTGACCAGGGACCAGGTGCCATGTGACTGCATAGGCCCAGGCCTGCTCTGCACTGAACGACTGGAAGACCTGCCCACTTCACAGCGAAGGGGAAGAAGGCTGCTGAAGTGACAAGCGACATGTCCAGGGCTACTTGGCTGGTCAGGCCGCCAGGCAGGCTCTGAACCCGGCTGCCGTCTGATCCCAAAACCAGGCTGTTTCCACATTGCTGTGGAAAGTGACCACTTCAAAGGATCTCCATCTGGAGATCAAGAAGGGAGGCCCCAAATTCCATGAAGATTGTCCCATTACTTTACACATCATATATCATCCCCAGGTGGGGAGGAAGGAGGGACCATTGCCTATGGGCACACAAGGAACATCTTCAGGCTAAGACTGGCAGAACAAAAACACATTTTCTGCAACGTTTGCTCCCCATCATGGGCTCTGTGATACTTAGCTCTGTCCAATGAGAACTGAAAACAAATAGTTGTAACCAGTAAATGACAGCCAAAATAAAGGCTGGAACCTGCCGTCCTGGGATGGGAGATGCACAGCCAGACCCGTGAAGCCCAAGCACACAGAGTAGGCAGAGTCTAAAGTGGTCTGCACACGACATAGTGCAGCTGAACCGTCAAGGACGAAGGGTGCTGAGGGTGCGGGTGCAGACTCTGTAGTAGAGCACTTGCCCAGCCCCTGGGTTCCAACCCCAGCACCACAAAAAATGCAGAAATAAAAATGAAGAGAGTTTTGAAAACCGCAAAAGAGACTTGGACGCTGGGGAGTCTATTAGAGAGTTCTCGCAGCAGCGGTGCCCAGGGTGCTCAGAGTAAAGGATGCCCAACATTGGAGCATAGTTCAATTGACCACAGTATTCCCTACATTACAGACACATGTGCCACCACTCATGGTGGCATATTCCTGTAATCCCAGCTACTCTGGAGGCAGAGACAGGGGAATTGAGGTTTGAGGGCAGCCTGGACAAAACTTAGCAAGACCCCATCTCAAAAACAAGTTGGATATGGTAATGCATGCCTATTATCCCAGCTACTTGGAAGCCAGAAGTAGGAGGATATTGGCTCAAGCCAGTCCTAGGCAAAGTCAGCACAAGACCCTCTCTGAAAAGTAACTGAAGCAAAAGGACTGGGGGTGTAGCTCAAGTGGTAGAATACCTGCTTAGCAAGTGTAGGGCCCTGAGCTCAACCCCCAGTAGCACAAAAACCAGGTTATAAAAGATGTAATGATGGGGAACAGATTTATGAACTATTCTGTATTGAAAGTGCAGACTATATAACAGTGTATAAAACAGCCCCAGCTTTGAATGGCTACAGTAAATAAATACATTTTTTAACATGCACACACATGCACAAGCCTGAAAAAGCCCCAAAGAACAGCGATAATGTTAGCAGTGGACACTTCTGAATGAGATTACCTCTGATTTTTTTTTCTTTTTTACAAAATCGCCTGCTGTGAATATGTATTGTTTTTGTAAACAGTTAATTAGAAACATTAATGCCCCCTCCCTCTCGCGGTTCAGAGTACTTCTGCAGAGTACTTAGGAGACAGAGAACTGCACAGTGAGTGACCGAAGCAAAGGTGACACAGCACGGTCAGGCCACGGGCCCTGGTTACCTCTCCATCTCTGAGCAGCGGCGGGAAGTGGAAGAAGAGGGACTGGCCAAGAGACACCGTCTGGATGGGGTTGTCAAGGTTCTCGGTCTTGTACAGCTTCACCTGGGAGAGGACAGGAAGGGGGCCGAGCTTTGGAAAATGTTCATTCAGACTTCCTCAGGACAGCCGCTTTGGGAAGGAGCTCAGATGTAAAGGAAGGCGTCCTCTCCCAACAGGCTGCACAGAGGTACTCCTCAGTCCTGAGACTGCAGGTGCCTGCCGCGCAGAGACAGGTGTTCTAGACTAGACTCCTGTATCCACGTTATCACTCAAAACAGTAAATATAGCTGGTATGGAGACTAGTAAAAGGGACAGCTCTAACCTCTGCTGAACATTTAAACGTGCCAGGCATGCCACAGGCACTGTACAAACACTGTCCCCCAATCCTCATGACAACATGATCCCTGTTACTGCCCCTGTGAGACTCCAAGATCCTGTCACTACATCAAGCAGCTTACACTTGGGGATCACGGGGCTCAACCCCATCACGGAAGGTCCCGTCCACCTTGCACTGCCTCATTGTGTCACGTGATCCTAACTCCACAAGGACTTGTTAAACTCAAGTGCGCTCAGCTGTGCTTGGTTCACAGGCTGCTGCCCAAAGTGCTTGGTGCTCTGCTTCTCCAGGTTGTTGCCTGTCCTCACCACCACATGCAACGGGGCAGGAGCAAGAGAGACGCACAGCCCGTACATGTCAAAAGCTGTGAGGGCTCTGCCCTGCACCTGCCAGAGGCCACCTCCAAGGACCCAGGCCGGCACTTTTCTTTGTAACACTTATGACAAAGGGTTTTTCCTAAAACAAAAGTCACACACTAGAGGCTTATGGGTCACATCCAAGACCAAGTATATGATCTTTTCCCTTGTACAGTGTTTCACATAAATTTGAATTTATTAGCTCTGTTTTAAAATTAGGTGATTTCAATTAATTCTGACTCCCAGTCTTTTCTGGGCCAAACTCCCATCATGGCAACAGCAGGTGGCATTGGGCAGGGGAGGCAGTTGCCATCCCTGCCCCTGTTCTGCCCACTCTCTTGGCCAGGGTATGCATCTCTGGTCTACCTTGCACCCACACTCCTGACACCACCTGCCCAGCCCACTGGCCAAAGCAGCACAGTGAGAAGCTCCCCATGACAAGAAGCAAAGGCTGCCTGAGCACCAGCGCCCTACCCAGCATGTCCACTGGGCAGAAACAGAACCCTGGGAAGCACTGGGTCTTAAAATCACCTCTCCTTATAGATGCCAGACTGTGCTAGAACTCATGAGGCCTCTGCCAAGACTGCAGGCTGACACACACTTTCCCGAAACTGCACACATCCTCCCTAGCACTCAGCAATCCCGCTCCCAGACCCAGGCTGCCCGGTGCGGGTTCCTTAGGTCTTAACCTCCCCCTCAGGAGGCAGCCATCCAGGCAGCCCCTCAGCAGTGCATGAAGGCCAGAACTGGGCAGCCACCAACATCCTGCTCCCCTGTCTCAGAGCCAGAGAAGAGACTCAACTAGAAAGGGTTTCTCTTACCCACAACGTAGGAAGATACTCAGAGGAAGTGATCACATTCCCACTCAAATCAAACTGGTTAATCTGCCTGAAGACGATGATGTTGACATCATCAATGTCATTGTTTCCGACCTAGTGAGAAAAGGAACGCTGTGCTGAGCAGGCTGGAGGGGGCTCTCAGACTGTCTGTCTGCGGGTCAGAGAGCTGCTGCCAGCAGGCACTGCACATCCAAGGTTACACATGGACAGAGATGGGCTACAAATGGCCTGCAGACAAATTGTGTTCGATGAGCACAGTATTTCTTTCCTAAGTTTAATTTACCCACCAGCATCTTTAAGTAAGCAATTTCATACACAAAGCCCTACTCTTCAGCTTTTCTTGAAAAAAAGAGAAAAGCTTGCCTAGCAGCCATAGCAGGGCAGATCCAAGCTGCTGTCCCTGGGTGGGGCTTGTGAGACTGCAGAGGACTTGCTTCCTTTCATACAGCCCACACAGTCCACATCACTGCTAGTGATCCTGGCCTAGGTCAACAGAGCAGGTAGACAGACAACTGTAAGGCATTTTGGTGTGAGACACAGCCATCTGGCCAATTAAAATGGCAAGTGTCATAAACCCACTTCCCTCCCTTCCAACAACTTGCCACCTTCACACCTAATGTATAAAGCCACCAAGCGGCAGCTCCTCTTGTCTTGCACAAGCCCTGTGGTCTAGCCACTGAGTTCTTCAATGAAGGAAGAGCGTTACTTCAACTGAGGCTCAGTTCACTTCCTGTGACCCGGAAAGTGGCCTCTGTAGGGACTGATTGAGCTACATCATGATCTTGAATTTTAGATGACTCCGCCCACCAAATGGGGTAGAGGTCACCTGAACCCAAGAAGCCTGGGTGGCCTGGCTCCCAATTAATCCCACACTCTCTTACCTTCCTTGATCCCAGATGCTCGGTCTATAGAGCACAACCAGAGCTCTAAGGGGCAATGGGCACAGTCACTAAGACACATCCCCCTCCCCCACACCCGACATTAGACACTGATTGTGAGGAGGATGCTAACCAATGAGACAGTGAGTTAGGGTCCTCCACCACAGAGGGGATGGCTGGCCAGGGAAGCACTGCAGAGTTTTGATCCTTACCTCGATGACTCGATGGTGGGGCAGTGCCCGCTCAATGTGGTCATTGCCTTCTGCCTTGAGCTGCACGTGGTACACACAACCGGGCTGCAAGAACACAAGTCGTCACTCTCTAAAAAGCCTGCCACACCCAACCTATGCTTTCACTGCAGCTGGTCACCAGGACACGAGCACTTCTGTCCCCTTACTTCCAATTCACGTCTGGTGCCATCTCAGGAGTCCCTTTAAAAACACCTTGGTGACAGACATCTGAAGTACTGGGATTCCTTCAATTCCAATTCTACTTCACTTTCTTCTACCCGAGGAGGAGTAAGTCTGGCTTACTCAAGTTAGAAGCATGACACGCTCTTGCTCTTTTAGAGTTAATCCTGTCCCCCACCCACACCCACTGTCTGTGTGTATGTGGTCAGAGACAACTGGGAAGGCATCCCAAATGCTTACAATGGCTGCTATTTCTGGGAAGTGGGAAATTTTCTAGTTTGTACTTTTATTCTATTGCTCAAATTTATAGGCACATTATCATATTTACCCAAAAGTCATTATCCTGAAAAACTGATCACCAACACTAGTTCTGATCACACAGCTGACCTCACAGTGGCTAGTCAGAGCCTTGAAGCACAGGGTGGATGTCCTACTGCAAAAATACCCTGCAACAACAGCTATTTTAAACCAATACAATCTGGCTTATGACAATTACATCTCCTTTGGTCACAACTGTGTTCAAGCAAGGCTGTGCTTGGGGGGCTGGCATTCACAACACGTCACCCAGGACCACGTCCTCGGGTGGTAGTTTATGGGGCAGTTTTCTATATGCTGCTTGAATTTTGTAATAAGCACATGGGACTTTTACAAAGACAATAAGGCTATTACTTAGACACAAAACACACTATAAGAAAAATGAAATGTATGATCACCAATAGACATGAGCTCAACTTGGCCTGGGCTCAGTCTCAATCAGCTATCTGCACCCTAGAACAGAAAAGACCCAAGATGCTGCTCTTGAAGGAAAGGAGAGATGGTGCAAGTAGCTGGGAAGAGTGGCCACTGCCATATGCTCAGTGCCCAGGTCAGGTAGGCTGTGGTCAGGTAGTCACTAGGATCCTAACTTGCCCATTAGCTTGCAGCCTTAGCAACGTCTACTAGTGCAGCTTCTGTTCCCCAGGGTCTTGCCTGTCAAGTTCAAATGAACAAACAAGTGCAGGCACTCTCATCCTAACTAGGTCAAAATCCTCAGGAATCATTAACATCCCAGCTGCCATCTTCTGAGAGAATGGCAAGGACAACAAACTTGAATCCAAAACCCTGGACAAGACCCATCAAAGGGTATTCCTTCATTCTGTGGCCTGGCACAGATCGTGCATAGGGAAGCGTATGCTGCCACCAGGGCATGACTAAAGAATGCCAAGAGAGTGCTAATGAATCAACACCAATGATGGAGGAGGAGGGTGTGAGGGATATCGATTACAATGGAAATCTATAGCAATGGAGATGGAAACTGTGTTCAGCTTAATCAAATCAAATGTGCTAAGTCCAGGAGTTAAGGCGTACAATTCTCACTCCCGCAACCACAAGAGTGAGGACAGCAAAGAAGGCAGAATGCACCGAGGAGAGGGAGGCTCAACTAAAAGAACTGCCCTTCTCATCTGACATTAGCTGAAAACAAAGCTCAGCCCATGGGGGCACACTTGTAATCCTAACACTCTGGAGCTTGAGGAAGGAAGATTGCAAGTTTGAGGCCAGTCTGGGCTACTTAGACTCTGTCCGATAAAGGCAAGAGCTGAGGTATAGCACCACGGTAGAGCACTTGCCTAGCACATGCAAGGTCCTAGGTTTGTTCGTCAGCACCACACGCTCAAAAGAAAGTAGTCAGCTCAGAGCTCTAGTGAGAACCACATGGGGGAGGGTCTGTTTGCTCTGCCTTGTTAACCATCTCCTCACTCAGGATGCCAGGCTCCGCTCTATGGGTGTTACATGTATTAACTAATCCTTGCAGCCATGCTGAGGGGACGTTATTCTCATCCTTGTTTTACAGATGACAAACAGACACAGAAAGTCCCTCTCGGGAACTTGTACGGTACATGCTGAATGTCTGCTGAATGAACAAATGAACAAGAGAACAAATAAGAATCAGGAAAGAGCCCTATAAATCCTAAGCCAAATGTTACAACTTAGCAGCCAAAAGGACAAGTAAGTTGTCTATTTGTTAACATCTAAAAATCAGGAGTTCAACCAAAACATGTGAATCTCTGAGTTCTCTTAAAAAAATTCTAAGCATGTAGCATCGCTGAGTCCGTCTGCAAACAAGGCTATGGTGGGTGGGAGCACAGCGATAGGTGCCCTTTTATCCGGCCATGCCCCTTCCACTCCCTACCATTTGCCCAGCTGCCTCGGGCTATGCTTATGTGTATGCTTAATGTGTTATGTTACAGTGCTCCTCTGGCCCCGTAAGCATTTGCTTTCAGAGTCCAGGCATCAACCATAAGCACCCAATCCCATGGATTTCAAACCCCAACTCATTGAGTTGGCTGGATAAAAGGCACCCATGTCAGCTAAAATAAGGACTGGAGATTCCAGAGCCCCACTCTCAGCCCTGGGGCCCACCTCACTCCAGGTGGTCTTGGGGTCACCACAATACCTCTGACCACAGTGGGAAACCACTACCTGCTAAACACATTCAAAGTCTCACCAGCAGTCCACGAAGCCTGAACTTCCCCTCTTCATCAGTCACAGTGTCTTCTCCATAGATGCTGCAGTCCTTCTGTCCCACGGCTTCCACCGCAACCCCCTGCTCTGGTTCTCCATTTAAAGAAGACACTGTACCATAGCAACTAGGGTGATGGAGAAGAAAGAGAACAAGGCCCTTTTGCAGTTTTCTGGAGTGTTCCATGTTTACTAATGACTAAGGCACAAAGGTGCTCAGTGGGGATGTACCCCACTTACCCAGGCTTCTCATGGGTACCTGGGCCACTTCCGAATCGAGCCTTCCTAACGCACAATCAGCTGTCATCAACGTCTCCTCTCTTACATTTTGAGGGATGTTCCAGGAAACGTAACTTAAGAAGGCTAAGATTTATTATATTCTTGATAATCTTTTATTTTAAATAATGAAGCATTCAATAACATGAAAATAGTTTAAGGAGTTTCATTTCATGTATTCAATTGAAATGGTCATTTTTCTAAATCCAATCTGTGTGATTAATCTTTACAGTGCTTATGGATATTAATCTTTAATCTTTAATATGTGTGTACATATACACATATATGATTGTGTGCATATGTACATACATGTATATAGATCTGTGTCTATCTGTCCATCTGGATCTGGCTACCTATCTGTAGTTAACAGTTTCATAAACTGTGTCTGGAAGTATTCAGAAAAACTCCCAGAAGGGGATTTTGGGGTCTGGGAGATGAGGACAGGAGAGAAACTTTACACTGCATTCTCTTTTTCAACATTTTGCAGTTCTACTAAAGTGAATGCATTTTCCCCTTTAAAAATTTAATCAAGTTTAACTTTCTTAAAAAATAAAAAATTTAAGCAACTCAATAACCAATTTCAAAATAAGGAGCTAGTGAGTGGACCACCAGGTTGAGTACTAGAAGAGCAGCAGTCACAATTCTCTGACCTCCTATGCCTTGTCTCCCTTCCTCCTTAGTCTAATGAACACAGCCTGGATGCATTTCTGGATAGGGGGCCCGTATGTGGCTCACCCGCCTGCTGGAAGGGAGGGCAGGGAAAGCACCCACCTATAGGCCGTCCGGTACCCGGTGATGGTGATCCTCAGACTCTGTCCCTCCTGCACCTCTATCATCTGTGAGGATGGCTCAAAACGGAACTCCTTCATCATGGGCTTGAAGTAGTACTGGCCAGGGCTCTGCCAAGACAAGCGCCATCAAAGCCCAGATGCCACATGAGGGACGGCTTAAGAGTCACCAAAACCAGACTTATACCACAGGGCTCCAAAGCTCCCCAGACAGGCAGAAATGGAAACCCCATCTCTGCAGTGAGTGGCAGCAGCACAACTCCAACAATGGCACTATACCAGCATAACGGCAAGTTATAGTGGCACAGTGGTGAGGACGACTCTAAGCAGCTGTCACTGTCGTGTGCCTGCAACAACTCCGTGAGATGGAAGCCACATTGAATTTGATGAATGAAGAAACAGGATCAGAGAGATAAAATAACCAGCTTCATATGACATAGCAAATAAGTGGCAACAGGCTACTTGAGGCTGGGTGTGCACAGCTGTGAAGCCTGTGACCCTCCCCATGCCCTGCTTCCTGTCCATGCCATCCCCACAATAGTCACTTCCTTCCCATGACAGAACAGTCAGCCAATGAACATGCACTTCCTCAGTTCCCACCAGCCAGGGCCTTGACTCCATCCCAGCAGAAAACTTGGTGCTGTCTCTGTGCACACAGAGTGCACTTTGTAGAAGAACACAAGCTAACTACCGAACAAGACACGGCTCTATAAACAGGATCTGCAGTGACACAAGGGACACTTAAGGGAGGGGCCTCTGTGGCCAGAGCAATTAATTACACTGCCCTGGTGACAAGTGGGTGACCAGAAAACAAGTGTGTGTGGAAGGAAACATGAATCGCAGCACTAAGTTCTAGTAAGAGCAAGACTCTAATTAGATGAGGTCCCCTAAGACACTCGAACTGCTCTTGGCTTTCTGTTCTCAAGTTGTCAAGGAATGCACAAGTCACACGAGCCATGTCCCAGCTTGGGAAGACAGTAAATTGCAAAAGGACACCTTACCAGGTTTGAGAATGTCAGAATGCCATTGTCCTGTGTCAAGAGGTTGGAGCGAAACACACCACCACTGAGGGATAAGAGGACCCCCGGGAGAGGCTGGTCATCTTCAGCTTTTATCTGGGGAGGAGGTAAGGCCAGAGCAAGGTCAGGCTCAAAATAACCATGAAGGTTACACTCCAGAAGTCAGGAGGCAATGGTTCTGGGGAGTTATCTTTAATGCATGCACACTGCCCAGCTGCAAAAGGGGACCTAACCCCCTGTTAGCACACACATCTCTGTCTCTGCACGTTTACATTTTTCCCTGAACAATCATGCCTTAGCAGTTCTTGGATACATACATTTTATATTCAGAAAAATACTCCCAAATTAAGTTTCAAAAAGGTTGTACCACTTATAGTCCTTAAATTACCCATACATGGGAAAACACACACTCACCAAAAAAATGAATACGGACTTAACTATTGCAAATGTAACCAGAAACAGTACTTCACTGGTAACTTCTGGCGTTGCTCAGAAACCACTGAGGCTGAGTGTCTTCCCTGTTATTCATCTGTGTCACGTCCATGAACTGCCTTCTCATATAAACCTCTGGGCACTTTTTCTATGAGGTTGTCACTTTCTCACTGATTTTAGGAGTTTCTAGTAGACCAGGTCTATCGTTTATGGTATAAAAATTTTTCTCCCTAGTCTGTACATCTTTTAATGTGGTTTAAAGCACATCCAGCAATGTGACATTTTACACCTGCATGTAATATAAGTCTGTGCTTTTCCTTTGGCCTGCAGTTTCTAAATATCCACACTCAAGGATTTCCAGACTCACTGTGTACAACACACTACCCACTTCTTCCCCAAAAGGACTGGTGGACAAGAGACAGACACCAAACAGGAACATCCTATGTCCTTGCACACAGAGTACTTAAGGACAAGGGCTTAAAACACTTCCAAATCCTACATATGCATGACTGTGGGAAAGCCAACCTCTCCCACAAAGTATGCTGAGTGAAGGAAGCCCGACCAAAGTTAAGTACACTGTGTACAATTCCACTTACATGAAAACTAGAAAACACAAACTAACGGACAGACAGAAAGCAGGGGACAACAGCAGGGAGGGACCTCGAGGACAGGAGGCTCTAGCAGTGACGGATTTGCTCACTACTTTGACAGTGGAGGTTTTCAAGGTATGGTCACAGGTGGCAACTGCCATATTAAGACACTTTGTGCAGCTTACATCACATTCATTACACCCCAGTGAAGCAGCCCCTTTGAAAACATGCAGGGTTACCTCGAAGCTGACGCCAGCCAAGGCATAAGCCTTGAAGTCCCCTACAGTTCCCTCCACTGCAGTCAGCACATAGCCCTCCTTCTGTGAGGTCACCGTGTATTCCAGGTCACTGTGCAGAGGCCCCACACTGGATGAAAGAAGGCAAAACACTACAAATGGCTCTACTTCTAATCTCAGAGGAAGCATTGATTCTCCCCAAGAAGCCAGGGCTCCCCACTTTCTCCAGGAGGCTCCCCAGTCAGTCTGGCTCAAGAAAGGGATTCTCCCTCTGTGCTTACCTGTAGGCCCCTTTGTCATCAGTAAAGACTGTTATCAGAGGTGAGCTCGCCCCCTTCTCACTGATGATGATCTCCACTCCTTCCAGCTCTGGGTGGATCTGGCCTTCCAGGAACAGGCCTGCCTTCCCATGTATCTCAATCAGTTTCCCTGGGCAGCTTTCTAGAAAGAGAAGAAACAAACAGAAGAATGGGGAAGAGAGGAGTTTGGCTTGGGATTTCCCATGAAAGAAGGACCCAGAACTGACACATAAGAGATGAGAAGCTAGCTCTACAGGAGGCCAGTACCCAGGTGCAGCCCAGGCATTCCCCCCTCCAGAGGCCTTTGCTCAGATGCTGAGGACTACCTCAGGCAGATCTGACCAGGATGGGTTTTCCCCTCCTTGTCCTCAGTTGTCAGAGGCCACAGAAGAGGGGACAATGGAGGGTACAGCTCCACCTCAGGACCCAGTGATGAAGGTGCCCCATGGCACCTGCCCGCCAGAAACTCATGCTTCCAACACACTCAACTTCCAACCATGAAATGCCCATGACTGAACAAACCCCTAGGGCTAGAAAAAACTGTCGGTAGCCAAAAGAAAAATGCTCCACAGCAATCACGGTGATCCTCCACTCTAAAGACCCTCTCCCCACACTCTGACCTACAACAGAAAGACCATAATGTTCAGTCCCAAGAAGTCCCAAGTCTCTCATTTCGGCCATTGGTGGTTTTGCTTTACATCTACCTTCCTGTGTCAACCAGATCACATCAAAGGAAATCAAGTCCTTTCCCAAAAGGACCACCTTAATTGCAATTATAGAAGTTACCTTTATCTGTTTGGCCCACTCATCCATCCACCCATCCAGTAATGACATAATGGCTTCAGATGGCTTACAGACATAGCTGCACTACACCCACACTGAACCATTCCTCAATGCCAGTGAAGAAGCGACTGCACAAGCATGACATTCCCTCTGGAGTAGATAGGTACCTCCGCTGATGGTGGCTTCCATGGAAGGGGGGTAGAAGAGCAGCTCTTTGGATGAAGGTGTAACCGTGATTTTCTCTCCAGACCTGAAAGAGTTAGTGGACTTCAGCTTGGCTGGTCTGTTCCTCCAGAACAGAGGATGCTGTGGAAAAAAGTGCAAGAGCTTACCGGGCCCAATAAGAGAAGTCATAGGAGAAGGGACCTTGTAACTCATCAACCATCTCTTGCCCAGGGGGTTTGGTCCTGCCTTCCTCACCCTCTTCTTTGCCATTCTTCTCCCTCTCCTGCCTGCGGGTCTCTATCTCTGCCAGCTGCTGCTCCCTCCGCAACTCCTGCGCAGACTTCAGGGGGCCCAAGACCAAGGCAGGCTCACTGTCAACAGAAGACCTGGAAGAGAAGCAGGGTAGCCCTAGTAGGATGTGCTGCTTGTCACTACAGTAGGTGTGAGGTTGACATTTACACAAATGAGGACTCATGAACAAAACCCAAAGACCTTACAGTGACACCAAAGAGGCATAGTCTTTGGTTTTAAAAGCACTAACGGTTTAACAAAAAGTGAGAACTGAACTTGGTGCTACTAGCAGGGATGGTAGATCTGGAATGAAATACCCTTGACTTTGGACTTGATGGGAACAAGTCAGATTCCAAGTGGGACCTGGAACTCTCTCTATGCCACCATTCTTTCTGTCCTTCCACTCCACCTCCACTGAGAACTCCTCAGCCAGAGGACCAAAGATACAGCACTGAAGGAAACAGACTATGTGTCCTGACCCTGTGAAACCCACATTCTAGAGGGAAGGACAGATGACAAACATGAGTAACATCAGTGAGTAACACAGAGAAAAATAAAGTGGAGTGGGAGAGCTGCAAGGGCTGCTTCCCACCAGGGGGTGGTCAAGGCCTTTAGGCAAGGTGACATTAAACAAAGATCTGTGGGAAAGGAGAGCATTCAAGCTGAGGTCTCAGAGTGGGGAGAGGCTCGGCAGGTGGATAGCAGGTGCAAAGTCCTCAGAGAAGTCACTCTCTCCGTGTTCTAGGAACAGCAAGGAGACCAAAGCAGCCTGGGGCAGAGGGGTTCATGTAAGTGGCAGACTGGGCAAAGAGGTCCGAAGGGTGGCACAGGTCTTGATATGGACCCTGGATGGAACTCTGTGGGGATGGGAAGCTGCTGGAGTTTTAAGAAGAAGGATACAATTGCCATCAAAACAGAATTACTCTAGCTGCTGAGCAGAAAACACGGAGTTCCAAGGCAACTGCTAGGACAGGGAGGCCTGGCCAGAGCTGGCTGTGAGAACCAGGTGAGCACAGTGGTGGATCAGACCAAGGGGGGATGGTGAAGTGTTAAAAAATGACGAAAGCTGGTGGAGTGGCTCAAGTGGTAGAGTGCCTGCTCAGCGAGCACAAAGCTGGGTTCAAACCCCAGTACCAACACCACCAAAAAAAAAAGACAAGAGGAACAAGGCGCAGTGGCCACACCTGTAATCCCAGCACCCATGAGGCTAAGGCTGAACGTCTCAAATTTGAGGCCAGCCTGGGTTACACAGCAAGACTGTGTCTCAAAAACAAACACAAGGGACGAGACTGTGGAAATACTTTGAGTGTAAAGCCAAGAGATTGTTGAGGGACTGGCTGGAAGTGGGTACAAAGACAGAGAACCAAAGAATAGCCAGAAGGACGGGGCTGCCACGCTTGATGAGGGAAGACCAATGAGTAGGTCTGTGGAGGGGGAATACCAAGAGTCTGGGTTTGGACCAAGTAAGTGTGGGCCTCCCCAAAAGGGCTCCAGCAGCAGTGTCCCTCCCAGGCACAAACACATGACACAAAGATCCTTCTGAAGGTACAAAGGTTAATGTCATAAAGATTCAAGTCAGAGACTCGGGCTGATCATATCCTTCTTCTCCTTCTTAACATGGGGTCACTACTGCTAACAGTACAGACTGCTAGCTGTGTCACTAATTAATACTTTCTGAGCAGGATACAGTACATGATACAGCAGACACCCACCAGATCCTCCCCCTAAAAATGCTGGCCTCCACAACCCAGTCCCTTCAGCCAGAGACTAGGGCCACCCCTGACTTCTCTCCCTTCTTGACCACAGGGGTCAGTCTATCATCACACCACATCCACTCAGCTCCCCAGAGTCCCCTGTTCCTCCCACTGCTGTTCTTTCCACAGCCACTGGGAAGCCCTGTCATCACAGCCTCAGCTGGCTCCTGCTCTTGGGACTCTTCGGTCTGGTCTCCATTCTGCACTCAAGTAGCCTTTTCAAAACCACAAAGTCATCCCTCTCCTCCAAACGTGTCAGTGGAATCATGAGACAAAAACTAAGACCCTCAACATGACCTTGCTCCTCCCTACCCCAAGGTCAAACTCAAACACTCATCACAGTTGTAACTCTACTTTGTCGGTTCTGTTCCCCATGAGACTGAAGTCCATGAGGGCAGTAAGCCCTCTACACTGACAATCATGGACAAACAGGTAGTGGACAGAAAGATGGAAATGACTGGAAAGACAACTTCAAGCAGAGTGAAAAGAGAACAAGTTATTGAGAGTTCTTTTTTTTTGGGGGTGGGGGAGGGGAGTTGGTGGCACTGAAATTTGAATTCAGGGCCTTGTGCTTGTTAGGCAGGTGTTCTACCACTTGAGCCACACTGCCAGTCCCTTGGAGTTCCCTTCTATGTGACAAAAAGTCATGATGTAAAACTCTCATTTCTGAAAAAATTGGAATGCCAGACAAACTTCACACACCATAGAAAATCCACTCAGAGATGACAATCACATGAGCATGACCCTCAGCAAGGGCCAGCCTTTCAAACACTTTCTCTCTCATGACCCTCCTTATATCACAGGCCATCTCTATTTCTCAAGCCTTCAAGAACAGGGATACAGAAAAATAGGCAATTTTTCTTTTGAATTTGCTAAACACATGAAACACAATGAACAAACCCCAGAGATCTTTTTTCTTAGCAAAGAAGTATAAAGAGTTCAAACACAAATTTAAGACACAGAATCAAGCTGTCAGAAGGCTCTTCCTCACCCAGAGTCAATTCTTGAATCATGAAAGAAAGGAATCCAGGTTGTGGTGAATTTATGACTATGTCATGTAAGTATAAGAGAAGGAAGGCCATTTGTATACACACCTAGAGGTAAGAAATCAAAAAAGAATTTTCCAAGAGTCTATGAAAGACCTCCCTAGACCTGGTCCACTGCCTCCCACTCCCAGCCCACCATGGCCCACTCATCTTACTTGATAGTTACGGTGACATCCATCATCTTGTCAGTGGTGATAGTTCCGAGGACATGGTGGCGAATGGCTGTCAATGTCAAGATACTGGGTGAAGACCTATAAATCAGAGAAGTGGAAAGAGCTCACTAGCAATACATCTAGTCATTCTCCAAGGAGCACCCAGCACCCGTCATGGCGGCCTCCCCACCTAAAAGAATGCAGCATGGAATGGCTCTTAGTTTAAAACAAATAACTCTGGACACCACACAAGTCTTTTAAAGAGTAAGCTAATTCTACACTCTAAACCTCTACACTTCCCGTTCCCACTGTAAGTCACACACATTTGTAAAAATATACATGTGGCAGACCTGAGCTGGAGGAATTTCTATCAGCAAGGACTGGAATATGTGACCAAGATTTCACGTGAGCCTCTTTACTACGTGGCCTTCTGGCCTGAGCTTACAGAATTCTTGGGAAGGAGGCTGTCTCCTTTTCCTTGGTAACTTATCCGAAAGTCTTAAAATCTTTATGCAGACATCCACACTAATGCCTAGCATTGCCTCTTCCAGAAGAAAAAGAACAATTCCTTGGTTCTCAGAAATAAATGAGGAAGAGACAATTACTCCCCTCCTCCCCAGCTTACGTGTCATAGGTATAGAAGGCTTGCTCAAACCGGTGGCAGGAGCGAGGGGTCACTTTGTATACACCTGTGGACAGGAAATGAAGAGTCATTTTCAGAGAATGGTGTCAGTTGCGCAAAGCAATTCCAGCATTCAAAATCCACAGGCAGCTGTCTCATTTGAAAACAAACATGTCACAGCTCTGCAGTGATAGGATCAGAAATACTGGCAGGCTTCCGTCCTGCTGCTGATGACAGTTTCTTGCCACTGAGCTCTGCTTAGCAGACCCCCAACAAGCACCAGTTCCTCTTTCCCCAAACTTCACCACTGGCAGCAGCTACCTCTGTCCAGACCAAGCCCAGTACATGTCCAAGAAAGAACAAAAGCTCATTTCTCCAGCAAATCTGGCTGGGAATCATTTTTCAACTTAAAAGATTGCATTAAAGGACCAGTGTAGTGGCTCACACCTATAACTGCGTCTATTCAAGAGGCAAAAATTGAGAGGACTGAGGTTCAAGGGCCGCCCAAGCAAAAAGTTAGTCAGACACCCATCTCAACAAGCAAGCTGAGAACAGTGGCATGCGCCTGTAATTCCAGCTATGAGGGAGGCGTAGGTGGGAGGATGGTGGTCTGAGGTTAGCCCCAGGCAGAAAGTATGAGACCCTATCTGAAAAATAACTGAAACCAAAAGGACTGGGGACTTGACATAAGTGGTAGAGTGCCTGCCTAGCAAGCATGAAGCCCTCAGTTCAAACATGAGTACCATGAAAAAAAAAAAAAACACAAAAAGATTCTGTTCAAAGTCCAAAAGAGAACCATAACTGCCCTTCTGTAAATATTCCTGAAGAGGCAGGGAAGGCCCAGAAAATGATATAACAACTAAAGAAAACACTTTTTATACCATAAGCTTATATATGGTAGTACCCATACTGGGGGCAGTCCATCGTTTGCCAGAGGAACACAGTCACTTATGGGAAAAAGCCAAGGGTTGGGAACAGTCCGCTGCTTTCACTGCATGGAGCAGGCACAGATAAGAGAAAAGATTCAAGCTCTCTACAGATTTTGTTCTCTCATTCAACAAACACTCCTAGGTGAGGCTGAGGCACTGTGCTGGGGGTGGTCCACAGTGGGGAGGAAGCAAATGTGGCCCCTGCCTTCCTGGGCCTCCCAACCCAAAGAGAGGGTCGTCACTGACATACTGACCATGGCGCACACTAGGAACAGCTGTGACCAGGAGGGCGGGAGGAAGGCCTCAATGGCCCTGAAGGGCTGTCCATCTGGGGAAGTTGCACTGAGCCAAGAACTGAGAGGTGAGAAAGCCAGGTACAGGGTGGTGGGAGGAGCAGGGAGGGCGCTCAGCAGAGAACAGCACCTGCAGTCAGGCTGGTGAGCTTCATCCCACAACCAGGAAATCACCCGTTTTCTGTTATCACATAGACTGTCCTTCCTGTTGCCACACAGACCCTGTTGCCTACAGTGTGGCAATGTGACGCATCAACTTAATGGAATACTATGTGCCAATAAAAAGGAACAAACCACTGATACATGCCACCATGTAGATAAATATCAACAACATCGTATTAGAGAAAAGGGGCCAAAGCAGCATCACTAGTGCACAGTGACAGGAAGAAAACTAGGGTTGCCTAGGGCGAGGGACAGGAATTAACAGCCTAGGACCTCACTGGGGGTGATAAGAATGCCCTAAACCTGGACCATGGTAATGACTGTACAGCTTGGCAAGTTTACTGGAAATCATTGCTCTGGACATCTGAAATGACCTTTTCATTTTGTTGTTGTTGTTGTTTATTCTTTCAGGTGGTCGTGGGATTCAAACCCCAGACCTCCCATCCCCTAGGCCAGTGCTCTAGGACTTGAACCACCCAACAGCCTTCATTTTGCTTTTGTTTTTATCTTTGTGTGCTAGGGATTAAACCCAGGACCTCAAGCACACTACCCAGGCATTCTGCCACTGAGCAGCACCCCAGCCACAAATGGGTGAATTTCATGATATGCAAATTGTACCTCAATAAAGTTAAAAAGGACAGATAAACTGGAAGATTTTAAGCTTCAATTTCCAAAAGACTGCTATGAGGCAAGGTCACAGGCCAAGAGTGTAACGTTGCAGAAAGTGCAAGGGCCCAGTTATCTCCACCCAGCTCAGACCAAAAGACCAAGAACACCTGCCCACGCCACTCCCTCCAGAGAGAAGAAACAGAAAAACGAGGGCACTAAACACAACTGAAATTCATAGCTCAATGCAAATAGAACGGAGCTAGGAAAAACTGCCTTTAAAACCAACCTCGGTGCCCTCCCATCTTTCTAACTCACAGCACATCAATCCTTTCAGACGTACCGGGCTTGGATAGGCAGAAGCGGTTGACTCCTTTGGAGAGGTTGTAAATTCCCACGTTCCCAGGTCCATTTCCATCCTGATAAAACTCCTGAGGGACCAGAGCCAATACGGTGACTTACAGGGGATGGAGACTGTGATGGTCAATAATATTTCTGTTTCCAAGCCAGTCATCTGTTTTGCCCATTAATCAGCCATTGGGTGCCATAGGAAAATTAAAAACCTTTTAAAAATTTCCAATGAAAATGTGCTCTTTTCACTCAATCCACTAGGATTTATTGAGCACCTGCTATGTGACAGGGACCAGGCAGGGCTTGGGAGGCACTGGCCTGGTTCCTGTTCTCAGGTGGCTTACCTTTTAATTTGGGAAATCAGAAAATCAACATGCCAACAAATGAATTAGTGATTTCAGCTGGGACTGAAGTAACAGACTCAGAAGGAAGTAAGCAGGGCGTAGGAGAAAGGATGATCCCCTGGAGGTTCTTCAGCTTCCTGGTCTTAGTGCTGCCCTCTCCTGACTGGGTAACACTGGGCTGCAGCCAGAACTTGGAGAAAAAACTACCTGTCTGCATTTTGGGGGATGGGCACGCGCATGTGCAGAAGTACAATGGAGGAGTGAAACTGCACACAAAGTGGGAAGTAGACAAGGCCTTGCTGGCCATCATGGAGGTGCATGAATCTTAATCTATGGGAACCAGAAAGCTACAGGGCTTACAGGAAAGAATGTCTATCACCGATTCTCACCTGGACATTAACTAAACCAAGTTCTGTAACACAGCACCTTGCTCAGTGCTTCTGGCAGCTGAAGCAGCAGCTGCTATTCCTCTGGTGTCTCTTACAAGCCATCACTTAGTTACCTCAATTTCTCTACTGGGATCTGACAATGTCATGTGCCAGTGCTTCATGTCAAAAACTTACGTAAAACTCAAGAGCAAATTACACAGACATTCCCTTCCCTGGATCCATTTGACAGGGGCCTATCAGGCCAATACAGCCAGTGAGAGGTCAGCTCTGCCCTCCACACTGGAACAATGTCAGAGAGAAGCTCTCTCCGCTGCACTGTGTGAGGAACCAACAGCAGTGCTCTGCAAGGAAACTTTAAATGCTAAAAGACCCACGGAAGCCTCTTAACAGCCTGAGAAGTGGGGATTATGATCCCAATTTTGGAGGGGAAAACTGACGTTCAGAAACAGGGAGTGAACTTGTCCAGAGTGTGAAACCAGCGGCCCTTACCAGAGTGATGGCATGAGAAAGGGAACATCTCAGCATATAGCCTGTCTGCCGAAACTCTACCATGGACACATCATCATCCAGAACCTCCACCTCCAGGCTCTTGTTCTTCCAGCACCAGTCCTCATGCATGATGCTGGCTGCAAAGCAAACAAGAGATGCATGGGCACAGAGCGTACCACCTGCTGCACACACCAGGAAACAATGTAACGTGTTAACTAACCACAAAGTCACTCTGTGAGCCAGGTGTGGTGGTGTATACCTATAAGCCCAGCACTTAGAAGGTTGAGGCAGGAGGATCATGAGTTAAAGGTCAGCCTGGGCTACATAGCAAGACTCAAAAAGAAGTGTGTGTGTGTGTGTGTGCACATATACATATAAATCTATATATGTAAACACACATACATGTGGACCTTAACTTCATCAACAAGGAAATCCAACTGCACTCGAAAGATCAGGCCACAAAAAAGAAATCAGGGATCAGCAGACTTTTTCTGAAATGTTTTCATGGTGTTTTTGGGTTTTTTGTTTTTTCTTTTTAAGACAGTCTCACTATGCTGCCTTGGCTGGTCTGAAATTCCTGGGCGCAGGTGACCCTTGTGTCTCAGCCACCAGAGCAGCTGGGACAGCAGGTGCATGACACCACACCCAGGTCGCTTCCAGTTTTGTAGGCTACAAGCTTAGTAGGTCTCAACTCTGTCATTGTAGCTCTGAGGGACCACAGTCAATACATAAAGAAATGGTTGTGCCTATATTCTACAGGAAACTTATTAAAAAAAACAGGCAGTCAGTTCTGGATTATAGTTTGCCAGCCCCTATGTGACAGAAAATACAGTTCCCCAGAAACTGAAGCCTACTTTCTAAGCTACTCACTGCCCGCAGATCTGAGATGATCTTTGCAAAAGTAGGTCAGACAAGAGGCTTCCTGAGCAGGGCAGAGAAAGGAGGTAGGCTAGCCTCTCCTACTGACCAGGCACTGCAAGGGGCTTCACACACTTTATTTCACTCAGTACATTCTGCAGAAAGGTTGTGATGAGCCAACAGTCTCGAGGGACTGAGTAACTTGTCAGTCACACTGGGGCTGTAGAATTAGGTCTTACTCTCCCTTCTAACATTCAGAAATAAAAATGCCATGAAACAGCACACTCTCCAAAGCACACACATAGTTAATTAAGAGCTGAGATTCCACATCACTGCCAACACAACATCATGCACAGCCAAGGTCACGGGCCAGGAAGATTTCACAGAACAAAGTATGCGCTGGCACATGCTCTGAGAAAGAGCTTTGGGAAGTTCACAAACACAGGAAGCATCACATTCAGTTCTTACTTTTATATTTTCCGGGCAGCACGTTGTCAAACGTAAAAGTCATGGAGTTGACTTTGCCGGAGAGCTGGAGGCTCCGCTTCTCGCCCTGGCGGCTCAGTGACTGCAGCGTCACCAGCAGGTCACCACAGGTGTCTACAGAGGAGAGACAAAGGGCTTCACATGACTACCACCAGGCACCACGAGCACAGTGGAAGCTCAGCCTGCGCTGCTCGACACCCATGGGCTTCTGGAAGTGGTGTTGGCAAAGCCAACACACATCAGCCCAAGAAGTTTCCCGACGACTGTGTTCAGGCAGCAAGAAACAAAGGAACGGGTGGTGACGAGAGACCATCAATTACTGAGCACCCCTGTGTGAGCCAGGAGAGAAGGGAAAACCACATTTATACAGCACCCAGTGATGAAACAGTGGAACATTTATGTAGCACCAACCAGAGCCAAAGAAGAAAACAGGAATGCTGGGACAGTCAGAGAAAGCCCAGTTTATGACAGGCACAGAACCAGGCCCTTTGCCACAATATTACTGCCAATAATAGTGAACACTGATTTGACCCTCCTATGCTGTAGGGTCTGTTCTGTGGTGGTCAGTGTTGGCTACCAACTTGACTGGATTGAGAGACACTTAAGAGATTAGTGACACTCCTCTGGGTATGTCTCTGAGGGCATTTCCAGACAGGTTTGATCTTGAGGGCTCTGACCTAATCAATGGACTAACTCCTTGATGCTTTGCAATATGGCAGCATTATGGTGAAAGATAGGAGGCAGGCAGGAGGTGAAACGTAGGAGGAGGGAGCCACTGGGGGGCGTTTCCCTGGAGACTACTGCTTGCCCTGGCCCCATCCTGTCTCTCTGTGCTTCCTGATGGTCATAATGTGATTGGTTCTACTCTGCCACACCCTTTCCACCAGGATGAACAGACATCTCTGAAACCGCGAACCAAAATAAGTCATTCCTCCCTTAAGTTGCTTTTCTTGGGTATTTTGGTCACAGCTACATGTCCCAAAGGTGAATGCACACTAACTCATTGTTATCAATTGTTCCTTATCACAGATGAGGGACTCAAAAGTACAGGGAGGTTAGGCAACTTGCCCCAGGTCACACAGCTGGGGGTCAAGCCCCTTAAGTCTGGTTCTAGAATCTATTTGTGTACCCACTGTGCTATACTTCTACTTTACAGGATAGTATTTAAGTCCCTTTAAATAATGAATAATAAAATAAAAAAATAAATAAAAATTTAAAAAAACAGGAGGGGGTGGAGTGGGTGGTAAGGGAGGGGGTGGGGGCAGGGGGGAGAAGTGAACCAAGCCTTGTATGCACATATGAATAATAAAAGAAAAATGAAAAAAAAAATCCAATACAAAAAAAAAAAATCTCCACTCAAATATGATCTGGTCACAGGACTCTTCACTAGATGGGTAGGGGATGTGCTGAGAGAACATAGACCTCAGAAGGATATACTGGGCTGTAAGAAGAGAATTCCCCTAGGTCATTGTTAATGCAAATGAACTACTGCTTTCTGAATCTACCTTGTCTCTGATGGCTTTAACTGTTGGCTGCTTTTGTGTGGAAGGCAACTCTGAAACCAGGAGACTTAAAGATCTCATTGACTGCCAGGCTTTTGGGACATGGCTTAGGTTATATTTTAAAATATAGATTTTACTGTCAAGGCCAACAGATCAGATGGCTGCCATTGAAAAGGTAGTTTGCTATAGTTATAGGTCCCAAGAGAAGGGGCTGTGCCAGGTTATATGGGGAAGCACCCAGGTTGACCAAAGGACAGAGGGAGTGAGGGAAAATGTGGCCAAGAGCCTTTATTGCAGTTTCTGTGAGGAAGGAAGGGTAAGCAGACTTAGGACTGGGTAATTTGAATAACTTCAGTAAACTCTGGGATGTCCAGAATTTTCTAGTATCTGGCCCTGGAGTGATTAGGGGAGAAGAAGAATAGTGGCCCCATCCAGAAGAGGGTTGGAGATAAGGGCTGTTAACTGGCTGGTTTTTATATGAAATGTGCACCTACAGGTTGTTTGCTATCTCTTAAAAATAGGCTAACCCTGAGAAGTCCATCCCTCTAGGTCAGCCTGGCCCCAAATGTCAAAGCATCTAGATAATAAAAATCACCCAGAAAATAAAAAAATAAATAAAAAATAAAAATAAAAACCTCAATATTGGCAGTACTCCCAATTTATAGGGAAAAAATCTGAGGCTTTCTGTCTCATAGCTGTTAAGATAAGAGCTAAGATTAAAACCTGGGCCTGATTCCTCTTTGGGGCCAAAGCAGAAATACCCCAGAAGAATGTTTTGGTGCCTCCTGATGACAATCATTCTAGGGAAGCACACACAAGATCCAATCCTGAACTCCTCAGCAGGAGCAGCCCCTGTCTTTAATGCTTCCCACAAGGAAACACCTGCCCAGTCCCAGCTCCTTCCCCACGTCCTCAGCCACCCCACCCCCTCCCACCCCTGCTTCTTTGAAACTGCTTGTTCTTGTTTTCAGTTGACATCTTACCCAAACAAGAGACTTTCCCAGAAACAGATGCCAAAAACTGCACAAAGGCCACATCCATCACGGGCCTGTCGGTCACAGTGACAGGAAACGTCTGGGGCTTCAGCATCAGCCCTGCTCTGGTCTCAACCTCGGGCACCACCACCTGTAGGACACAGAGAGTGACGTCAGATGCCACACAGGGCTGCTCTCATTCTAGCCTATGGGGCACTAGAACATTCATCTGGGGCCAAAGCTAAGCCAATTTTGAAGGACAAAGGTTCGTTTCCAGGCTTAGTTTTCCTAATTATAACAGGAAGAGGAAGGCAGTGGCTGACCTTTGCTTGTCTGGTCACTTGCTCTATTTGGATAAAAACACATTTCCACTCAGACATAAAAATCAGCCTTCAACAGTCCCAAGGCTGTGCACAAACCTATCTGGCATAATTCCTGGAGGCACACTGTGCTGACATCAACGACCTGTGTGCCAGATGGAATCCATACTACCCCAGATTGTCCCTGACTTTAGGTCACTTGTAACATAAGCTATGAGCCTGGCAATGATGTATGAATGACTCTTTGGTGGAATGAAGATGTTTTCCTCTTCTTTGAGGTGGGGACAGTGGCCATCTCTTTTATCCCTCGTAAAGATGGAATTGCAGGCTTGCCCTTCCTTGTTAAAGTCCTTCACCAAACTTCCACTGTGGCATAGAGTCCAGTAAGGTGCTGTCCTCCCTCAATCCCCATGGGCAAGATCACCACATTGGAAGGCACAGTGGCCAACCTCTGGTTGACTGGTCATTTGCTCACTTTGGCTGGTCTGTGCTCAAACCTGCGTCCTTGTGGTGAGACCACAGGAGAGGGGCTGCATGCCTGGATGAACAAATCCTATGGGGCCTGCCTCACTGTCCTCAGAACAGGGCAAAGCAGGAAGTGGGGGCCCCAGTCTGGCTCCCAGAAGCCATGCATCATGGAAGTTCTTGCACAACCTTGAATGGGGAGCTTGCCTGGTTGCTCCTCTTGGACTCACAGATATTCTAGAAAAGTGGAGCAATGGGTAGCCTGTTCCTGACTCCCAACAAACATCACGATGGGAAAGGAGAGGCCTAGCGCCTAGTGCATCATGCTTGAGCTGGACGCCTGTCAGCTCCACTTCAACACACAGGAATGGGAAAGCTTAAAACTAAGAGGCGGGAATTGAAATGCTCCTTCTAAGAACATTTTAGCTCCTGGCCCTCTGACAATTACTGCTTTTCTCCAATACTTTAAGTAAGGCAAAGCGCATCGCACCTGGACTTTGTAGGCCCCTGGTTTTGCTTTAAAGCAAAATGATCCATGAGCATCCGTCTCCACGGTGACCAGAGACTTGTCCTTGTCCTGAGACAACAGGACCACTTTGTATTTAGTCATCTGCTTGACGGTGTCAGGAATGCGCGTAATTGATATCTGACCGCAGACGCTGAACCTGGAACAAGAAGACCACTCGCTCCAGCAGGAGAGCTGGATTACAGCCCAGAGGCGCTCAGCACCCCAGACACATCCCTCTTCCAGCCCTCGTGCCTGACACGACTTCATTCTGGTGACAGAGACAGATTACAGCACCAGTGGTTTCTGCTTTAAAGAGCCACCTTCAGAAGGAAGAGTAGACCTCTTTCTGCAGAACAAGAGCCGTGTGTATGCTCTGGGTGACCCCCACTGCAGTCACCTACTGCAGAAGCGATTTTCAGAAAATCCACAGATAACGCAAATGTTTCAGGTAATGGGGTAGTGGACAGTGGAACAGGCTCAGACTGAAAATAATTCATTAGCCCTAAAAAAGTAAGAGCCATAAACTGCCTAAGAAACTAGGCCATTAGCTCACACCTATAATCCTAGCTACTTGAGAGGCTAAGATTGGGAGGATCCCCAAAGTCAGCCTAGGCAAATGGTTGACAAGACCCCATCTCCAAAGTAACCAGAACAAAATGGGCTAGAGGTATGGCTCAAGCAGTACAGTGCCTGCTTTACAAAGCTTGAAGCCCTGAGTTCAAACCCTAGTCCCAACAAAAAAAGAAAATGTGCCATTAGCTAGGCTATAAGACAAGACAGAGTTACCAAAGACATCTTCCTCACTTATGATTGAGCCCAATGCATGGGTGAAGGCAAACTGAGAGATATGTACGAATAACAATTAAAATTTAAAATTACACTTCTTAGGAGTTGGGAGCCAAAACAGAAACTCATAATTACAAAGCCCTATTAAGAATAAGGAAAGACTTTGGCTGGAGGCATAGCTCAAGTAGCAGAATGCCTGTCTAGCAAGCATGAGTTCCTGAGTTCAAACCCCAATACTGTCAAAAAAGAGCCAGGTGGTTCACATCTATAATCCCAGCACTCAGAAGGCCAAGGACAGAGGATTGAAAGTTTAAGGCCAGCCTTAAACTACATAGCTACATAGTGAGATTCTAGCTCTTAAAAAAAAGAAAGAAAAGAAGTGAAGACTCAGATTCAAGTTTCAGATGAACAGTGTGTAAGAAACACAGGAGAGGCACATCTGCTCACCATAAAGACCAAGGAAGACTGTCACCCTCAGAGTGATGGTCTTCATTTTCATTTCTCAGTAACTTAACGAGGACATGGTAAGGTGTAATAACACATCCCAGCTGCAGGCCACACTTGTCTCTTCAGCTCACTAAGGGTTGTTTTCTCGTGTTAAACAATCATTTTAGATAAAGTCAGGTGTTCCTTCTGGCAGAGACAAGAAAGAATGCCGGATGCGCAACGCTGGAATAACTGCGCAGCCCACAGTGAGAAGCAGTGGAAAGAACGACATGAGGAAAGCTGGGCAGTGAATTCTAGGCATGTGCAAACGCATTTGTTTGGAGCTCGCTGTCTACTGCATGGTCAACAAACAACAACCTCAGGCCAATGCCAGTTCACCACCTGTTTCTGCATGGACTACAAGCCAAGAACAGTTTTTATACTCTTAGAGATTAAAAGAGGAAAAACAAAATCCAAAGAATACTATCTCATGATGTTCACAGTGAAATTTTAGTGTTCTGGTGGCTTCTGCCATAGAGACCACATGGTCCATGAAACTTAAAAGGCTTGCTAAGCCCTATCAGGATGGATAGAGCTCTGCTTCTCTGCTTCTCACATTCACTCACCCTGCTCTGCACTCTCAGAACAAAAGGGTAGGAAGGGAACTTTGATGAAATTATTCTTAAGGACCTTTTAGTTTGTGTGTGTGTGTGTGGCACTGGAGTGTGAACTCAGGGCCTTGCCCCTGCTAGGCAGGCGCTCCACCACTTGAGCACGCCTCCAAGCCCTTTAGCTTTAGGTTGCTATTCAGATAGGGTTTTTCACTAACTTTGCCCAGACAGCCTTGAATTTCAATCCTCCTCCTCCACTTCCCAAGTAGTTGAGATTAAATGCTACCACATCCAATAGGAAATATTTTTTAAAAAAAGAAAATAAGAACAAGTAAGAAATATCAATGTATTTAAAAGGCAATATACTAGGGGTTAGCCCCTGCTCCTCCAAAACATAGCTCAACAATTGTCATTCTTCTTTCTTTGGTCCAAATACTCCACTTCAAAGAAGAAAATATACAAATAAACGTCCCTCCATCTCTGCCTCTGCCCTGTTGTTCAAATGAGAGGCCTTAGCCCTCACAGTATAGGCCTATTAACTCTGCCTCTACCTATCATTTCCATCTGCTTCTGGCTCCCTCTCTGGCCAGCACCTTGGTCTCAGCCACCACTGTATCTCCTCCAGACAACTGCCACAGCCCCTATCTGCACCCTACTTGCACACTGGCTTCCCCCCCAACACCTTCTCCACCCAGAAAGAAAAAAAAAAAAGGAGATCTTTTTAAACTTCCATGATCTTTGTTGTCACCCCCTTATTGACAACTCTTAATGGTTTCCCAAGGCATAGCGGCAGGGAGAAGACATCCCTACAGCCCATCTATAGTCAGCAGGCTCTCTGACCTTGCCACCTGCCTCCAACCTCACTACCTGGCTGGCTCAGTCCCTCCCCCTAACCTCCGGGCCTCTCAGAGGCATGCTGCCCCCTACTCAGGATGTCCTCCACTTTCTGACCTCGATTTTCCTAGGGTCTTGACAACTCAGTGGCCTTCCAGAGCCCCAACCTATCTGAGCTCTTGTCAGAGCATTCTGCTCTCTTCCTGCCCAGTAGTCACCACAATTTGAAATCAAAATGTTTTAGAATTAGTCTGTCTCCCAGGGAAGACAAAAGCCCCATCTTTAAAACAGTGGCTTGTTCCTTTCACAGACCCAGCATTTAGCACAATGCCTTGCCCAGGGTAGCTGCTCAAGCTCATTTATGGGACTGGGGTGTGGCTTGTGTGGAGTGCTTGCCTAGCACATGTTCCCCAGCACTGGAGAAAGTGTAAAACAGAGGGCAGGGTGGACGGAGGGAGCACTTAAATCCAAGAACTGTTTTCTAAGGGTTATTTGCTCCCTCTTCTTCCCATTCACCTCTGACCTTGACACCCACCTGTCTACAGAAAATGGTTACCATGAGTCCTTGGTGACCAAGCCAGTGGACTGCACTTTCCTGGGCTCATCCCCTAGCCCTGTTGTCAGGTACAACCTTGTACCTCACTTTCTTAGCTCCTATGACACCCCCCCTTCCACCCTCGATCCTCTGTAGACCACTCCTCCAATGCCATTCCAGCACTGGTCTACTGTACTAATTCTGCTGCTTGACCCACCCCAGATTCTGGGTCTTTGGGACTTTGAATCTATCTAAGCATGTACTGAAAAGCTCCACCTAGTGGTCCTACAGACCCATGTGGCCAAAACCAAACCCCCATCCCAGACTATTCCCAGCCAGTGGCACCCATAGTCATCCCACCTCTCCAGCTAGGAGCCCCTAAATATCTTTTCAACTTGTATCTTCCCTTATCAGCTGTTTGCAGGCCTCCCACAGTCACTCTAGCCCCTGCAAAGCCAGCCTCCTCCATCTTCCAAAAGGCCTCCTGCTACAGTTGAGGTCTGGCTTGAGTGTTAATCCCCACCAGCAGGTATTAAAGGTGGAAGCTTCATCTGGCAGGGGCGTTAAGAGATCAGGCTGTTAGAGGGGATGAGGACTAGTAAAGTCATCAGGGAGGCGCCCCTGTGATGGAATTCTACCAGCTCTTTAAGAGGGAGACCAGAAGAGACAGTGATGCCCTGCACTATCTCAGGACAGTGCCAGCAAGATGGTCATCACCAGCTGTAGCTGCTCCAGAACTGTGAGCCAAAATAAACCTCCCTTCTGTGTAAGACCCCCTTACACAGAAGGACTGACTTACTTTCTAAAAATGAAAGCCAAGCCATGCTGCCTCGGAGCCCCTGGGCCCCTGGAGGAGAAAGCCCCTATCATTCAGTGGGGCGTGGGGAAGCCTGAATCGGCCCCTGTAGCTTCCCAGTTTCACCACTTTCCTCCACCTGTCTGGCACTTTATGCTCCGGCAATGCCAGGTTCTTCACTCCCACACCCACACCTGCTGCTTTAGACCTGCATGCCTCTATTCAGGCTGCCCTTCCTGATCAGACCCTGCACCTCTGTTTCTAAGACATGGGCACTGAACCCCTACGGCTGTCAAAAAAAAGATGGTGGCATCCTCATCCTTCAGGTTCCATGCGGGGAGAGGAAGATCCAAAATCCTACTTCAAGGCCCGGGTCCTTTGCACTATACCATCTTCCTTCAGATGATACAATGACAGATTCTGCACAAGTTGTCCCCTCCTATACTTATAATCAGTAATCACAAAGTGGAAGAATTACATCAATGACCTGAAGAGTCTTTCATCTTCCAAAATCCTCAAGGTTTAGGCCAAGAAAGGTCTCACAGACATGAAGATACACAAGAGATCTTTTTCTAACTTAACAAGCCTTTTTTGACTTTGAAGCAAGAGACTTTTTTTTTAAAGTGTCCAACACGTAAGTAACTTCAGTTTGCAAGATTAATCTTTCTTTTTAAAAAGCCAGCCTGAATTTCTCCAGGTGTTGAAAATGGATGTGGATCCTTGGTGGAGAGAGTCAGGCAGAAGGTAATTTTCTTCTCACCAGCTGCCAATGTGAGTGCTGGCACTTCGGAGCACACACACAACACACCTACCCTGTGGCAATGATGTCAGCCAGCTGTGGGGTGTTAGGTGCGATTTTGATGGTGACTGTTTCAAAGTAGAGATGCTCTTTCTGAGCATGGATGGTATATGTCCCTGTTGCTATGTTCTCTAGGCGGAAAGAGCCGTCAGCTTTGGTTTTGACTGTGAAACAAAAACACATGAACAAAAAGATGAGTCAAAACCCACTGCACAGCCCAACATGTACACAAAAATACGTGAGACAAAAAGCCAGCCTATTTTCATAACGTCATTGACATTTGGTTCCTTCCACTTCTCTCTATGGTCTCAACTTAGCCCTTCAAGCAGGCCAGGAGCCACCATGACTGCCCACCTTTGATCTGATTGTTCAGAGTGACCACGGCCTCCGGGACACCTTCTCCTTCAGGTCCATTCAAGACCCTCCCAGTGACAGAGAATCCCATGACGTGGAACACGGGCTAGAAATGAAGATGGGGAAGAGGTGCTCAGGTGCCTGGGCCACCAAGACCACCTCCTGCCCTGCACACCATCGCTTCCCAATCCGCCCAGGCCTGCCACCTTCTCCCAGCCCACATGCTAGCCAGGATCCCTCTCACTTCCCCATGTCTGTCTTCTCTGTCACCTTCCCAACACATGGATGGCTGTCAAAGTTGAATAAAAAAGACCTGCAGACTCACTTCCCAATTCCAGGCCACTGCCTCCAGCTTGTGAAAGCTTCCCCAGCCTCACCCTCTTCTGCTCCTCCGGCTCCAGACACCACATGCTTTGGTGAATCCCACCTCCCTCGGTCTCCCAAGTGCAAACCACATCAACACCTTGGACCCTTGCCCTGGCCCTCCAATATCAGCCTATCCAGTGCTTCCCCTAAACAAAGTCAAGTGTCCTCACCTGACTTTCCCCCAAGCCAGAACCCAGGCCCTGTCTGGGCTCCACCAGCCCACCCCAGGGCAGTGCTCACCACAGTCCTACACTTTGTCTGACTGGTCTGTGTCCTGCTCACTGAGCAGGCCTGAGCTCTCCTTGCAGGCACTGAGACCCCATCCCTCTGACTGTTGGTCCCTGAAGTTCATCCCTGCTTACCATTATTTTCATCAGACTCACCAGCTCTGAAATGCCCTGGCTTGAGTTCCTATAGTGTCTCTCTCCCACTAGAATGTAAGCTCCACGCAAAGGAGGACCTTTTCTGCCTTAGCTACCTGGTACCCAGTAGGCATTCAAATGCACTGAGTCCTGAGTGAGCAAGTGCATGCATCTGAAAGAGAGCCTCATAAAGTAAAATGGCTTCCTTTTTATCAGACGCTCTTTCTTGATCCTCTCCATTTGTCCTTTGTCCCCCGGTGCTAGACAGTGCTCTGCCACTGAGCTACTCCCCAAGCCATCTGCCCACTTATTAATTCATATACATACCCAATTAAGCTTTTTACCAAGCACTTACTACACACCAGGCATAAAGACATGTCTGCGAACAGTAAAGGTCAACACACTGATGGTCCTGACTCCATGGAACTTCCAGGCCATTGCTTCTTATTCATTGCTGCTTATGAACTTGAATGTGGCCATGATCTGGCCTGTCTTTCCCTCACCCTGCGCCTTCCCTGCAAAGCCCTTGGAGGCAGGTGAAGACTTCATCTTCTCCCCTCCCGTTCCCCTGCAGCACACGGAATAGGCAAGGGCTTTCCTGAATCTTAAAGCGCACAGCCAGCTCCCCAACAGACCTGTGACCTCAGCACGCGCAGCACGCTTACGTTATTTTCACAGTGCTCTCAAAGACCACATCCAAAGAAAACTACTGCAACACAGTTTTCCTAACTCTAACACCATAGTCCATTTGGGAAGGGCTGATACTTTCTTTGGGGATCTGTTTTAGCTAACAAATTTTCTACAGTAACTACTTTCTATTTCTGTAACTAGAGACAACATAAGTATGATGAAAAATACATTTACTCTCTCTTTGGGGGGCTAGGGAGCTTATCAGGCCAACTACTACATGTCCCATTCCTGTCACCGTGGTCCAAGCTGTGCCGGCTCTCACATGCTTTACTGGCTTAGCCTCCTCGCAGGTCCCCAGCTGCCACCCTGGCCCCTTGCAAACTTTCCTCAGCATAGCAGCCAGAGGAATACACCTCTCCTCTGCTTAGAACTTTCTCGTGGTACCAATTCTCACCATAGTAAGGAGCCTACCAGTCCATGCACAAGCCACACCATCACCTCATTGACCCTGTCTCCTCATTCTCTCCACTCCAGCCAGCCTGGCCTTCAACTCTCCAGGCACACTCCTGCTTCAGGACCTTTGCACTTGCCATTCCCTGTCTGTGATACTCTTCACTCTTTCTTCCCCTTCAGATTGTTGCTCAGGTGTCACCTTTATAATGACACAAGACTCAGTCCCTGCCTCCACCTGAACTGCACAACCTTCTTTCTTGCTTTATTTTTCCAGAGGACACTTATCATCTTCTAGTACACTTTTTTATCTACACATGTACTAACTCCATCATTAGAACAGGAGTTCCATAAGGACAGGAACAATTGCTTCTTTTGGTCACTGCTGTATCCCCAGCCCTGGAATGCATTCAAAATGTATACCACTGGCACTCAATAATTAATAAATCTCATTGGATGAAGTAGCTCCAACAAGAAACTCAGTTTTCTAAGTTGAAGACATTAGGCAAGAGAGACAAGGCATCAGGCTAAGGGAGAATGCAGTGAGAATCCATTTTTTCCAATGGCCGTTTTGGATGAAATACAGCTGGGTTTTTTTGTTGTTATTGTTTAAAACATATTTGCAACACTTGTGCCCAGCAGTGGGAACTCAACATCTGCTCTCCAGAACACAGGGTGACTCACCTCAATCCTCAGGCTGTCATGTTCCACAGTGAAGTCAAGTCTGGAAGGCGCCACGTCGAAGGTGATCCTCTCACCTCTGTAGAACGGAACCTGGAAGGAAGAGTATGCTGGTTACAGAGAACCAATAACACAATTCCACCATCAATGTTTGCCATCCATCTAGCAGCCATAAATGATGGTGGGGCAGGGGGCAAGACAAGCCATGAGAAACACAAAGGCCATGACCAATTTTTAACATAGGAAGCCCTGCACTTTCTGCAGTGTGGGCAACACAGGCTGAGCCTTGCTGTCCAAGATGCTTGGGAGCAGAAGTGATCTGCACTGCAGAATGTTGGAATATGTATATATATATATATATACATATGGGGGTGGGGCCCAGACCTAAACAGGAAACCCACCTGTGTGTCACATACACCTTACAAACACCACCTGGGCTGATGGTAATCTTATATTACATTTTTAATCATTTTGTACATGAAATAAAGCTTCATGGCCTGGGGTTTTCCATGGTGGCATTGGGGTGGTCCTCAGGGAGCTTCAGATTTTAGAGCATTGCAGATTTTAGAACCTCAGCTTAGAGATGATAAACCTGTGTCTGCTAAACAGTATTCAGGGAAGAGCAGACCAAGCATCTAGTCCTTTAACACCTGTATTGGATTGGATCTGAAATGTCTCCCAAAGCCTAAGAGCTAAAGGCCTGGTAACCAGCCTATCGTGCTGCGGGGGTCTGTAGGAGGTGGGGCCTAGTGAAAGGAAGTTAGGTGACTGGGGACTGTGCCCTTGAAGGGAATGTCAGGACCCTGGGCCTCTCCTCTTGCCCTGTGTGTGCTTGCCCAGCACCATGAGGTAGACAGGTTTCCTCTGTCGCACGTTCTCGCCATGACGTTCTGCCTCACCACAGGCCCAAAAGCAATGGGGTCAACTAGCCATGGAGTAAAGCAATGAGCCAAAATAAACCTTTCTGGGTCGATGTCTCTCTGAAATCACAGTGAGGGAAAGCTGACTGACATAGCACCCAAATGGCACTGCTCTGAAAACAAACAGAGCGGGAGTCAGCTTCACTTACCACCGTGTAGGCCCCGCTCGGCAGGGAGTGGAAGGAGAAGAATCCGTCCTCTTCGGAAACTGCATAGCACAGATACACCAGGCTCTCATCTTGGGGCTGGAACCCTGGTACTGGCGACACATTGCAGCCCAGGACATCCTATGCCAGGGTGGAGGGAAACAGACTTCCTTTTTCACTCACATGTTCCAATTACCACCAAATGGCCACACCAGAGGGCAGGTCAGTTCTACAAGTTTTATTTCAATACATGTATTTCTGAACTCTCTGGCACACTTACTCATAGGAAAAGACCAAAACTCTTTACTCTCAGGCTAAAAAGTTAACATTGGCCCAGTTTTCTTAGGAAAAATGATAAGACTGTCCTTCCTGACAATAGGTCACCATCTTCCAGGTAAGGCAATAGTGACTCAGGAAGGCAGAGTGACTGGCCCAAGGTCTGGCAACTGGTAAGAGGCATTTGTTTGAACCTGAGTTCATTTGATGTCAAAACATGTGCGCTGGCTGGGCACAGTTGTTCATACCCATAATCCCAGTTACTTGGGTAAAAAGCATGAGATTCTCACTATCTGAAAAATAACTAAAGCAAAAAGGGCTGGAGGCATAGCTCAAATTCGAACCCTGAGTTCAAACTCCAGTACCACCACCACCACTACCACCAAAAAAAAAAAAAAAAAAAAAGCCTGCATACTTTCCAAACTCTGTGCCTGCCCATGTAGACATTCAGCTTCTTGTGGTCAACAGAGACACACACACACTTTCCACAGCACCCACCCAACCTGGCTCGCTCCTTACTCTCCTGTGCTCACCTCTTTGGTCACTAAAGAAGAAAAGAGAAGAAACTTCACTCCTTTCATGGGTTCCCCATCACTCCGCACAGAGCCAGACACGTTGTAGCCAGCAACTATGAGGGGACCAGCAGCATTGGCATTGGAGTTGGTTACACGCACCGTGGTGCTCGCCTACAAAAGAAAAAGGAAAAGGGGTCATTATCCCAACTTCTAAGAGCAGGTTTCTCTTTTTTTTTTTTTTTCCCTTTTTTCCTAAGTAAAAATAAATACTTTGTTATTTTAATTTTTTTAGAAATCAAAATTTATGTGATATTTCAAATATTTATAAACCCTTTAGATATTTTTTAAAAGAATATTAATATCTCAACTTTTGATTAAAATTTCACATACAAAGAAACATACACAAGTTATAAATGCTAAAAGAATAAATTCGAATCCTAAAAAGAGTGATTCCATTAGCATTTCGTTGTTAGTTACTTCATACATTTATTTGACACATAAAACCATAGGAAGCCTTTTCCTTTCTTTCTTAAAAGTAAAGAGTTTTCACTGGTTACAATAGAATTAAAATAATTTATGTAGGAGAAGAACAAATCTAAATACTTTTATTTTGAGAAAAAAAAATAAAACCAGAATATTCATTTCTCATTTCTATCCATTCAAGTCACAGTCCCCACTATTTTGACAAGACTCTACAGAAGAAGAAATATCTTCTTATAAGAATTATGAATCAGGCACTGTGGCTCACACCTATAATCTTAGCTACTTGGGAGGCTGAGATCAGGTGGATCTTGGTTCAAAGCCAGCCCAGGAAAATAGTTCTTGAGACCCCCATCTCCAAAACAACTAGAACAAAATGGACTGGAGGTGTGGCTCAAGCAGCAGACTGCCTGCTTTGCAAGTGTGAAACCCTGAGTTCAAACCCCAGTCCCACCAAAAAAAAACAAAACAAAGAAAATATAAAGAATACTTTTATATGCTCTCACCAGGTAAAGAAACATAAGAGCAGAAGATTGGTATGGTAGTACACACCTACAATCCCAGCACTTGGGAAGCTGAGATAAGGAACATCACAAGTTCCAAGCCCACCTGGGCTACATAGCAAGCCTGAGGCCAGCCTGGACTACACAGTGAGACACTGTCTCAAAAACAAACTAACAAACAAGGGCTGGTGAAGTGGCTCAAGTGGTAGAATGCCTACCTAGCAAGCACAAGGTCCTGAGTTCAAACCCCAGTACCACCAAAAAAATCCCAACCAAAAACAAACAAGACCGAGGAGTCCCCCATCTCCCTTTCTCCTTTCATAGCTATCAGCATCACCATGAACGTGGCTTTCTCACTTGTGTACATAAGGCTGTATCCACAAGTGTATCATCATGAGCGCTGGCAATCCTGTCTCCTCCCCTCTACATTTGTAGTCACACTGCTCCGCATAGATCTGGCTCACTCGGCAAGGCTGGCATACAGGATTCCCACTGTGCTCTTAATGGGCATTTAGGTTATTTACAAGTTTACTACTACAAACAAAACTGCAATAAACACTCCTACACATCTCCTTCAGCACATACAACCGTCTCTAGACTGCGTGGTGAGTTTATAGATTTCTGTTGCAGACTGAAAAGGAACAACAGATATGTCTCGTTGCGTGTCTCTGGTGTTGACTTAGCTCAAAATAGGGACAGCTCATAACAGCATTATTTCACGCAAGGAAGAAAACACTGTCACCAACAACGGAACCCAACCACACCTGGGAATGTCACCTCAGAAACACATCATTGGCTACAACCATGGCTCTTCATCGACTTCTGGTGAAGCCATACATTCATGTCACATCCTAAATTCAAAATGCCACAACTGTCTCCAGACTTGCACATTACTGGCACGGCTGGAGACACAGTTCAAGTACTCACCTCTTTCAAGGCCCAGGTCGGATGAGTCGCGAGGATTTCATAGTCACCAGGAAGGACTTTAAAAAATGCAAACCTAAGAGACACGAAGGACCATGTCATTTCCTCAACCACCTGAGCAGTTCTGATTTTATTTATTTATTTATGGTGCTGGGGTTTGGACTCAGGGCCTATACCTTGAGTCACTCCACCAGCCCTTTTTTGTGAAGGGTTTTTCAAGACAGGGTCTCACAAACTATTTGCCCAGGCTGGCTTCGAACCTCAATCATCCTGATCTCTGCCTCCTGAGTAGCTAGGATTACACGCGTGAGCCACCGGTGCCCAGCTCAGTTTTGATTTTATGACAAATAATGACAGCACAAGAAAAAGTCTGAATTCTCGCACATGTGCCATTAGGAGTTAAATGGCCAAGAAGAAAATTCAATTCTTCCCTGTACGACCCACATCAAAGGGTGCCTGCTGAGCACTCACTGTGCTCCAGGAAGGGTGTCCCCAGGAGAGGGCTGCGGGTCCCCGAAACTCCAGGATTCGGGCAGAAAACCATCTCTGGAGCTCAGCCACAGAACACTCAGCTGGGTTCAAGACTCAGCTGGGTTCAAGAGGCACAAACAGGCAAGGAGAAGGGAGAGGAGGGAGGAGTCCTGTGTAAAGAGGACAGACCGCAGTTTGAGGCAGATGCTGACACAAGGACACTGAGGATATGGGTACAGCAAATGTCAAGCTTTGAATCCCACACAGGTTAGATCTGTTATGTGAAGCAAACCAAAGCCATGCTGGGCTCTGTGCAAAGCTACTACGATGAAGCCCTCAGGATGAGAGACTCAAGCGGCTATGGGTAAACTGAAACCACAATCCACAGAGCCCAGGCTGCAGATGCTACCACCAGGATCCTGGCATATTACTCTGTAACCCTGAAAGGCACCTGACAATGACAGGCTAATTCTAGTGAAGTGATCTGTAAGCAGCATTCAATTCTCCTTCCACAAGGGTGTTTTACCCTATTAGATATGCCTTTAATAACTGGATGGGGCTTTGAAACACCTTAAATCACAATAAAATTGAAATTGCTGCTGGCTTTCGGTCTTACTAACATTTAGGCTCTACTTCCATTGTGTTCCAGCACTGAGTACCAGTCACTGTCTCAGCGCAGATGAAAGGGACTCAGAAAGATCAAGTTGCTGTTTCTGCATAGTCAGAAACAAACTACAAGGTGGGCATCTCCAATCCAAAAAATCCAAAATCCGAAATGCTCCAAAATACAAGACTTTTTGAGTGCCAACGTGATGTCACAGTGGAAAATTCCACACCATGAAACTTCGTTTCACGTACAAAATTATCTAAAATACTATGTAAGATTACCTTCAGCCCATGTATGAGGTAGATAAGCAACATAAATGCATTTCATCTTTACATCTGGGTCCCATACTCAAGACACTGTATTATGTTGTAGTTTAAATATGAAATGTCCCTCAGAGGACATTTGATGGCTTGGTCCCAGATGCAATGCTCAGAGGTAGGGCTTTTGGATCCTCAGAGCTCTGAACTCATCAATAGATTCATCCATTGATGGATTTATAATTGCACTATGAGGGGGGCCAATTGGAAGGAGTGGATCATCTTGTTCCCAGCCTCTTCCTTTGTCTCTCTCTGTTTGCTGGGTGCCATGAAGTGAGCAGCTTCTCTCTGCTACCCTCTTCCATCATGAGGTATGGTGCCCCAAACACAAAGCCCCAAAACACAGGGCCAAACAACTATGGACTGCAACTGTGAGCCAAAATAAATCTTTTCTCCCTTGAGATGTTTACATAAAGTATTCTGTCATAGCAACAAGAAACTAACATGCACATACATGAAAATATTCCAAAATCTGAAAAATTCCACAATCCAAAACAGTTCTGGTCCCAGGTATTTTGGATGAGGGATACTCAATCTGTTCTAAAACAAAAATCACAGTTCCATGTTCCTTCTACAGACCAAGACTGGAGAGGCACCAATCGAGTAGAAATAAATGTTATTCAAATGAAAACAAATTTCAATCATAATTTTTAAATTAGATAACTTACAAACTTACAATAAACCTCTTTTTCCCACCCAGTCAGTTTTGTGCACTGAAGTAGTTAGTAATGATCTGAATGTTTTCAAAATTAGTGCTTTGAACTATCCTGGCAGTAATCTTGGCACATCTGTTAACATTTACCACTCAACTGTACAGATCCATTAAATAAGAGCTGTAAACTCCACTCGGGAAGGTTAATTAAATAATCATCATTTCTGACTACAAAACAGTTTGATGGCAGTAGTGACAGAATGATGTTTTTCAATCCTAACCGAGCTAACCTACATTGAGCAAACATTTATTAAGCACGTATTTCATGTCAGACAGTTTGAAACAATATTAATTTAATCTTCCCAGTCACCTTACAGGGAGGCTCCACAATTATCTTCATTTACAAATGAGGTACAGAGAGTTAAGTAACTTATCCCAGGTCAAACAGCAAACAGGGAAGCCAGGATTCAAACCAGGCACTGGGCTCCAAAGCCAGCCCCATGGTTAAATAAAGGCTACTAAGCCCCCAGCCTGAAGAAGCTACAGCTGATATTAAGTCATCCCACTGATACCAAGGGTCAAATGACCTCCATGTCACAGAGGAGGAACTTGGGGCTCTGGAGGGCATGAACTTGCCGGAAGCTAAGAGGCTGAATCAGAATCTGTACACAGGTGACCTAAACCCACAGCTCCCCCACTCCGTCCCAGCCCACCTCTAGCTGCAAAGCTGGCCACCAGGTCACCCACCACTCACTTTCCGCCTGGCTGCGTGACTGTGGACTGGATCTTTGCTTCAGTGCCAGTGCTCCTGAGGGACACCTGAACTCCTGCGGGGCCCAGGGGCTGCCCTTTGCTGAGGACCTGTGTGGACAAGGAGGTTAGGACGGCAGGCAGAAGGCTCTCTCCTCCTGAGGTGCTCCATTCCTGTTCCTGACCCCAGGAGGCATCTAGAACCTTCTTTGAAAACAGGATGTACATCATGGAACCCTTTCCAAGGTGAAGTGGAGTACAGACCATAAAATTACATTCTACACCACTGAACCTAAGGCACCATCAGTGAAAGAAGTACTGTGTGTCACAAACCACCAAGAAAGAAAATGTTACCCCAGATCCCCACCTCCAAGAAGAGCTCACACCAGAGCAGGGCCTGAGGGCCTCGCTGTGAATGCACAGGGGAAATTAGCCACTGTGGAGTCCATGTCAGCCAGGACATCCACACATCCAACACGGGGCAGCAGAAGGAGAAGGAAATAAAACGCTTTGCTGAGACTCTCAATTGGGAGCAGGCGCTCACATAGGGTGGCACCCCAAATTCACACTCCCGGGGTGCTCCAGGATGCCACAGAGTTTAGATTTCACAATGAAACATCTTTGAGTGGAGCAGAGCACACACAAAGCCTTCTCTGAGGAATGTGACCAGACAGGCCCAGCGAGGACAACACACCCAGGGTCCTGGGAGCACACTCTTCTGACCACATCCCTACCAAAGGCTGGTCCTGCCATGTAGACTCTCACAGCAGGCGATGGCCAGCACCCCAAACCTGACTCCTAGAAGCACCCACCGTTCCACACACCACAGGGGGCACGGGCCACAGACCCCTTGGCTTATCTAGGGTCACATGCCTTTTTAACGGTAAGGAGACCTCATGTATGTTACAGAAAGACAGCAGCCAAACCTTTCCATTCACAGAGAAGCCTGTGAACACGAAGTTGATGTCCCCACCCTTGGTGCAGATATCGCTCACGCCATCCACATACAGCTCTACGTTCGTCGGCTCTGGGGAATGAAGTGGGGAGGGGAGAGGAGATGGGGTGCAAGTCACAGGGGCAGTTTTAGTTCTGGGATACAGCGAGACTAAAACACAGTTTATGGCTAGGTTTCTCTATGTATTTATTTTTGAACACTTAATATTTGCATGATTCAAAATCCAAAAGTACAAGTTATGCAGGGAAAAGTCTCCCTCCCACCCCATTCCCTGTTACCTGCTTTTCCATCTCAGAGGGGACCATCAGTGTGCAGAACACAAATGGTTTAAAAACAGTCTTTCCACCAAGTTCTATCTTGGACTCCACTGAAAATCCACTGTTTAGTTTATTCAGTGCTCACCACGGACCAGGCACAAGCTGAGTACATTCAATCCTCACAACTATCTTAGATCATTATTGAGGGGTAAACTGAGGCATGGAGAGGGGAAAGGATCTCTCTGGAGTGACAGGCTACAATCCAACCTCCCAAAGTGGGCTACAGATCTGTCCCCTGACCAAAGACTTGAATTCAACCATGGTAGGCTAGGATGATAAACTCCAATGCCACTGGAGGTTTGTGGGAAAGAAGTGGGCAGAGCAGGCCGTGGGGACAATGATAAATAGAAAGGGACAACCATTACACAGTTGCCAACTACTGCCACATGGCTCAAGTTGGCACGGCTTCCTGCTTCTCACAGCACTGAAAATATGAATGTCCAGATTTTTCAATATTAGCAAATAATTCACTTTTCTGAGAAAACAGAAGAGTTCCTCATAGCAAGGGTTAAAGTAGAGTTTATAAAAAGTTAGGAAGAGGCTGGGGACATAGCAGTGATAGAGCACTCACCTAGCACATATGAGGCCCTGAGTTTGATCCCCAGAACCGCCAAAAGACCAAAAAAAAAAAAGGTGGCCTTTAACTCTTGATTCTCCGGCCTTTGCCTCCTGAGTGCTAGGATTATAGACATATGCTACCATGCCTGGTCTTGATAAGCTTTTTTATTGAATTATAACACACTTGTAGATCAGTGCACTAAGAATAACAGTATGCCTGTGTGAATTTTCTTGTTTTTTCACTTGCTGAATTTTCACAAAGTGTGCACGCTCATGTAACTGCCACCCAGACAATGAGATAGGACTTTATCAGCCCCCAGAATCACCCCTTCCCAGCACTCATTAACCCTCCTGCCCTACCCACAGGTGACCACCCCCAATCTTCTATAATTGCATGTGTGTTCATTAGTTTTGAACTTGATATACATATATGCTGTTTCTTTCAGTTCTTCATGAGATCCATCTGTACTGTGTGTGACTCTGGTTCATTCTCTTTGTGGTACAGAATTCTTATGTGTAAATATAAAATAATGAAGCCATTGTACTGTTGGTAGACATTTGAGTCACCTCTGATTTCAGTCCTGTGAACATTCTTGTACATATTGTTTGGTACTTGCGTATTTGCAGGGTTTTTTCTTTTTTTCTTTTTTTTGGTGGCACTGGGGTTTGAACTCAGGGCCTCACACTTGCTAGGCAGGTGCTTTACCACTTGAGCCACTCCACCAGCCCTTTTCTGTGTTGAGTTTTTTTGAGACAGGGTCTCGTGAACTATTTGCCCAGGCTGGCTTCGAACCATGATCCTCCTGATCTCTGTCTTCCGAGTAGCTAGGATTATAGGCGTGAGCCACTTGCACCCAGCTGCTTTTTCTTTTTTTCAGTTCTGGGGATTGAACTCAAATGGAGTTTGCTCCCAGTCCTTTTGGTTTTAATGTATTTTTAAGATAGGGTCTGACACTTTGGTCCAGCTGGCAATCCTCCTGTCTCTGCCTCCTGAGTAGCTGGGATCACAAGTATGTACTACAAGTCTGACCGTTTGCATCTTTTTGAATGTATGCCAGGAGTGAAATTCCTGGGTGACAGAATTTATATACACTCAGCTTCAGCAAATATTTCTAAACACCCAGAGTGGATGTGCAGTTCGTGCTTTGCTAGCAGAGTACGATAATTCTGGTCACTTCAGGGCTGGCCAGCACTTGGAATGGTGTCTTCTTTGTTTTTGCTGCTCTGGTGGGTGGGAAGGGGGATATGGTAGTGTCTTGGTGGTTTTGGTCATATTTCTCTCATGGCTGATGAGATTGGACCCTTTTTCATGTTTGTATTCATCATTTGACCAGCCTCTTTTGTGAGACACCTGTTCAAGTCTTTTGTCCTTTTTTTTTTTTTTCTAAAGAACTTCCTCCTAGCCAGGCACTGGTGGCTCACTCCTGTAATCCTAGCTACTCAGGAAGCAGAGATCAGGAGGATATCGGTTCAAAGCCAGCATGAACAAATATCTCAAAAAAACCCTTCGCACAAAAGGGCTGGTCTAGTGGCTCAAGGTGTAGGCCCTGAGTTCAAACCCCAGTACTCCAGAAAAAAAAAAAGAATTAAATGCCAACCTGAGATACTGAGCTCGAGGCCAGCCTGTAATACATGTCTCAAGAAGCAAAAACAAAACAAAAGCCCTGAGGGTGCTAAAACAGAAGCCATCCTGGACAGGAAAAGTCCCCACTCTTGGTTCCTATACCCTTCTACAGTTTCTATTCTAGAAACTGCAAAGGCAAGTTTCTAGAATGAGGTGCAGCACAGGAAAAGATGCCTATTTTAAGAAAGACAACAGACAGCCTTTAAGGTAGATCTAACGTAAAGCCAAACTAAAGTGACAAGGAGGAAAAAAAAAAAAAAACTCTTCCCTACTAAACTGCCTGGACAAACTGCCACTAAGTCAATATTGTGAACATCACATCTGGTTGTTTAGCTAACTTACCAAAACTCCACCCTAGGGGAGGCTCAATCTTCAGAATGAAATCCCCCTAAAAGGAAAAACAATGAGCATCAAAGACGTGAAGCAGATGGCCCTGGATTAACGTAGTCCAGTGCCACGCATGATCTAAACTGTTACTCCTGAAATGATGTTCTCCTCGTCAGTGCAAAGGGTTGGCATGCATCCTTACGAACTAAAATTTCTTTTTTTTTTTTTGGCAGTACTGGATTTGAACTCAGGGCCTTTACTTGCTAGGTAGGTGCTCCATCACTTGAACCACTCCCCAATCCTTTTTTACTTTTAGTTAATTTTTGAGATAGGGTCTTGCTGAATTTACGCCCAGGCCATCCTGGACCACAATCCTCCTATTTGTGCTTCCCCATGTAGCTGGGGATGACAGGAGTGCAATACTGCACCCGGCCATTGGTTGAGATAGGGTCTCTCAAACTATTTGCCCAGCCTGGCCTCCAACCACACTGGTCCCAATCTCCACCTCCTGAGTAGCTAAGATACAAGGCATGAGTCACATAACCTGGCCTAAAATTTCTTAAAGCTACGTTTGACTCCTCAATCCTTGTTTCTTGAGCTTGATATTAATAGATAATATAGATAAAAATAGTTAAGTAGTAAATTAATCCTACACAATGTGTATCAAAGGAATATCTATTGTTGGGCTGTAAGTAATCATTTAAAAATTGAGAAAAGCCTAGGTATTCATAAATAGAGAAGGGGTTAAGTGACCTACAGTCTTGGATTTAACTCTGACATTCAATAAAAAGGCAGCAATAAGCCGTGCATAGCAGCTCACACCTGTAATCCCAATGACTTGGGAGATGGAGGTAGAGAATCTTGGTCATTAGCTAGCCCCAGACAAAAGCACGAGATCCAGTCCAGTGCAGTGGCTCAAACCTGTAATCCTAGCTACTTGGGAGACAGAGATCAGGAGGATCAAGGTTTGAGGCCTGTCTGGGCAAAAAGTTCACTAGACCCCATCTCAACTAATAAGCTGGGCGTGATAGTGTGCACCTGTCATCCCAGCTACAGTGGGAAGCATAAACAGGAGGACTGTCGTCTGGCTGGCCTAAGCATAAAGTGAGACCCTATCTCAAAAATAATCAAAAGCAAAAAAAAAAGGTTGGGGACATGGCTCAAGTAGTAGAGTGCCTGTCCAGCAAGCACAAGGTCTGAGTTTAAACCCTGGTACTGCCAAGAGGAAAAAAAAAAAAAAAAAAGGCAGCAATAGATGTATACAGACTAATATTAAAACATGGAAGGAAAAAAACCAGACTTTCCTGGGGTGATGCTTTTCACTGCCATATGGGAAAAACCAAATTGCAGAATAATGTCTACTGTCTGATTCTATTTATAAAAAAAAAAATTAAATCAAAACTATGCACATTGCCAGGTATGGTGGTGCACACCTATAATCCCAGCACTCAGGAGGCTGAGACAGGAGGATCTTGAGTTTGAGGTCAGCCTGGGCTACATAGTGAGACCCTGTCTAAAAAAAAATTAATCAATTGTGTATTTTGACAATTTTCACAACCTCCTATAAATCTGTATTTCCAAATAAAAAGGTGAAATATGGGGAGAATGAGCTTGTGGAAGTAGAGGTGAACATGGATATACATCTACACACGTTTGCATACGTGTACATACGTCTTTGTGGACGCCTGCATGACTGTAAGTAGAGAGAAAGCATCTGTTAAGATGCACACCAAAACCTTTACCAGAGGGGGTCACTGCAGAGAGGGGATGGGACTAGGGGGCAAAAGGGAATAAACTAACTCCATCCGATTCCAAACACCTGGATTTGGCGGGGTATTGGTACCTCACACCTGTAATTCTACTCACGAGGCAGAGATAGGGAGAACTGTGGTTCAAGGACAGCCCAGGAAAATAGTTCATGAAAACCTATCTCAAAAATACACACACAGAAAGGGGTTCCTGGAGTGGCTCAAGTGGTAGAGCGCCTGTCTTCTAAGCATGGAGCCATGAGTTCAAACCCCAGTACCACCACAAAAAAAAAAAAAAAAAAAAAGGACCTGGATTTGTCTTCACAGAGTCATGCTACTTTCATAACTTTTTAACAATATTAAAAATGTTTTTACAAGCTGCTCACACATTAAGGGTTCTATTAAGTCAGTCTCTTCACCTTAGAACTACTGGGGTCTCTGTGCTGTCCTACCCAGCACTGTGTTTAGCTCATTCCTGGCCTCTACTCACAAAGTTAACTGTGGTACCTTCCATAAGGAGACTGTCTACTGACATTGTCAAATGTCCTTGGGGACATGGAGACAACTGCATTCCACCCAACTAGCTGATAAGTTGTCTCCCTTGGAATCTGGCTAGCACTGCTGTATTCTACTGATTATTGACAAAACAAATGCAGACCAGCATGGTGGCACATGTCTGTAATCCCAGCACTTGGGAGGCTAAGGCAGGAGGGTCATGGGAACTCAAGGTCAGTCTGGGCTACATACTGAATTCCAGGCCAACCTAAGACATATAGCAAAATCTCAAGAGAAGGAAGCCTTTGCTGGAGTGGGGAAGGCCTTATTCTAGTTGGCACAGCCCTTGTGGACACACTAATTACTTTCCATTGTAAAAAACAAGCGGTGAAGACTGAAGTGGCCCCTCCTCTTACCTTATCATACAAGGGAATCATAAAGTAGCCATTGTTAGGGGCACAGTCTGTCTGGTATTTCAAAGTCCCATGCTTGGTGTACAGCTTTATCTGGAAAGGCAGGAAAGAATATGGAAGTCATGGTATGGCCTTTGAGAATTAAGCTCACAGGTTATGCCTGGATGCTTCCAATCAAAGAGCATTTGCTGAGGGCTGACACTATAGGCCAGCTAGTAACACTGAAATGTGAGACGGTCACCCCAAAATAATGACATCCAAACCTAATCTAAAGCCTATCCCAACAGCCTTGTTTTCAGTGCTTTTCAGTTTTAGCAGCCGTCTACTTTGTTCACAGCCGTTTCTGGGTCTAAAACAAACTTTCAGATTTCACTGTTAGTAGGGTGCGTATTAAAATGCAGGTTTCTGCCTGGCTCAAGTGGCAGAGCACCTGCCTAGCAAGCGTCAGGCCCTGAGTTCAAACCCCAGTACCACCAAAAAAAAAAATACAGATTTCTGAGCATCACCTCATTTTTCTCAAGTAGGGACAGGGGTGAGGATCTGGATTACTGGGGCCCAATGGTTCCATGTGCCTGGGAAAGCATTTACCCAGGACCTTCATTTTCTCTTTACTGCCACTCTCAGAGCAAAAATACATGAACAAGACAGGTAAAGAATGTGCCCCTAGAGGACTTTCCAAACCCCCTCCATCGTGAGCATTCGCGGACACAAAGTGTTCACCCAGTAAGATAAACTGGCAATATCTGGTGACCTTGGACAACTCATTTCCCCCCCAGAAGCTCCCTTTTTCCATTGATAAAAAGAGAGCCATTCCCCCTCAGCATGGTTAGACAGACTGACATTAATGCAGCCCACACTTTCAAAACAAAAGTGGTTTGTAACAATAGCTAGTATCACTCTGGAGAAAAAGGCATGATCACAGTCTGAATGCTAAGCAAATTCCCAATTCCCTAACCTCACCTGCATGGCTCAGTCACTCTGAGCCTCCGTTTCTATGTCTGTGAAAGGACATGGTTGGGTCTGATGACATCTAAAAGCCTGGCCTCTAAAATATGAGTGCTCTGTGACCAAGATTCAGAAATGACAGTGTTGACTCTTACCAGCTCAGATGTGCAAAGCAGCTACCTTACACCAGCACACTCGGGAAAGAAAAGTGTGAACTAACATGTAGACGGTAGCTCTTTGTGTGCAGTAACCAGGTAATGCTACGTGGCCTGGGACAGCACCTTGTTTACTCTCGGTACTCAATCAATACAAAACACATTTGTTCCAGGCCATGAAGAAATTCAGATGCATGCACTGAAAGCAAGGATTGGAAATTCACCAGACTGGAGAGCGAGCAGGCCATCCCAATGTGCATTCCTCTACAGGGTTGAGCACCTCGAAACCCAAGCCATGCTCTGCAGCCCAGAGATTAGCTGGTTATCCAGAGAAATCAGAAATCCGGTTTATAATGCTAAGTTTCCTGAGTGCTAAAGTATTAGCACCTGATATGATTTTTCCTTTGAACAGTACAGGGCACTGCGAAGGAACAGAATGTCAATTTCCAGCAAGTAGGGATTTTGTTTTGCTCTGCCCCATCTGAGAAAGGCCTCACTATATGACCAAGCTCCATAAGTAGTTGTCAACTGAATGAATCGGATGCAAAAACACCCAGAAGGGAAGAAGGCTGCAGAGAGTGAGGGTCACTGAAGTGGAACACGACATAATCAAGAAATGACTGTGTCCTCATTTACGTGTCTCTCATAAAGTAGACTGGGACACAGGGTGGCCACATAAACCTACATCAAGTTTATACATATGAAATGTCTGATTTCATAATCAGGAATTACGAAAGAACGAGCAGGTCCTCAGCCACCTGGACAGGCAGGCCTAGGGCTCAAGGAACACACTTCACAATGGAGCAAAAACCTGCTCTCTGTTGTCAAGGTCACTATTAGTCCTGGGTGGTTGAGGGGAATGTCAGCCCCTGGCTGCCTTCCCCTTCCTCCCAGAGCCCCAGGAAACTACAGATTGCAAAAGACTTTCCAAGGCAGACTCTGAAATGCTCTGTGCCTGCAAACCCAGGGAGTGGCATGCGTACTTGGCAACATGTCTCCAACGATTCTAGGAGCCTTTAAGACTAAAACAGGTAGATGGGCAGAGGACAGCTGGGCCTTGAAATGAAAACCAATTCTCTTCATTAAGAAATCATGGTGGGCTGGTGGAGTGGCTCAAGCCATAGAGCGCCTGCCTAGTAAGCCTGAGGCCCTGAGTTCAAACCTCAGTGCCGCCAAAAAGAAAAAAAAAAGAGAGAGAGGGAGAGCTTCCCTCCCAAGACCATCCTACAGGTACAAAAACTCGGACTTGGAGCACTGCCAGAGCAAGGGGATGGTGGGGTGTGAGACAGACATTAAACCCTCTCCCAATCCTTAGTAACATGCCTTGTAGAATCCTGGGGTTCAGCCCTTTACTGCCAGCACTGGGGCAGCTCAGAGGCCTTCAGATGGCCTTTGGGGTCCTGTGCCCCAGCCCCTTACTTTAGCATCTCCCTGCCTCTTCCTTTTCCTCTCAAATCACCTCCTGGGTACCTGCCCTTTGCCTCTTCCCTTTCCCTTCCCTTCTCCCACAAATCATCAGTCCCCTCCTGAAATGAGGGGTCTCTCATTTCACCTCTGGGTCCCTCCCATCCACCCTGACAAGTGTCCCAGGCCCCTACCTCCATCCCTACCCCCCTCTTCTCAAAAGCCTTCTGGGTCATAATCCCACTGGGCTGATATATTTAATAGAGCTTTCCAACTTAAATAATAATTATTTTAAAAAAAGACACAAATCTCTGGTGTCACTCCAAGAGCTAATCAGGATGGCAATCAGGGCAGCTGGCAACTCCATTTTCCGAGGGAAAGAGGGGAGGAGGGGACAAGCACCCAGCCCCCAGAGGTCCCAGTAATGATCACTGAGTCAGGGTCTATGGGATGGGAATGGGTCCTAATTAAAAGCACTCCAGGGGGTGGAAGTCAGAAAAACAATGGAGCAGAGGGCCTGGGTTTTGGAGTTTGGGGGACTAAAGTGTGGTTTCCAGGTTTTGCAATATGGGTTCGGAGAGATCTGAGTTCCAGAGGGTCTGTGTCTAGGTTTTGGAGAGTCGGGGTCTGGCACTCCCACCTGTGGCTGGCCCATGGGGGGTGAGGGAGTTTGGTGGGGTGGGGGTCCCCAGAAAGCAACGCCTACGTGGGTCTGGTGGAAGGCGCCCGGAGTCAGAGGCGGAGCCACCGCGGCCCAGAGAAGCCGAGAGCCGGGCCGAGGGTCACACCGCGTGTCGGGCCGAACGGGCGTGGGCGCTCACCTCGATGAGCGAGTAGTTGATCTCCACGTCCGACTTGACGAAGCCCCCGCAGCCCACCACGATGTCCTCGGAGCCGCGCGCCGGTCCCACGCCGCTCAGCAGCAGCAGCAGCAACACAGTGACGGCCACCCCCATGTGACCCGGCGGCCCCGCACCCCGGCCCACCCGCATGGCCCGGTCTACCTCTGCTGACCCTCGGCAGGCCACCCGGTCCCGCCCCTCACACCGCACGCTGCCGGCTGCTTCCTCCTCCTTGCCAGGTGACAGCCCAGGCCCCGCCCCACCCCCGCCCTGCGCAGGCGCGTTGCGGCCCCACGCCACGCCCCCAGAAAAGGGCGCTACAGCGCATGCTCAGCAAGGAACCGAGACTTCGTGTGCCCTCTGGAGGCCTGGAGGACTCCGCGCCCCCACTGGCAGGTGCAATACAAAGGTAAGCAGGCGCGCTTCCTTGCACATCCTCCAAAGACGAATTCTATTTTACATTCTATACCACGAAATATCCAAAAACCTTCCTGAATCTTTTTACCCTATATATTTCCCACGTGATGTATAATCTCAAAAGGCCCTTTTGGTAATGTGTGAATTGGTGCATTCACACCAATTGGTGTTTAAAAAAAAGTTTAAAAGTTAAAAAATTTAAAAGCTCAGTATAATATTAAAGAAGATATTTGATTTTCATCTTAGCGCTAACGTTTGTACAGAAACGGACTTTTAAGGGTTCCCCCCCTAAGGCTGAGTCGCATGCAGTTTAATGCACTTTTGAATTCATTTTCTTTAAGACGAAACAAGATTTGCCTGAAAATAAGTCCAAATATCAGCGTGCTGTATTTTGTCTGAAGACTGAGCATACAGTATAGGGTAGACAGAATTTAATTGCAATGCCTGCCTGAAAACAGACAAAACTTGCTTTTCTGGCCTGATATTTAGAATTCTTCCATTTTGCTCCTTAAAAGAACCCAAGTCGGGCTGGCAGAGTAGCTCAGGTAAGAGCCCCTGCCTAGCAAGCATGAGGCCCTGAATTCCAATCCCAGTAGCACCAAAACAAAAAAGAACAAGTACTTTATTTTGATAATTTTTCTATTTTGTTTCTAAATGATTAGTGAAAAGAAGACTTTCCACTGTAATTCTCCATTATGGCAACAACTTAAGCCAACTACAACTAAAAGTCACACTGAGTTTAAGCTATACAATGACCAAAGCCTTTATATAAGGGTCTGAATCGTTACAGTGCTGCAAGGGAATGATACATTGATTGAGCGCCCCAACCATGAGTGCATCTGAATTCAGTTGCTCGCTCTGCATTTTCAATGAACTATGCAGTGAGACTCTCACTATTCAGTGAGAGACAGACACTATTTATTTGTTGGCATCTGTTCTTTATAACCACAATTGAAGGGCAATGTTTTTTTCTTTCTTTCTTTCTTTCTTTTTTTTTTTTTTTTGGCAGTACTAGGGCTTGAACTCAGGTCCTCACACTTGCTAGGCAGGCACGTTGTGGCCCCTCCACCAGCCCTTTTTTATGTTGGGTTTTTCCAGAGATAGGGGCTCATGAACTATTTGCCCCGGCTGGCTTCAAGCCTCAGTCTTCCTGATCTCTGTCTCCTAAGTAGCTAGGATTACAGACGTGAGCCACCGGCACCCAGCTAAAGGGCAATGCTTTTCACCCTCCTTAACACGAATTCCTGGTTTGTCTTAGAAAGTCATCAAGGTATTGAAAACCACAGTAAGAGGACTGGTCGTGTCCTGGGAAACTTCTCATCTTACAGAATAGTCATCTGAAGCCCCAGAGGCAAAAGGACTTGTCTGCAACTTCGTGCACACAGCTGTAGTCTGTTCTTAGAGCTAGAAAGTAGGACTCAGGCTCCCGGGCTCTGTTCTTGGCTCACCTCTACTGATTTCTTCTATGTTCTTCTAACTTCCTGGTCATTCCCTCAATTCATCTTCAAATACAAAATGAAGTACCAGGGCTGTGGCAATGCTGGGGGTAGCTTACAAGGGAGAGGGCTCTAGCTTCCCCACAATCTCCATCAGCCTCCACCAAAAGCACCCCAAAGAAACACACAAGGTGTGTCAACAGTAGTCCTGACACAGTCAGCTTCCGGACAAACCCTGGGTTCTCTTGGAGCCCACTCTTCCAGAAGACTTGGGCAGGAGGTTCGCTGAAGGGGTACTGACAGCAGAGTTGGGAAGAGTCAGAAAGACAGAGGAGACAAGAGTGGGGAAACCCGCAATGGGAGGCCCTGAGGGAGATGAGGCTGCAGGGAGGATTGGGACAAGATCTCCTGAAGAAAGGGGGCAGCCAGGGATGGCAAAGGGAGGTTTTCCTTCTTCACCAAAACTGAGCATCTGGGCTTATCTGTCTAAAAGAGCCAAGCTCTTCAGCAACTTTGAAAGGAATGTCTGCTCACTGCAGAAAGAAGGAAAATGGGAAAGAAAATTAGGGTTTCCCGTGGTCACTGCTTTTGATAATGTTGTAAACAGAAGTTTCTAGGAAAGGACCAGTGGTAAACTCTGACACAAGCCACACACCCACACACCTGCGTTGACACTCAGGAAGATCGCCTGGCTTCCTTCTGTTTTCCCCACCTTAGGCTCCCCACCCCTACATGGGGAGTTGAACTCAGGGCCTCCTGCTTGCTATGCAAGCCTCTACCCTCGGGCCACACCCCCACTCCAACACATTTCCTTTTCTCTTCTTGTAAGCACCGTGGCCTATTTTGAACTATTATCTCTTCTCGTGGTATTTCAAAGCCACCTGTCCACATCTGCATATTTCTGCAGTGGCGTGTTAAGCCGCTGGTTAGAACCTCTGGACTACGTTTATAATACCACCTTAGTGCTCAGTGATCTTGTGCCCTGCGCTGGGCACCTCACGCAGCTCTTCATTAGGACTCTTCTTACATAGCCAGACGTCTGTCCCCCGTCCTAGAACACTTAGCTGACTCCGTGCCTCCTGCTGTGCCCACCTGTTGGTTCTTTTATCAGGATGCATGCCTGGGAATTGCTGGATCCGAAGAATTTGGGGTTTGGGATGCACTGGTTGCATGGGATGCCTACCACTGCTCGTGGGGGTTCGGGGATGCCCCCCCCCGCGCGCGCCCGGCCCAACTGACCTGGCTTGACCCCGATGGTTCCACCCTTGCAGCGCCGCGGACCTTGTCCCTGGCCTTCGGATCCCGATCTCGAGCTCCAATCCCAGCCAAACTCGCCAGGCCCCGCCCCTTCGCGGTCCCCGAGCGCGGCGCGGAGGCTGCCTGGGACCGACTCTCAGACAGACGGACGCTGGACAGACAGACGGACGGAGGGAGCCCGATGGCCGCACCAGGCGAGCCCTGCGCGGGGCACGGGGTGAGTGTCCACCCCATCTCTTCTTTCCCCTGCTGGATACCTCGGGCTGCGATACTGCGGAGGGAGGTACCCCCCAAATTCTTGGTCCCAGGACTCGAAAAGACCTGCTCCCCTGTTACAATCCCAGTGGCTGGGGATTGAGACTGCCCCCTTCCCCAGGACCCAGCTCTATTCTAGGGACCGCCAGCCCTCCCGGCTGCTGGAGACCTTGACCCTCATTTGCATAAAGCTAGTGGACACACACACCCCCGCCGTCTTCTAGACGCCCAGCCTCCTCAGCTTCCTCTGCCCACCTGCACTGCAAAGCACTCGAGAGAGAGGGGTCACCAGGTGGACATGAGGATCACAAAGTCCCAGCATCTCAGGGGCTGATAAGAGAGGCCATAGTGAGAACCGATTTCATCCAGGGCTTCCTCAGTGTCCAGCGTGGTGCTGTGGCTTTAGGGCTCTCAATCCACTTGCTATACTCTTAGTGGGAGAGTCCATGGTGCCCCCTATACAGAGAAGGAAACTGAGGCCCACGCAAGGTGAAAACCCCATGCCTGCTAAGTGGTTACATTTAGTTTAGCTCTGTGTATCCTATTTGTGAGGCTTGAAGGAAACAGTTCCCCTCCTCTCCTGCCTCTGTCTACTGGTCTGTGAGATGGGCACAGTAGCATCTTACTTCCTACAGTGACAGTCTGTGCCTAGCATTCATTATGGAGCCCAGGTCCTCTAGCCCAGGTCTCCAGGACCCATCTCCCAGCACGTGGTTCTAATCCCAGCCCCATGGCTTCGTAGCTAGGCAGCATCAGGCAAGTTACTCCCTGGGCCTCATCTTCCTTACCTGCTAAATCAGTATGATGATTGCATCTGCCTTATGGAGTTGGTATCAGGATGAAAAGAGTTAAAAGAAAAAAAAGAATTAAAAGATATTCCAAAGGGGCCAGGTATAGTGGTTCACATCTGTAATCCCAGCTACTTGGGGGGCAGAAATGGATCACCATTCAAGGCCAGCCAAGGAAGGTATTCCAAAGACAGCTTGGAATATTTTTGTGTTTGTGTAAATATTAGGAGTCCAAAAGTTGTCTGACCCCATAGGCAGGTAAGTTGGGACCCCTTGTAGTGTACCATCCTAAGGGAGCCCTTGGTGTTCAATTCAGGTCTGGAACCAGACGGAGCCGGAGCCTGCTGCCTACCACTTTCTGAGCCTGTGCTTCCTAAGAACAGCAGGAGTCTGGGCGCCCCCCATGTACCTCTGGGTCCTTGGCCCCATCTACCTCCTCTACATCCTCCGCCATGGCCGGGGCTACCTGCGGATGTCTCGCCTCTTCAAAGTCAAAATGGTAGCTGTGGACATTGTGCGCCTGGAACTGAACAATGTGGGGGAGGGGGCAGGTGGTAATCTGGTGCAGGAAGGCTCCTCCTATCTAGGAACACACAGAGTAGATGCAAGAAGGGAACCTGTTCATCAAACAGATCAATACTAGCGAGGAGACAGAGGTAAACACAGGGGACAAAGTTCCCAAACAGATTTGGTATTATTAAAATCATTGTGTGAGCGTGCACACACAACCACACACACACACACATATGTGTTCCTGGACAGCACATAGCAGTCCTATCTTGGCACTTCCCACTGTGCCATGTGGACTTTTGGGGTACACAAGATGATCTTAGGGCCACACTTAAAAACTTTAAGAACACCTTGGGCCTGTTAGGTGCTGGGCCTGGACACAGTGGCTCACACTTGTAATCCTAGCTACTTGGGAGGCAGAGCTAGGTAGGATCAAGATTCAAGGCCAGGTGGTACAAAATGTTCAAGAGACCACGTCAACCCATAAAAAACCTGTCATCCCAGCTATGCAGCAAGTGTAAAGAGTAGGATCTCAGGCAGTCCAGGCTAACCCAGGCATAAAAGCAAGAACCTATTTGAAAGGCAAAAAGGGCTGGGGGCATGGCTCAAGTGATGGAGTGCCCAACTACCAATCATGAGGCCCTGAGTTCAAACTCCAGTCCCACCAAAAACAAAAACTTGAACAGTTATGCTTTTATTTTGTGTTGCTTTCTTTTATTTTTTGGTGCGGGGACTGAGCCCACCGCCTTGTGCGTGTAAAGTATATACACTACCATGAGTCCCACCCCCACCCCAGTTCTGTATTTATTTTTGCTTCCCCACTGGTGGTACTATTGAATAATCTTTTTAAATTGGTATGCATTTATAGGGTGTTTAATAACACACTGCCATTCCAAGCAGGAGCCTTTCTGCTCATTCATCATTGTGTTCTGCAATCGTCTACAGAATGTTCTTCAATCTCATTTATTCCCATGCCACTTTGCTCACGACAGCTCTGTTACCTTCCACGTATCCAGGGGTTGGCAAACTGAAGGACCAGGTAGAGAAGCTTTGTGGGCCATGGTACCTTCCAAATACTCAGCTCTGCCCATGTGGCATGACTGTGTTTCAATAAAACTTTTTTATAGTCACCGAAAGGTGAATGTCATCTGATTTTCTCTTTTTATTTTTAAAGTCTTTTTTTTTGCCAGGCGCCAGTGGCTCACACCTGTAATCCTAGTTACTCCTAAGGCAGCGATCAGGAAGATCAAAATTGGAGGGCAGCCTAGGCAACAAAATTGAGACCCTATCTTAACGCAAATATCCAATGCAAAAGGGGGGGGGGTGCTGGTGCAGTGGCTGAAGTGGTAGAGCGCCTGCCTAGCAAGCATAAGGCCTTGAGTTCAAACCCCAGTACCACAAAAACAAAAATAATAATAACCTTTTTTTTCAATGATTGAAAAATGTAGAAACCACAGAAACAGACAGCAGGCCCAGCTCAGCCTGTGGGTGGGAACTGACTTGTGTGTGCACACGTTCGCTTTCCTTCTTGCTCTTTTATTTAAAAGAGATCAGTACATGGTAGGGAGACTGCAGAAACTTACTGGCCAGAAAGAAAGCTTCTTCTTTCTTGTTGTCAGCGCTGGGGATGGAACCTGGGGCCTTGAGTGTGCTCAGCAAGTGCTCGGCCACCACCCCCATCCCAACCCCAGCCCTCTCCTGGATTTAATATCAGGGGTTGTAGACGACTTGGTAAGGATATAAATTTTCCACCTGGCAAGTATATTTCACTTCCCACTGTGCCTTCATGCCCAAGGTCACCTCCCAAGGGCACTGTTGGAAACTCCTACATTTTGGGAACCACTGACTTGATCCAGCCCTTCTGTGCATCACTTATGTGACAGTTACAGGTCAGAGTTGATCTTCAGTGCCCTTCATGCATTGACACATTGATAACATTGTGTGACATTGGTTTATTACAGGGACCCACTGGGGATGTTGGGGAATGGCTACCCAGTCGGACATGGGGTCACCCTCCATTCTGCTGCCGTCTTCCTTTTTATCTCAGCCTTATTTGCATCTGTTTTTCCAGGTGCTGGGGTTCACCCTCATCGTCCTGTGCACCTTCAACGTGGCCATCCCTCTGTGGAGAATCCAGCAGGGAACGCCCCAGCCCCCAGAATTCCTCATTCACCCTACTGTGTGGCTCACCACCATGGTAATGACTTCCTCCGCTGGAGCCTGGCTTGCTTCTGGCAGCTGTTTCTCCTGCTTGGGGACGGGCGGGGGGAGGCATAGAGAAGGAAGGACCTCCCTCCCGCCTCCATCACCACCCTCACCCTGAGGGTCCACCCATGTCTTGTCCAGACCTTTGCTGTGTTCCTGATTCACGTGGAGAGGAAGAAGGGAGTCCAGGCCTCCGGGGTGCTCTTTGGGTACTGGCTGCTCTGCTGTGTCTTGCCAGTGACCAGAGCTGCCCAACAAGCCTCGAGAGGGGTAAGTCGGGGGTCTGGGCCACTTGGGGAAACTTAGGGCGATGCCAAGACTTGGGTCTTATCCTTCCTCCCTCTTTCCACACACAACTTGATCTCTACAGAAAGCTGCACACGCTTCGGTCCCTTAAACTCTAGAGACAGACAAACATACACCACCTTAAGTGCCCATCATTCATTATTGACACATAACAGTTGTACCTACTTAGAGGGTACAGTGTGAGATTTTGTGCACAGACACATCGTGTAAGAATCACATGAAGGTGTTCGCCGTGTCCACAGCCTCATGCATTTGTCATTTCTTTGTGGTTGGCAATTCAAAATCCTCTTTCCTGCGTACTTTGAAATATTCAACACGGTATTGTTAGCTAGAGTCACCCACGTGTGCAAAGAGCACCAGAAGGTGTTCTTCCTGTCTATTTGCACCTGGTGACAAATCTCTCCCTGTTCTTCCTCCCTCTGCCTCTCCCTTTGGGAACCACCATTCCCCTCATCACTTCTAGAGATCAACTTGTTAGATCCCACGTGAGTGATGTTGCAGAGTGGTTGTCGTCCATGCCTATGATGGGACTCCATCCACACTGTCTGTTGCATATATATTTTTTTTTTTTTCTGGTGAGACTGTGGTTTCAACTCAGGGCTTCAAGCTTGCTAGGCAGGCAGTCTTCTACTTGAGCCACTCCCTCAGTCCCATTTTGGTATTGGATATTTTTCAAAATAGTGTCTCGGGACTATTTGCCTGGGGCTGGCTTCAAACAGCGATCTCCCTGATCTCTGCCTCCTAGGCAGCTAGGATTACAGGCAGGAGTCACCGGTGGGCGCCCAGCTGCACATACATTCTTTATCAGCACAAATCCCCATTGCCTTACACACCTGGACGTGCACTTATGTGAACCCCATTCTTGCATAACACACACACACACAGCCCGGGCAGACACATATGGACACACTCACCCTTCACACTGGCACAGGGGTCTCATGCTCACGATCCCTCCCCCCATTACAGGCATCCGTAGTTACACACTCACTTTGCACACCCATTCTTATTTCCATGTGAGGAGAATGGTGGATCATTTTCTCTACAAAGAGAAAATATACTCTAAACAAGTTTCACAACCTCTGCTCTGTGCACATTTTGGCAGGATAATTCTCTGTTGGGGAAGGTGCTGTCCTGTTCATTGTAGGATGTGGAACAGCATCCCTGGCCTCCACCCACTGGATACTGGTAGCGCCCCCCTGTGGTAGCCCAGAATGTCCCTAGAGATTGTCACATGTCCTCTGGGGGCAAGATCTCCCACTGGTGGAAAATCACTTGCCTCCCTGGAGTCTCCACCAATGCTTTAGCACAGGGAAAGGTTATTTCACCTGGAAACCAATAACCAGGCAGCAGCTGGTCATCCACCATCATTTCCAGAGCCAAATGTTTTCTCTGGCCTGCTCCCAAAGGAGAAGGTAAAGAAATGTCCTCAAGGACAGATTCTTTTTTTTTTTTTTTTTTTTTTTGGTAGTACTGGACTTTGAACTCAGAGCTTCCCACTTGCTAGGTAGGGGCTCTGCTTCTTGAGCCATATCTCCAGTCCTTTTTGCTCTGGTTATTTTGGAGATGGATTCTTGGTTTTTTTGTCAGCCAACCTGGACAGTGATCCTCCTTGTGCTTGGGATGACAGGTGCAAGACACCATGCGCAGCTTATCTCCATTGAGATGGGGGGTCTCATGAACTTTTTGGCCAGACTGACCTGGAACTGTAATCCTCCCCATCTCAGCCTCCCAAATAGCTCGGGTTGCCATGGTGCCCAGCTATTGCTTGAGATGGGCTCTTGCAAACTGTTTGCTTGTGCTGTCCTTGAACTGTGATCCTCCCGATCTCAGGCTCCCTGGTAGCTAGGATTACACATATGAGCCATCAAAGCCAGGCTCCAAGGACAGATTTTTAAAAAGATAAACCACTTTAACTAATGGGGAAATGCCACTGGCCATCTACTGAGCAAGTTTCCATAGCACAGAGACAGTAATGCTAGAACCTTTTGCACACTGGAATTCCACCATGGGCAAGCTGTGCAGCAAACACTTTCCCCCACCCTCACTGGAGTCTCACAGTCATGCTCTGTGGTGGATTCTAACACTTCCATTTTAAGGATGAGGAAACTGAGGCTAAGAGACAAGGCAGTGCATTCCTCAGGGTTACATGGCTTAGGAGTGCAGAACCCATGTCTCTCTCATCCATATTCAGAACAAACTTACCTAGAAACTATGGCAAAAATGACAGTACGGGGAAGGTAGGCCATATGGAGTCAGAATATCAAATTGTAAAACAAAAAAATCCAGAAGCATATAAAATCCAGGAGAGAAATTCTGATTTGAAACTAGCGTTCTTGTTTTAAGCACCAAAGACTCAAAATACTCAACTTGAGAGGAAAAATCAGAAGTGGTTTATTAACTCATGTGTTTATTAGTGTTTATTGTGGTCTCTCCCAGGGATGATCCCGCCCGATCTGCATTTCTCTCTGCCTCTTGGCTCTGTCATGTTAGTTTCATTCTCCATTGAGGTGGCAAGACAAGCCTCCCAATAGTACAGACTGATATTCTGTCAACATACAAAACCCAGGTGACTCTTCCAATGGTCCCAGCTCTCCTTGACCCAGCCTGGGTCCTGGGTCCACTCCCAGCTGAATCCCAGTGGCCAGGGGCCTGGAATGGACTCACTGACCACGCTTCTATCTCCTACCCATGCCTGGAGAGGTCAGTTCCACACAAACCATGTATCTGAGCATGGGGAAGGAAAATTGGGGTGCTGTGACACCCCAAAGGGCAGTATATGCAAAAACAAAATGGCCAGGTAACAAATGCTCAGAAATTGGCCCAGACAGTCTGTGTGCCCTGGAGCCAGGTGCTGGGCTTCGCTCAGCCTTGGTTTGCTCATGAATAAAATGAGGCAAGCATGGTAGTTCATACCTGTAATCCCAGCACTCCAGAGGCTAAGGCAGGAGGAGTGAGAGTTCCAGACCAGCCTGGGCAACTTAGCCAGTTTGAAATCAGCCTGAGCCACATAAGTCAGGATGGGGTGGGGCCTGATGACACTGTGCGTGGAAAGAATGTCGTGTGTACACAGGGCAGAGTAGATGTCAATAAAGTCAGGTCCCTCTGACAACCAGCAGACAGTGAGAAGGGAGCAGGATGGAGATTGAGGTAGGGGCTGGGATGGCGGCAGGATTTCCATGTGGCACAAGAAAAAGTCCAAGTGTGCCTTCATCTCATTGTCCCAAAGCTACAGCCTGTCCTCACTGCCTAAGGACTAACCCAGACACTGCCTGTGTGTGTCTGAAAATCCAGACAACCAGGAATGCCAGAGGCTCTGGTTTTTGAACACCATGGCCTGGTCCCTGTGCTGGAACCCTGTCCAGCCCAAGCTGTCCCCTTCATGGGAGTCCTCCACTGCCTCTGCTCCTCACAAGCTTTGGGCTCTGACTTCTGCCTCCCAGGCTCAGTGGGACTTCTGCTGACTCCCTACAGGGCTTCCAGAGCGACCCCCTCCGCCACCTGGCCACCTACCTGTGCTTGTCACTGGTGGTGGCAGAATTCGTGCTGTCCTGCCTGGTGGACCAGCCCCCCTTCTTCCCGAAATACTCCCAGCAGCCGGTAAGTCACCAGGTCCCCACCTCAGGGCCTCCGTGACCCTGTTCCTTCAGGTCTCAGCCTCCTCCTGTGACCAAGAGAGTTGACCTAGAGTATTGGTCTTTCATTTTTTATTCACTAACCCATTTAGCAAAATGTGAATGGCACATTTAGTAGTCATGGGCTGGCCAACTCCTTCTGTCCAGGACAAGATGTGACAATCTTGTTGACGACAACTATCCAACTCTGCCTTGGTGGTGCAAAACCTACCATATGCAATGTGTCAACAAATGAGCATGGCTGTGTTTCAATAAAACTTTATTTGTAGAAACAAGCAGGGAGCCAGATTTGACCTGGGAGTCGGGGGGAGAAGTCTCCATACTTTGTGGAGACTTGCCCTGTCTCCAGCTTGGTGCTGAGGACCTGTGGTAAGCAAGAGGATGGGATCCTTGTCCTCTTGCACTTAGTTAATTAGGGGAACCAGATTGTCACACAATTGCACAAGTGTGTAGGAAACGGCACATGGAGTGAGGGGTCAGCAGAGGAAGCTTGCGTTCTATAAACCAAGGTAGTCTGTGAACTCAAGAAAATGTTCTCTGTGAAATCGGGGGAAGATAACCTGAGGTCGTCATTTAACATGCTCAAATGCTTCGAGTAAATCTAGTTAAAACTGTAATAGGACTTTTTTTGGCCTATTAGAATGACCAAACATCCTTAAAAATTGATAAGTTGTGATGGCAGAACTGTGGTGAAATGGCCACCTTCATACCTTATTGTGAGGGAGATAGATTATAGGCTCTCTCTAGAACAGCTGGCAAAGTCACAGCTCAGGTCCCTCTGCACATTTGCTGAGTGACATAGTAGAGGATGTTGCTGTTTTTCTTATGCTTTCCTTGCTTAGAAAACTCTTTGGTCTCAGTATAATAGTAGTTGTTCTGAGCAACTCTTAGCTCCTACCTTGTGGACGCTGTTGGTCCTGAGGCTCTTTTTGCCTTGCCTGCCAGGAAGCACGGTGCTCATGAACTCCCCCTTTGGCAAGCAGACACCATCACATCTCAGTGTGCACTTTTGATTCTCAGTTCATGTTCACTTCACCCTGTCTTCCTGCCCTTGGTGACCCACTTACTTTGGAATGTGAGCAGAGGCCAGCCCCTCCCCCATCTTTTTTTTTTTTTTTTTTGCAGCATGGACAGGGTTTCACTGTATGTCCCAGGCTGGCCATGAACTCCTGATCCTCCTGCCTCAGCCTCCCCAGTGTTAGGATTACAGGTGTGCACTACCATGCCCAGCTCCTCCCTGTCTTTTGTCTTTTGCAGAATCCTTGTCCAGAGGCTGGGGCCTCTTTCCCCTCCAAGGCCATGTTCTGGTGGGCATCTGGGTAAGTAAAGCCCAAGAGCTATTCTGTATTCATCCCACCTGTATTTAACAAGTGCCTACGATGTGCTAAGCACCAGGAGTGAGATTAAAAAGACCAAGTCTCTATTCCCCAGAGGGTCCGGGGCTGGTGGAAGAATGGCTTCTTTTCTCGTGCCAGCCCACTAGGCACTGAGGCATGCCCACCTCCCAGAGCCCCTCCTGACCACACCACAGTGAAACCTCAGTAACCACCAGATCTTGTAGATCTGAATCCTGACCTTATCATGGCCTGGCTGTGTGACCTTAGGCAAGCTGCTTAACCTCTCTATGCTTCACTCTCCATGCCTGTAGAATGGGAACACTGACATGAGGATTCAATGAGATAAGATTTGCTTGAGGCTGGGCGCATGGCTTAAGTGGTAGAGGGCCTGCCTAGCAAGCGTAAGGCCCTGAGTTCAAACCCCAGTAGCACCACCACCAAAAGAAAGATTTGTGAAGCCCTTAGAAGGGGATCTGGCACATTGTGAGTGTGCTAGAGAGAGGTTACTTAGGAGATAAAGAGCAGAAGCTATGGTGTGTGGAGCCTGGGGAAGAAGCGTAGAAATTTCTCAGACAGCTCCGCTGGGGTCCTTACTCCCTGCTTCCCAGCCTCAGACACTGATGGACCCATCACATGCTTTGTTGCCAGGCTGGGGTGTCATCTGGACTCTACTTCTCAGTCTTCCTCTTTAAGTCAACTTACTTTTTTCCCCCTTAATAGAAACGGAATCTTTCTATCACTGCCCAGAACTCTATCTGATCATTTGCTACGTAGGAGAACTCCCAAAGTAATTTCTAGGAAAACCAAAACCAAGCAATGTTAACCATTTCTAGGCCAGCACTGTTGCTCATATTCTCTCTCTCTCTCTGTCTCTCTCCCCCTCTCTCTCTCTCTCTGGCAGTACTGGGGTTTGAACTCAGAGCCTCACGTACCAGGCAGGCACTCTACCACTTGAGCCACTCCTCCAGACTTTTTTATTTTTTAGTTTATTTTTCAGATAGGGTCTAACTCTGCCTGGACTGGCCTCAAACCGCGATCCTCCTACCTCTGCCTCCTGAGTAGCTGGGGTTATAGGAGTGAGCCATCTGGCCCAGTCTGGGAATGTCTCATGGTAAGGTGAGATATTTGAAGCCTGTCGATGGGTAGTGACTTGCCCAAGCCCACAGTACCGATAAGTGGCTTTGTTTGCCCAGTTTTCTCAAATCCTGTGCCAGAGGTGAGGACACAGAGGAGGGAGAATGAGACAAGTACTGCCTTTGCCCTGTGGAGGTCAGCAGCCAATGGAGTAGAAAGATACCAACTAAATAATTAGATCAAAAAGTAAATAATTAGCCAGGCATGGTGCCTCACACCTCTGTTCTTAGCTACTTGGGAAGCTGAGATGGGGAGGATTGCAGTTCTAGGCCAACCTGTTGACCCCATCTCAACAGAAAAAAGCTGGGCATGGTGGAGCATGCTGTTATCCCAGCGACAGTGGGAAGCATGAAGTAGGAAGGTCAAGGTCCAGGTTGGCCTGGCAAAAAGCAAAACCTGGTCTCCAAAATAACCAGAGCAAAAAGGGCTGGAGGCGTGGCTCAAGCGGTAAAGCACCTGCTTCCCAAGTGTGAAACCTTGGGAAGTGTGAAACCAGTACCACCAAAAGAGAGAGAGAGACCAGGTGAGGAGTAATGGGAAAAGGTTTGTGTGTGTGTGTCTGGGAGAGGGGGAGACAGGGTTTGAATCAGGGCTTCACTCTTGCAACACCCCTGCTTGAGCCACACCCCCAGTCCATTTTGTTCTGGCTATTTTGGAGATGAGGGATTTGGAGAGCTATTTGCCTAGGCTGGCCTCAAACTATGATCCTCTTGATCTCAGCCTTCTAAGTAGCTAGGATTAGAAGCATGAACCACTGGTACCTGGCTGGGAAAAGAATTTTAAGCAGAGTGAAGTGCGTGATCAAAGGTCCTGAGGCCAGGTAGCTGGAGCAGTGGATAAGGAAGGGTGAGGGGATGTTTACAGCTGAGAGAGGGCCAAATGTGATGAGTCACACCTGTAATCCCAGCTATGTGGAAGGCAGAGGTAGGAGGATCGCAGCCTGAGGTTCACCCACGTAATAAGCATGAGACCCTATCTGAAAAACAAACTGAAGCCAAAAGGGCCGGGGCATGGCTCAAGTGGTAGAGTGGCTGCTTAGCCAGTGAAAGCACTGGGTTCAAACCCCAGCACCACACACACACAGCCAAGTGGGGGGCAGTTTGTGACCCTGGATTTCTGACTTCCTGGGGATCTGTTCTCCAGCCGCTCCACTTGTACCTTGGTTAAGTCACTTAATCACTCTGAGCCTCTGCTGCCTTCTGCATCTGTGCAGTGGGTCAATGACAATCAGCCTGACAGCTCCAAGGATGACAGGAGATCACCTCTGCAAACTGAGAGGGCCCTGCAGGTATCAGGTAGTCTTTGGTCCTCTGCCTTCATTTACCCAGGGCCTGGCTGAGGTGCAGAGAGGTAAAGTGGCTCCCCTGGGGATCACACAGCCACAGGGCTGTGACCCTGTGACCCTGTTTTCCAGGTTACTGTGGAGGGGCTACAGAAAGGCACTGGAACCAAAAGACCTCTGGTCACTTGGGACAGAAAACTCCTCAGAAGAGCTTGTTTCTCAGCTGGAAAGGGAATGGAGAAAGAACCGTGGTGCAGCCCAGCGGTGAGTGGGGAGGGACCAAGGACCAGGGACCAGGGACCGGGGCAGGGCTTGGTCAGCAAAACTCATTCCGCACATGGCCCTCAATCCAGCTCCACCCTGCTCTGCTCCCCTGCCACACTGCCTCATCCTAGCCAAGCAAGCACAAAACAGTTCCCCCAGGGTGCTCTGCCCGTTCCAAACAGACTGCAAGTGGGGGGCTGTTTAAGGACGCCAGAGTGAGGCTTCATGGTGGAAGGGGAGGCAGGAGGCAAAAAGGTGGAGGGGCTGGGTGGTGTCTAGTAACTCACAGGCTCTTCTGTCATAACTCAAGGACTTTGTTGCCTGGGTCTCAGTTTTCTCATCTGTTCAGTGGGGTTGTGGTTAGGCCCTCACTCATAGCTGGTGGGAGTGAAAAGAAAATAACTCAGCGAATTCCTCAGAAATGGTAAGAGAGTGCCCAAGCAATGTTAGCTGCCTCGCCCCCGCTCTCCACAGCATCTCACGGCGTCTCTGGGAACTTGTGTGGATCCCCCAGACCACTGAAGCTTCAGGCAGGACTTTGACACAGGACTTGGTGAACTTGGGTGAGATGCTGCCCTGCTGCTGAGCAAGCTTGAACGAGGTGCTTGACCTCACTGGATCCCAGGGTCTCAGGTCCAGAACAGAAGTAAGATAGCTCTGCAGGAAGAGTGACAATGTTCCCTTGCATTCTCTAGGGGCTTGTGGTGGTTGCTGCAGATCAGAAGGAGGGAGGGGGAGAGAGAAAGAGAGGGATTACAGGCTCATAGAGTTAAAAACTCTAGCCTCAAGGATGGCTGAGTGTCCTTACCTCGCCAAGTGGCAAGCTGAAATCCCAGCACTCAGGAGTCTGAGGCCAGCCTGAACTACACAAAAGACCCTATCTAAAAACAAAAGTGACAGGAAGGAGAAAGGCAGGTTATACAGAAAAGCAGGCTCAGCCATTTTCAGAGCCAAATTTTGATGCCCAGAGAGAACTTTGGTTTTATTTCTGGAAGATTTGGCAACCCCCAGGTTGGGGGCTGGGAGGTGGGAAAGAACCTCACCCTGAGAGGTCACAACCCAGCCACCTGCTGGCCAGATCAAGTTCACCGTCTGATAGGTCCACGTGGAATTGTATAGCTGTTTGGGGTTGTTTCTTTCTACAATGTCACCCATATTTCAGACTTTAGAGAGATCACAAAAAAGCTCCACTCCGGCTCTCTTAAAGTAGATCTGGTGGCTATGGGCCACCCCCCTATATGGCAGCTAGAGGCTGCACTGTTGGATAATCCATGTGCTCTGCAGTTTGCCCCAGTCCCCACCACTCCCTTTTACTATTCATTCAGTCCCTCATCTTGTCCCATGCTCTCTGGTGAGTCCTGCACTGAATGGTTGTCAGGCCAGAGACCAGACAACTCCCAGCTTTTCCTTGATGGGGGTTGAACCTGCTGAGCTTGCAGGCTGAGCTCTTTGACCCTGAACTGTAAGCTGAGCAGGTAAACAGCACTGAGCAAAACATCCAGCCAGCCAAAAAACAGGCTTCAGTCATCTCTCCCAGCCCTGTTTGCAGATGGGAACCCTGAGGCTCACTGAGAGAAGACCAGATAATTTGATGCCAGCCTCCCGGCCCAGAGGACAGGTTCTAGCCAGCAAACCAAGCTCCTTTCTCCCGTTCTTCCTTTCTTTCATCTATTAATTTTTATAGCCTTACACTGGTCCATTTCCCCACTGACTTCATGAATACTGAGCTTCTGCTACATTCAGGAGCTGGACCAGGCCCTGGGGACACCCTGGTGGAAAATTTGGGAAAAGCGTCTACCCACCTGGAGTTCTACACCACACTAGGAAAGGACCTGCGGGGGGCCTGGCTGAGAAAGCAGTAAATTCAAGGGCAGGGGTGGCCTCTGCATGCTAGTGACATCCTTTTGGCTTTGGAGATTCAAAATGTCCGTAAGCAATAAACCACACCCAGCTCGGTGAGGAGCTCCAGTCCTCCCCAGATACCAGACAGCATCCTGGCTGGCAGTGGGGGCCTGAACCTCGACCTTGGCCTTGTTAGCAAGGGTCTTGGCCATATGAGCTATTCAGAATTTCCCTCCTCTTCCTCCTCCTCCTTCTTTCCTCCTTTTTTTTTCTTTTCTGGTAGAACAGGTTTCCCTGGTGTGCAAGGAAGTAGTCTGTGAACCATGAATCCACACCTAAGCTCAAATCCCTGGTCTGCCATCACTGTGTGACTTGGGCAGCTGGCATCACTTTTAGAGCCTCTATCTCCTCCTTGGTAAAACAGGAGCTAGCAGTGGCCACCTGGTAACTATGTGCCAAATGATGGCCACCTGGCCAACAGGCAGGGAGCCCGCGTGGCCAGTGTGCCGAGGGGCATCACTGGTGCATAGAGAGGGCTGAGCTCCTTGCAGGTTCCTGGGCTGCTGAAATGACTGATAACCAACCCTTGGGCTGTCAGAACCAGAGGGACTCTGACAGTGACAGCAAGGTCAGCCCCATACTTTGACACCTGAGCACGTTAAGGTCCAGAGAGGGAGGCGCCCTCCCTTGGCCACATAGCAACCAGGCCCCCTCATGGCTGAGGGCTGCCCTCCCCCCACCCCCCCGTGGCCCCTCAGGACCAAGGCCAGAGATCTTACTGCTTCCAGGCTGCCTGAGTACCACCTCTGGCTTCCCCCAGAACAGGACCACTGGGGTCCAGGAACATCAGCTCTGTTCTCATCCAGCTCAAACCAGCCAGGCTCAGGTCAGCTGGGGAACGGGGGCTATTCTTCCTCCAAAGTAACATGGTGGATCCAGAAGGGCCCAGGCCTTGAAGGTGCAGAGTTGGGACAAATCCCAGCTCTTTCCCATCTCACCTGTGTGCCCTTGGGCACAGTCACCTCCCTGAGCCTCAGTTTTTCTCCTCTGTAAAATGTAGACCACACTCGGCTTGCAGGGCTCTTAGGAGTGCCTGCACACAGTAGGTGGTCAATGTGCACGAATTCCCATGACTACTGTCCTGTCCGCCCCCTGGCTGTGTCTCCTGAGCGAGTTCCTGAACCATAAGGAGGAGGTGGGGGACCAGGCAGGGTCCGTGTCCCCATACTCCTTATTGAGAAAAGAACCCTTGAAGGTTTGACCTACTACGTTCACGAAAGCAGGACCCCACAGCCATGTCTCCTCTCCTGTAGGTTCACCAAGGTGTTTAAAAGCAAAGGAAGCAGTGGCACTGAGGCCCCCGAGACTGAGAGCTTCCTGCCACAAGGAGGAGTCCAGCGGGGCCCGCTGCTTCAGGCCATCTGGCGGGTGTTCCGGTCCACCTTCCTCCTGGGGACCCTCTGCCTCATCATCAGCGATGCCTTCAGGTTCGCCATCCCCAAGCTCCTCAGGTAGGAGCAGGCCTTGGGTGCTGGGCTCAGACTGGGTCCCTTAGGAAAATCCTTCCTTCCAGGGCCAGAGACTCCAGGCCCTTCTGCTTCTGGCAGCAGTTCCCAGGCACAGGACTCCAGAGGGTGGGTGACAAGGCTTCGGAGGGAGGGAAGAGATGAAGGAGAAGGTGACTGGCCCCCAAGAAGACAAAGGATCAGAACTCCTGCCTGATGTTATCAGCTAGTTTTTGCTGCAAACAAAACACCCCCGAAGTGAGTGGTGCAAAACCAGAGATGTTATTTATTTCACTCATGGTGGTGACAAGTATGGACAGTGTAGGCTGGGGTCTGCTGGGTGGGTCTCTTATTTATTTACTTTTCTGGTGGTATACAGGGTTTGAACTCAGGGTCTTGTGCTTGCTAGGCAGGCTCTCTACCACTTAAGCCACATTTCCAGCCCTTTTTGCTTAAAGTTACTTTTCATACAGGGTCTTGATCTCCTATCCCTGCCTCCTGGGTAGCTGGATTACAGGCATGAACCACCACACCCAGTTCCTGGGAGGGTCTCTTAGCCGGTCCACTCACACATCCTGGGTTCACTGGAAACTGACTCGTTCAAGATGCTCTCACCTGGGATGGCTTGTCTCTGTTCTGTGTGGTTTTCCATCCTCCAGAAGGCTAGCTCAGCCTTGTTTGTCCCCATGCTTGTAGGGCTCTGGGAAATGGATCACATGTCACATTTCTCTTGAGATATAGGCTACAGCTGCACAGTGTCACCACCCTATGTCTGGATGGCTAAGGCTCGTGAGTGGCAGCTCACACTTGAAAGAATGTTAGTCTTCTCAGGTGGCCATAACACAGGCCATAGAACACATGTCTTAGACAATACAAATTTACCTTTTTTTGGTCTGGAGGCAGGGGTGGACTTTGCTGAGACCTTGTCCCTTGCCTTGCAGGTAGCCACTTTGTGCTGTGCCCTCACCCAGCTTCTCTGTGCACATTCCTCCCTACCCCCACAGTGTCTCTATCTGCAAATTAAATTTCCTTTTTTTTTTTTTTTGTGGGACTGGGGTTTGAACACAGGGCTTCACTTTTGTAAAGCAGATGCTCTTCCACTTGAGCCACACCTCCAGTGTGCTCAGTTTGCTCTGATTCTTTTGGATATGGGGTCTCTGGAACTATTTGCCTGGGCTGGCCTCAAACCACAATCCTCCTGATCTCAGCCTCCCAAGTAGCTCGGATTGCAGGTGTGAGCCACTAGAGACCCAGCAAATTTCCTCTTTTTACAAGGACACCAGTCAGATGGATCTGGACCCACACTACTGGCCTTATTTTAAGTTAGTCACTTCTATATGGGCCCTGTTTCCAAATATAGTCACATGGGAGAGGGTCTTCTACACTTGCATTCTGTGGGGACATAACTCAACCCATGACAGGTGGGGACAAAAACTCCACCTCTTGTTTGGAGGAGTTGCAAGGTCACATGAAAAGGAGTGTGGTCACTTGGGAAATGATTGCAAGCATTTGTGTCATGCAGTTTGCCATCCTGAGTCTGTACCGAGCCAGGCCCAGTGGGCCAAGGCACTCAGGGCACCACATCTCATCCACTGCAGCCTGTTTCTGGAGTTCATGGGCAAGCCTGAGCCCCCAGCCTGGAAGGGCCCCCTCCTTGCCACGCTGATGCTCCTCTCAGCCTGCCTGCAGACACTGTTTGAACAGCAGCACATGTACAGGGTGAAGATCCTGCAGATGAGGCTGCGGACGGCCATCACTGGCCTGGTGTACAGAAAGGTGAGCCCAGGGGACGGTGCCAACCTGGAAGGGTGACATCCCTGAGCTGTGAATGATGCTAGCAGGGGCTGGAAACATAATCCCCACTCCATGTTATTCTTACCACACTCAACCTCCATGGTGATTTCTGTCCTTGGACTCTGAGACCTCTCTAACCTCATCACACCTCTTCCTCCTTCCATGCTTCCCGTCCTGCAGCCATGCAGGTCCTCAAACATGCCAGGTGCACTCCCACCTCAGGGCCTTTGCACTTGCTATTCCTGCTGCCAGGTGGATCCAACCATGGCATGCCTCAGTGGCTCTGGATTCCAATCCTGGCGTAGGCACTTACAAGCCTGCTGACTCTGGACTACTGCATTGTGTTTCAGCCCAGCAGGCTGGACCGGGTATGACCTTTCCTTTCTTGTGAGTTCAGACATGTCCCAGCCCAAGACGAAGGGGGCCTGCTGGGCATCTCCGACCCACCCTCTGCCCCGCCTGGGGGATGCCACCTTTGATGTCTGGCTGACATCAGACCCTTGCTTTCCCCTCAGAGCTGCCACTCTACCACTCACCATGCCTGCCACTGAGGGATGCATTGTAAAAGCCACCTTTCAGCTCAAACTCCAGTCCCCCCTCTGGTTCACAGCTGTATTCTCAGTACCCAGCTCTCCCCAGCTGGGCACGTGGTGGGCAATATTTTACACTGAGTGGTTTCCAACTCACTCCCCCCACTTCACTCCTTCCTTCACACTAAGCACAAAAGATTGCAGGTAGGCAGATTTGCCAGAATAAGCTCGGTGTCAAGATATATGAAATGCCTGCAGGATTGGCTCTAACACCCTGTCTGGTTCATGTCACATCTCGGTGGTCCTGGATTCTAAATCCTGCCTCAGCATTTACAAGCTCTCTAACTTTGGGCAAGTTCCTTAATGCTGTGTGCCTTGGCTGTAAAATGGGACAGTGATGTGCCTCTCGTTGATCCCAGTATCATTCACATTTTTGCTTTTTAACAATTCTGGAACGGAGGTGTGTGCTCCGTGTCCTAATTTAATTGGGAATGATATTTTCCTCGGTGGTAAAAAGGTTTTGGCTTGAATGCGTGTGGCCGTGCCTGCTGCATGCGGTGATGTGAACCTCCCAGGAGGGGAGGAAACCTCTTCAGCAAAGGGCCTGCACATCGTCCCCCAGGGTCACCGTGAATCTGGGGTACTTACTGATGTTAGTTATCGCTGTTCCAGTGCTGTGAGGGGTTGGAGTTTATTTTCTGCTCCTGCTGGATTCTCATGTTGGCCCTGGGAGATCGGCTTAGAGGACTATCCAGGGCCACCACTCACATGGTGACCAGAGGCTCTGGGTGAGGGCCCTGCCTCAGTGGCTCCAGCCTTCCTTCCCTCCTCTTCCCGTCTCCCTCCTCCTTCCCCATCCAGGTCCTAGCCCTGTCCAGCGGCTCCAGAAAGGCCAGCGCAGTGGGGGACGTGGTGAACCTGGTGTCCGTGGACGTGCAGCGGCTGGCGGAGAGCGTCCTCTACCTCAACGGGCTGTGGCTGCCACTGCTCTGGATCGTTGTCTGCTTCGTCTATCTGTGGCAGGTACAGGGGACGGGGCGGGGGGGGGTGAGTCTCAGTCCTCCTCCCCCTCCTCTCTCTCCTCCTCTCTCTCCTCCTCCCCTTCCTCCCCCTCCTGCTCCTCTTCCTCCTCCAATCCTGTTGCTATCTATGTGTTGTGGGCTGATAAGACTGGAAGAGCCTTAGACAGGTTAGTGTTTGCTTGAGCTTGAGCTCACCCTCTCTGGGACTCAGTTTCCCTTCTGTAAAACGTTGCTGCTGTTGATGTTGACGTCAACACATCTACGGCAGGTTCTCAGGTTGCCCAGAAGGCAGAAGATGTTTTGAAGTGATCAGTGATACTGGGGCATCATTGCCATCAACAAAGACAGTAAAATACACCTTTAGGGACAGAGAAGTTTCTACATAGTGTTCAAATGCATGCAGTTGCTGGGCGCTGGTGGCTCACGCCTGTAATCCTGGCTACTCAGGAGGCAGAGATCAGGAGGATCTCGGTTTGAAGCCAGACCAGACAAACAGTTCACCAGACCCTATTTATAAAAAAAAACCATCACAAAAAAGGGCTGGCAGGGTGGCTTAAGTGGTAGCCTCCTGCCTACCAAGTGTGAGGCCCTGACTTCAAACCCCAGTACTGCCAAAAAAAATTTTAATTTAATTTAAAAAACTGGCATGCAGTGGTCATCAGGCCCAAATCAGAACTTTCTACCTTCCTTCCTCTCGCTTTGTGGTGTAGAATTTTCTTTTTTTAATATAAGCTTTTATTTTCTTTCTTTTTGGCAGCACTGAGGTTTGAACTCAGGGTCTCATGCTTGCTAGGCTGGCACTTGACCACTTGAGCCACTCTGCCAGCCCTTTCCTCCCTCCATCCCTTCCTTACCTCTGTCCCTCCCTCCCTCCCTTCCTTCCTTTTCTTCCCTCCCTCCCTCCCTTCCTTCCCTCCCTTACTCCCTCACTCCCTTCCTTCCTTCCTTCCTTTCTTTCTTTACTTTCTTTTTTTTCTTCCTTTTCTTTCTGAAATAACACAGACTCTGTTAAAATCCTGCTCTTACCACTAACTGGCTGTGAATCTTTGCACTGGTCACTTGCCCTCTCTGTATACCACTTCCTCATCTCTCAAAAGAAATCAAAATTAGGAATAGGACCCCACCCTAGAATTTGGGGGATATAAACAAACTGATGCAGGTTGAACATCCTTTATCTGAAATGCTTGGGACAAGAAGTAGTTCAGATTTCTGATTTTTCTGATGTTGAGATATTTACCTAACCAGATATGTGGGAATTGGGACCAAGTATGAACAGGAAATCTACAAAAGTCAGAGGCTAAGATGTCTGCAGTTAACACTGTATACTTTTCCAACCTCTTGGCCGGCAGCCTGTAACTTCAGAGTGTCCTAGCTAAGGAAGGGTGATGATTGGGGTCGCCATGGTTAGATGAGACCATAGTTGCTAGAGAAAGAGTTTTACCTCTTTTGTGTGTGTGTGTGCGTGCGTACGGTACTGGGGTTTGAACTCAGGGCCTACACCTTGAGCCACTCCACCAGCCCTTTTCTGTGATAGGTTTTTTTCAAGATAGGGTCTCATGAACTATTTGCCCAGGCTGGCTTCGAACTGCGATCTTACTGATCACTGAGTCCTGAGTAGCTAGGATTACAGCCATGAGCCCCAGGCACCATTGAAATTTTTTTCCAACCACATCTGTGGACTGGTGTTTGCCTTCTGGATGCTTCTCTATGGAGCCACTGGGTGGTGCCATTGCTGCATAAATGAAACAAACTGCCAGCTCTATCCCACAGACAGGAGCCCAGATGACCTCTCAAGGATCTTAGGAATTATTTATCCTAACCCCACCTCCACATCTTCCAGCCAGAGAACCAAAGCCAGGAGATAACCATCCCAATGTCACAAAGCTGGAGGGATCAGGGGACACCAGACAAAACACTGATGTCCACTTAAACATGAATTTCAGACGAACTGAATAATCTCTTCATGTGTTGTTTTGGGTGGGATGTATTTATATGAAATACTTACTTATCTGAAATTCAAATTTGTATGGTTATTTGTCAAGTGTACCAGTCCCCATCTAAGGGATGAAAGGAAGAGTAGAAAGACAATGAGCCCTGATGAAACTGCAGCTTATGGAGGGTTAGTGACTTGCCCAGGGCTACACTTGAGAGTCAGAGTCAGAATTTGAACCCAGGTCCTGACTCCACAGTCTCAGCTTTACCCCTTGCCCAGCTGTCTACATGTACAGCCTGCATGAGGCTGAGCCCTTCCTGCTGTGAGTGGCTCATTGTCCCCAATGAAGGACCCCCCCCATCTTCAACAGGTGTCTCTGTGGACCCTGATGAGTCTCAGTCTCTGTGACCTTGGCTGCCCTTGTCAAATCTTTGTCTTAGGACCCACCTCTGAGCATAACCTCAGGGTTTCATGACATCTGCCCCCTCTGTCCCCAGCAACTAGGGCCCTCTGCCCTCACGGCCATCGCTGTCTTCCTGAGCCTTCTTCCCCTGAATTTCTTCATCACCAAGAAACGGAGCCACCATCAGGTATGGTGTCTGGGAGCAGGGACAGGCTGGGCAGGAATTAGGGAGGTACCACAGGTCCCAGGCCCATGTTGGTGCCAGAGATAGGAGGGGAGTGGCTGGTGAAGGCCTGCAGGCCTAATTTTGTCCTTGTCCAGGTGTGACTCAGACCTATGTCTCAGTTTGCTGGATGAGGCTGCAACCCATCCAGAGCCTGACCCTCTTGCCTGGCTCTCCAAGCCTGTCTCTAGCCTGGGCATCTTTACACTGAGCCACTAGGTGGCACCATTGCTGCACAAATAGAACAAAGTGACCCACTGTTCCTAAGATTAGGGGATGAAGGGATGAAGGGCTGGGAGCGCCACCTGGAGGTACTCTAGAGAATGGGTCCAGATGACCTCTCAAATCTCAGACAGTTCCAGTAATTTAAAACTATTTGTTCTACCACCTCCCCCCCCATATTCCAAAGCCAGGACATAACCTTCCCAACATCACAAAGCTGGGTGGGCAGGGGAACACCAGACAAAACATGGTGCATTCTGTTAAGCTGGCCATCTCTCTATCACTGACTCCACACTTCTGCCTTCACTCCTTGCCCCCAGCCCAATCCTGCTTGCCAGCCAAAGGGGACATGTGACATCTAAACAAATCTCACTCAGTGTCACAACCAGAGACCCTGCAGGGGCCTCCCAGCCACCGTGACCTGGCCACACCCCATCTGTCTGTCCCTCCCTCGTTCTGCTTCTTCCACGGGCCTCCCCCAGTCTCACCCTGTGGATGCTCCACCTCCCGGCCTTTGCTCCTGTGGGTCCCTCTGCCTGGTCACCCTCCCTGCAGACATCCCCTGACCCCTCCCTCTCCTCCCTGCAGTCGGGGCCTCCTGTCACTGCCCCAGTTATAACATAGCTGCAGTACCCCCTCCACCTCACCTCTGGCTGGGTAAGACCTAGGCATGCATAGAAGGTGTTCAGTAAATAGTCCTGACTGAGGAAGGAGGGAGGGACAGACTTACTGCCCCTCTTCACTGGCTGTCCTAGTCCATCCCACCCATCAGTCCCCTGGGTCTCTCCAATTTCCTGTGTGGCCTCTGGGAAACTCTCCACACAGCTGTCCTGATAACAACTCCCCTTGGTGGAGCACAAGAGACCCCAGACTCCTCTGCCTGAACCTCCAGTGCCCCAGTGATCCTCACCCTGCTGAACTGCAGTTCACACTGTTCTATGGCCACCCAGAGTTTCCCCCTCAGTGTGGATGCCCCTGTCTCACCCTCACCCGCTCTCATCCACCTAGTCTTGCAGTTTGGCAACTGCCTCCTTGTTTAAGACCTGGGCGTCCACCCCCACCTCAAGGAGGCCCTTCCAGCTACATCACCCAGATTGACTGGGTATGGTTCTTTACCCTTTTCAGTGAGGGCAGCTACAGGGAGCCACAGGGGGACTCCTGCTCAGTCCCAGGGCCAGACAGAGAGGCACAGGGTTGGGGAGGCAGAATTGGTGGGATTTCTAAAGGGTGAATCCCAGGTCTTGCTTCTTCTTCCCTCTGGTTGCAGGAGGAGCAGATGAGGCAGAAAGATGCCCGGGCACGGCTCACCAGCTCCATCCTCAGGACCGTGAGGACCATCAAGGCCCACGGCTGGGAGGAGGCCTTTCTGGAGCGAGTCCTGCGCATCCGGGGCCAGGAGCTGGGGGCCTTGAAGACATCCACCCTCCTCTTCTCTGTGTCCCTGGTGTCCTTCCAAGTCTCCACGTTTCTGGTGATGTCACCCTGGTCTCACTGCAGAGCATGGGCTCGGGGAGGAGGTGGGGTGGGGAAGCCCATGCCTGCATGTGGCTAGACCACGTGGACCCCTGGAGACACCCCATTGTGCCCGGCTTACCACCCTCACCATCACCCTGTGTTTCACCAGGCCGCAGTGGTTGTGTTTGCAGTCCACACTCTGGTGGCCGAAGATAGTGCCATGGATGCAGAGAAAGCCTTTGTGACCCTCACCGTGCTTGGCATCCTCAACAAGGCCCAGGCCTTCCTGCCTTTCTCTGTGCACTACATCGTCCAGGTGAGGCATGGGGAGGGCTGGAGGCCATTTGTACACAATGCATACCAGGCCCACTGTCAGCAGGGAGGAGAGATGGGACCATGGGATGCAGTCAGGAGCATAGCAGAACGCCATCACAAGTGGCCCAGTGGGTAATGTGAGGACCACAGTGAATGTCCTGGGCAGTTCATTGTCAAGGTGGGGTTTTAACCCATGCAAGCTTTTTCTAGATAACAGGTTGACCAGATGCCTCAGTTTCCCATGCAAGAGTTTATCCCGCTTCCCTTTCTTAATCAGAGCCATTTTATTTCTCTGCCTTTGCTATCTCAAGTGCTTTCCCCACAAGCATCCCTTGGTGTGATCAAAACAAGGGACACTGCTTAACTGAGCTGCCTGTATTTTAATGGCCACCTTTTGAGTTGGGTTTGTGGTTTGAGCTAAGAGGGTGCCCTGGGTGGATAAAATTTGAAGTTACTCCACATCATGGCTATTGGAAAAGTGCCACCCTTGTCTCAGGTCCCACCCACAATTTCTCTAGTTAGGAGCCAGGAACTAGGGGAATCCTCATGAATGTCGCCCCCTCGATGTGTACCGTTTTCCATGACCTGAAAATGTTGTACAAATGCCTTGCACAGGCTAGGGCTGGGTAGGTAGGACCCAAAGCCTAGGCTCTTTGCTCTTCTGGCTGGGTGACAGGGGCTCTGTTTTCCCCAGGCCCGAGTGTCCTTTGACCGTCTGGCTGCCTTCCTCTGCCTGGAAGAAGTCACCCCTGGTGCCGTGGACACAAGTCTGCCTGGATACTGTGAGTGCTGAGTGGGGGGAGGAACAGAGGCACTGATGGCACATGCAGGTCCCCCGCCGTCAGCCCTGTCACTTGGAACCAGGCACCATGGAGGTTCTGCCCATCACTGAGCGACTGCTGTGGGGCACTGTGGGTGCCATTCTGGGTGCGGAGTGAGCACTGACTGACTGCCCTCGTGCGGAAAGTCCAGGGAAGGAAGCATGGGGACGTTTTCATCAAACGAGGAAGTCAGATCAGAGTTAAGGGCATCATTGGAGGTGACGAGCAAGCTGGTCTTCCCTGCTCTGCCCTTCCACTTTGATCTCCACGTGTGGGTCAACTCCTGTCAAGAGTTAATGGGGTCAGGGCCCCCACCCACTTTGTTGTAGTTAAGGCATCTCTGGTCGGCCTCTTATCTAGAAAAAACTTGTACGGGCTTAAAATTCTGCCATGGCAATGAACTGCCCAGATCCACGGTCTGCCCCAGCACTGACCTTGGCAAGTGGTTGACCTCTCAGAGCCTCAGTGCCCCCAACCTTGGGAGTCACAGCACCTGCTCCCTGGGGGTGTCTCGATGATCAAATGTGTTTAAGCATTGCACTTGCACCAGGGCCTGGTACAAGGTCAGGTGATAGCAAGCTTATTAGGAACATATTCTAGAAGTGGCACACAGGCCTCGAAGGAACCCAAATCCATACTTTGGGGACTACTTAAGACTCTAACACACTTTTATCTGGGCACAGCTTTGTTCTGCTGAATTGATGTGATTCAGAGTGCTGACCCAGGCCCTGGGTTCAAATCCTTCCCTGGCCACCTCCAGCTGAGTGGCTCTGGACAGTAGCTCCTCTCTGCTGGCTTCAGAGTCCCATGTGCCAGGAGGAACAGCAAGTCCATGGCTTTTAGGAGCTGCTCCATAAATAGCTGGCACAACTCTGCCATTATCCCCACTGGGGGACCATGTGTGTCCTCAAGAATAGACCCTGAGTGTTAATTCAGGCGTGAGTTCGACCTGCTTGGGGAAAGAGCCTCACTCCCCCAAAGCTGTACAGTACTGAGATGAATGTAAATAACAGAGCTCGCACCGTGTGGCCGCTGCCTGTGCGTCCACACAGCGTGAGGTGCTCTGTATAAAGTCATCCCCCTGCGTCTCTCCATAGCACTGTGTGTGCCCTGCTTCCTGGACTCGCCCATTTTACAGGTGGGGAAATAGAGGAAAAAAGAGGGAATCCTCACTCCTCAGATTGTTAGGAAGAGATGAGCCCCTGAAGAAGGATGGCCAGATTGTAAATGAAAATACAGGATGCCCAGTTAAATTCGAATATCAGATAAGCAGAATAATTCTTTGCTTCTCCTCTTGCTGGAGAGTGAGATTGGGGCACTGCACTTAGGCAGGCGCTGTACCACCTCCAGCAACATCCCAGTCCTTTCACTCTCAGCTTGTTTTTCATTTAGGGTCTGTTGCTTTTTGCTCAGGTGGCCTTGGATCTGGATCCTCCTTCCTCTACCTCCCAAGATCTTGGGATTACAGGCATGTACCACCATGCCTAGCTTGTTTTTGAGATAGGATCTTGCTAACTTTTTTGCCTGGGCTGGCCTCAAACCAGAGAATAAATTTTTAGTCTCATGAAATACCTGAGATATACTCAATATTAGAAAATTATTCCTTTGTCTGAAGTTCAAATTTAACTGGGCATTCTGCATTTTGTCTGGCAGGCTGTCCTTCCCTAGAGGACATCTAATTTAGTGGGTGTCAGAGAGTCTCTAACCAAGTAAAAGAGCTAAAAAATATGGGAGCTAAGTCCATCTCCCTGAGGGATTCTGGTTTAACAGACTTGGACTGAGACATAGAGAACTTAGAATTTTTTTTTTTTTGGGTTTTGTTATTTTGTTTGCTAGGTATTTTTTTTTTTTTGAAAAATTGTCCAGGTAATTCCAAAAGTGTGCTCAGAATGGAGATTAAAAACCTGAGACTCAGAGACCCAGGGAGGCCATCTGTCCCTATTGACACCTGTTGTGTTAATAATAATGGCCCTTCATTTGTTTAAGCCCTAGTTGGATAATAAGTTATACAGATCTTTTTCTGTAAAGGATCAGATCGCACACATTTTAGGCGTGTGGGTCAGTCTGTCACAACCACTCAACTCTAACATTTTAGCATGAATGCAGCCATTACTGGAATGAGTATGACTGTGTTTCAATAAAACATCATTTATAAAGATAGGCAGCAGGCAGGATTTGGCCCCTGGAACTGTGGCTCACCTGCCCCTGAGTTACACATCCACAGGACCACTGCAGAGCCCCCCATGACCTGTGGGAAGCAGGGCAGGTGTCCCCTGGAAGGCTGGGTGGGGTGGGGGCGTCTTGCAGACAGGAAGGCCGGTGGACAGGACCAGCCCTGTAACTGTCCCATGCCCTGCAGCCACTGAGAAGGAGTGCATCGGTGTACACAATGGCACCTTCGCGTGGTCCCAGGAGAGCCCGCCCTGCCTGCACAGGTACCAACACCTCCCCCAGCAGCCACCTCTATATCTAAGGGAGATGGTGACCTGGGTTCCAGTGCTCCTTACCTGAGAACCATGGCAGGTGTCCATCCTGAGGTGGAGGCTGGGCTTGGTGGGCCTGGGGCTCTGCTGGGGGAGGGGTCTTGGGCAAACAAGAGCCCTGTGGACAGTGTCAAGCCTCCCACATCAGCGGGAGGCCTCTACAACTGGAAAAGCCATGCTCAGGGAGGCCTGACCAAGAGCAGCCTGCAGGCCCAGCCTCATCAGCTGGGCCTACTCTCTATGCCTCCAGTATCAGTCCCAAGGCCATTGTCACCTTCAGCCCCCAACTTTACAGCTGGAATCTTGTGGCCAAAAATCTGAGCCATCCCCTATACTTCCTAAGAAGGGAAAAGAGACTCCCTGTGTAGTATTGGTGACGATTGCCACCCACCTGCTTCTCTGTTTATTGAGCAATTGCTATGTGTCAGACCCCGGGGGTGGAGTGAAGAAAACAGACAAAGGCCCTGCCATCTTGGAGTGACACTCTGATGAGTGGGGCACACATGAGAAGCCAGAGGAAGGGAAAAGAGTCCACAGCGTGGTCGTGGGGAAGGTTGGATTCAAGTTGAGGACACAATGAAGGGGAGAAGTGAGCCTTGCAGGGATTAAAGAGGAGAGCTTTTTACACAGAATGGGAAATGCAAAGGTCCTGGGGCAAGAGTGTGCCTCCACTGAGGTTACTCATTTTGATGTTTTGGGCTGAGAATTCTTTGTTGGGGGACATCTTGTGCAGAAGCCCCACTCAACTCCAGCTACTTCCCCCTACCAGTGGTGACAATCAAAGCAACCTTTCTAGACCTTGCCAAATGACCCTGGGAGGGGGCAGAACCAGTGGCCCCTTGTGATTAAGAAGCACTGAAGAAGTGGCTGTGGCTGCACCATGGAGCAGGAACCTGGGGTCTCTTCTTGCTCATCAGGACTTTAACTTTGACTTTGAGCAATGTGGGAAGCACTGCTAGAGAGCTGTGACCTCATAGGTTTTAACAGGGTCTTGTGGCCCCTGGGGGGAAGATGGGCTGCTGAAAATAGACAGGAGCAGGGCTGGACAGAGGCCAGGAGAGTGGCATGCCACCTGTTGTAACAGCCAGGGAGAGAGGCACTGGGCAAGTCACACACTCTGTGCGTGTGAAGGGGTGCATGTGTGCGCACAGCTGTATACGTGTGAGCATGTGTGCACTTGCATGTGTGGGATGTGTGCACATCGTGTGCACAGTTATGCACATGGCGTGTGTACATGTATGCTTGTGTGAGTGGCACACATGTGTGTGCCTGTGCATAAGTGTGGGAAGGATAGCCTCATGAAGCTCCAGGCAGGACCAAGGGAGAGAAATGTCCCCTCGTGTCTCCTAGTGACTTCCTGGAGGTGTGGGCAGGAGGGCCAGCTGGCTGTGTCCAGCAAACAGGCTGAGACCTAACCAGGGGTACATCTTCCCTGAGTTCCCAGGATCAACCTTGCCGTGCCCCAAGGCTGTCTGCTGGCTGTCGTGGGTCCGGTGGGGGCAGGGAAGTCCTCCCTCCTCTCTGCACTTCTCGGGGAGCTGTCGAAGGTAGATGGGTCCGTGACCATCAAGGTGAGGCCACCTGCCCCTGCTGCTAGGATGTCCCCATACCTTCCCCCCATGGCCAAGATCATTGCCATTAGCTCTATCTGCCCCCCCCCCGCTCCCCTCCCCTGCCCTAAACCCCTCCCCTGCCCACAAGTCCCCCTTCCCTACTCTACAGACTCACTCCTACCTCTGTAGCCAAAAGCAAATCATCTTTCAGGGTCCTGTGGCCTATGTGCCACAAGAAGCCTGGGTCCAAAACACCTCCGTGCTGGAGAACGTGTGCTTCGGGCAGGAGATGGACCCACCATGGCTGGAGAAGGTTCTGGAAGCCTGTGCCCTGGGGCCAGATGTGGATAGCTTCCCTGCAGGAGTCCACACCCGGATCGGGGAGCAAGTGAGGGTCTTGGGCCTTTTCAGGATAGGGAGACTTTGTAACCATGGGACATTGGCCTCCCTGACCTGCGGGCAGTATGATGAAGGGAAAGAGGGGGTCAGGAAAATGGAAGAGAAGAGGCGCCCCACTCAGGGTTAAGCAGGTAGCAGGTGCTCGGTGGCTATTTGTGAGTAATTGAAATTAGGCAGGGTCGTGGAGGAGTGGTGTAGGCTCTGACAGCTGGGAGTGAGAAGACCTGGATTCCAGCCCTGCCCTGCTCTGCCTGCTGGGTGGTATTAAGCAAATCACTTTCCCTCTCTCGGCCTTGCTAAGGGTCTGAGCAGAGATGGCCAGCAAACAGGATGAGGCATCTGGTGCTATGGAGAGAGTAGGGGTTGGCAAACTGTGTCCCGTGGGCCACACCTGGTGTTCTACTTGCTTGTGTAATAAGGTTTTATTGGGACACAGCCACACCCGTTCATTCATAACTGCCTTTAGCTGCTTCTGTGCTTGCAGGTCAGGGCTCAGTATTGATGACAAATGGCCAAAAAAGCTCAAACGGTTACTCTAGGGTTCTTTACAGAGAAGGTTTGCCGACCCTCGGATTAGGGGATTGCCGTGGAAACGGGAGTTCCAGTGAAGGGAGTGGATGAGGCTTTGCAGGGGGAAGAGCTGGCCCAGGGGAGAGACTCTGGAGGCGTCCCTCCTATCCAGTGTAGGCTGAGGAGCAGAGGGTGAGCCTGAGAACGGCCAGGAACGAGTTTGAGGCATCAGAGGCTCAGGAAAGAGTGTTTCCAAAAGGGAGGGTAGACTGCCACCCCCACGACTGTCCAGCTGTGTCACTCCCTGAAGCAGACATGTCCCAGAACTCATCCTGTGACCTGCTACATCTAAGGCACAGAACTCAGTCCACATCCTCTGTCTGCCTCAGTTCCTCTTCCTCTAACGTCTACAGCTAATCTGTCAGCAAATCCAGTTGAGTCCCCATTAGACACAGACAGGAATGTTCTGCCTCCAACATCATCAACCTCGCTGTACTCCCTCCCCAGCCTCTGCAAGTCCTTCTTGACCTAGAACTCTCCATCCTCCTGCCTCTGCCTCCCAAGTGCTGGGATTACATGCATGCCCTACCTCACCCAGCTTGACCCCCTTATTGCTAGCCTCATCCCCATTAGGCCAACCCCAGAGCAACCAGATGGGCTCTATTCAAACATGGCTCAGGTCATATCTTCCCAGGCTCTCCCACTTCCTTCAGGGTCAAAGCCGATATCCTGAGCATCTCTGGCACTGTCCCCTCCCATGTGGCTGCACTTATCTTTCCGCCCCACCCCCCCCAGTATACTCCCCTTTTCCTGCATCTGTCTAACCACATGGGTCTCTTACAATGTTCCCTGAGCACTCAAAGCACCCTCCAACCTCAGGGCCTTTGCACCTGCCGTTCCCTCTGCTGGGGAAGCCATTCCCCAGGAGCCCATGTGGCTATCACCTTCTGTTACCTTTGAGGAGAGTCCTGCCCTGGCCACCTTACCCACACAGCAGCTCTGCTCAGACCAGTTCACCTTCCACTCATCTGTTTTATTCTTCATGTCCCAGGCACTTGGCTGTGCTCATGGCTATGTCCCCAGAGCCCAGGACACTACTGGGCATAGAGTGACCACACAGTAAATATGAATGAGTGAATGGGAATGACTAAAAAGCTACCATTGGATGGAGGTCACAGGGAAATGCCAGCATCCTAATCAACAGTGTCATCAGTGGAGGAAAATGAGCAAAAGCTGCTGAGCAGGATGGGGAAGTGAATGGGATAAGAGATGGCCAGGGGGTAGCCAGCTTGGTCCAGTCTTTCCAGGGTCACCCAGCATATGAGGACTGGGGTCCCTGTCCCTCTCTGTGCACACAGGGCATGAATCTCTCTGGGGGCCAGAAGCAGCGTCTGAGCCTGGCCCGGGCTGTGTACAGAAAGGCTGCCGTGTACCTGTTGGATGACCCCCTGGCAGCCCTCGATGCCCACGTCGGCCAGCATGTCTTCAACCAGGTCATTGGGCCCGGCGGGCTGCTCCAGGGAACGGTGAGTTCAGGAACGTGTGTCAGGGGTCACAGGCAAGGGCAGAGGAATCCTTAGAATTCACTCCTAACCACCTCTCTCCTTGAGTCCAGTTTTCTTCCTTGTATTGGTCAGCTTTTGCTGTGACAATGCCACATAACAACCCCCCCCACTGGTTTGCAACAGTGTTTATTTCTTGTTTATGTGTCTGTGGTTAAACTACTTAGGATTTTTTCACAAGGGTGTGAAAGTGCTAGACATTCAGCAGAAAGCCAGGAAAAGATCAGCATGCGTGTAACTTCCCCTCCTTCCATGACCAGACTCGGATCCTCGTGACCCATGCACTCCACGTCCTGCCCCAGGCTGACCAGATCGTGGTGATGGCTGACGGGGCCATCGCAGAGATCGGCTCCTACCAGGAGCTTCTGCACAAGAAGGGCGCTCTGGTGGGGCTTCTGGATGGAGCCAGACAGCCAGGAGGTGGAGGAGAAGGAGGTACTGACTGGTTATTGCTGAGTATCTGTACCTGGCTCCTGTCACCTTCAGTGGGAGGAGGGACTCTCCATGGGTCCATTGGCATGAGTGGAGAGCCTGGGGAGATGCTCACTGCAGGCCAAAGCCTGGAAGAGGACACTTGTCCCTCCTATGTGCCAGAGACCATGATAAGTGTCTGCACAATCATACACCATTGCCCTCCATCCTACGATAACCCCTGCGGCATGCCTAGCCATTGCTGCCACCTTACAGATGACCAATGTGGAGCCCAAGGGCACAGGTTAGAACCTGGGTGTGTTCAACTCCAGGGTCTGTTACAGAGACCGAGTTTACCCTGATGCCTAGAGAGACCAAAGTCTGCTGGATAAACAGGAGGTTCTGGCAGTAACATCACCTGTGATAGTTACCCGCAGTGAGTGAAAAATACCAGCTCACAGCCCCTTGCTTGTTAGCATTGAATCAGTGTAGTGCCCCTGTGAGGCTGGGACTCTACTTGTCCCATTTCACACATGAGGAAACTGAGGCCCAGAAGTTAAGGAACTGGTCAGAGTTACATGGATGGCTTTTAGGTAGCTGTGCAACTTGACTGCCAAGGAATCTTTTTAAATCACTGAGCTACATGCTCTCCTACAACAGAACAAAGACTTAATCCTAGGTCTCCCTCAGCCTTGGGCTCTAACTTTTCTGGAAACATCTTTTCAGAACTAGCCTACTATCATCAAAACCCTAGGCTATTGATTCAGTGTCACTGCCTTGGAACTAGACAGTGGAACTTGCCCATTTGTATTTGTCAGCTTTTGCTGTGATGGATAACAAAGAATCCCCAAATCTCGGTGGTTCACAATAGCAGTTGCTTCTCGCTCAAGGCTCTGTGGTTAAACTAGTGTAGTTCTGCTTGGGGAACTATCCCGGTCTGGGGAGCAGTGAGTAGAGGAGGTCCTGAGGGAGATGGCATCTGAGGTTGGGTGTGAGTCACCCAGGAAAGAACATCCCAGGTAAAGGAACTGTTTGAACAAGGGTGCTGGGGGAATACGAGGCAACCTGACTTTGTACAATGTTCACTGCTGTTTTTCCGACCCCATGTGTGTAGCAGGTGATCAGTGGTATTTGCTGAGTGAATGAATGAACGCTGAGTGAACCCCTGGGGAGGGTGAAAGAGGTTGGTGGAAAGGCACTGGAGCCACACCAGGGAAGCAGATGCTAGGAGAGGTCAGGATCACATAGAAGGGAGTGTCAAAGCCAGCATCTGGACCCTATGGTTAGACCCTCTTCATGTCACATGACTTCCTTGACCTTGCAGAAACAGAACCTGGGGCCAGCACTGGTGACCCTGGAGGTGGTGGGCCTGAACTCAGACCAGAGATGTGAGTTGACTGGTGGTGGGCATGGGAGGGGGTGGCAGGGTCTGCCTGTGGCCGATGCCACTCAGGCAGAGGGGGGCAACCAAAACTATCACAAACTGAATGCCCACTGAATACCTCTGAATGTTCAGTGCAGATAATTCACCAAAAACTACTAGTCAGCCAATTGGCTCAAATGATTTTAAGTCCTCAGTTCACAGAATGAACAATTTGTCCTCCAACATGACCAATGCATTAAAGTGGACTAAGGACGGTTGTCAGAGTTCTCTCAGTGCCAGAATAGGCCAGGCTGGTTGTTAATAGCTATGCCAGGCTCTATCGCTCAGGCTCTGATAGACCGAAGGGCATAGGCCTTGAGTCTCTCCCTGGGGCATTGCTGGTGCCATCCAGAACCTATAGACCCACTGTCCTCTTTTCTCCCAGTTCTCTTCAGCCAGGCACAGCTGGATGCATATAGGGCCATCTGCAAAGGAAGGATCTGGAGCCTACCCTTCTTGTGGAGGGTGGGCCTGTGACAAAGCCACAGGCTGCTGGGTGCCATAGTGTGAACTTAGGTGCCAGCTGTCATGGGGATGGGTGAGGGGACAAACAAGGGGGACTTTAGGCCTTGGGATGTTGAGCTAAGTACAGCTCCTCCATCCCATCCCAGCCGGCCACCATGAGTGAAACAATGGACAGTCATGCAGTAGGATCAGATAGACAGATGGATGTATATGTGTTGATGTATATGTGGATGAGAGGATGGATGGATAAATGGATGGATGGATGGATGGATGGATGGGTGGATGAGTGGATGGATGGATGCATGCATGATGGGTGGGTAGGAGGATAAATGGATAAGAAAATTATATGGCTAAATTGGAGGATTTATTATAATAAATAGCAGATTGATAGAAGATATATCTATCTATAGATGATACATGATAGATAGTAGATGATAGGTTGATAGATATTATCCCCATTTTGTGACCAGAGAAACTGAGGCACAAAGTAGCTAAACCAATCTACTCATCCACAGAAGAAAGGACCATTCAGGAAGTCATTAGCCTCTGAAATGTACAAAATTGACAATCTGGTCTAACAAATCTGGAAGTGAACAGCTGGGACAAAACAATTGCAGCAAAGCTTAGGCTAAACTGAAAGCAGACTTGTGGGGTTGGGCAATGAGATGACTTCAGGGCCAGGCTTGCTTGACCCTGGGTGATAGATGGTGCATAGCTGGGTACCACACTGGGAGAAGGGAAGTGTGATGTCTAGTGGGTGCTTGATATGAATAAATGAGGAATGGGAGAGTGTGTACCCTAGAGGGGTAGCTACCAGTGACCTGAGGGCTGGGCACTGCCTCTACCCACGAAGAGAGACACTGATTTGTCCTTATTTCCTCTAAGTGACAGGTCCATCAAGTCAGCCTCTGCAAGGGTCAATGCCACTTCAGAAGCCCAGACAGGGGTTCCTCTGGATGACCTTCAGAGCACAGGACAGCAAGCAGGAGAGGACAGCATACTGTATGGCCGGGTAACCACCAGCTGCCCCTGTTGCCCCCAGGACCCCAGTCCCCACCAGATATAGCACTGGGGGAAAAGGAGTGGTTGTCTTTTCTGAGCATTGCTATGTGTCAGTAAGATTCTAGACTATTTCTTAATCCTCACAACCATCTTAGAAAATGGATGGTGATAAATCCTTTTTAGGGATGAAGTAACTGAGGTCGAGAAGAGCTAAGAGACTTGTCTGACCAACTCTGGACTTGAGTCTAGGTGTGTCCACATCTTAAGTTTGTACCATTTCTCTTCTTCCATACTGCTCTGTCTGCCCACCCACTCATCCTGTCACCCATCATATACACATCCACCCACTCATCCATGCCATCACCTACCCACTCCAATGATTCAATAATACACTCACTCATCCTCCAATTTATCACTCTGTTCCCATCCACCTTCTCACCCATCCCACCTAACCATATACCCAACCATCCACTCATTTATAGCTATCCATCCATTTATCTATCTTTCCATCATTTATCTGTCTATCCAGCCATCTATTCATTCATTTATCCATCTTACCAGGCTGAGGGAATGGCCTGATAGAGCTCTGAGGTGGGAGAACGTAAGGTACCAAAGAAGGGGAAGGGACCCATGAGGTTTACCCACTTGGAGAGTCATGGGCAGGCCAACAGCACAAGATATGATTAAGCCGACATTTCCAGAAGTTTCCTAAGGAGGCAGCTGGGCAGTGCAAATGTAGGACCAGCACTAGAAGCAGGTGCCTTCACTACTCTGTGCCCCCATGTCTTTAGCTGTGGAGCGGAGGTTATGGGGAGCATAAAGACATGTATCTGTCCCCACCCAAAACCACATGTTGCCCAGCCTGTCACCTTAAGACTTCTAGTGGCCCACTGCGGGGTCTTTAGCAGAGGGGGTCCTGAGGCAGGTGAGGTGGGGGTCTGTAGGGGTGATGGTGCTCCTGGTGGGAGGCATTGAGAGAGGACAGGTGAGGGATGCATGGAAATTCCCCTGCCAGAGTTCTAGGGAGCTTCACCTGGCCCGGCCCTGATTCATCCTTCCCTGTCCTCTGTCACCTTCTCCCCTGGCTGTCCTACAGGTGAAGGCTGCCATGTACCTGACCTACCTGCAGGCTGTGGGTGCCCCCCTCTGCATCTACACCCTCTTGCTCTTCCTCTTCCAGCAAGTGGCCTCCTTCTGCCGGGGCTACTGGCTGAGCCTGTGGGCAGATGACCCGGTTGTAGATGGGCAGCAGTCACAGGCTGCCTTGCGTGGCTGGGTCTTTGGGCTCCTCGGCTGTCTCCAAGGTACCCCTGTTCCCCACTCTCCTTGTCATCCTGCACTGCACTGAGGTCATGCCCCCTTCGCCTCTCCTCAGATCACCCCATCCTGCCTGAACATCTGTGGAGAAGGTCTGGGGACCAAGTGAGAGACCCTGTCTCAAAAATCAAAAAACAAAAAAAAGTAGGGCTAGGGGAAGCAATGGCAGAGGACAAGGCACATTGTACCTCTTCTGGAATCAAATCTCTCTTAGCCCCTTCACATTTGCAGAGGCCAGCTCCAAGGTCTTCTCTGCTGATGACACTCAGTGCCCTGCCCCAACCTCCAGACAGAGCCAGACCCCTTCCCAACAGATACATCACTGCCACAGTTTTCTCCCTTCTTTTAAAAAAAAAAAAAACAACCATTGAGATATTTATTGAATTAATTGAAGGCTCACGTGTAGTTGTAAGAGGCAGAGAGCTCCTCATACATGGACACTCTGCCCATTTCTCCCCATGGTACCAAGCTGCAAAACATTGTCCAATAGCACAGGAGGGAAATTGACATGGGCCAATCAGCTGATCTTATTCAAATTTGCCATTGTGTGCTGCTCTGCAATTTTATTGCGTGTGTAGGTTCCATCACCACCTTCAAGATAGAGAACTGGTCCATCTGTTCTGCAACAGTAACTCATGTAGCTCTTTGATTTTGTTTCTTTTTGGTGATACTGGGGATTGAGCTTGCAAGGCAAGTGCTCTGCCACTTAAGCCACACACCCCCAAGTCCTTTTTCTTTTGGTTGTTTTTCAGATAGGTTCTTGCATGGGACAGCCTCAGAACATGATCCTCCTGCCTCCATCTCCTGAGAGGCCAGGAGTGTGCATTGCCATGCCTGGACCATGCTATTCTGTAATAATTACACGCGCCTTCTTCCAGTCTCCCAGACCTTGTCTCTATCCCCTGGTTCTCCTCAAATTTCGCCCAGCTGAAGGGAGTAATGAGAGCCAATGTGTTAAGTTAGCCCCATCCTTAAAGGGTAGTTTCAGTCTGATTCAGTAACCTTGGCCACATTACCAAAATGCTGTAAATCTTTCTGTAAAGTGGGGATATCAGGTCTGAACTTGAGGACCCTTCTAGTCCTAAAAAGCCAGAGACCTGCTCACCACAGCTGCTTGTACAGTGGAGCCCTCAGGGCAAAAGGTTACTTCATCAAGAGGGACTAGAAAATCAAATTTCACCAGCCAAGCCCTGGAATCAACTCAAATCTCCAATCGGGTGTATGTTCCCATCAAAACCCTCTCACGTTGGTCCCTCACTCAGTAGCTACAGGCAAGTCTTCCTATCCCTCTTGTAAAGATGTGCACCTAGAGCCGAAGAAGAGTGATTGGTTATGACTTTTGAATACAAGAACTGAAAATTCAGCTCCAACTAAATTGGTTTAAGCACAAGAGAATTTTTTTAGCTCATGGGTCTGGCTGGTATCCATAGGCAAATAGCTTCAGGTATGGTTGCATCCAGGACTCCAAACAAAGTTGTGAGAAATGGCTTCACTTCCTTCTACCGTGAGGGGTTCCTGTGCAGGCAGGCTCCTCCCCTAGTGGTAAGATAATATTCCAGAGGTCCACCTTGGTCCCTTTATAAAAGCAAGTACCTCCATCCCAAAAGTTCTAAGAGAGTCCCAGGTCTCACTCTCATTGGTCCAGCGTGGGTCATATGTTCATCCCTGAGCCAATGTCAGTGGTTTGGATTGGCCAGGGATAGATTTTGTTCCCTCAGAGCCAAGGACTAAAGTGAGCCAGTGAGCTCCATCCCACGCACACAGATCGACACTGGGAGGAAGTGCGATTACACGCTACTTAACGTTAGGGATAAGTTCTGAGAAATTGTCAGTCGGCTGTTTGGTCATTGTGCGAACGCCATACGGTAGAAGGTTGTAAACCTGGATGGTGGAGGCGTAATATCCGTATCGCTCTGTACCACCACGGATCTGGGAGACACAAATTGTATGAGGTGCTGTAACATGGCATACTGCTTTGCAGTTTTGCAGTAACCTTATTTTTATACAAGTAGAAGGAGCCAGGCATGGTGGTACACACCTGTGACCCCAGCTACTTGGGAGGTAAGGATAGGAGGATTGAGGTCCAAAGCCAGCCCAGGCAAAAGTGTGAGACCCTATCTGAAAAACTCAAAGCAAAAGAGTGGCAGGGGATATGGCTCAAATGGTACAGTACCTGCCTAGCAAGTGTGGGACCCCAAGTTTAATCCCCCAGCACAGCACACACATGCACAAAAGACCCAGCGTTGTAGCTCAAGCCTGTAATCTTAGCTACTCAGGGGGGCAGAGATTGGGAGGATTGTGGTTTGAAGCTGGCTTGGGCAAAAAACATGAGTCCCTACCTAAAAAAATAACTTAAAGCAAAAAGGGCTGGCGGCATGGTTCAAATGGGAGAACATCTGCCTAGCAAATGCAAGGCCCTGAGTTCAAACTCCACAAAAGTAGAATACTCTAAAATAGCAACAAAAGTATAGTATGAATGTAAACCAGTAATAGTCACTTTTGACTAAGTACCACCCATCACTGTGCATCGCACCACTGCATCACGAAGACTGACATCGCTAGGTGATAGAAATTTTTCGCTCTGCCATAATCTTATGGAGACTACATCCTCTATGTGGTCCATTTTGGGACCAAAATGTCCTTATGTGGCACCTGACTGTATATAAGCTTCCTCAGACTGCTGTAAAACAAGTTACCATCGGCATGTATCCCCACAGCTCTGAGAGTAGAAATCTAAACCCACAAAGAGGCCATGAGGGAGGAGACCCCCCCCCCACCATGCCTCTCTAGCAGCTCCCAGTGACTTCCTTGGCTTGTAGAGGTTTCACTGCAGTCTCTCCCTGTGTCTTAGCATCTTTGTGCCTGTGATGTTCTTACAAGGACACCAAAGACTGAAGTTAGGTGCCGTCTAAATTCAGGATGATCTTAAATGACATCTGCAAAGACTCCCTTTCCAAACAAGGTCATATTCTGAGGTCCTGGTAGATGTGAATTTTGGAGGACACTATTCAAGTCCCTAGAGGGTGGGTGATCAGAGTGGCCTAATCATAAAATGGCCAGTGCAGGGTGGTGGGAGAGAGCTGCCCAAGTCCCGAAGCAGTGCACTTGGGGATCTCCAGGCCTCACGCTGTGATCCTTCATCCCCCCACAGCCATCGGGCTATTTGCCTCCATGGCTGCAGTGTTCCTGGGTGGGATCCGAGCATCCAGCCTGCTCTTCCGGAAGCTTCTGTGGGATGTGGCTCGGTCTCCCATTGGCTTCTTTGAGCAGACACCCATCGGGAACCTACTGAACCGCTTCTCCAAGGAGACAGACACCGTGGATGTGGACATCCCCGACAAACTCAGGACCCTGCTGACTTTTGCCTTTGGACTCCTGGAGGTCGGCCTGGCGGTGACAATGGCCACTCCCCTGGCCATTGTGGCCATCCTGCCACTGATAGTCCTCTATGCTGGGTTTCAGGTAGGGAGAGGTCAGGGAGGCTTCTGGGGCCAGCTGAGGTCACCTCTGCCAGTCTTTTCTCTGAGCAGGACATAGTGTGAGAGGTTCTTCCCAGCTGGGTGTGTGGGGCTGCCCTGTGAAGTGTCCCCAGGACTGGAGCACCACAGTCTCATACTCACATTAGTCATGTCATGGTGTGGTGGCACACACCTGAAATCCCAGCTCTTGGGAGGCTGAGGTAGAAAGGTCACGAATTCGAGGTCAGCCTGTGCTACTTAGTGAAACCCTGTCTCAAAAAAATTCTTCTTAATATCTGTCCTTTTGCCCACTGCTTCCTCTTCTCCAATTATCTGAATACTGATCAAACATCGCAAGGTCTCAGACTATTATAGATTCTTTCTTTGCCATAGTCAGAGACCAACTGTAATTGGCCTACCCAAAAGAACCTACCTAATGTGAGCTGGGTGTGGTGGTGCACACCTGTGATCCCAGCACTCAGGAGGCTGAGGCAGGAGCATCGAGAGTTCCTGGCTAGCCTGGTCAAGACCTTGTCTCATTAAGGAGAATTTAACAGCTTACATTTCTGGGCTGCAGTGGGTCCATCTGTCACCAGGACACTTCTTGTCACTATAGCTGTGCTCGGTGATTCTCAAAGTGTGACCCAGAGCCAGAAGCATCAGAATCACCTGGGAGTCAGGTAGAGATGCAAGTTCTCAGGCCCCATCCCAGACCCACCCCCCACACATACTGTGGGAATGGGCTTGTCACAAACCCTCTAATTCTGATGCATGTGGATGGTTGAGAGCACCTGGCTTAACTCTGCTTGACCTGGCTTTGCACATGCTTTTTCAGGTCTGATGGCCCTCAACAACCTTCTGCTCCACCTTAGCAACCCCAGCTCCATATTCATAGATCAATCCCAGGGAAGGTTTTTATTGGCCCATTATGGGTCATGTGCCCATTCTTGAGCCAATCACAGTGATACAATGGATAGTATGTTCTGACTAGCTAGGCTGGGTCATAACCAAGTCCCATGATTGACAGTGTCCCCAGCACTTTCCACCCACAGGAAATCTGAGTTTTGTCTGGGGTCAGGCAAAAACGATGACTACTACTGTTTTCCGTTGCCCCATCTCTTCTCTAAGTCCTAATGACAGAGAATGGGATGTTTCTCTGTCATGAGCTTTGAAGTTAGGCAGAGATGGCTTTGAGTCTAGGCCCTGCCACATACTGTAGAGACCAGAACGGCTGCTAGTCCCCTGAAATTGGAACCGAGAATGCAAGCAACTGGCTATGATCACACAGCCTGGTCTGGAACCCTGTACTGGGGGACCCCTGTGCTTCTGGGTGTTACCTCCCTGTGTATCTGACTGCTCCCTTCCTGTCTCTTATCCATCCTGCCTCAGAGCCTGTATGTGGCCACCTCATGCCAGCTGAGACGCCTGGAGTCAGCCAGCTACTCTTCAGTGTGTTCCCACATGGCTGAGACATTCCAGGGCAGTGCAGTGGTCAGGGCGTTCCGAGCCCAGGGCCCCTTTGTGACTCAAAACAATGTTCTCGTGGATGAAAACCAGAGGGTCAGTTTCCCAAGACTGGTGGCTGACAGGTAGGAAGGGCTTGGGGATAGAGAAGACCCTATAATCTGTGTTCACAGAGGGGAGCCCTGAGATCATACTGGCTGGAGAGGTCACGTGCTTGCTCCAGGTCCCATAGCAAGTTGGGGGGAAGGGTGAGACTGGAGCTCATCGTCCATCTGTGGCCTTGTACCATGAGCACGTGGCCAGAGAGGTTCCCCAATAGCTAAGTATTACATCCATATAAAGATAATATTTCATTATATAGATGGGTAAACTGGGATTCAAAGACGTGAGGGGACTCCCCACACACTAGCGCCCTAGGAAGCGGCAAACTTTAGGGTGAGGCATTTTTTTGCAGTACTGGGATTTGAGCTCGGGGCCTCAGGCTTGCTAGACAGGTGCTGTAACACTTAAGGCCCATCCCCCACCATTTTGCCAATCTGTTCTCTCACTGGTTGCTTCCTTGAGAAGCACGACCTGTTGGAGAGGCTCTGTGCTTTCTGGTATCTGTCAGATAGAAGTGGCTTCTGCAAGCAGCTAACCCTCTCTGAGTCTCAGTTTCCTCGTCTATCAAAGGGGAACAATCCCCACTCCTCTTGTTAGGAAGATTAGATGTTATGTGTGGTAAAGCGTGGGGCTTCCTATAGACAGTGAATTCTTACCTATTTGAGTCACAGCTGTGTCCCCAATACCTCAGAAGTGCTCGATGTATGTCTGTTGGATGAGCGAATGTAGAGCAGGAACTCACTGAGGGTCCATGTTTACTTGTCCATTCAGTAAATAATTCTTGAGTGCCTACTCTGGACTGGGTCCTGAACTAGGTATTGGAGATAGAGCCCTGAATGAGACAGGGTCCCTGCCCCCACAGAGCCCATGATCTCCTAATGGAGACGAGTCAATGATGGATTGAATGACTTAGCTACAGAGAGATAACTGTAGTGAAGGATGTGGTGCTACAGAGAAAGTAGAGGTGCTATCAGGGAAGGCTCTCAGAGGAGGTTGACATTTGGCTTGACTTACAGGAAGCTAAGATATTGGCCACATGAAGAGGGAGGTTGGGATCAGGCCAGGGGGACAGCAAGGACACATAGCTTGGCATATCCTAGGGACAGTAAAGCTCTACTGAGCACTGAGCATGTGCCAGACCCTGGGGTGGGTCCAAGAGAGACAGAGTCACCTGCCACCTCCCCTCCTCTTGGGTGTGAGGAGATCATTGCTGCAACTCCTGTAAGTACTGAACCAACAGGATGACCAGTCCTTGTGACCAGAGAAGTGGGTCCTGGCAGATGAGGTCCCCCACTGACCCTGCTGTGTGACCTGCTTCACTTTGCAGGTGGCTGGCTGCCAACCTGGAACTCCTGGGGAACGGTCTGGTATTCGTGGCTGCCATGTGTGCTGTTGTGAGTAAGGCTCACCTGAGTGCTGGCATCGTGGGATTTTCTGTCTCGGCTGCCCTCCAGGTACCCCAGCACCTGGGCTTGGGGTGGGAACAGAACTGGAGACAGATCCCTATGAGTGGATACTCAAGAACCCCCAAGTCAAAACTGCCTAGCGGTCAGGAAACTATAACTCTGTGAGACTGCACTTAGTCCAGGTGACCTTGTCTGACCTTGAGCAAGAGTCTTCCCTAGGGAAGACTCAATGTGCACATGAGAAAAAGGGGCCAGGACTGTCACTTCTGACCTTTGCAAGTCTGGTTGAGATAGAGCTCAGAGGGTGGGTTTCCAGGTTGGGAGTGTGACTAAGTGGTAGAGTACCTGCCTAGCACGCACAGGGCTCTGGGGTCCATCCCCATCCCCAGCACTGCAAAAACAACAAACAGAACAGTGGACCCCTGGTGCACTGTTAGTTTTTTGGTAGCTATTTTGGAGCTATACATCTCACTTTGAGATGTCAGGTCATGACATCTCAAAGTGACATTTGGTAGGAATGAAGCATGGTTCTAAGCACTTCATAAGTAGTAACTTATTTAATTCTGCCCACAGCCCCAGTCAGGGTGGTGGTACGTATTATCCTCCTTTTATGGTTGAGGTTACTAAGCTTAAGTTAAAGCAAGCCAAAGGTTGGGGTGTGCCACAGGTGGGAAGGAAGCTGGGAAGGCCAGAAGGAAGTGAGGCAGGGATGTGAAGTATGTGTTGGGTTGGGGGATGGGACAGTGCTCTGGGCAGAAGGAACAGCAGGAGGAAAGGCCTTGAGGCCATGCTGGGTGGGGACATCCCTGATGTGCTAGAGGAAGGACAATAAGGCAGGTGTGGCTGGAGAGGGCAGTGGGGTTGTGGAGAGGAGGGCAGGGCTGGCAGGTGCACAGAACTGTTCATGCATCCTAGTCTTAGCAAGGAGCTTGGAGGCTCCCAAGTGTGAAGAGAAACCAGTGGGGACACTGTCAAGATGGAATCAGCAGGCTTAGGACATGCTGGGTGTCCTTGGAGGGCTGTGTACCCTCTCTGGTACTGTTTCCCTACCTGTAACAAGATGGTTTGGACTAGCCGGTGTCTGAGGGCCCTTGTTTTTGGCACACTCAGGTTCTACCGCGTAAAGGGAGGGATACTGTTGGCTGAAGTCAAATCTAATCTCTTTGGACCCAAGTCCTCAGGCGCCCCTGTTCCTATGACCCCTCTTTATTCCCCTGCCTCAGGGTGGGGGCTCTGCAAGCCCAATGTGAGCACAGCCTGAGGTGTCCTCCTTGCACCAGGTGACCCAGACACTGCAGTGGGTTGTTCGCAGCTGGACAGACCTGGAGAACAGCATCGTGGCAGTAGAACGGGTGCAGAGCTATGTGCACACGCCCAAGGAGGTGACAGGCGGAAGACGGGGTGGGGATGCCCTGGATGGACACACAAGGGAGGGCAGCAGACCCAGGTCAATGTCTTGCAGTGAACTTTGGAGTCTGTCCCCTTTTCTGTCCCCTGAAGGCCCTACCACTGTAGGCTGGAGTCACAGCTAGGATGGGGGTGATGGTGAAGACTGTCAAATCCTTCCCACCTCGAGTGAGGCAGGTTCCCCATTAGAGGGACAGGGGACAATGAGGGACAGGAGGCAAAGGCAATGTAACAGAAACGCTGTAGTAACAGGATAGCACCGTTTTAGAAAATAATTACATATGGTAATAGTTAATTGCAGGAATGCAACAGCAGGACTGTGACATTGCAGGGATGCAACCACAACTTTGTAGGACTAGGACAGGAATATTAAAGTCAGGTGATTGCCACATTTTAGGGACAAACAGCAATATAGTAGCAACGTGCCTGCAATAAACAGCAACAGAGTACCTGATGGCAACATAGGAAGTAGAAACTGACCTTGTTACAGTAGCAGTTTTTGGGTGACAGAGCAGCAATGTAACAACACAACTGGTTTTTCTGGAAGGACCCAATGATCCTGCAGGGAAGGATGTAGCCTAGGCCCCTGTCCTGCTATAAACACAGGCCAGGTCCCCTGCTCTTTTATCTCCATTTAACACACGAGCCCAAGCCCCACGGGTGGAATGATCTGTCCGAGGCCACAGGAGCTCCACACAGCACAGTCCTGTCCTAATCACCAAGATGCGAATGTCCACTCCTACTACAGGAAGAGAGACTATTTCTTGACAACAAGCAGTGGTTAGCACAAAGAGAGAACAGGTCACCAGACTGTCACTATTTTTATGATACCACATGTTTTTCAAGTTTAAGTTCTAGGACAGCCTTGTAACACAGCAGTAAATGTGCTCCCTCTGGGAGGGCTTCTCTGATCAGTGTGTCTCACCCCCTCTCCAGGCTCCCTGGAGGCTGCCCACCTGTGCAGCTCGGCCCCCCTGGCCTTGTGGGGGACAGATTGAGTTCCAGAATTTTGGGCTGAGACACCGACCAGAGCTTCCGCTGGCGGTGCAGGGCGTGTCCCTGAAGATCCACGCAGGGGAGAAGGTGAGAAGCTCTCCCACCATGTCCTCATAGATGCCAGGTACCAGGGTCCAGGCCTGGGTACCAGTCGCCCCCTCAATGTCCCCAAATTTTCAGACCCCCACCCCCTAAACTGGATTTCACATTCCCAAATCTGCCTCTGTGAATGACTTCTTCCATCCATCTTGGAACCCCTGACTATTCCTTCCTCTCTTTAATTGAACACCTCTTATGTGTTCGCCAGTGGCAAATGTTCTGTTGACACTATACAGTTTGCATGGGATGGTTCCTGGCTTTGCCATGGGTGACCTTCAGCAAGTCAATTCATGTCTTGGTCTCAGTTTTTCCATCTATAAAGTGGGAACAGTAACACTGACCTCAGAGTTGTTGAGAAGTTTGAGATAAATGCTCAGAAAGCGCCTGGGACTTGGTGGGCACTATGGAAACATGGCAGTGTTTAACTACTGTTGGCATGTTTACTCTCGAAACAACCCTACGAGGACCCCATTTGTGGAATCCTCCTCTCTGCCACCCACCCCCTCCACTGCTCCAGGCTCCCCAGAGAGCCTCCATCTCCCCACCTCCATCTTCGTGTCTTGAGAGCTGTTTGAACATGACATTGTCCTGCTCTAAATCTTCCACCAGCTCCCAGCTTCCCTCAGAGTGAAGTCTGAACTTCTGAACTTGGCATTCAGGGCCCTGCCCACCTCCTCTGCCAGTGGTGGTGATGCTGCCTCTGAGCCAGATGGGCTGTAAGCTCAGTGAGTTTATAGTCTGGTAACTCATTTGGTGCACTTTACCTGAAATCCTTCCCGTCCCTGAACTCATACTCATCCTTCAAGAGCCCATTCAAGTTGCCCCTCTCTTTCTGAAGCCTTCTCTGGTTACCCCCACCAAACCTCACTCCAGGCAGCATGAATAGGACCTCCATGTTTACCTTGGTTACTACGGGTCCCATACTTGCTCCTCACACTCTATTAAGTTTACCCATTGCACAATTTCCAAGACCACAGGGTAAGCACTTTTCTGTGTTCCTGGTGTTTACAAGTGAGCATGGCATTCCGAGGGAGACCTACATGTTTGCTAGGCAGTTTTGAACCCCAGCATGGGTCAGACATTGAGGAAACAGCATTAGCGAGAGAGAAGGGTGGGAGGAAGAATGGGCAGTTGGATGGAAGGATGAGGGGTGGAAGAAAGAATGAGACATATGGATGGACGGGATACAGGATGGCTAAAAGGATGAGAAATGAATAGAAGAAAAGATGATGGGATGGAAGGAAGGGTGGATGGCAGGAGGATGGAAGATGAGGGCTGATGGAAGGGGGTGGTTTAGAAGGATAGGGAGAGACGGAGCAAGGCAGGATAGCTGGACAGAAAGAAGGGTGGGGGCAGATGGAAAGATGGGAGAGAGATGCAGGGTGAGGAAAGACAGACAAGAATGCACAGGTTGGGTGGATGGCTAGTACATGGAAAGGTGGACTTGTGGAAGGGTGGGTGCTCCAAGGATGATGAATGCACAGGTCTTTGGTGCAGGGAGACACCTCCCAAATAGATGCCCACGAGCCTGCTGGATTGGGTCTTGCCTTCTTTGGGCCAGACCTCGTCAGAACAGGCTGTACCCTCCCATTCCCTGGCAGGTGGGCATCGTGGGCAGGACAGGGGCCGGAAAGTCCTCTCTGGCTGGGGGCCTGCTACGGCTCCAGGAGGCAGCTGAGGGCAGGGTCTGGATCGATGGGGTCCCCATCGCCCATGTGGGGCTGCACACACTACGGTCCAGAATCACGATCATCCCTCAGGTGAGGCACAGGGAAACAGGCAAGGAGGGTGGATGGAGGTAGACAGAGTGACAGGGCTGTGCTTTGACCACTGCTCCTCCTGGCCAGGATCCCATTCTGCTCCCTGGCTCTCTGCGAATGAACCTGGACCTGCTGCAAGAGCACACGGATGAAGCCATCTGGGCAGCCCTGGAGACCGTGCAGTTCAGGACCTTTGTGAGCAGCCTTCCTGGCCAGCTGCAGTACGAGTGTGCCGATCACGGTGACGACCTGAGGTGTGCTCACCCACCATGGCAGCGGGGGGTCAGGGCAAAGGAAGAGGATGGCTTGGCCACAGAGTAGGACTAGGTAACATGAGCTGTATACCAAAACTAAGAGATTTAAATATAGTAAAATGTAATGTGAAATTTAACTCACAGCCATGACTTATGGGGACTGAACCCAGGGCCTTCTGCACGCTAAGCAAAATTCTACCACTGAGCCCCATCTCCAACCCACTTTTTTTTTTTTTTTGGCAGTACTAGGGTTTGAAATCAGGGCCTCATGTTTGCTAGGCAGGCACTGTACGACTTGAGCCCTCCACCAGCCATTTTTTTGATTGGGTATATTTGAGTAGGATCTCTCAAACTGTTTGCTCAGGCTGGCTTCGAACTACAAGCCTCCTGATCTTTTATTTTTTATTTTATTCATATGTGCATACAATGTTTGGGTCATTTCTCCCCCCTTCCTCCGCTCCCTCCCTTACTCCCCTTACCCCTCACTACCTGGCAGAAACTATTTTGCCCTTATTTCTAATTTTGTTGTAGAGAGAGTATAAGCAATAATAGGAAGGAACAAGGGTTTTTGCTGGTTGAGATAAGGATAGCTATACAGGGCATTGACTCACATTGATTTCCTGTGCGTGGGTGTTACCTTCTAGGTTAATTCTTTTTGATCTAACCTTTTCTCTAGTTCCTGGTCCCCTTCTCCTATTGGCCTCAGTTGCTTTTAAGGTATCTGCTTTAGTTTCTCTGCGTTGAGGGCAACAAATGCTAGCTAATTTTTTGGGTGTCCTACCTATCCTCACCCCTCCCTTGTGTGCTCTCACTTTTATCATGTGCTCAAAGTCCAGTCCCCTTGTTGTGTTTGCCCTTGGTCTAATGTCCGCAGATGAGGGAGAACATAAGATTCCTGATCTTCATGCCTCCTGAGTAGCTAGGATTACAGGTGTGAGCCATCGGTGTCTGTTTGTAGCTGGTTTTTTAGCTGTCGTAAATAGTGTTATGAGCACAGATAGTTAGGTGTAGTATTTGTTGTGGTTGTTGTTTTGTTTTCAGACTGATTCTTGCTATGTAGCCAGGTTGGCCTCAACTTCCAGGTGTGTACACCTGACTACCTGTATGCTGTTTTAAAACCCAACATGTTCTAGACTCACAAAGCCTCGGGCACAGGTGTGAGGAGGATGTGACTGTGAGGTTTCAGCGCCGGAGGGGCAGTGGGGCTTGGCAGGTCAGATTGCCAGGCCTCAAAGCCAGGCTCCCCCACTTACAGCTGTGGGACCCTGGTGAAGTTGCTGAGTCTCCTGGACCTTGGTTTGCTTAGCCAAAGGATGGGATTCAGTGCCCACCTGGCAAGGATGAAGTGGATTATATGTGTAAAGTGACTGAGTGTCTGCAGATAGGAAAAGGTGTATGTTCACTTGAATCTTCAGCCATCTCCTCACTGATCCCGTTTCACAGAGGCGAGGGCTGGGGGTCTCAGTGGTCATACCACCTTGAACCTCAACTGCTCCATCTGTAATTAGATTAAAAAGCTATTTCATGCCACGGGCTTTCTCTGTGACAAGCACATGCACACTTACATGCATTGTCTTCATGGCTCAGTGAGGCGTAGGCTCTGAGCTGGGCATGGTGGGGCACACCTGTAATTCCAGCACTTGGGAGGCTGAGGCAGGAGGATCTTGAGTTTGAGGCTGAGCTGGGTAACATGAGAGAACCTGCCTTGAAAGTCAGAAAGGAAGGAAGGGGAGGAAGAAAGGGAGGAAGGGGAAAGAGGGGAGAAACAGAAGGGAAGAAATGGTAAGAAGGATAGAAAGGAAAGAAAAAAAGGAAGGGAGGAAGGGAAGAAATGGAGGAGGAGAAAAAGGAAGTTAGGGAGAAAGGGGGGAAGATAGGAAGGGAAAAAGGGAAAAAGGAAGAAAGAATGAAGAAAGGAAAACCAGCAGAGCTCGGGGACCAGAGGTTTTGAATTCCATTCTGGTTCCCCTCACACTTCCTGTAACCTTGGATGCACCTCTGAGGCTGTCTGTGCCTGTGTGTTCCTCCAAGTAAGAACCATGTCCACCTTGTGATCACTTCCTACATAAGCACGGTGTCAGGCTCATGAAGGAGACCATAGGATAGAACCAGGAAATAGTCCTTTCACAGGTAGGGAAATGGAGGCACAAAGGGTGTGAATGACTTGCCTCAAAGATGCCAGAATCAGGATTTCCCCCAGCTCTGCATATTCTGAACCTCACGGTGAGGACAGGGACCCGTGCACACAGGGGCATTTCTCCAGCTGTTCCTGGGGCCCATTTGTGGGCATGCCTATAAACCACGACGTGCAGATGAACACGGATCTGTCCTTATTTTCCCAATCATTCACAGTGTGGGGCAGAAGCAGCTCCTGTGCCTGGCACGTGCACTTCTCCGGAAAACCCAGATCCTCATCCTGGATGAGGCCACTGCTGCTGTGGACCTGGGGACAGAGCTCCGGATGCAGGAAGCCTTGGGGCGCTGGTTTGCTCAGTGCACGGTCTTGCTCATCGCCCACCGCCTGCGCTCCGTGATGGACTGTGCCAGGTAAGGCGGCCCCTCCCCACCATAGTCCTCAAGGCCACCACAGTACAGGAAGAAGGATCAGGTGTAGAGCCAGAAGGGCGCTGGAATGGCCTCTTGAGCACCCACTGTGCAGGTGGCAAGAGTAAGGCCCAGAGGGAAGGGGATGACCCCTAGACCTCTGCTCCACCATGGACGTTAGGATCAGGAAGTTGCTCAAACAGCCAGACTTCCAGGAAGCCAACCTCAGAGCAGAAATGGTCTCTGAGCTGGCATCCAAAGAGCCACCTCCTCTCCCTCTTCCCTGCAGGGTGCTGGTGATGGACAATGGGCAGGTGGCAGAGTGTGGCAGCCCAGCGCAGCTGTTGGCCCAGAAAGGTCTGTTCTACAGGCTGGCCCAGGAGTCAGGGCTGGGCTGAGCCAGGGCTCTCCATGTCTCCCACCGGGGCATCCCACAGAGCCTAGAGTGCCTGGAGGTGCCAATGACTCTGCGAGGAAACAGGTTGATTATCACAAAAAACCAGACCCAGAAGGGTCGCAGCCCCGAAGGCGGCCTGGGCGAGGCCTGCCCACCCTGGAGCCAATGTTGGCAGCCCCTCTCAACCCCAGCTACCTGCTGGGCTCACCTGGGCAACCTGGAAACCTTGGATCACCTACATCAGAATCCTTGGCGTTGGGGCAATATTGGGTGTCCTTTTGCCAAAGTAACCGGACTGAGATAATTGTGACTCACATACAATTTTAAGATCTAACACAATGGTCCCTTGTACCCTTTTGCCCTGTTTTCTTTTCCCCATGGGTGACCTTGCAGAACTCTACAAGATCACATCCAGGATATCAACATCCACACAGACCACCAAGGCTGTTCACACTTCCTGTTTTGCCTGTGTGCATTTAGCTCTATGCAGATTTTTTTGAGACAAGGTCTTGCTATGTAGCCCAAGCACTCACACACAGAAAGCCCAGTGACGGTATTCAACTCCCACCATGAGAGGCGCCAGGGCTCCTGGGCCTCTGCCAGGATTGACCTAGGACTTGGCAAATTTCAGGCACCTGGTCGCCAAAGACCAAATCCAGCTTCATTTTCTGGGAGCTGAGCAGCCCTGAGAACACTGGCGTGATTCTGTTCAGCAGATGCCATGGGGTCGGAGGCCAGAGTCGGTTGATGGTCGGGCATCTGCTCCAACCAAGAGCAGTGAACGCCCAGTTCAGTGTGATGCTCAGGCCAAATACTGGGGTGATAAACCAGTTTCCTGCAGTCCCAGGAAAGAGGATCTGAGCGTCTACACTGGCCAAGCCTGAGGTCACACAGAGAGGTGTGCAGGGCAGCCTGAGAAACCAGATAGTTTTCCGTCCTCACTGTCCCCAGGGCTTCTCACTGACCTCCGCAGTGCACACACAGACCGTGCAGCTGGGAAGCAGAGAAGGGAGCAGGCCCTCCTTTCTCAGCCTGATCGTGACTGACGTGGGGCGGGACAGTGCTGACGTGGGGCCAGTGCACCGTACAATGGCAGGCAGAATCCTTGCCCTCCACAGCTACGACAAAGCTGGGCCCAGTACCCAGGAGGCATTGGCAGAAGGACTGCAAGTTTGAGGCCAGCCTGGGGTACTTAATGAGAGCCTGTCTCATAAAAGCTTTCCCTCCCAAAAGCTGTTTCGGTGCACTGCCAGATGTCCCCAGGGAGATCAGATTGTCCATCCTGTCCCACTACTACCAATAACCCACTGTGACATGAGCAGGGCTGTGTGGCGGTCAGGAGGGCCCTCCCACCTGCTTCCAGGACAGAGGGACCACTCTGCTCCATCCTAGCTATGGGGCCTCTTTGGTGGCACATCCTGACCTAGGACCTGGGGTCCTGTTTCACTGAGCATAACCCAAATCTCGATCTTTGATTCCCCTTTGGGATTTGGCCACTGCTCATTGTGATCCTTCAACCCAGGGCAGGGAGTTGGCACCCTCCACCTCCACCAGCCATGACTACAAAGTACCAGCTCCATTTCACAGACGTGGAAACTGAGCCCAGGACACGCAGCTAGGAAGTGGCAGTGGGGACTTGCTCCCGGGTCTACCACCAAGCTTGCGTCACTACGTGAGGTGCGTTCTTAGGGACAGGGAAGGCATTCTCAGCCGGCAGACTCCACCTTTGTATTCTCTTTTCCTAACTTTTAAAAACTTCCTGTTATACCCTGTGTCCTGCCATGGATTCTTCCTGGTGGGATACAGAGAACTTGGAAGTCTTCTGATCAGACTGCACCGGCGCCATTAACATTTTGTGGTGAAGCCAGCCCGGAGGAATGAATGAAAGCCTGTAGGACCCCAATCATGAGACAACAGGGCCGTGGATCTCTACAGACGGACGAGATCTCCACGAGCAACCTCCACTGCGCTCGTGTCCTAATGAGCCCATGGGAAAGAAACAGGAGACACGGTTTCCCTGTGTAGGTAGGGTCTGCTGCCCCTTGTCAGCTCAAAGCAGATGCTGAAGATGGACTGCCACCCCCCTCCCCGCAAAAGACCTCCCCAAAAGAATTTTTTGGAATACTCTCTCTCCGGGAATTTGAGATAGGCTAAAATTAGGGAACGTTCGGGACTCAGAAAAATATTACATCAGGGACCGCCCTCACCTGGCTGGGAACCGCCCGTGTCCCTCCCCACTCATTGGTGATGGGAATCACACGGTTCCCCCCTCCCATAGGTTATATAGGTTTTAAAAGCACCTGGAGAGCAGAAGCATGCGCTCTTGGCAGGCAGACGCCACCTGTGCTCCACCACGCTCCCCTTTGTATTTTTCCTAGCATTTAACAAACTCCCTTTATTACCCCTCCCCTCCCCCCAAAAAAGGGGAAGGCGTGGGACAAGGTGTTTCTGCTTTGCTGCTCTCTGGCTCCCTCTGCAGAGTGATAAAGGCTGCCACGGGTTTAGCATCCTCAGCTGGGGTCACTCCAGGGCAGTGGCCAGCAAGCAGGTGGCTGACACGTGGGAGTCCACTAACAAGGCTGCTTCTGGGCCCGCACCAGGGTGGCCTGGAGCCCAGCCAGCAGGGCTGTCCAGGCTGTTGATCCCCCTGCTGCGGGCTCCTGCCAACAGGCCTGGCTGGCGGGAGGAACATGAGTCAGGTCCGGCAAGGCACACACATATGTCCTCCATCAGCGCCTGTCCTACAGGCCTTTCATTCCCACCAGCATTCACTTAAACCGTGTGCCAGCCATGGCGCTAAAGGCCCGTCACACAGTCCTTCAGTTAGCCCAACCAGAGGTTGCAGGCACCACCATCCAGCTCGTTCCTAGGCCCCTGGGATGAGGATGATACTGCTACTAGGCCCTTTTTATACAGGTGCTATGGCTGGGCCAATAGACTCCTGTGACAGACGAGAAAACAGAGACCCAGGACTCTGAGCAGGCATCTCTGTCCAGCAGGCTGGCTTCAGAGCCCCTATCCCCGACCATTAGGCCACACTGCTCTTTCTTGGGAGCTAGATCAGCACACACCCGGAACCGACATCCATCCTGGGACAAGGGGAAAGGCTTGTTCTGTGTTGGTTTGTCCTTGGTTCCCCCAGCACCAGGCCCAGTGCACAGCAAGGAGGACCTGTAAGCACTCAATATGTGACTGCAGGGACAAGTGAATGGTGGCAGGGTTTGCAGGTGTCCGCAGGGCCAGACCTGGAGCAGGGGGTTTACCGAATCTACTTCCTCCTCACCAAAACCCAGCTAGCAAGATGCAATGCCTCGGCAGCATGGACGGAGAAGCCGCAGTTCCTGAAGGGCAAGTTCAAGAGGCCCAGGTGCCCAGCAGAGAATCCAGTCATTGGTGTGAACTAAGTGTGCAAATGTAAAGGGACTCTGCCTGGATTAAACAGAAGACACCATCCGCTGGCACAGGGCTCCCATCCCAAACAGGAGGGAGGACAGAGGACAGTGGGAGCGAAGTGGCCAGGGGGAGGAGCTAACAGAGATCCCAGGCAGCCAGCCCGTGCATGACCTCAAGGCTGGCTACTACTGGGAGCTGGGGATGCAAGAAGGTTGTGACAGGGAAGTCACACATTTAATTATGTTTTAGGGGGCCATTATGGCTGTTTGGTGGAAAACAGGCTCTGTGTGCAGGTGGGGAGGGGGTTTAGAAGCAGAGAAACCACTGGGGAGCCCCCTCTCCAGCCTTGCCTTCTTCCAAGGCTCTGAAGCACTTGCCTGGGAAGGGTTTGATGTCCCACCCGGCCAATTCTTCAGTGTGTTGACCCCAGCCCCAGGTTATCTCCTGAGCACCCAGTGCGCCATCCCAAAATATCCCCCACACATCAGGCTGACCTCTGAGAGGTCAGTGTAGGATCTGACTCTGAGACCAAAATACATACATCTCACACCTGAAGCCCAGGCTGACCGCCTGCCTCACAGACCCAACTCTAGATTCTAACAGTCCCCACCTCGCCAGCTGTCAGCTTTGTGCTCTGTGGTCCCTGATGCAAGCCAGTGATTTCAACTGGGGACTGTGATGCTCAAGGGAGCCACAGTGCACGGGAACTTGGTGCAAGGTCCGAGGGTGTGCCACACATGGGATGCCCCCGAAATACAGGTATTCGGCACTACCCAGACTCACCCAATTCAAACTCAGCAACCCAAAATGCCGAGTCTCACTACCAGCCATTATCTAAAACCCAGAAGCTCAATCAGGATATGGGGAAACATTTCCTTTCCATGGACCCCTGTACTCCCCAGCTTCTTGGCCAATGGGCTGTGAGTGGGACTGACACAAGTTGAAGATTTTACGAGACCTGGAAGCCAGCTGCCCTCTAGCAGCAATGAGATGGTCCAGTCTGGGTCTCTGAGCTGCCTCATGGAGGTCAGCTGCCCTGGAGAGGTAACTGACCCTTATCAAGAATTGAGCCCACATGAAATAAACCCTTGTGTTCATTTCCCAAGATCTTACGGCTAATTTGTTACTGCAGCACAGCCTTGCCTATCCTAACACAAAGAGATGTTCAAGCTAATTTTGGTCATGTGACTTTTTTTTTCTTTGCACTGTATTGGGGATTGACTCTGGAGCTCATGCTTGCTAGGCAAGCACTCCAGCCACGTCCCTCTTTCTCTTTCAGATAGGCTCTTGTGCTTTCACCCGGGTTGACCTTGAACTGTGCCCTTCCTGAGTAGCTGGGATTACAGATGTGCACTAACCACACACAGCTTGTTTTTCTAATTAGGATCTTGCTGTTTGTTCAGGCTGGTCTCAAACCAAGATCCTTCTATTTCTGCCTCACAAGAGGCTGGGATTACAGGCATGAGCCACTACACCCAAATGCCATATGTGACTTTTGCCTTGCGCTGGGCCAAATGTTCAACACCGAACTTTGTAACAATCCCATAAGGTAGATTCTGATCAGCCTCACTTCACAGACAAAGCATCTGAGGCACACAGCCTAAGTGACCTGCCCAGTCATACAACCAACAAAGACAAAGGCAGGACTCAAGCCTAGGTCTGACTGACCCTGAAGCCCAGGTTCCTGTGCACCTGCTGGACTGCCTCCCTGCTAAACCCTGCCCACTCTTGACCTTGAACTCCTGGTGCACACTTGCCTCATGCTAACTCTCCTAGAGCAGAGGGCTGAACCCTTTGCTGATGCCCAAAAGAAAATGGAACAGTTGTTTAGAAAGAAATAAAATATTTTTTACTGCAAATTATTTGCAACTGTTCATGTTTCCAGTGTAAGTCATTACAAAAAGAGGCCCAAGAAAAACTTGGTTTCTCTGACGTGAGAGAAAGGTATAACTTACAAAAAAATAAATATATATTTCCACCTAAAAGAAGAGGCTTCTCTGGGTTTGAAGTCAGCAACACACTTCATAGCAAGTATGAATCCTGGGGCAGAAGGGAGCCCTTGCTACTTTGGGGGGGTCTCACTTGGGTCTGTAACCAAGACACCCAAAGGACCCACTTTGAAGGACTCGAGCTCCGTTTTCTTCTAAGAATGCACGGGCCAATGTCAAGTGCAGAACAGGTCTGCTTAGTCCCTGGGGATGCTGCTCCTTGGCCTGATACCTCTTCCCAAGAAATTAAACTCTCGAGATTGGAGCAGTTACTTAAAAAAGAAAAAAAAAAAAAAAAAAAAGAAAGAAAAAGCATTGCTATTCATGAACGGGTTCTTTTCTTGCCATGGAAGAGAATCGGTAACCTGAATGCAAAGTTCTCCATCAAGCTGCTTCTTGGCAGTGAGCCGGTGCCAAGAGTGAGAAAACCTAGAAGACTCCAGAGGGTCTGTCTCTCTTTGGTACCAAGCAGTAAGACTTGGTGGTCCTTCGTGCTCTTGACTTTGGGTGTTTCGTAACCATCAGCAGACCTTCTTAGAGGAGTAAAACCATCCAAGCTTTGGGTAAAAGGGAAAGTGAGGGAAGGACGGCGTGGGTGGGAGATGAGTGAGTTGGAGAGTCAGCACTAAGGGAGGATGGCCTGGATCTGCAGTGCCAGGACTGAATTGTCACTAGCCTAGCCACATCCCTTCAATGAAGACGGCTGCATGGGTACCCAAGGCTGCCTCTGGTCACTCAATCAATCCTGATGGAGACGATGCTGGGTGCTGGTTACTGGAGCGCCTGGAAGACGAGGTGGTTGGAAAGGGGACTGGTCTGGGCCCTTGGGACACTGCCTGAGAGTCATGATGATTTTCACCAGACTCCAGGGAAATGAAGCATTGGGGCTGGAAGCAGGGACATGGAGGTGACAGGGGAAGAGAACAAGATCAAGAGTGTCTCGAAGACTCGAGATCCACAGACACACAAGGCAGTTGGCTGGATTTGGTCACTAGCATATGTCACACAACCATTTCTCTGGAGGTCTGGCTGCCAAACCCGTCCACTGGATGCACCAGGCGCACAGCCTGCATTTCCAGGGCTGTGACCCTCACAGGGGCACTAAAGGCCAGCGTGCATGCTCGGGGTGGACACAGCTCTGCCTCCTGATTCTTCAAGGCCAATTCCAGGCAGGGGCCAGACAGTGTCTGCTTTTTTGTGTGTTTTGGTTTCTTAGATTTGGTTTTCTTTCTTTCATTTTTTTTTGGTTTCTGTGAGGAAGGCTTGGGGTTCCCAAGGGTGCTGGCCCGCAGCTCTGTGGCTCCAGGGCTCACACCAAGCCAGCATCTTTGGCCATGCTGTAGAAGATACCCCTCTGCTGCAGGAGGTCGGAGGGGGGGCCGCACTCCCGGATTTCTCCTTTGTCCAGGACGATCACCCTGCAAAGGGAGGGGACACAGGTGTGAGAGGCACAAAGGAGCTGCACCTGTGCCCCTCACACCTGGGCTCAGACCACTGACATCTGCCTCGTTACCCATCTTCAATTCCTAGTTCGTTGTAGCAGTCTGGGGTCTCATGCTTGAGCTGCACCTCCGGCACACCTCAGTCTCTCCTCCGCTCACTTATTTTTATGGTAAAGGGTTTGAAGCTAGGGCTCCACACACGCTATACAAGTCCTCTACCACTTCCTCTACTTCTAATCAACGTCAAACTGCTAGGAAGCTGCCACTGTAATGGTTATCCCATTTCAATAATGGTGAGAGGGGTTAATGATGTCAGCTGTTCACAGTCACCACTCTACTACAATTGGAATAAAATAAAAAAGATCCTGCCATGGTCTAAAACTGGGTCAGCAACCTTTTTCTGAAGAAGGGCCAGAAGGCAAATATTTTCAATTCTGCAATCCACAGGGTTCCCCCTATGGTTAGAACTACTTGTCTCTGCTGTGTTCATAATGTGAAAGCAGCCAGAGGCAACAGAAGATGAACAGGTGTGGCTGCGTGCCAATAAAACTTTATTCATAAAAGCAGGCAGGCAGTGGGCAGATTTGGTCTGTGGGCCATAGTTTGCAGACCCCTGGTACACAAGGTTCTGCTAGGATCCAGCACTGCCCACCTGTGACCTCATCTCAGACTATTCCTGCCTTGGGTCTCCCGTGTACCAACACAGCACCTCTCACACACTAGGTGCTCAGTAATTCTTTAAAATGTCACGTCATTCCCCTACTTAAAATCCTCCAGTGGCTTCACAGTACTCTCAGATAAATCCCAAACATCCCTCTATGGTTACGTGGTGCTCTAACGTCCAGCCCCTGCCTACCCTTTGGCTTTGCCTCCTACCTGTTCCCTTAATTCCAACCTCCAGACACAGTGGTCTCTGCTGGATTTCAAATTTAGTACGTGCCTTCCCATTTCAGGCCCTTTCCAGTGGCTGTGCCCTCTGCCTCAAATGGTCTTCCTTTAGATCAAAGGTTGGCCAAATCTGGCCCACTGCTTATTTTTATGAATAAAGTTTTATTAGAACACAGCCACACTCATTAATGTCTGTATTGCCCATGGCTGCTCTCACACTACTGTATCAGAGCTGAGTCTCTATAACTGAGATCATGTGGCCTGTAGAGTTGAAAATATTCTGGCCCTTCATAGAAAAGAGCTGCTGGTCCTTGTTCTGGAACTTTCTATAACTGATTTCTTCTCATTATACAGGTATCTGCTCAGTTGTCACCTCCTCAGGGAGGCCTTCCCTGACCACCTATGCTAAATTCAAACCCTTCCGCATGGTAGCAGCAGTCATGACTTTGTGGGTCTTGATGCCCAAGGAGCTGCTTGCCCTCACAAAATATTAAAAATTCTATTTTACAACTGTGTAGACATGAAGACAACTATAATCCAGGCTGGATTATATTTTTTTCTTCTGGTTTTTAAAGTGAAACATTTTCAAGGGTCCTAGGCACCAGGCCTTCAGTGTTTAATGAACACACTGGCCCAGCCCAGCACCCGTCCTCACCTCTTCCTCGTCATCCTTCCTTCTCAGCATGCACTGCCTGCTGAAGTCAGGTTATTTGTTGCACTGATCACTGTCTCTCTGAACTAACTACCCCGAGACGCCTGCTTGTCTAACAGCATCCTGCAGAGTCCCCCGGATCCAGAACAGTCCTAGGCATTCAGTAGGTAGCATCCAGAACAGCACGCAGTAGGTACCCTGTACAGATATGCTGACTGAATGCCAGAAATATCTGATTCAGCCCAAGAGAGAGAGGGGTCCTGTCAAGCGGGGCTACCACTGGGCATAAGGACAGTGTTCAATGAATGAATGAGTTAATCAATGGACAGGGCCAACCCTGGAGGCCCAAAGCCTTCTGTGCAGGGCTTCACCTCATGTAGTCCATGATGGTGTTGAGTCGGTGGGCAATGGTGAGCACGGTGCAGTCCTCAAACTGTGTTCTGATGGTGGACTGAATGAGGTTGTCCGTTTCCAGGTCCACGGCTGCTGTGGCCTCATCCAACACAAGAATCTTCGTCTTCCTCAGCAGAGCCCGGGCCAGACACACAAGCTGGCGCTGCCCAACACTAGAAATAGAGAGAGAGTCCAGAGACAGAGTGTCAGGCCCACCGTGACCCTGAACCATGCCTGAGCATGGGAGAAAGTGAGACATGTTATTTTGAGCAAGAGGGCATGCCCTCTCTCCAAACCTGTGCTGTCATCACTGATCAAGCCCACCACACTTCTGTTGAGCAAGAAGCAAGCTAGGGATCATTCTTCAGACAGGCTCAGAGATGATAAATAAAATAATGGCCTAGTTCGGCATGCATGGTGTAGCAGGTGGCAAAAACAGCCCTGTGTCCATGCATCCTCATCCAACTGTACAGCCCTCTGCACTGACTGTGGACTGTGCCATGTGCCAGTGGGATGGTGGCCAGTATAAGGCCAGCAGAGGCCTGCAGAGGGATGCACCCTGGGCTTGCTTACTCTGCACCTCTCCCCTTACTATGACAGTGTGCCCAGGCTAGTCTGCTGCAGCATGAGGGACACATGGACAGTCCCAGCTGAGGGCCAGTAGATGAGCTAACAGCCAGCTGATCCCCAACACATGGATGAGCTCAACCAGGATCAGCAGAGTCACTGGACTGACCGCCCTAGCACAAGAGCCAAACCAAGATTGGCTGCCATGGTGACGGAGAACAGAATGTAGCACTGGACAAGGATCTGTGAGAAAAGCCAGGACAGCAGGATAGCAGGCAGAACATGGAGGACTCAGAACAGTGACATTGGTTGATGGACAGAGGTGACTTTTAATAGCTTATTAGCTGGCACCCACCTTCAATGAACAGAGCTGGTGTACAAAAGGAACTACACAGGCCATTGTGGTTATACCTCAAGAGAGGCAAAGAGCCTGGAGCAAAGCCCATTTTACAGACAGACAGACCAAGGCTCCAAGAGGTGAAGGGATAAACAACTTTTCGGAGGCAGAGCCAGGGCTCAAACCCAGGTCTGAGAGATCCAAAAGGTCAGCAGTTTCACACGCCCAGCCGACCTGGCCTCCCGTCCCACCTACCTCAGGTTCTCGCCACCTTCTGCGCACTCGTGGTTCAGCTTGTCAGGAAGGGCTGACACGAAGCCCTTCAGGTGCGCCAGCTCCAGGGCCGTCCAGACCTCTTCATCCGAGTACTGGCTGAATGGGTCCAGGTTCATGCGGAGGGAACCCGAGAACAAAACAGGGTCCTGCAAGGAGAGGGCAGATGGCGCATGAGGCTCAGGTCACGCTGGGCACAGAAGGGGAGCAGGACATTCTCCCCGGAGCTGTGGAGGAAGAGCTCTCAGGATCACTAACTCTGGGAACGTCAGAAATGAAAATGTAAGCGCAAAACCTCAAAGTAAGCTTCTAATCTGCAAATCTGTTAGGAACCTTCTAGAAAGGAGATACAGCACAGGTCATTCCTAAAATACTACGATTCCTCTGATCTCCCACCTACAGGAGAGACTCCAGGGAAAATAACACTACCAAGCAACATATTAGGGAACCACCACCTACAAAGATCAATCTAGAAAATTCTTACGAGTTGCCTAGCTCTAGGAAGTTTTGGAGTTTCTCATCCTGACTCCGACGGCAGCAGAGGGCGGAAGACAGTGTCTTACTGAGAACCCACTTGGATAACAGAATCCAGACAGAGTCCCTTATACGCAGCCCACATCCTCCTGTGCGCTTTAAACTGTCTCTAGATGGCTTAGAATATCTGACACCATAATACCTGTAAATCGGGAAAGAGTTGTACACTGCACTGCACTGCACAGGGAATAACGTTAAGAAAAAAGCCTGTGTCTTATTCAGTGAAGATGCAAATTAAGAAACACTGTTGGACGGTGGTTGGTTAACTGCAGGGATTCTGGGCTGACACAGCTTTTGGCAGGACCTCAGGACCTGCCAGCCCCACCATGCCCACCTGGGGGATGATAGTGATCTTGAAGCGCAGGTTGTGCAGGCCAATCTTGGCAATGTTGACGCCATCAATGATGATTTCTCCTTCTGCAGATTCATTGATCCGAAACAAGCCCAAGGTCAGAGATGACTTCCCAGCTCCTGTCCGACCCACGATGCCAACCTGGGGGACAGGAAGGCCCCAGGTGAGGTGAGAATGCTGGAATCTGAGGGTGGCTTCAGCCTCCCAGGGCTCTCACTGCAGGTGTTTGGTCCAGAGCAGTGCAGTCATCTGGTCGACCCAACTCCCACCACAGCCAGCACTCTCATTCAGTGCCTTCCCAGGGACCTTCCCTCAGGGGCTGATTTGGCCAAAGGCCAAGCTCCCCAAGGAATTAATCTGCCCTTTTTATAAGTTGCTAAGTAGAGACCTGAAAAGAGATGGGGTCAGGCAGAAGGAGTGCTTAATAAAGTCCCGTTATGCTCAACTCGAGAGCATAGCAGGTAGTGAGCAGGCTTCTCCTGATTTCCCCACACTGTCTTCCATTCCTCTTACAGGGAGTCTTCCATCCTGAGCTATGGCAGTATCTCAGATTTAAGCAGAGCCCCTGGACTTCTCACAGGACCTGTTCTGGGCAGGAATGTAGCTCAAATGCAGAGCACCTGCTCAGCAAGCACGAGGCTCTAACTTCAAACCCCAGTACCACCCAGTACTCCCACCGAAACAAAAAAACCAATGAATACTGACAGGACCTGGTTTCCCATGGCAGGACATGGGTGTCCAGTTAATGGCCAATGACAGGCGTTCCTAATGCCCAAGTACAGTTCTCCCCCACTTCCCACCTGGGCCCTGAGAGATGGACAGGTTCCCTGTACTGTCTACCAGAGATGTCACAGTGCAGCAAGCATGCAAAATTCCCACGACAGAACATAAGCCATAAAGATTGGTGAGAACATCCCCTTGTCCTAAGCTAGAGAAACTATCCCGTGGGAACGGAACGTTCTGACCCTTGGTGCCACAGACACTTTAACGAATCCATATGTTCACAAATGTACACAGCCAGGAGACCGTTGACCTATTTCTGAGGAAATTTTAAGAGGAATGTCTTCCAGGAATTGCGTGGAAGTTTCTAAAACCACAACAACTTCACGTGTCCCTTGAGCCGCCTCTAATAGTGGTGGTGACGTCATCTTATTATTCTAGATGCCTTAAAGGGTCCACACAGGCCCACAGACCAGGTGGGGAGGAACCGGGGTGAACTGGAAGGCTCAGGTTTTGTCTGGAAAGAGCCAGGAGGAAACATGGCCCAGTGGCTGCTAGATGTTCTGATCGTTCAAGAAAAGCAGGAGACGGATTTGTAAGGTTGTTCAGTATTTGCTACTCATTCAGATTTTATTTTTGTTTTTTAAGGGAGGGTCTTGTTATGCCTCCTAGGCTGGCTTTGAACTTACAACCATTCTGCCTCCACCTTCTGAGTTTTGGGATTGCACACATGGCCCACCATGGCTCATTTTGTGTTTTAAGTACTGGAGATGGAGGCCCCGGGCCTTACACATTTGAGGCAAGTGTTCTGCCGTTAAGCTACATCCCAGCCCTAGGTTTTAAAACAAACAAACAAAAAAACCTATCCCTGGGCCTCATTTGGTCCTCACCTGATGGACGCACTGTGAGCAGCTTTCATTTCTGAAATGCCCCACGACCCCACAGTACGGGGCTGTGACTGGCTGGTTCACTACATCTGCCTCCCCGCAGTCCGTGCCCACTGAGTCACAGAGTACACACACCCACCTTTTCTCCCCCATCAATGGTGATGCTGATGTGTTTGAGAACCAAGTCCAGGTCCTCTCGGTAGCGCAGGCCATAGTCCCGGAACTCCACTCGGCCCACCTGTGGCCAGTTGCTGGGTGGCGCAGTCTCCTGGATCTGCCAGGGAGCCTTTGATCATGGCGAGGGGCCGGCAGGGTAAGAGACCAAGGGAACAAGTGATCCGCAGGCACAGGCTCCCCGGGAACTGGCCTCTGAGACCCCAACCTTGTCTTCCGGTCTCCCTCCCTCACTCTGCCCATGCTGGCCTCCTGGCTAGTCCTCAAACACACCCACATCTCTGGTTTCTGAGCCTTTGCACTGTGGATTGCTAGGTCTGGAATGCCCTTCCCCGACTACCTACTTGGCCTGCTCCCTTACCTCCCAGACCTCATGTCCCCTCCAATCACCCTCCTGGCTGCCTATTTCCCTCTGTGCTCCTGCTGAGGACTGACCACCTCCTACAGTCTCCCTGGACCACCTACTCCTGCGAGGACAGGCTCTGTCAATGTTCACTGCAGTCTCTGGGCCTCAGCACACAGTAGGTGCTCAATAAATGCTAATGGACTGGATCAGTGAGTGAGGGGCCTTCTCCCTACAGACATGAGGTGAGTTCCCCAGCTGCTTCTGTGGTCTGAAGGGCGACAGAAGCTTGGGCTAACATTGAAAGATGATCACGTGCCAGCTACTAAGGCCACGGCCATCACAGGACATCACAGCCCTCTCAGCAGCCATGGGGGTCTTGTTCACATCCCCAGTTTGTATCTGGGGAAACTGAGACACACACAGGCTAAAAAGTGCTTTGCTGAGGGTCAAACAGCCAATTTCTAAAGAGCTGCTTGGTGCAGGTCAGCACTTGCTGAGGCTGAATGTGCTTCAGGTCAGGGCTATGGCCTCAGGGAATTAATTTTCCTCCGGAGACCAGGCACACGGAGGCAACAAAGTGCATATACACACTGAATAGGAGACTGAGAACAACCTTTACTTTCTCCTATAGTGTGCAGTAGGCTTTTATTCTAAAAATATGAAAATTATTTTAAAAAAGCAAAATGCCTCCCCCCCCGCCCCCCATTTTGGTGTTTTGAGACAAGGTCTTCCTATGTGGTCCAGGCTGGTCTGAAACTTGTTATACAGCCCAGGCTGGCCTCGAACTCTCGATCCTCCTGCCTCACTCTCCCAAGTGTGGCACTATAAGTGTGTACTGCCATACCCAGCTAAGTACAGTGTTTTGTTTCTTTGCTTTTTAAAATTTATTTTTATTTTATTTTATTTTTTTTGGCAACACTGGCGTTTGAACTCAGGGCTTCATGCTTGGTAGGCAGGCACTCTACCATTTGGGCCATGCCTCCAGCCCAAGTGTTTTCTTAAAAAAACAGAATTCAACTGGACCGCACTCGTATGGGTGAGAGGCATGGCGTGTAAACTGGATCTCGCTAACACTGTGTGGGGAATTCAGTGCAAGATGGGAACTCCTGGCATATTACACTCTCGTGTCACACTGGACATGGGTCACGGTGTCCAGTATTAAAGGGCTGGATGGAGGTGTCTGCTGTGACTCCCTCAGGAGTCCACTGGAGCCTCACGTTCATTCCTGAGGGGTACATCTTGGCAGGCAGTGGGCTCCGTGACCTAGGGTCAGATCAGAGCTCAGCCTTTCCAAGCACGTGATCTGAGCAAGCGACTTTTACCTGCAGCTCAGTTTCCCCACCTGTAAAATGGAGCTAATTTCAGCACCTAAATCACAAGGGTGGGTGGAGATTAACTTACTCCGTGGAGGAGCGTTAAGTTAGGGCACCGGAAGGGCACAATTTGTCCCTATTAGTACTGGTTGGCAGTAGGGGTGTAGCACCGGCAGGCATTCTTGTCATTAACCAGTACTGTCACCACTACTGCGGCTGCCAGTGGGGCTGCCCCAGGCATCATAAGCAGTTGTGATGCAGCATCAGAGGATGGAGACCTGGGTCCTGGTCTGTTCCACTGGGCCACGCGTGGCCTTGGCTCAGCCATCGTCCCTCCCTGGGTTCCCTTTTTCCCCACCTGTAAGATAGGGAGCTGCAGGTTCCCCCAACTTTGATCAACTCCTCTTCTGCGACACGCGTGCACTGGTCCTGATTACTATTAACTATTAACACTATTAACTATTCCTACTTCATTTTCCCACTTATTTCAGAGGAAAATTTAAACACAACCACAAGGGGAAAACTAGTACTATTTTCCACATTAGTAGCCTTGTGAAAAAGATGTAACAAGAGATATTTTTGTTATGTAAAGGTTGCCCATTGCTGAGCCTCTGGACTGCCCTGTATCTGTGTTGATGAGGACTAGCTCAGTAACAAGACCTGCTGGCACCAAACCAGTGCTAACCCTTCTCTATGATGTCAGCAACAGGTATGAGACAGGAGTAGAAGGGGAAAACTTTCCTCACCATGTGATGAGTGCCATCTGAATGCCCTGAAAGCGTCCTACCACCTTGTACACAGGCATCCTTGATCTCGGGAGAAACCAGGATAAACTATTTTCTTGCCCGCCCTAAAGTCAGGTGGTTTGAGTAGGTGTTGAGAGCTCAGGACAAGCACAGGGTAGACTTGGACCTTTACCCTCCGCCTCAGGCAGAGGACACACAAGGTGTAGATTGCACTGAAGGCCAAGGTCAAGGCCAAGGTCAGGCCAGGACCCTTGCTTTACCTCTTTCTCGATTTCTGAATATTCCTTGAGTCTCTCTACGGCCACAATGTTGGTCTCCATCTCAGACGACATCCGAACTAGCCAGTTCAAGTATGCCGTGATCTGCAGGTTGGAAGATAGTCACAACTGAGGCTCTACAGTGAGCACAAGTTACTTTATTTTCATTAATTATAAATTCTGAAATATTTTGGGTAACTACAGAAATTAGCAACCTCACAGAATGCCATCACCCAGACCTGCCACACTGCATGACTTAAGGACCACACTTCTCAAAACGAGCCATGGGTCACACAATTAATCAGAAAGGAAACAAGAAAACATTGCAACTAGCTGATAAGTCTGAAACACAGGTATAAAAATTTCTGAGGTGCAGCTACAGCAGTACTCAGAGGGAAAGTCATAGCCTCAAATGTGTTTCCTTTCTAACTGGAAGCATCCTCTCAGATCACTAAGGAGTTGACTGGTCACAAGTCAAATCCCTCTTCTGCTTTAGTCACCACACCCTATACTCACTTCCCAAAGTCCACTTGACCCCTCTGCCCTCCCCCACTCCTAAGACAATTCAAAGCAAAGTCCAGGACCTGACAACTGCTACATCCACTAACAGACTCTAATGATTCAGACCAGACTGTCACCTCTTACCTGCAAGGAGTAAGACACGGAGAGGCCCACCAAGCCAGCGCTGAGGCTGTGCCTGGAGATGACTGCAAACAGGGCAGCAAACAGAACAATGCAGTTGCCGACATACTCCAGCCGCACGGCCAGCCACCTGGACAGCAGCAACACAGGTGTGCAGAGTCAGCTAACTGAAGTCACTCCCCGATGGCTCTGGGGAAGGACCTTCTCGGCACGACTAGTCCCAGACATGCAGCCCGGCCGCCTTAGGGAGGAGGGCCCAAGGGACCCCAGATCAGTAACTCATCACTCTGGCAAGCCCAGGGATTAAAATAGAATTCTCCAGAAGCATTCTTCCCTGCAATCTCAACTTTGCCATTTTAAGGACTGACTTTTTCTCACATCTTTAAAATATTATACACCCACGCATTAAAAAATGCCTTAGAAATTCCTGAATACTATGACGTCATCAACTTACAGGGAAGCACTGATTTAAAGTAAGTCTCCTGGGACCAGGGACACAGGGCGGAGGCACAGCGTTTGCCTAGCATTTGATCCCCAGTACTGTAAAATATTAATAATAGTAAGGATCCAGAAGGGAAGTACAAAACAAGCTACCATTGTCAACGTGTCTGTCCTTTTCCCAGACTCTTCCAAATTTCAGAAATATTAAAATGAATTATTTACCTTTTAAAATATAAACATTTTTTTTTTCTGTGTTTTCGTGTTTTGTTTTGTTAAGGCAGGTTCTCACTATGCAGCTCAGGCTGGCCTCAAACTCACAATCCTCTTGCCTCTGCCTCTCAAGTGCTGGAATTACACAGGTGTGCTACCATGCCCGCCATGTTTTATTTGTTTAAAGCTAACTTTTCTAAGCAATCACGTAGCCTGAGAAATATTATTTCAGGTAGCAAACTGTAAAGCACTTTGCGTTTCCTTAGGGAGATGGTATTACTGGATCTTTTCTCCACCCAGCCCAGATGATGTGTGTGACTGATCCTCCTCTGTGTGAAATACTTCTCTACGCAGAGCTGGATTTTAACCAACTCCCTAAAATGAGAGAAGTCGGGCTCCTGCGATCCCCGGTCCCCCACCCAGCTTGCACTGCAGCACATGGGCTGATGGAGGTTGTAGACAATTCCCAGAGGGCTTCTTTATCCCACCTTTCAAAACAGAGCATCAGGATGCAGGTGGATGACGGAGGGGGTTATCTTAGGGAATTCAGCGAATAACAAGCAAGTCTGGCCCCTTTTCACAATCCATGCTCTTAACTTCTGATCCACGAAATGACAATTTCACGGAGCTCAGCTTAGTATGAGTAAATGGCCATAACTCACTGGGGAGTGCAAGACTCCCCTCAAGTGACAACTGCAGTGCAGAAATACATCAGCCCATCCCAAGGATCTAGCATCACCAGGACAGCGTTCGAGGACAGTGCTGGGGGTCTGCTGACTAACAGAACCTATCCCTGTGCCTGGTGCCTCCAACGCACTGAGCTCATAGTGTATGCATTTGCCTGGCTTTCTTTGTTAAGATGGGGTCTCACTATGTAGGCTGAGATGGGCTGGAACTTGCGATTCTCTTGCCTCTCCCTCCTGAATGCTGGCATTACAGGCAGGAACTTGCATACCTGGCCCAGCCTGCTTTTAATGGTCATCTGTCCTTCCTTCTTACCAAGGTTCTTCAGTCCTTCTGCAAGAACCTGAGTATTACTACACGCCCTGCCCCGAGAAGAAGGGGCCCAGGAGAAATCAAGGCACACAGGCTTCCTCCTCCCACCTACCTGTTGGCCACGATGCTGGGGTAATAAGCCTTCTGGTTCTCATCCACCTTGAGGTCGCTCTGGCGGATGAAGCGCTCCTGGTCCTCAAAGGCACGGATGACGCTGACCCCCAGCAAGGTCTCGCTGAAGTGTGAATAGACCGGGGAGCGACTGACCGACTCGAGGCGCTTCAGCTGCCGGCTGGAGGCCACATAGAACCGCTGTAGGCAGGGGGAGAACAGACATGAAGGTCCCTCGTCCTGTCCTCTAGGGGAGGGCAGGGAGAAGAGTGGGTGTGCTGCTACTTCCACACATTGGAGCTGAGTGCTCCTGACAGGTGTCCTGCTCTCCAGATGGCCTGCAGGGGCAGCAACAAGGACAACAATGGCAGGGGCAAAAGTACCAGTCAGTGTTTACAAGGAGCCACTCTCCCAGACGTTACGCTCTTTGACATGTCTCCCTCTGTGTGTCCCTTATAAAGCTGGGTGATGCTCCTACCGGCCTCAAGGTGGGACACTGAGGCCCAAAGATGTCAGCCTCCTCCCCCTCCCCTCCCCCTCCCCATGGCTAGGACGTGACAGAGCTGGGACTGAACGCAGGTGGCCAGGCTGCACAGAGCTCCCCCTTGGCACTGTCCTGCCTCTCTGAAGCCACCAACCTCCACAGAGACGGCCTAAGGACGTTGTTGTGTCGAGTCCAGGACTGAATCAGCTGTCACGTGTCCTCAGCTAAAGACCACCCCCAGCTCCACCGCCATCTAGATGGCTTTCTCTCCAAGTGTTCGGCACAAATCATTCTGCAGTCTTACTTGCTCAACTCACTCGGCCTGTCACTTCCTCCCAATGTCACTGACTACAAAAACCCAACCAAAGACAAAGTTTTATTCAGCAATGATTTGATTTTTTTTAAAAATTATTTGCTTTGATAGGTATGGTGGTACTTGCCTGTAATCCCAGCACTCTGGAGGCAGAGGCAGGAGGATCAGGTGTTCAAGGTCAGCCTAGGTTACACAGAACAAAGTCCTCAAAAAATGAAAAGAAAAAAAAAAAAAAGGCCAGGCATAGTAGCTCATACCTATAACACCAGCTACTCAGGAGACAGAGCTCAGAAGGACTACGGTTTGACATCAGCCTAGGCAAAAAGTTACCAAGACACCAGCTCAACAAATAAGCTGGGTGTGGTCGTGCACGGTGTCATCCCAGCTATGCAGAAGGTATAAATAGGAATGAAGTACGAGGCTGACCCAGGCCAAAACCAAGAAACCCTATCCGAAAAATAACTGAAGCAAAAAAGGGCAGGGGTGTGGCTCAAGTGGCAGAGCACCTGCCAAGCAAACGTGAGGCCCAGAGTTCAAATCTTAGTATCATCAAAAAAGAGAAACTGACACACCCTCAGACAAGTGACAGCCTTGGACCAAAAAAATCAACACGCCATACATGGACATCAAACAAGTCCAAAGGCAGCCACAGAGGAGCCCAGCGGAATTTAGTATGACCTTTTTATGAGCAGGCTTGCTTTGAAGATTAAGAACGTAATATAAACTGGTCACAAAAAATTTAATGGCACAAATAGAAAGATTAAAAATTACATAAATTTCTGTGTTACTCAAATTTAAAGGGACAGCAGGGTCCAGCACGTCTGAGGCCCTGGGCTCCAGCCCCAGCACATCAGTGTATGGCTACCACACCTCTGCCAAAGGAGGCGACCTGCACACCTGCACACGTGTACCTGAGAGCCCCCTTTCAGCTGCGACAGGCACACACTGTAAAGTACACTAAATCATTCTTGCACACAGCAGGACAGCTTTCCACATTTACCTAGGGCTGGGGATGGTGCTCAGTGGCAGAGCGCTTGGTGCTGAGTTCAATCCCAGCACCTGCCCCCCAAAAGACCCCCAAACAAAAAAACCCAACCTCATTTACATCAAGCCAAGCTGCATAACCCACTGACCTCTGGAAAAGCCCCCCAAACCTCCTCACCATCCCGCTCGCCCAGGGCTCAGCAGGACTGTGACTTCCGCCACCACAGGTCCGGTTCACCCGCTCTTGAACTCCGTGTACATGGAATCTCAGACTGTCCTTTGCATACAGCAGGCGTCGCTGTAACTCGTGATCTTCACGCCCAGTGTGTGAGCCACTGTCTAGTGCTACCATGCCCAGTGAGAAATACGCTGGAACTTTCTCTCTCTCCTGTGACCTGACACTGGAGACGTTTCCTGTTTGCAGGACCCTCTTACAAACAGCAATGATCACATGACCAAATGCCAGGCAATCAGATGAATTTGAGTGGATTGTGCTGACTCAGCAATCATATGCTCCCTTGCCCTGTTTCTTCCCTGATGTTAGTCTGTGTGAAATGTAGATATGATGGCTGGAACTCTGGCAATCCTCTTGGACTATGAGACCAACTTAAGAATGGATGACCTATGTACAGATGGTAAGACAAAACTAAACAGAAAAAATAGGAGGAGGAATAACAACAACCTGACATCACCTCTGCAAGTACCTAACCTGCCTCGGTCGCTATTTTTCATGTCTCCATTATTTGCAAGAGACTAGGAACTAAAGAACTTTACCCTTAATCCTAGCTGCTCAGGAGGCAGAGATCAGGAGGACTGTGGTTCAAAGCCAGCTCCTGGTAAATAGTTCAAGAGACCCTATCTTGAAAAAACCCTTCACAACAAAGGGCTGATGGAATGGCTCAAGCAGTAAGTTCCTGCCTAGCAAGTGTGAGACCCTCAGTTCAAACCCCAGTGCCCCCCAGAACAAACAAAACTATAGTGATATCGCTACAGCTGTAGGTTAGGCTTTCTAGTTTACAGCTTAAAGAAAACTTACTAGAGAGAAAGTGTCTGTGGTTACTACAAATGAAAAGCAGTAAAACTTAGCTATTCTGCGGACCCTCAATTAGGTCCTGAGGAGCCCACGGGGACCATGGGGACCGGAGCCCAGTCCCCCAGTGGGTGGCTCACCTGCACGAAGAAGTAGACAAGGCCGAGGGGCGGGATGATGGCCGCAGCGACAGGCGTGGCCAGCAGGATGATGACGCAGGCGCCCAGGACGTTGAACAGGGAGCCCATAAACATCTTAATGACCTGCGGGATCATGGAGTCCACCGTGTCCAGCTCCTTGGAGAAGCGGTTCACCAGGTTCCCGCTGGGCGTGCGCTCGAAGAAGCTGACGGGCGAGCGCAGCACACTGTGCAGCAGGTCCAGGTGCAGGCGACGGGAGGCCAGGATGCCGCCCACGGACACGGCCATGGAGTAGCCGAACACGGCGACGCCTGCACGGGAGGCCAGGCGGTGACCAGGGGCCGCGCTCACCAAACTGGGCCTCACCTTCTCCGCCCCTCTAAGATGGGGGAAATAGTGCTCCTTCCTCACAGGAAGGCCAAAGTGTCCAGAACAGAGACCCAAGGAAGCGCTCTGTACACCAGCTATGTGCAGCCATGCCACTGTGCCTGCCACCTCATGGCCGTGAAGAAGGTGCATGGCAGGCCTCTCCAGCCTGTCCAGTGACAGGAACACCCAGGTGCTTCCCTGCTGCCGGCCGGCCTGGGCACTGTGGTCCCAGAAACACCATGGCCTTCCTGTGCCAGCAGCCAACCACCCTGCCCCAAAGTCCTGACGACCCAGCTATCTCCAGAAGCTGTCCAATGCTCCCGGGACCAGCACTGCCCAAGGTGAGGGCCACCCAGTAGGTGAGTCCACACAACTTCAGGGCCCCTTCACCCCAAGTGCAATGGGATCTTCCTGACTCAGTGCTATGAGGGGCCTCTGTCCTCAACTTGCTGCGCTGTAAGATGGTGGCACGGGAGCACCCCTTTCTCCTCCCCCCACCATGGGAAACAAAGCACTCAGGAGACATGGGGGATGAGGTGCAGCCCTGGTAGACATTTGCCTAGAAGGCATGAGGTCCTGGGTTCCACCCCCAGTACCATAAAATTAAAATAAGAAACTAAGTAAAAAGAAATGAAAATCCAAGTAAAATTAAGCTGAAAATAAAAAGTAAAGTAAAATTGAAATAAATAGAGTATGATAAGACAGATGGAAGGAAGGAAGGAAGATCATCCCTTTGACACATCTGGGGGTCTCTCATGTGACAGACTCTGTCCATCTGGGCTCCCCTTGGTTTGGGCATCACAAAACCCTGAGGGTCTGGGTTGGGACTCCAATTCCATAACTAAACATGAGAAGCAGGAAGTGATTACAGGTGCCCAAGTGAGGATGGGTGGGGAAGGAGGTACCCACCTTGTGAGATGCCCAGGGCTCCATAGACGCTCAGCCGGACCTTTGTGTGCTCCTGGGTCCCATTGACAATGGGGTCGTCTGTCCAGAGGCTGAGCCAGTAGTTGGAGGCCAGGGCAGAGACGTGGTTGCACAGGAAGAGGAAGATGCTCAGGAAGGATATGAAAAGCCCAATAGCTTTCATGTAGTCCCAGTACACGGACAGCTGCACCTGGCGACCACAGAGGGGCACAGACAAGGTCAGCGCCTGTGCAGCCCCGGGTAGGCCCCCTCAGCCCAGATCCATAGCACCCTCCCCTATGCTGACACAGAGGGTCAGCATAGGGCAAAGTCAAGGTCCCTGCCAGAGACCTGCCGAACGCCTAGGCACAGAAATACGATTCCCTACATGTCTAACCCAGGGCAGGGAGGCACCAGGAGAGGTTTTTTCTGAGGAAGTGACATTAAAGAATTCACCAACTGAGAACTGAGAAAAAGGCACTCCAAGTAGAGAACGAGCAGCTGCGAAGGCCCTGAGGTAGGAGGAGGGTACAGCACAGTTGGGGAGCGGAAAGGAGACCAGGGTGGCCAGAGGAGAGTATGGAGCTACGAGGAAGACAATGAGGATGAAGAAGCAGGGCTCAGCTGGACCACACTGTTTGGGATTCCAACTTCCATGTCAGGACCCAAGGCGTTTTAAGCAAATGGCGAGCTGGGACATGTTGCCTAGTGACCAAGTGTCACCTCCACCCCACTGTCAGGCCTGCGGTCCAGCACCACCCCAAGGGCTTCCCCTGGCTGGGTGCTTGCTGGGCTCCACAAGTTGACACAAGGAGACTTCCTTCCCTGTTATCCCCATGGAGCCTGGCATGGGGCTCATTAACACTTCCAGGTCCCCTGATGCCAAGGACAGGGGCCATCTGCTTTAGTTGGGTCTGGCGTGGTTTTAACAGACTCCAAGCCTCTGCTAGAGTCCCTAACTGTCATTTCAAGCTTTTCGAGTTAACTCTGATCTCTGGCTGAAGGCTAACAGGCCTGAGGGATAACAGATGGCACCCTTTTGATCTTTCCTTTCCAAGTCTCTGGCCTTAATTGAGCTTATCTGGTGATGGTGGTGGTGGGGGGGGGGTGTCACCACCTGCATGAGCAGCTCGGAGGCCTGCTGGCCCTGGGATTAATCTGCAGGCTTGGGAATCCCTGCCTTGGGGTAGTGGGATATGGTGGGAACAGGGGTCACGGGTAATGGGGTGTGGTCAGCCTGGTTCCACTCTTGCCCTGAGTGTGGGCAGCTCAAGCCTAGCTTTGGGGTTCCTTGCACAGAAAGTGGAGTAATTCAGTCCCCGTGTCCCAAGTCTTGGACGGCAGTCATTTTTCTGGCCACAGAGGGGTCGGTAAGATCACACCCTGGGTGTGAGGATAAGAGAGGGAAGAAGCTGAGGACAGAGGGTCCTGGGCAACTCTGGGGACACCCAGGTAGATTTAATCAAAGTCCGCCACCTGCTCAGCCCACTCCTGCCTTTCAGTGCTTTTTGGTTTTCTTATTGTACTTATTTTTTACTTGTTTAAAAACTTCAAGCTAGGTGTGGGGTGCACACCTGTAATCCCAGCACTTGGGAGGCAGAGGCAGGAAGATTGTGTGTTCCAGGATATATAGTGAGACCCTGTCTCAAAAATAAAGCAATCCCCCACTACCAAGAAAATCAAAAAAACTCCTGCTGGGGATCAAATCCAGGACCTTGTGCATGCTAAGCAGGTGGTTTACCACTGAGCTCCACCTCTCTCTCCCTAGTTTTTCAACATAAGTACATTTATTTAATTAATAAATAAATAAATTTTGGGGTATGGTGGCACCTGCCTGTCATCTCAGCAATGGCGGGAACCATAAAATAGGAGAATAGTGGTCCAGGCTGGCCTGAGCAAAAAAGTGAGACCCTATCTCAAAAGTAACCAGAGCAAAAAGGGCTGGAGGTGTGGCTCAAGCAGTAGAGTGCCTGCCTCACAAGTGAGAAGCCCTGAGTTCAAATCCCAGTACTCCCCTGCTCCCTCCCCTCCAAAAAAAAACCCCAAAACAGCAATAACAAAACAACTCTGGACACCACCACCAATCAAAATAATTGTCTCACCCAAAACAGATGATTTTAGTGTATCTGTGACAGGAGCTCAGAACTCGCTCTCTGTGTTACAAAACGGCTAGTGATGGTCAGGCGTTAAAGGCGGGCTTAGTGCCTCTAACAGGGAGGCACCAAGGGATACCGCTCGCCTACACTGTGCTCTTTAGTGCTGTACCGGGCATAACCCGAACCCTTCTCACACAGGCTAGGCCACAGACACCCATCTAAAGCATCCTGGTCACCTAAGCCGGGCAAGTCCCCAAGCTGATTGACAAGAGGTGGCAGCCAGCACAGCGGAGACGCCAAGCACCAAGCCTGGAGTCCGGGATTCAAATCTCAGCTCTGCTACTCCCCAGATGTGATCCTGGGTGATCAATGACTCTCTTCTCCAACCGTGGCTTTGGGCACAGGCTGGTGGCCGGGTTGCACGTGCTCACGTACACAAGGCGTAATGCACAGTGTCTGGCACACGGGGAGCCGCTCTGCCAGCGGGGGCTGCCCTCACCTGGCCTGTCTGCGCCTTGTCCGCCTCCATCAGCTTCCAGGTCTCCTCCTTGGCCCCAGCCTTGTGCAGCTCGGCACTGCTGGCGTGGTGCCTGCTGGTGTCCCCACTGTAGGAGGAGGCGCTGCTCAGCTGCCTGGGAAGCAGAGCACAGGTGTCAGCCAAAGGAGGCCTTGGGCAGGGCCATGGCCCTCAGCTGGCGCCACCAGGAAGAGGATGTTTACTGGCACACCTGCACAATGTGCGCCCTGGCATTCTCCAGGGTCACAAGTCCCCAGAAGGGGGACATTTTGGGCAGAAATGGGGGCTTTGGGCAACAACACCATCTGTGAGCATCTGGGATGGTCTGCAGGAAGCTGATCACCACTGAAGGGAAGGACTGGGAGTGGTGGTTCACACCTGCAATCCCAGCACTGAGGTAGGGGGAGCTGAAGTTCAAGGCTAGCCTGGAATACAGACCTGTCTCAAAAATAAAACCAAAAAAGAGCTTGCAAATATCGATCCCATAAAGAAGCGATTCTGAATCTCCAGGGGAGTGCTGGGGAAGTCCCACCTTCTCTCTGGGCCACATCTATAAGAAGATGGAATTACGCCAGACTCCTGTGGCTCGCACCTGAGGCAGAGATCAGGAGGATCACAGTTCAAAGCCAGCCTGAGCAACCTTATCTTGAAAAAATACCCAACAAAAAAGCATTGCCAGAGTGGCTCAAGCAGTAAGAGCATCTGCCTAGCAAGCGTGAGGCCCTGAGTTCAAACCCCAGTGCTGCCAAAAAAGAGAAAAAGTTGGAACTAGCTTGGCACTTTGGCCTGTTTTTTCATTTTATTTTTTCAAAAGACCACATAAGATCAGTGCTTTCAATTTACTTATCTCTTCTTTGGTTGGTTTTTCTTTTTTGAAGTCAATTCTAATTTTTGTAGGGACTTTATTTGCAAGCAATTTCAAACTTATATCCTTTACCTGGATTCACCAATTCTACAGATTCTGCCCCACTTGCTTTACCATTTTCTGTTTATATAAGTATATAATGATATATCATATATCCTTCTCTGTATACAAATGGATCACTTTCCAAAAGAAGAAAAAAGGGGTCATTTTGTTTGGTGGCACTGGGGTTTGAACTCAGGGCCTCAGACTTGCTAGGCGAACGCTATACCCCTTGAGCCCCTCCTCCAGAACTTTCGTTTTTAGTTTGTTTTTCAGATGAGGTCCTGTGCTCTTGCCTGGGGCTAGCCTCAGACCATGATCCTCCTACCTCTGCCTTCTGAGTAACCAGGACCACAGACACATGCCACCACTCCTGGTTTGTTTCTGAGATCAGGTTTAACTTTTGCCCAGGCTAGACTCAAACCACAATCCTCCTATCTCCACCTCTTGAGTAGCTGGGATTATAGCTGTGCACTACCACACCAGGCTTGTCATTCTATTTCTGATGTTATAATATTTGAAACATTCAAGTCACAAAATACATAAAAGAGATACCACGTACCTACCAGCTAGCAGCTGCTATGGTTTGATTATTGTTTGTCCCCTCCAAAACTCATGCTGAAATTTAACCCCCATTAGGAGATATTATTAGGTAGGACTCCAAGAGTCGATTAGAGTTCTGGCCCTCAGGATGGAGTAATCCCCTGGTGTGATCATGGAATCTCCACAGTGACTCTGCTATCAAAGCCAGCTTGGTTGGGTCTCTCAAGTACTCAGTCTCTCCCCATGTGATGCTCGGTGCCACGTGGGGCCTCTCCCAGGTGGAAGGCCATCACCAGATATGGTCCCTCGACCTTGGATCAAAGCCACGACGCAAAATAAACCCAGTCTGAGGTATTGTGTTATTAGCAACAAAATATGGCCCAAGATGGTAACATTTTGTCCTGCTGCTTAAATTCATTTTTTTTATAAGTTCATTAGACAACTACTAATGCCCAGACGAAATTAAGCTTGAAAAAGATTTCACCCTTCCTCACCCATTTTTTCCTCTCTCTCTAGCCCTAGAGCTAACCACAGCTCTCAAGTTCAGGTGTTCTCTTCTTGGTCATAGTTTTTGTATTTATTATTTATTTAAATTTAGGCTGAGAACCTTACAAATGTTTCCTTTTGACTAAACACCCAAGCAGAGGCCTAACTTCTAGGAGAAGCAGCAGAGCTGTTTTGGGGGAAAGAGGAAGACCTGGCTTGAACCTGCAAAGTCCTGTGGTCGCCATAGCAACTCTCCCCTCCGGTTCCCTCCAACTCCAAGACATTCCTGCTTTACAGGGTCTTTTTCTACAGAACCTTCTGGGACCCCTTCATCAACACAGGCATGGAAGCCCACAACCTGCTGGGCTGGGGAGTCACGAAAACCCACAATGGGGATGTAGTGACTCTTGGAGACCCAAGAGCAAAAGTCTACAGTGCAACGGTCTCTCGGCTCCAGCCAAATGATGGGTGCTCTGAACTCCATGCCTTGTATTGACAGTCGTGTTCAGAAAGAGCTGAAGGATCCAGCTGTTTAAAGGAGATGATGGTGGCCAGGCAAAACACAGCAGTGGCTCGTGGAGGTAGAACCTCCCATTCCTCACACGTACAAGCTGCTTAGGGGGAGGGATCCCTGTGAGTCATCACTGCCCTCTCCCCTAGAACTGGTCCACTGACAATACTTCCTGAAGAGCAGGTAAGCTTCCGCAGCTTCAGGGGACCAGCTTGAGGGTGTGCCATCTTTCCTCACCTGGGACGTCTGATCAGAGATCTTTGGCTGAGGCTGGGTATGGGAGCACAGAAGTGGCCCCAAATCCAAAAGCTCAGAGCACAGAAGAGGGGAGAATCAGGACCACTTCGCACTCATGGGCAGAAGGACCTAGAACCCAGGTGGGAGCTGAAGCTACCTTCTTCTCCAGTCAGGACCTCAGAAGCCCACAGGCCCAGGACCAGGCGCTCAACATCCTAGGTCTCCATGTACTGCCTGGAGACTCCCACTAGCACTTAAGCTGCACAGGATGACAACGAGAGCAAAGCCACATGTACCAAGCAGACATTCTGTGCCAGGCATGGGGCCGGGCTCCATCTTTGCTTGCCCATAATGCCTAGGGGCAACCATAGTCCACAAGCGTTACTTAAACTTTGGGCTCAGAGACGTGCAGGATCTGACTCTATCTGAAAAAGCTAGTGTGGCTAACACATCACAGGACCACCAGTGATCGGAGGAGGCCCGCCATCATCAAATCCATGGCCGATCTGCAGCAAACAGCTGGACACCCCACCACCCGGGCTCTGTGGCCTCAGGTCAGAACCTGCCGCCCACGTAGGTTAGAACCTATTTCTAATACATTCTAGTTCCAAAACAAGCTTCCTGCAAGCCTTCTGTTTTCTGGAGCTTCTAGAACTGCAGGTCACGGACTACAGAGCCAAACCCCTTCTGCAAATGGGGAACCTGGTCAAAGAGCAGGACTGAGATTGGATTTGAACCTGGCAGCACACTGGCTCTTTTCCCCCTGTGGGGTATCCAGGCTCGGACTGTACCAGGCACAGGCTGGGGCTGTCAGTGCGTGTGGCCATTCTGGAAGGAAGGCACACAGGAGGACAAGCACTCTGGCTCACTGCACTGCCTGTGGGAAGGACCGAGCAGCCACCACCTGATTACCATGTTTCTCGAGGACCTTGTCCTGGGACGTCTCAGCAACCCGTGCCCTGCTGCTTGCTTCAAGCCAGGTGTGACCTCTGTCTAGGTAGCAGACACCTACTGTCCTCTTTGTCTGAAGCAAGCACTCAAGTTGGAGAGGCCCGGGGAGCTGTAAGTAGCGTCACCCTCAAGTTCAGAGTTCTGCCACCAGTCACTGGCGCTTGGGTCTTCCCAGGAGACCTCTCACCTGGACACCATGACCTTGAATCAGAGGGTCCAAATAAGCTGCGCCCAGACCCCTACCCCACAGAAACTGAGTTAAAAAGCTGCTAAACTGGTGGCCATCTGTTGCTTAGCAACAGACAACAGCTCCTTTCAGAGGTCTGCATCCTGCCTCTCAGCCCTCCAGGTGCTCTACGTTTCAGCAAGACCCCACCCCTCAGGCCCACTTGTCCCCACGACCAGGACTGCGTGTAGCTGTGAGCCCGCAGTGTCCCCACCCCCACGTGCTCATTTCACGCACGAGCAGCACAGACACTGGTCACCATCTGGACGGGTGCTCCAACAGAGAAGGGGGGCATCAGTGCCTGTCCCATACAAAGTCTGGATCCCGGGGCGGGGGGACTGTGGACAATGAATGTCCTCATGGGCACAGCCGCTCATACCAATTTCTTCCCCAGCCCCATGTCTGTGAAATTCCCCCTTTTCCCCAAATATCCAACTGCAGGCAGTCCTCAACTGAGTGTGATTCATCCAGTACTGACAGGATGAGGCACCGTTAACACGCACCATATCGTGTGTGGCTTACTGCTCACCCATGCAGTAGGTACTACCATAAACCCCACTTGATGGGTGGGAAACTGAGGCACAGACAGGTTATGGAACAAAGCCCATGGAGTGCCACTCCTCCCATCCAGTGGTCTTGCCTAAGGCAGCCTCTTTCTTGTTTTTCTTTTTGGCAGTACCGGGCATTGTGCTTGTCAAGCAGGCATCTACCACTTGAGCAACGCTTCCGGCCCTTTTGTTTGTATTCTGTTTCTGAGACAGGGTCACACTAATTTTGCCCTGGGCTGGCCTCAAGCTGAAGAGTCTCCTGCCTCTGCCTCCTGTTGCTGGGATTACAGGCATGTACCACCACACCCAACTTTATTGTGATTATTTGCAATCAAATGCTGGTTTGCAAATCCTGGACATTTCACGCCCACGTGAGGAATCTGAGCAGGGAACCTGGGTGCCAGGAGTGGGGACAAACAAACACACACACCCCCTCCTGTGTGGTCGAGTCCCCACAGGTCCAGGGCTGGGCTACGGCCACTCTGCTTTGGAACTTGAAGCCCTGGAGGAGCTGGGTGGGGAAGCGGGATGCTCACACCTTCTGGGCCATGAGGTATTCAGGCCTTTTTTGGTAGGTGGAGTGAAGTAGCTAGCATCCTTGTCCCTCCTTGCTGGACAGGGCAGAATTGAGGGGCCTGGAGAACCAGGGCAGGCTCCCATGCTTACCTCTGCAGGTGCTTCCCTGAGGTGTCCGTCACTAGCACGCCATTCTCCATCGGCTTTGCCTCCTTCCCTGGACCACTGAGGCCTGTTAACCCTGTTAGAAGACACACACGGGGACAGTGAGGGTTTGAAGAGCCAGACAAGGCCAAAACCAAAGAGAAAGAACACAGGTCACTTTGGATGCTGGATACGGGACCTCAGAAAGGAAGGCCTGCTTCGCTGAGGCCCCCGACAGGCAGCCCAGCCACACAGAGCGGAGCGCCCAGGAGGGCCCCACAGCAAGGGCACTAGGTGTGAGCAGCAGCCTGTACCAGCTGACCCACGACGGTCAGCTCAGCCCATGGGGCAGGATGCAAGGGTCCCACGGGGGAAGGGCAAAGCCCTCTGGCCCCCAAGCATCAAGGTGTGTGTGTGGGGGCATACTCAAAATAATTACCAGTGTGAGGAGGGCAGCAGGCACAGACTCAAAAGCCCTGCTATGGCCAGGTCACAGGGACATCCCCATGGCCTAGGGGAGGGTACCTGGGACAATAGCCATGTGCCTAGTACTGAGGAAGAATTTCACTATTTGAATAACTGATGATGCCACAGTGGGACATCCCAGCTGGAGGGCTGCCCTGTTTTGGGCAGGATCGGCCACGAGGAGGGCTGAAAGTGATGGTGCCTGAGGCTACACTTGGTATCACAGCTCCTTCTCCCAATCTACCCCAGGGAGGCTTATGGTTACTATCACACCTCCCCCATGGGGTTCCTCATTCTGGTGCCAGAGGGAGGGAGGTGGAGGGGAGAGGGGAAGAGAGAGAGAGAGAGAGAGAGAGAGAGAGAGAGAGAGAGAGAGAGAATGGCTACAAATCCATTAAGTACACAATCACCATCAGGGTGACACTGGGAACTCGCTGATAGGACATGAATACATGCCAAGTGCACAAAGCCAGGATGGCCACAAGGAGCCACAGGTGAGACTGGAAGGGTGGAGAGGTGCCAGAGTTTCTGTATCTTGGCTGTGAATGCATCACCTGGGATGGGGGCTTTACAAATGAGCGGATACCCTGGGCCCAGCTCCAGTGCTGGCCATGACTCTAAGACCAGGCCAGTCTGGTACCCGGGGCTTCCTCCTCTTGCTTCCTAGCTGTGTCTTCAGGAAGCGAGAGACCGCCCTGAGCCCGACGTGCCCATCTGGAAAATGAGAGAGACAGCAGGCCTGACCTCATCTTTGGCAGGCCGAGCTGAGATGACACACAGTGCCTGGCACAGCTGACATTTGGTGCAGAACGGCTGAGGTGCTGAGGACATGGGCACCTGTACACATGTTCTATGGATGACTCCGGGCACATCCAGGACCGAGAATCTAACACTTCCTTGAATGGCAGTATCTGTTTTGTTGTTTTTGGAGGAACTGGGGTTTGAACTCAGGGCTTCACACTTGCAAAGCAGGCGCTCTACCACTTGAGCCACACCCCTAGTCCATTTTTCCTCTGGTTATTTTGGAGATGGGGTCTTGCAAACTATTTGCCCTGGCTGGCCTTGAACCACAATCCTCCCAATCTCAGCCTCCCACATAGCTAGGGCGCTCAGCTACCACACTCGGCTAGGGTTTGTTTTTGTAAGCCACAAACACGCAAATAGTCATGTCATCCAGGAAGGAAGAATGGTAAGCATGCAGACACCAGGAGTGGGGAGTGGCCTTAGCCACCTTTCTCTGGGCAGGGACCAGGGTGCTTCCCATACTCAGAGGGTCCTATCCTGAGAGTGGCGCCCCTTGGACCTCCTCTCTCCCACCCAGCTGCCTTGGGCCACCCTTCCCCCAGCTTTCCCCTCTGCTTACTACTTGTACAACCCATAGCTCCATACAGGAGCTTCTAGAACCCCGAGGCTGCTTCACCATCTCCACCCAAGGGCTGCCCCACCATCACTTGGCTTCTTCTGAGGGGTTGAAACCCCTTCCACCAGCCACAGCAACTGCCCAGCAGGGGGCCCAGGCTCCCCTGCTAAGGAGGTCCCTCTCCTGGGACTCTAAAGTGCTATCAGCAGCCACAAGGACCAAAGACAGTCCCAGGAGACCCATCTGGTAAGGCTCTGTCTGGATTCCTGAGTTCTGCTCATTCTGTCCTAGAGAACAACCTTTCTTTTTCTCTCTTCTTTCTTGATGGTACTGGGGTTTGAACTCAGGGCCTCACACTTGGCTCTACCACCTGAGCCATGCCCCTAGAACTTGTTTTGCTTCTAATTTGCCTTTTAGATGGAGTCTCACGCTTCTGCCCAGACCAGCCTTGGATAGTGATCCTCCTACCTCTGCCTCCCACGTAGCTGGGATTATAATCACAAAAAGCCACACTGAGAACAGGAACTTAAGCTTTTGGTTTAAGTTGGCCAGGGTTGGTTCTGCTGCTTCAGAGCCCTTAGTCTGAACCCATCAGCCCCAAGGCTATGTATGGAAGGGGGAAGCAGAGGTCCAGTCCTCTGCTGGTCACTCCCACTCCACCTGCAGCTACTCCACAGCTGTCACCCGTCTGTCTTGGCCCAGATGTGTCTTGATCTTGCCCTAGGATGCATGCCTGACATCTTCAACTGCTACCCTGCACTGTTCACCTACTGTGTGCTGGGAGCATCAGAGCAGTTTCTGCGGAGGCATGCTGGCCAGACTCATCTGACCCAGAAGACCACAAAGCTCAGCCAAAGTCTGGGTGACAGGACAGGTGAGTGGTTGGGGAACGCAAACTCAAAGCCTCCAGCTGGAAGTGCAGACAGCCCCAGGCCCTGGCCAGGCACTCAGCGACAATCCCAGCCTACCCCAGCCTCACTCTACAATCCACAAACACAGCCAGCTGCAGCCAGGAGCTACTGACCTTCCTCCTCCTCCTCCTCCATCACTGTGCTGCCTGGGAATTCACAAGATCCAAGAAAGCATTAGGAACCACGGCCCAGCCCCTGCCCTAAGCTCCCATCTAAATACCCAGAGGGAGTGATGGCTCAGTGTCCCCATCCCACATGTGCTGGGTGTGCCCCTGACAAACACACTGCCCAAAGCAGCCCCTCCTACAAGTCACAACTGGGCTGAAAGACCACTAGCACTAGGAGATGATGTGCCCCACCTCATCTTTGTATCCATGGCAGCAGAGGGAGAAAAGGTCAGAATTATAGGGGGCGGGGGGTGGGGAGGTCAGCGCCAGCCCACAGCCTTAGTTCTTAGGACACAGACACTGCCCCAGGGAGCCCAATACTGCCCCAACTGCATAGGGACCCAAGAAAAAAGGAAGAGAAAGTGACTTGGCTCACGTGCCACCTGGCATCTCCCAGGCCCTCAGCCTCGGATGCTGTATTTATCACCACGATGTCCTGGATTTCTCAGATTGCCCCCACCTCGGACCAAGAGCTCTCCAGGACACAGACTGGTCTTTTCCACCACTCTACCCCCAGCACCTGAGACGCCACGTGCAGTTGTATAGGATGCACACTACACCATTCCACATGGCACATGGTAGGCACTCTGTGTACACACCTGACAGGCAGATGGACAGGCTGACAAGGACTGGCGAACAAGCAGTGCTGACCTTTTAATGCCACAAGGAGCACTCCAGTGGCCCCGTGGTGCTCTGTCACAGTCCCTACCTATAAAGCTGGTTTGTGAACCAGAGCCGAAAGAAACAGGGAAAGCCAGCTCACATTTTCCGTTAATTTGGATGTTTCTGCAGCTATATTAATACACAATATTAACTGCTATCTAGCAACTGTGAGGTCCTGGGTTCCATCCCCAGTACCACAAAGAAAAAAAGAAAAATCAAAACCCTTTGACCTACAGATTGTTTACAGGGCATGTCTTAAACAGTCAGGTGTAGTTTATTCACTTATGTGACTTTTGTTTTTTCTCCTAATGCTACTGAGGTTTGAACTCAGGGCCCTGCATTTACGAGACAGGTGCTCTACCGCTTAAGCCACACCCCTCCCCCAGCCCATTTTTTCCTTTGGTTATTTTTCAGGTCTTTTGCTTTTTGTCCAGGGCTGGACTCAGACCGTGATCCTCCTGATTTCTGCCTCCTGAGTAGCGGGAATTGCAGATGTGAGCCACCATGCCTGGCTATAAAAAGCTTTTTATTGTTATATTTTAAAGCAAAACACTTATTATCCAACAAATGTTCTGGGTGTTCCTCCCAGTACCAGGCAAAGGTCTCTGATGGTGACAAGCAGGTGTCCTCCACCACTGCACCACAGAAGCGAACCCAGGCTGGAGTCTCACTTTGATGCCAACACCGCCTGTGCTCTATAAGGTTCTGGAGCTCCGCCTGGGCGAGGGCCAGCAGGCCAGCCTCCCTTGAGAGAAGGACTCAGTGACTGCTTTATAGTCAACGCCTCATTTTTGCCCAAAAACGGAATTGCCTGGCTGTACGGCCCCACCTCATTCCCCCAGCTTCATCTTGAAAATTCTCCATCCTCAAAGAGTTGAAGAAACGCAGTCATTGAGGGCAGCTGAAAGGAATGTGCTGTCTTCCCAGGGCTCTCCTGCAGCTGCTCAGTGTTCTCAGCACTTCTGTACATCAGAGAGATGCTGATGAAGCAGTGTTAAAAAAAGAAAGAAGCCAGGTGTGGTGAAGCACGCCTATAATCTGAGCTTCTCAGGACACAAAGACAGGGGAATCATGAGTTCCAGGCCAGCCAGCTGGAGTACAGCATGAGACCCTTATCTGAAAAACAAGCTAAAAGCAAAAGGACTGTGGGGCAAGCCTCAAGTGGTAGAGAGCTTGCCTTGCAGGTATGAGGTCCTGGGCTCAGTCCTCAGGAAGGCAAGAAACAATTGATTAAAATTACTTCTTAGTTAATTAAAAGGGCTTTCCACAAAACCAAACAAAGAAACAAAACCCTGAAAATGTAGGGGGTGTAGCATTTGCCTAACACACACAAAAAAAAAAAAGAAAAAGAAAGCAAAGAGAGCAGGCAGAAGAATACGGCTTGCTGTGGCCTTGACTTTGTCAGGGAAAAGCCTAGAAAAGGCAGGAAAAATGCTGAATGCTAAGCTGCTCCCTGGGGTTGGGCAGCAAAGGGCATCTCTTTCCTGATTCTTGGTGATTTCCATGGAGTTACTGTGGGTGGCTTGAAGCCAGAGGAGGTCAGGACTTCTCACCCTCCACACAAATGACACCGTGAGCTGTGTGGTTCTGTGCTATGGTGGGAAGGGGAGTGGGGGGGTGTCCTGGATGCTGTACGCCACTCGCTAGCATTGCTGGGCTGAACTTGTAAGGGGACAAATTTGCAGGGAGATAAAATGGCAGAAATAACCCTGGGGATGTAAAGGGACAGATGGCAGAAGTGACTTTGTTTTAGAGAAAGGCAACAGGAAGGCATACTTAAAGCAGCTTTGCACACAGGTGCTGAGGCACAGCAGTTTCTCTTCCTAGACAAGGAAAACAAGATGAAACATCCTTAAGGGCAGTTATCTAAGAAGATAAAATACAGACCCCTAAAAAGACAGTAACACAGCAAACTTTCCCAAGATAAACAACAAACAGGTCTTGCCAAAATAATGAGTGCAGTCATAAAATGTTAGGTGGTACACCTCAAGGTCAGGATGGATTAACGAGACCCTCTTGGAATGTCCAGTCTGATAAGGATGAGGGACGACTAGATGGCCGGGTTTGATCAGAAGTCAATTAGACAGTCAGTTACAGCCACAGTGTCAAAGGCAGAGTGGAAGGGATGTCTAAGTTGGCCTCTACCTAATCTCATGAGCTGCAGTTATCCCCCGACTTAGTTCTTTCACTGAGTCCCACCCGTCAGGGAGCTCTGAGATCCTTTCAGTAAACTTTGTGTTTGCTTTCTTCTTAACTCCTCATCTGTGGCGTGAATTTGCTTTAACTCCTAACTGCTTGTCCTGCTCCTTCAACCATCGACTGCGTCAGGACACGAACTCGGGGAGCAACAATCCAGGCAGTACCAAACTCAGTAGATCCCAGCAGTGACCCCCATTGCAGCTATGACAACCAAAAACATGTAGACATGGTCAAATGTCATACTGTTCTCCAACCTAGGCTTTAAGTTAAGCTCTTAAAAAATAAAAACAGAGGGGGACACCGTTCACATGCCTAGCATGTGTGATGCCCTGGGTTCCAGTCCCAGAAACCACACACACAACCCAAAAAGAAAGAAACCAGAATCATAAAACATTCTTGCCTCCCAGATATGAAGGCTTATGAGTCAATTGGTACTCATCTCTTTGCCATCCAAAGTAAACAGACATCCTAGAAACCAATGTAAGAAACACCAGGGATTGGGGGGTTGGATCTCCCTAAGGTCAGCTCCCCTCTCCATCACCCTGAGAGAGAAAGCCTGCAATGAACACTCCTGACCCTGCGTGTTCTGAGAAAGACGTGCTGAATTCAATAAGGAAAAAGTTTTTCTTGGGCAGAAGCAAAAAACATGGTTCGAGTGGACCTGAGGTCACAAGCTTGGCCAAGGTTGAGCAAGACTCAGCCTGATACCAAGAGCTCCAGACAGGGCCCTCCAGGGAGGGGGACAGAGCACGCCACCTGGTCTGACTGAAGACCCACAGGCCAACGAAGTCTCTGTGTCCTGCCTGGCCAGAGGCCGGGTGGCTGAGTCAGGGATGGGAGGCCGCAGAAGTGCTGGGGTGATGGCTGGTATTTTCATCCCCCAGTTAAACCCGACATGCACAGGAAATAATAAGTCAGCAGTACTCTGTGCTATCTGCTTTGGACACGCAGGCAGCTGGGGAGCAAGCAAGGGGACCGACAGAATTTAAGGATGCTTCTTGCTCACCTGGGTGGAAGGCAAGGCTGGGGCAAGCAGGGAGACAGATGGACAGATCTCATTCTAGAAAGAAGACTCAGTTAAACCTGTCCTCTTGATTTAGAAACAAGAGGGTTATTTCTGCTTAGGCACAGCCCACCAGGCAGTGGCTGCCCAGTAGCCAGGATCTGCCATGAGGGTTAAGACACAGAGATGAAAAATTCTGCAGCAAGAACAAATAGGCTAGTTGTATGGCAGAACTTCCCAACTATAAGGGGATGACTGTATAGAAACTGACTCCAGCCAGAGAATTTAAAAGCTGAGGAGATGACTAGGGGCGTTCTTCAGATGACAGAGCACCTGGCTAGCAAGTGCCAAGCCCTTGCTTGATTCAATCCCCAGTACTGCCAAAAAATAAAATAAAAACCATCAGGGAATGTCAGCTGTCACACATAGGCAAAACCAAAAACACTTCTTGTGAACCACGGGACATCATAGCAGCAAATCCTAACAGCCAAAGACCGAAAACAACTCACATGTCCACCAGCACACTAACGGATAAACAAAATGTCTGTCCATACAACGGAGTATTATTCAGCCACAAAAAGGGCATGAAGCTATAATACAGATGAACTTTGAAAACACAAAGCTCCGTGCGCAGAACCAGTCACCAAATACCACATGCTGTGAGAGCCTGTTTATCTGAAAGTCCCAAATAAGTCAATCTATAGTAACAGAAAGTACTTGAGTGGTTGCCTGGGGCAGAAATGGGAGTGGCTGCAAATGGACACAGGGTCTCCTTTGAGACTGAGGGGAATGTTCACAAGCTCAGGATATGTGCGAATTACATCTCAATAATGTGTTATTAAAAACCACCAGGGACCATGATGCACACTGCTTAATGCAGAGTTGTGAATGAGGACCCAGGTGTGAGGCCCAGTCCTCTGGCAGCCACTTTGTACCCTTGGCCCAGCTGCTTCCTCTGACGTTCAATGGCTCCCCACTGCATGTAGACCAAACCCCAAAGCCTCACCTTGGAGGCCCTGTGGAGTGATCACCCCAATGCCCTCATCTCCCGCCGATTCCCTTACCCACCCTGGTCTGGGTGGACACAGCCTCCTTTTTGTTTCTTCAATAAACTGAGCTCACGAGGGTCCCGAGGCCTTGGGACATTTGGCTCCCTATGGTCTGCACACTGCTCCCCACATCTTCTCCTGGTTGGCGCCTTCCCAGGCCCTCCACCTGCCCAGAGAGGCTCTGACCACCGCATGCAATCGCCAGCCTGCTGCCCTGCGGCTCCGCCCCTCATCCTGCTAGAAACCAGCTTTGTGGGTTTAGTTTTTATCTCTGTCCCCTCTGGGTTTCAAGGTCCATAAGGACAGGAATTTGCCATCTCCTCCCCAGCCTGGAGCGGTACTGGTTAGCGTTGAACTGTGTCCCCTGAAACCCACATACCAGGTCCTAACCCAGCAACTGCGTGTGGCTGCACTTGGAGACAGAGGGGCGCACTGAGGCAGGCAGCCCCACTCTGGCCTCCCTGCTTCCTTAGGAGCCAGGGAAGGCTGGAGACCGAGGCACACAGGAGCCCACCAGGGAAGATGAAGGCAGCGTGCAGGCCAGGGAGGCCATTGTGCCAGGATGGGAGAGGCTGGGCAGGTTTGTCCTTATGGCCCTCAGGGACCTAACCCTGCCGACCCCTCGGCTGTAGACCTCCGGCCTTCAGAACCATGAGACAGTATGCCTGCTGTTTACGTCGCCTGTCTATGGCACTTTGTTATGGCAACCCCAGGAGCTCATGCAAGAACTCTACATATACTGGGTGCTCAATAAATCCCCAAATGACCAAAACAAACAGCAAAGAGCTCTTTCTTAGTGTCCCCCAAATCCCCCAAGAACCCCCATTCACCCAGACACACACACCTATTTTGCCCACAGGAGCTGTGCTATGGGCTGCCCTGTGGCCCCACCCCAGGTCTGTCTACCTAAGACTTGTTTGGAACAAAGTTTGTAACAGACGTGCTCTAAGCCCCAGGGAGTCCTGGAAAGGGCAGGGAACACAGGTGACTGCTTTAGTTTTACTCATTTTAGCAACCATTGGAACCAAAGCCGGGTCCCCCAGACCACAGGTGTGGCTTTTTGGGGTGCAAGGAAGTCTTTCCTGCCCATGTCAGCACTGGCCACCTCTCCTGGACGGAGGTGGGCGGAGCCTCCTCAGAAAGGCCCGTGTGGCACAGGACAGAGCACAGGTTGGCCAGGAAAGGTTGAAAACCACCCCTGAACTTGGCCTCACTGATGACTCTCCGAAGCCCACCTGCCCGTGTCAAGTCGGTCCACTCAGCCCAAAGTCCACAGGGACTAACTCACTGCCAGAGCCCCAGTCTAGGAGGACATGGGCAAGGTGGCTGGGAACAGGCAGGTGGGTCTGTTGTGACAGACGCTAGCACCAGTCACTCTCTCCAGGGCGGGAACAAGACAGCTGTGGAAGAGCCAGGCACTGAACACTCCACGTCCATCAAATCTCACCACATTCCAAGACACTTCCTGCTGTCACCCCTCTCCATCAGTGAGGACACAGCTTCAGAGGGCAAGAAGCCAGGCTTGAAATCACATGGCTCCCAAGAGCAGCATCTGGGATCGAATGGAGGGCCACCGACTCCAAGCACGCACCCTCAAACCCTGTGCTGTGCTTCCTGATCCTCACACTTGTCTGAAATACACTGCGTGTGCCACCGGCTTCTCTCCTCCCCAGGGACGGAAGGATGATAACCATGACTGTCCGCATTTCTGCCAGGACCCTGACACTCCCAGGCAGGGAGGGACCTGCGATGCGGTCAGCTGAACCACAGCCTGGTGCCTGGGGCCCTGGGGAGGGTGGGGAAGTGCTGGATTGCCCCCTCTCAATCCAGGCCTGTGACATTAAGGGGCTCTCTCTTCTAGTTGGTCCCTGGGAAGCCTGACCCACTTCCCACCCTGAAGCCCTAATGAGCTGTCTTCCGGGTGCTGGAGACTCCCCAAGAGGCCACTATGGCCACCTGAGCCCATGGCTGCCCTTACCCTCCTCCTCCAAGGTCTGGTCCTGCTCAGTGCTGGCGTATGTGCGCAGGAACTCAGCAAAGGCCCCGTCCCGGGCCAGCAGCTCCTGGTAGGAGCCCATCTCTGAGATCTTCCCGCCACTCATGACCACGATGACGTCCACCTGTGGCAGGTAGCTGATGCCATGTGTAACCAGGAGCCGTGTCTGCAGGCAAAGTGGAAACCCAGCCGTGTCAGCACACATGCAGGAGACACAGGCCTCGGAAGGATGGTGACAAAAATGGAGTCACTGACCCCTACTCTCAGGTCCGAAGGCAGGACACACACCTGAGATGGAAGCGTACAAAAGCCTGAATCCACCAACAGGATGGGTGCCGGGCTAAGAGCAGGGCTGGCGGCAGGAGACAAACCCAGCAGAGACCGTGCCCAGCCGCCAGGGTCACGGTGCACACAACAGTGTGCATGAACCAGAATGGGGAGTTTGCAAGTTAACGAGGGGAGCCAGGAGGAGGATTCTGTAACAAAACCTAAAAGTCAAGAGTGCTACCATGCAAGCGTGTGACCACAGGACACTGCAACTCACAGACCCTAGTAACAACCTCTTTTTGTTTTTTTTGGTGGGACATGAGATTGAACTCAGGGCTTTGTGCCTGCAAAGCAGGTGCTCTCCTCTTGAGCCACACTTCCGTCCATTTTGCTCTGCTTATTTTGGACATGAGGTCTTGAGATCTCTTTGCCTGGGCTGACCTCGAACCTCGATCATTCCGATCTCAGTCTCTCAAGTAGCTAAGATTACATGTGTGAGCCACCCAGACCTGGCTTTATTTTTTTTTTTTAAGTACCTCTCTCTGTCCTTCTTCCCCAAAAGCCAATACAGCATTTGTATTTGGGCACATATTTAATTTTGTCTATTACTCTGCGATGCTGAGGATTTTCTTGTACCTGAGTCAGGGAAGGCACACAGCATGCTACTGACAGGAGTCAACAAACCTCTGCCTGACAGGCCAGCTGGTGATGTTTTCAGCTTGGACCCTGCAGTCGCCGAGCAGTGGCTCAGCTTTGCAGCTGTGACATGAAACAGCAACGGATGACACCTTGAAGGCAGGCTGCTGCCTTACAGTGAATCTTCATTTATGAGCACTCATATTTAATATGACTTTTGCATGTCACAAATTATTCTTTAGATTTTTCTCCCACCATTTAAAATTGTGGAAACTATCCTTAGCTCACTGACCCCTACTCTCAAGAGAAAAATTGGGGGTTACAGGAAGAGGGGACTATGTGTGTGTCCATATCAACAAGTACATATGTATACACACATACCATGTACACGTGTGTATGTATGCATACTATTACACATAAATGGATCTTCTTGTACTCTCATTTTGTTACCATGGTTATGAATTCTCTTTTTAAGACTTAAAATTTTTTTTAATACTTAAGAGTTATGTTTGCACAGAATTTCAGTGGCATCTCTGAATGCTTATGACAGGCTAAGTGCATGTTGCTTCCTATACGTACACACGTACCACGTAAGTCAATTTAAAAGACACGCATGCAAAGTGACTCAAAAGAAACAGAGATCTCTAAGTGGTGGGATAAGGTGTAATTGCTTTCGCTTTTCATGTTTTTCTTCAACTTTGATGTTTTTCCATGGGCACATGGGAAAACATGTTACTGGAGGAAAAGGAAGAACCAGTATGCCCCTTCCTGTTACCCTAAAAAAAAAAAAAAAAGTCTAGGTGTGGTGGCTCATGCATGTAATCCCACCTACTCAGGAGGTGTAGGTAGGAAGATCAAAGCTCAAGGTGCGCCCAGGGAAAAAGCATAAAGCCCTATCACCCTCTCCACAAACAACTGAAGCTAAAAGGGTTGGGGGTGGGGCCCAAACAGTACAGCACCTGCCCAGCAAGCCCTGAGTCCTGAGTTCAAACCCCAGTACCACAAAAAAAAAAAAAAAAACTCCGAGCCTGTTTCCTGTTGTGTTAAGGTGCTCTGGCAATTTTCCAGCTCCAGCCTTCAGCCCTTTGCCAAGTGACATGGAAGGACTTGCAGCCTGCACACTCATGAGTGGCACAGGGGTGGGACTTCCCCCTGGGCAGCTGCGTCAGGATTTCGTTGGGAAGACAGGCCTCCTTTGGCCGAGGAGACAATAAATTCAGTGAGTACCGAGGACTTGCCCCTATAAAGACCCGTGTAGGACACTGGCCTTGAGAAGGCTTCCAAGAGAAGCATTAGAAATGTGTACAAGTTCAATTTAAAAAAAAAATCTAAGCCAGGTTGTGGACTCCTGGTGGGCCGCATTCCAAGTTACCAGGAGCGGGGTGGCCGCCACCCCAGTGTCCCGGCAGGTACCTTGTTCTGCAGCATCCCCTTAGGACCAATCACGTTTTCAAAGATGTGCTTCCCCACGTGGGCGTCCACGGCCGAGAGCGGGTCATCGAAGAGGTAGATGTCCGAGTCGCAGTACACAGCCCGGGCCAGGCTCACGCGCTGCTTCTGGCCCCCCGACAGGTTCACACCCTGGGGGAGACACGGACCTGGCGAGGGGGCCGTCACTGATGCCCCTGTGAGCAGCTAGCAGTTTTTGCAAGGGTCTGTGGTTCTCTTGTGAAGTCACAGTCAAGGCAGGGTCCCACTCTGGGACTGTGAAACCCTGGGCCCCAGCCCGGGGAGGAAGGGCATGGCGTGGACCAGCAGCAACTCCCCCGCCCATGACAGGTGGGCCCAATGCCATTGCCATGTTTGGCTGGGAACTCGCAGTGGACACCCATGGGGTTTACTGCCCAGCCCTGTCCAGAGAAATGCCTGCCCGCCTTCCCACGCAGGCGGGGTCCCAGCAGCCAGAATCCTGTTGCTGGATGGTCCCTCGGACCCGGGCCGTCCACCCAGGGCAGACACTACAGCCAGGCTAAGCCAGTGCCATCGTCTCCCTCCAGATTTTCATACTGTCCTTACAGAGGGACACTGGGAGTGGACGCTGCAGAAAAAGACAAGGCTAACGCACAGAAAGGAGACGAAACACAGAGCAGGACCCAGGCTGAGGGCTCCATCCCTTCTCTAAGTTCCAGGAGATTCTGAACTTGGATTCCAGGGGACACAAGCTCAAAGTTCCTGGAAAAACCAAAAAGCCCTGAGAACAGCTTGTTTTTCATTTCCAAGGAGCTACCAGGGTGCCTCAATTAAACATCATTCACCAAATAAGAAAGCTGGCGAGCCACTGGCTGTGACCAAAAACACACTGCACTCACTCCTGGGCTTTCAAGAGGCCGGATGGCCCTGTGAACAGCTCACACACCAAACAACCATCAGGGGGCACCAGAGCAAGTCGGTGGCCAGTGGCAGGGGAGGAGGCCTGCAGGAAGGGCACCTGTAAAGACCTGGAGGTCTGGGGGCAGTGACAGCGAACAGGGTGGGCAGAGGGGACCTGCAGATGGTGGGAGGCACAAAGAACAGTGTCTTTAGAAAAGACGAAACAAAAGCTAGGTGTGGTGACATCATTCCTGCACTCAGGAGGCTGAGGCAAGAGGATCACAAGTTCAAGGCCAGCCTGGCCTACACAGTAAAGACTCCGCCTCAAAAAAATAAAAACGACAACAAAAACAAGTGACAAAATGTAGCAGCAGGTAACAACAGGGATACTGGAGCCTCCCACTCTTGGCTCTAATGCTGTGTGGCCATGGGCAAGACACTTAGCCTCTCTATGCCTTCTTTTCCTTGACCATTCAAGTGGGGAAAATACCAAACGCCTCATCGTGGGGCTGCGAGGAGAACAACCGGGTGAAAAACACCTGGTCCAGTACACAGAAAGTGCTCGCTAAGCATTAGCTAGCAGACTGTCACCTGTTTTGACAGGGGCTGTGGACGTGTGACCCCCCCACGTCACCTTCTGTGACCTGCACTGTGATGGGCAGGACAGGGTGCACTCAGGGGTGTTGGCATGCTTTTTGCTTTGCTCTCTGGGGCATCCGCTGTCACCATGAGAAATGTCCCCTTGGGGAACCACTGAGTGACTCCACAGCCCAGCCCCCAGTGAGAACCCATTTGAGCCAAACCCAGAGCTCAGCCTCCCTCCCAGCTGGGCCCGTCCACTCACAGACCCACAGGCGAGAGCTGTGGTCAGCATTTCAAGGCACTGACGATGTGCCAGTTGTGGGTCACAGGTGCTGGTGCTGTACTGACCTTCTCGCCGATCTCGGTCCGGTCCCCGCTGGGCAGGATTTCCAGGTCCGGGAGGAGGGCACAGGCCTCCATCACGGCCTTGTAATACCGCTCCTGCAGCGGGCGCCCAAAAAGGATGTTTTCTCTCAGAGAGTCATTCTGAATCCAGGCCTGCTGGGGGACGTAGGCCACCGAGCCCTGTAGGGAAGGACAAGGGTCAGGACGGACAGATGGTCTTGATCAACAAGACAGCCTGCCCAGGAGGGGCTTCCTTCCTGCACAGGTGAAGAAGTAGCTAGTCTCAGAGAAGAGGGAAGAGCATTGAGTCAGGCGGGAACAGCACATGCAAAAAGCCAAAGATGGGAAACACTGCACATCCGGGAATAAAGGTCAGTGCGACCGGAAGGACAGCAGGACATGAGCTGGAGGCAGCAGGGGCCAGCTCACACCAGGCTGTGGCCGCACTGACCTTTGCCAAGAGGGCAATGGGGGGCTAGGGAAGATGCGTGAGTAAGAGAGTTCCGGAAGGACAAAGCTCTATGTGAAAACCAGGGGCCCCGACTCTGGATCTAAATTCCCACATAAGTCCTGACCTGTAAGGGCCCCAAATGCTACAAAGCCTCAGCCACAGACCTCACTGATATAACCCTGTCCACCCACCTCACTTTACAACGGCACATTTCTTCTCTTCTTTTTTGTGGTACTGAGGTTTGAACTCAGAACTTGAATTTGTTAGTTAGGTGCTCTACCACTTGAGCCACACCTCTGGCCCGTGTTTTAAATTTTATTTTCAGATAGGGTCTTACAGTTTTTGCCTGGGTTAGCCTTGAACTGATTCTCCTACCTCTACCTCCTGATAGCTGGGATTACAGGTATGCACCACCATGCCCAGAGACAACAGGATGTTCCTTAAAACAACAGTAGGTGTCATTAATTTGGACCCAATTACTGTAATGTGTGCTTTCAGAATCTGGGTACAGTAGTCAACAAAGAAAGGATCTGGACTGAAATAAAAACAATGACGTAAACTAGCTTCCCCAATGAGAATGTTAATGGCTGTTGTACAGACAACAAAGAGGTTCAAAGAAATGTACCTGGGACATGTTAGGCTAAACAAAGTTAAACCTTTTTTTCTCCTTGCAGGACTTCTCAGAGCCTTTATTTTGTTAATGTTTATTACAAATCTCCAAAAGTTGGGAGTTTAAATGTGCAGTAGTTCCCAACTTTGTTGGAGCCTCATCCCTGATAACCCCCAAATATCTTGCAAGGTGAGTCTGTTGCACACCACACTCCAGGAAATGGTGATGTCAAAATGGCAAGAGCCTTATTCCTATACCAGGAAAAGGCCTCCTGGGGAAGAAGCCACACGCAGAACAGGGTCCCTTAGGGAATTTCCACTTAGTTTAAAGCTTAAACCAATAGAACTCCACTCTTCCTCCAGCCCCGTATGAAGAATTCAGCAAACACACTTTAACTACTCCTTCCTTAACCGCACGGGAAGAAAACACTCCAGCCATGTTAATCGACATTTAAGTTCTGTCATATTTGTGAGAAATATGGAGAGAAACTAAGGAGGAAAAACTGTCAGCAAACACAGAGGGGCAGAGGCAGGGAAGGATGGAGACAGGAACTGTGTGCTCACTGTGTATTTATTGAGTGCCTACTGCATGCCATTCTAAGAGCTGGGATGCAGCAGGCAATGGCTGATATGGAAATTCTGTCTGTGGGGTAGCAGAGAAACACAGAGAGAACAAGAGGGAAACAGACAGACGGGAAGACAGGATAGCAGAGCAAGAGGCCAGTGGAACTTGCTTCTCGCTCAGGGATGGCTGTGAAGGAGAGCACCTGCCCTTGGCCTGCCCCTCAGGCCACTGGCCCCCTCCCCCATCCAATCTTTGTCCTACCTTGAGAGCCACTTGTCCCTCCACCTTGTCCATCTCAGCCAAGAGGGCTGAGAGCAGAGAGGACTTCCCACAGCCCACCTGGCCCACCACGGCCACCAGGGCGCCGTCCGGGATGGAGAAGGTGATGCTAAAAGACAGGACATAGAGCCTGAGTGCATGCCACTGTGCCTGCCATCACACCACCACGCCTGTCCACCCAGGGATGGAGACACAGAGGCAGGGCCGGCTTGAGCTTTAAAGATATGGTGTGTCTTCCAGCCGCTTCAGGGCTGAGCCCAGTCCTAAAAAAGGTGCAATGCAGGTGCTGGTGCTGGGATGCAGATGCACCTGAGGGCAGGACAGCGAGGGCCCTGGGGGAATGTCACACTGAAACCCAACTGGAGGGTATTAACTGTCCCGAAGGACAGGACCCTCCACATCAGCCTAGGAGGAGACAGCAAGACCCAGATACATCTGTATCTGGAAGCAACTGAGAAGCCTCAGTGAGAGAGGGAGTGAGCATGACTGGGGACCAAGAAGGAGCTGAGTGGGTAGCTGGGTGGTGGCCAGGCCTGGGAGGACACAGGCACACTGTGCTGAGACCCCAGGCTTTGTCAGCTGGGAGACACCAAAGGGCCTGGAGGTGAGACAGGTATAAATGGGTCCTTTAAGACGTATGGTGAGCAAGTGAAGGAAGATCATGGTGCCACAGCAAGAGTGGCTGTCACCCGGCCACCCAGGGCTGGCCAGCTGGGAGACCGCTCCCAGGAAGGGTGGCCACAGGCAGGGCTCCGGGCTCCCTGCAGTGGCTGCATTCTAGAAGCTGCTGTCCTGATTCCAACACAGCAGAGGTGCACACTCTGCTGTCCCCATTCTTAGGAAGATGCAGGGTGCGGTGCCCACTGCTCGTCTCTGCTTGCGCAATGAGGGGACCGGAAGCCCAGGGATGTGGTACCTGCCACTGTCTAGGTGAGACTGGAATATTCTTACAGGGGAGGGAAGAAGGGCTGGGGGGACTGAGGCAGCAGGGTAACTAGGACAAGTGGAAAAGTTACAATTGAAGGAGGCAGGATTTGAGCTAGACATAAGGAAGAACTTCTAGACATGTTCTCCTGCCATGAGTTTCCAATCAAGATAAAAGGGACAGACTGCTTTTTCTGATGACTTTGTCCCATTTGATAAAATACAGCAGTCATTTAGATACCAAGTGAAGGGAGAATTGTTTTTGGACACGGGGATAAATCTGGTTTCTGAAAGGAACACGTTAGCCTGAGCTTTGTGGAATTCTTAAGGAGACTTCAAAGAGCTCTGAAGCAAGACCTCCAGTCAGAAAGAAGAGGCACTGGACAGGCTCTCAGGACACAGGTCAATTCTGGGACACGATGTGCCAGACACAGCTCAGGACAGTGGCAGGTAGGAAGGCAAGTGGGTGAGCCTGAAGGCGTCAGGGAGGTAAAACTCCATCCTGACCCAACACGCAGCGGATGGACATCTTTCAGCAAGCCGGCCTGGGACTCACCCTGGTCACCAGCAAGCCCTGGCCCTCCAGGCACAGTGACTGGCTCACAGAAGAACATGTGACTCAATCTGGACCGATAAGCAGTCAGGAAGTCTGAGGATGAAGTGGCCCAGAGGGAAACGAAACAAGGGACTGACGATGGGCAGTTCCAAGGGAGTGTGAGGCCCTGGGTCACTCCAAACTTGAAAGCCAGGTTTCTCAGTCATGGCAGCCAAAAATCCCCCTTTGCTGCCTAGCTGGGAAAAGTTCCTGCCACTCACAATCAGAGGGGCCTTCTGTGCTAGGCACCTTCCTATCTGCTGCTCACACTAGGCCAAGTGATTGGACCTATTTTTCTGGATGAGTAAACTGAGGCTCAGAAAGGTAACAGTGACCCAGTCAAGGTCACAGAGTTGGAGAGTGGCTAGAATTTGAACACGTTTGTCACCGTGTGAGCCCATACCCCGGCTTACCCAGTGAGCGTGGGAGGTTCTCCCCTGGACCACGTGAATGTGGCATTCTTCACAGTAATGCTGTTTGTTCCCCCGCCTGAAAAGCACCAGAAACAACGTGTCAGGCACAGAGGGAGTCAAGGGACTGACCAGGTGTGAGCAGACAGATGCTCTGAATTAACCTCGGACGCTGGGCCCTCGTGCGCCAGGCAGTATCTGGTGACACGACAAGAACACCACACTGGGCTGTGGCTCAGTGGTAGAGCGCTTGCCTAGCAGGCACAAAATAAATAAAATAAAATAAAATAAAAACATCAATCTTCAGCTTTGGAGACAGCTTAGGCCCAGACAGGCTGGGCCACTGAGATGCCCACTGTGGGAGCCGCCTGCAGGGGTGGGTGACACTCAGGGCTCCCTCGCTGTCTCAGGTAGGTTTGTGGGGCTCTACTGGGAGGCTCAGCAGGAGCTAAGGTCGGTGGGAGTGAGCAGCCCTGTCAAGCAAACCTCTTTCCAGGTCAGCCCCTATCACACCCACCCCATCTCCCACCCCTAGGACTGCCTCATGTGCGAGGCCAGACTCTTCTCGCCTCAAAGCCTGGATCCTGCAGCAGCTTCCCAAGGCCTCTCAAGGCATCCTTCTCCCTCTCAACCCAACCCTGCCCACCTCACTGAGGGCCAATCTTTCAACACCAGCCATAATGGACCCACACGAGCTGTAGAAGGGGAAGCCGTGAGGTCTGAGCTGAAGCTCCAGCATAGGGTCCCGAGAGCCTGAGGCTCCTGGCATCTGTCTTTACAGACTGTGCCACCCCTGGTTTTCCTTTTACTTCCTGTCTCTCACTTCAAGTTATCAAATTACAAAATCACTTCTGTGCATCAAAGAAACAAACGCCTGCTGCAGGAGGAAGGTGCTGTTTAGGCTGTTAAACTTCTTCCTTGACTCCTCCCTAAAAAAGAGAAAGCTGATGCTGTCCCTTGATTGTTATTTGGTCTCTGCAGTGCTAAGGATCAAACTCAGGGCCTAGTGTATGCCAGGTAAGCGCTCGACCTCTGAGCCACACCAGGGCATCCCGAGAGGTCACTCATGGAGGATGAGCCTCCATGGGAAGGAGCTACAGAGAACTGTGCTGGCAGGAGGAGAGAGCCAGATAAACTCCTCAGCCAGCAGAAGGGCAAGTGCCAAGGTGACCAGAAGGCCCTGGGTTTTCTGCCATTCCCCAGGAAGTTGTGACAACTCCAGCTGCAAGACACTATCCTGGGGCCACGTCCAATTTCAGCCTGTGTTTGCAGAGAAATGAAGCCCTTAGAGCACAAGCATTGTGCCCACCCCTTGAGGGGCCCTTGGTCCCCGGGACAGCACAAGTTGAGGGAAGAGGCTCTAGCACGCACTTGGGTGGCGGTCTCGGATAGGGGACACTGTGTTTCCAGCAGGCATCTGGCAATGTCTGGAGACATTTTTGGGTGTTCCAACTGCGATGGGCAGTACCAGACCCAGAGGGTAGAGGCCTAATGGGCAGGTATAGGATGCTCCACTCACCATCCACAGTGTACAAGACTGACCTCCATAATAAAGGATAATTGTCCCCAAAGGTCATCAGTGCCCAGTGTGCAAACCTGCCACAGGTTCCCTTATCCAGATGGGGAATGTGAAGCTCAAAGCAACGCAGACCCCACTTGGTGGGGTCTGGCCAGTCTCCCAGGTCCTCATTTTGCCTTCCCATGGGCGCAGAGCAGAACAAAGGCCTGGGCCCTGGAACCTGACTGGGGCGAACAGGGTGGCCTCGCCCAGTGGCTACCTCCCAGAAAGAAGGCAGAAGTGCAGGCTCATGCCTGGGCTAGGTGAGATAAGAGGGGCCCCCGGGGTTCTTGGAGGCCAGGCCTCTCTTCCTGTCCCTCCTCTGCTCTGCAGAGGCCCGGCACCCTAGTGTCCTACAGACAAGTGGCTGGGCAGAGCAAACCCAAGGGCAGATGAGGCGAAGAAAGGCCAGGATGGGGACACTGGCACACACCATCCTTCATGGGCCTCCGCTCAATGCTGTCTGGCTCCAGCTCCTCGTGGGACAGGAAGACCCTCAGGCGCTTGAGGGACACACTGGCCTGCAGGGAAAGCAATGACAGACATCATTATCTTGAAAGATCAAAACACATGCAGGTTCACTTTCTGTGTTTCCCCTGGTGTCGAGAAGTCACGGCCTCCTGAACTTCTCAAGGCTGTGCACTGGGTATCTGTTTCAGAATACAAAAACATAACGGGTTCTAGTCCTTATTCCTCCAAAAGTCCACAAAAGGCAGTTTAAAAAAAAAAAAAAAAAAAAGAAGGGCAGGGGATGGACTCAATGACAAGAGATGTCAAGTTTAGCCAGGCCGGCCAGGACGACAATTCTGCGTCACCCAAACACTTTCACCTGGAGGGATATTATTTTACCAAATTATCAATAACTGGGCTTGCTAGAATGGGTCACAGTTAGAAAAAGGCATGCAGATTTACTTTAAAATTCTGTGCAGAAGAAAGGAATGGAGGCAAGGCGGGGGAGGGGCTGGAGAGGGGAGAGTCAGATGAAGGGGGAGTCGTGCTGGACAGGGCAGTGGGTTCTGGGTTCGAATTACACTGCTCTTTCTGCTCTGGGTGTCTACAATCTTTCATAGTAGACAGGATTTATTTGTTGTTTCTGTTACAACTATGAGCAGGGCTGAATGACCCACTGGTCAGGGCAACTCATCTATGTGGCTGCAGATGGAGTTTCAAGGAAGGTGTCCGATGCTGAGGTCAGACCTGTGAAGACCCTGGCGGTAGAATGGAAGGAGCCACACCAGTGTGAGTGACAGGGAGGCGCGGATGACAGCGCAGTCCCTCTGCTCACACAGCTGAGGGCGGAACCAGATCCCATTCCCAATCAGGGTTTCCCAAGGTGAGTGGCGATCTCTCAGAGGGGTGTGAAATCCGTGAAGTGGATCAAAGCTGTGTTTTTGAAAAACTAGGCTGGGATGGGCCTGGAAGCAGAGAGGGGACACTGGGCTCTGGGTCCCTGCCAAGATGGAAAGTACCTTTTTTTCTCTGCAGCAAGTCCAAACTAACAGGAGATTGGAACTGCGCCTTGTGAAGGCCACAGGGAGGGGCGGACAGGGAGGGTGGCGTAAGGGGGCTTGTGGACTCTGTGGCTTTGTGTTCCCGTCCCCGGGGTCCCGCTGGGTCCTTGAGATACCTGCACGATGCTGCTGATGACCATGGGGAGGATGTTGAGGGGGAAACGAAGGATGTTGAACAAGGCCAAGGACACGAAGGCCTTCTGTGCATCCAGGACGTTGTTCTTGTCCACGGTCACATAGACGGCAAAAGTAGACAGGGCCACCTGCAAGCAGGGTGCCCAGGGTGAGTGCCCAGGGAGAGCAGGTCACAGCCGCAGCCCTGTGGCACCCTGTCAGGTCCTCCCACATGCCACGGCCACCCGCAGGGATCGGCCACCACACTCACAAGTGAAATCCTGGCTTTCTTCGCAGCACTTCTCACTGCCTTATGTCATAATATATACGTATTTTTGAGACAGGGTCTCACTATATAGCCCAGGCTGGCCTTGAACTCGTGATCCTCCTGCCTCTGCCCCCAGTTCTGAGATGACAGGTGTGCGCCACCATGCCCATCTGGCTATCATAAAATTATATGGATTTATTTTTGTCTCCTATGCTGAAATGTCAACTCCTTAGGGTGGGACTTTGTCTTGTACCCAACTGTGTCCTCAGTGCCTGGAACGGTCCCTGGAGTTCAAGGACACTAAAGACAACCACAGGCAAGTTTATGTCCTCCTTCTAAGCTTCTGTTGTCCTGGGTGAACTGTAGATGGAGGATAAATGGCCCTGGCTCAAGTTCCTTCCACCTCATATAGCACATGAGAAAAGGAACATTTCATAAAGAAAAAAGAAAGCAAACAACGAGAGCCAGGTGTGGTGCTTCACACCTGTAATCCCAGCTACTCAGGAGGTAGAGGCAAGAGGACTGAGAGTCTGAGGTGAGCTCAGGCAAAAGTAGTGAGACCCTGTCTCAAAAACAAAATACAAACAAAAGGGCTCAGGGCTTGGCTCAAATGGCAGAGTGCTTCCCTAGCATGCAGGAGGCCCAGGGTTCCATCCCCAGTACTGCACAAAAAAAAAGAAAGAAAGAAAAAGAAAAAACAAGCAGCCCCACAGCACACAGTCAGCCTGGCCTGAAGCCCCCAGTGGTCTCTGAACTTTTACCACCCATGGCTCAGCAAAGCTCTGAGCTAGGGCTTCACTGTTAGGGGCGACCCTTTGCCAGAAGTCAGGACAGAGCTGCACAATCCCAGAAAGGCTGCCTGCCATAGAAGGGGGCAATGACTGGCGGACTGGGGTTGGAGAGCCCCTCCCTCACAGCTGGGTCAGGAGCCACACCAGGTGTTACCAGGCGGGACTTTAAGGAGACCCCACGGGATCACTAAGACACAGTATCACAAGCAATCTGGAAGGCTGGACCCTAGCAGAGGGGCTGAAGTCCCTGCATCCTTATCGACCATGATCGTTGGAGACTGAGCTCAGAGTGACCTGCAGGAGGTCAGGGTCCTGAGTCCTTCCCCTGGGGTGGCCACTGTCTTTGTCTATGTCCAGGGCCATCACTTCATTGTCACCTAATGGATGGTGACAAAGCTGTGGCCCAGCTATGTGGCCCTGAGTGACATAATCTGTCCAAGTGTGTTTCTAACCAGCCTTCTATGAAATGGGGCAGGTGATCTGCCTTCAGGATGGCTGATGACAAGAACAAGACACAAGCAGGGCACTCAGCGCAGGCCAGGTAAGAAGGTGGCCTCGGCAGTGGCTTTTCTTTCTTTCTTAGAGCACAGGCTCCAAACTCCTGAGCCCTGTATCCAAAGAACCTCAAAACCTGGGCCTGAGAGCAAGAGACCATGCCACCAGCAAGCAAGCCGGTTCCTGTTCTCACTCTGGCATTAACAAGCTGGTGGCCCCAGAGGCGAGGACAATTTTCCAGGCTCTGCTGCCAAGGGGGAGGAGAGCTACTCAAAAGGCTACTGCCACCTGATCCCTGTCATCCACACAGAGTGTGGCCAGGATGTACAGCCTAACCCCAAGACGTTCTGGTTTGTGCTTCGTGTTTTCACAATTTGTTTTGAACTGATACACTGTACCTGATAAACCTATATCTGACATTTTGCTATATGTAGTCATTTTGTAATGTTCAAACTGGCTTTAAAAATATTCATCCTTTCAAAGGTTTATCATTTCTTTTGCTGTTTTTGAGACAGGCTCTGACCTTGAACTTTTATTTATTTATTTTGGGGGAGGTAGGGACTGTACTGGGGCGTGAACTCAGGGCTTTGCACTTCTAGGAATGCACTCATCACTTGATCCTTACTCCTCTACCGCTTGAGTGCAGGAATTATAGGCATATGCCACCATGTCTGGTGTCATTTATCATTTTAAACTCCCTTTGGTAGCTTTTTAAAACATTCTGCACATTACTGGAGTCTGCAGTCACCTACCTGCACAACAACACACCACACACTAGCACTCCCATCTCACTGGGTAACTCTCATCTCAACGGGTAACCTGGTACCCATTGGTCAACCCTCTCCCCAACGCTCCTGTTAAGGATATTCTTTTCTCAAAACCCTCTAAATAAGCCAGGCATGGTGGCTCACACTGGTACCCTGGCTACCTGGGAGACAGAGAATGGGAGGATCCATTGGAGACCAGCCCGGGAAAACATTTCCAAGGTCACATCTCAACCAGTAAAAAGCTGGGCGTGATGGCATGAGCCTGTCATCCCAGCCACGCAGGAAAAATGAAAAGGACAATCGTGGTCCAGGCCAGCTGCACACATAAAGTGAGACCTCATAACCAGAGCAAAAAGGGCTGCAGGCATGGCTCAAGTGGTAGGCGCTGAGTGAAAACCTCAGCACCACAAAAGCAAACTACTTAATTCATTAAATAAAACAAAGTATTTCTGTACACTTTTCAGTTTGTGGCTTTTTACTCTAGTTGATTAGAGTTAGGATTCTGTCGTGTGCAAGGCAGTTCCTGAGTAGTACATTTTATCTCAGTCATTCACTTGTTCACTCATTCACCTGCAGACATTTACTGAGTGTGTAACCTTTGGCAAGGCCTCTCTGCTCTGAGGATACAAGCTTGAAATGTCAAGGTCATTATCTCCCTGGGCCTTTGTACCTGGTCAGCAGAGAACTCCAAGCCAAGCCATTACCATGTGGAGTGCTAACTATTCTCATCTCTCTTCTCTATGTTTTGGCTATTCTGGGATTTGAACTCAGCACCTTGCATTTCCCAGACAAGCGCTCTGCCATTTGAGCCACTTCCCCCTTCTGAAGTGGTAATTACTCTGGCACAGGGAAATACAAGGTACACCGTCTAAGACAGAAAACGCTGCATGTGCCCAGGATGCTATCTTGGGAAAGTGGCGGGGGGGGGGGGGACAGGACAGATGCCAAACTCTCCCGTTCAGAACAGCCCTGTGCTCCCCACTGTGCGGCAGCCCCTGCTGCTCTGGCATCCCCAGCCTCTGTCTTCCATCACATTAGGTAAACAGCTCTTCATCCCTGAGCACTGGAATTCGCCAATGGACAGAACAGGCAGATGTCCTCCAAGGGAATCACAGGCCACATATTTTATCCTAATGTAGTCAGAGTCTTCTGTGTCTCGGCCAGGGTCAAGGTCTTGGCTGACACTCCAGCTCATCTGTTTCTTGCCAAACAGCCTCATAAGCTGTCCCTGGAAGCCCAGGGCCTTCTCCACCCAGAAACTGAGGTCAGGACAAGCCAGTACCAACTGCTCTTCTGCTGTGACTTCTTCATGGAGACCAGAGCAGGAGACCATGAGCCAAGGACCAGCACGAGGGCGACAACCTAGAAACTGTAGCTTTGGTCAAAGGATCCAATGTTCAGAGAAAAGGACTATGGGAAAACCCCCTCAGCCCCATCTTATCCTAAATGGAACACAGGTCACAGAATAAGCCTTGTCACCTGCCTCATGGCTTCAGGGCTCTCCCTATAGCAGTAGGCCACGGACTTCTGTGTGATGTGCATCACTAGTGTGCGAGTAGATAAGAGAGTTGTGTGTGTAACTGCTGTGGTGAAGGCACCACAAAAACCCATGTAAGGAAAAGAACGAGGTGACGGCACCAGGAGTAAGGGACCTCTGTTCCCCCTTGAGTGGGAAGAGACGGGATTTTGCTCCCAAGCAGACAACTGCAACATCTGGAGACATATTTGATTGTCACAACAAGGGAAGGCAGAGAAAAAGACTACCTGGCATGGAGTGAGTAGAGGCCAGGGAGACCGCCTCATATCCTACAATGCACAGGATGGCCCCACAGAAGAAAGAACGCTGTGTTCCTGAACATCAACACGGTGGAGGGCGAAAACCCTAACACAGCTTTGATGATTTTGACACTGAAATGTCAACGTCATTCTATCTTGGAAATAAAACACAGGGCTGGTGGTGTAGTACAGTGGTACAGTGCTTGCCTAGCATGCACAAGGCTCTAGGTTCAATCCCCAGCCCTGCAGAAAAATAGTAATAAAGTAAAAGACATTAAAAATGTGTCACGGCTGGGTGTGGTGGTACACGCCTGCAATCCCAGCACTTGGGAGGTGGAAGCTGAAGAATGACAAATTCAAGGCCAACCTGGGCTACATAAGGAGACCAGCCTAGGCTATACAGGCAGATCCTGTCTCAAAACCAAACAAAAGTATCACATATACCAAAGAATATTTCACAGCTATACTTAATGTACACAGTCTGTTTAAAGAATAAAAGGAAGCCCTTATAATCACCACCCTTTTACTTATAAGTTGCAAAGAGGTACGGTCCGTGCACACCCAGGAAAAACCCAAGGCACTGAAATGTAAAAAGACTGCAATGGCAAACCCTTCCAGCACAGACGCCAAGGGACTCAGGGAACACAGACTCCTTGCTGTGTCAACTCCGCGGCTCTCGCTATGATCACCTGGATCACTGAGCACAGCCCCACAACTGACTGCGGATGTTTGCTGCGGGCTCGGGATGGGGGCCTGACCTGCTATTTGACTTCTCTGGGTGCTATCCCCTGGTGTGTTCCCATGAGAAAATCCACAGCTGGGAAGTGACATGACTGGCTTCAGGTCGCACCATGAGTGGGCGGCAGGGGGTCTACTTCAGGAAACTACTCTGGTCCCTTCCACCAGGGGACTGCCAATGACAGCCCCGGGTCCCCGATCTGACCCACACCTGTTTACAATGAGCCCAAGAGCACAAAAAGGATTTAACATTTTAAAGTTATGGGCAAAAAAATCCAAAGACTATTTCAAGACACATGCAAATTATATAAAATTCAAATCTCAGCATCTGTAACTACAGGTTTCCAGGAACACAGCCACACCCGATGATTTACAGATTGTTGATGGCTGTTTCTGGGCTCCTGGAAGAGACAAGGGTTTGTGATAGAGACTAGGTGGCCTGGATCACCTAAGCTATTCACCAGTGGGTCTCTCAAAGAAAGTTCACTTGTGCCTACTTTTGTCTGTGTCTCTGGAAAGTCCCTGCACATATAAACCCCCGACAGAACCCACCCATGCTCAGATTCTGATTTGGCCAAGGGTCTGGGCCTGGGATTCTGCATTCCTAACAACCACCACGTGAGGCGGAGGCTGTGGGTCCCCGGACCACGGGTCTCAAAGAGAGCTCCAGGCCAGCAGCTGCCACACCTGGAAACTCGGCAGACCTTCTGGCGCCACCCAGACCCACCCATGGGAAACTGTGGGTGGGGCTGGCGAGCCACGTTCTAGCAAGTCTGCAGGTGACTCCGAGACTCCACATGCCAGCTCTCAGAGACACGTGAGGTGGGCCCACAATGGCCATGTGGGGAGAACACGCGTCTAGTACTGCATTATGAAAACGGGTTTTCAGCTCACAGAATTTCCTAGAAGGACATATACAATTGTCCCCCAGGTAGCCACAGGGGACTGACTCCAAGGTCACCCCTGGATGTGAAAAGCCACGGTTGCTCAAGTCTCTTCTGGAGAATGGCACAGGATTTGCATATAACCCGTGCACATGCTCCCAGGTGTCTGATATCACCTCTGGATGACTTATGTATCCTAACAATATGTAAACTGTGTGAAAACCCTGGTTGTGATCTGCATTGTTCAGGGACAAATGAAAAGGAACAAGTCTGTATGTGTTCAGCACGATTTTCTTTGTCAAATATTTTTAGTCAGCAGTTGACTGACTCCGTGGATACAGAGCTACATATGCCACAGGCACAAACATAACTAAGAAAGCACAATCATGAGTAGCACAATGTTTTAAGGAAAAAAAATAATGACCATCAGGCATCCCAGCTTCTCAGGAGGCTGAGGCAGGGGGATCACTTGAGGGTGGCAGTTTGGGACCAGCCTGCAATGCAGCAAGACCCTGTCTCAAGTTTTTTGGCAGTACCGGGGTTTGAACTCAGAGCCTCATGCTTGCTAGGTAGGTGTTCTACCACTTGAACCACTCCGCCAGCCCTTTTTGTGTTGCGTATTTTCAAGATAGGGTCCCCCAAACCATTTGCCTGGGCTACTCGATCCTCCTGAGTAGTTAGGATTACAGGCGTGAGCCATGGCACATGGCTAAGATTCTGTCTGTCTCATTTAAAAAAACCAAAAACCAGTAAGAAAAGAAAACTTTCTTGGGCTGGGGGTATAGCTCAGTGCTACAAAGTGTGCTTAGCATGTGTTAGGCCCTGGGTTCAATCCCAAGCACCAATCAGTAAAGAACAACAGTTAATAGACACAAAAACAGAAATAAACACAGAAGAGGGAAATGGGAGGGTCATGAGTCACTTATCCTTCCCTCAACAGTGACCACTCGTGCTTCCTGGAGAATTTCCAGAGTCCATCTCTATGTGGTCTGCTTTGCAGCCAGCACTGGAAAATGGTAACATGCAACTATTGCCTTTAAACGTGTCAAGTCTGGCCAGGTAGGGGCAGATAGACTCAAAGACTCCAAGATGGTGCATCACTACAGTCATTCCAGCATGGATCCCAACAGCACAAAACCAACTGAAATGACCAGCAATGGGAGCTGGGTTAAGTCAACCCTGGTACATCCATGTATGGGAAAAGCAGCCTTCACTGCAACAAATGAAACATGTGCAACAAACACCTGGCAGGGTGTGGTGGTACACACCTGTAATTCCAGCACTAGGAAGGCTGAGGCTGGAAGACTGAGAGTTCTAGGGCAGCCTGGGCTATACAGTGAGACCCTGCCTCAAAAAAAAAAAAATCTGAATGCTTGGACCAAGCAGATATGTTAAGTACAAAAATGATATAAAAACTTAAAATAGCTATATGCTTAAATATAATTTTCTGAAAAGATACACAGTACTATCACAGTGGAAGAAAGGCAGAGGTAGAAGTGGGCAATGCACTTTCTCTCTTACATCTTTCTGTATGATCTGATTTTTTAAAACAGACATTATGTATCTATTCAGTAGCTACTATTTACTAGATATACAGGTCTTTTTGGCAGTACTGGGGTTTGAACTCAGGGCCTGGCTCTTGCTAGGCAGGTGCTCTACCACTTAAGTCACTCCTCCAGTCCTACTATGCACTATTTTAGGCAATGTGAAAACAGCAGTCAACAAAAGACAAAGCCCTACCCTCCCCGTGGCCCACAAGTCAGTGACAATTCACAATTTGTGATCAGTTGGCACCACAACCTGAGTCAGCTATGGCCCCAGGTACGTGGTGTAGGTCAGCTAACGTTTTTCTTGCAAGATTTTCCCAATGAGGAAGCAGAGGGCACTGCTTGCGTTCTGCCCTAACGCCTCTCATGCTAACCTCTCACGATCAGCTCCTAACCGGCTGTCCAGAAGCTGCTAAGGGGGCTGGGAGGGCCTGACAACCCTCAAATGAGTGGCTGCCTGGGATGTGGCTCAAGCGGGAGAGCTCCGGCCTGGAAAGCGGGAGGCCCCAACCTGAAACCCCAGTGCCACCCATAACCAGAGTGGTGGCTGAAGCCGTGATCACTGACAAAACAGTTAAAAGAAAACACAAGACAATGTGGCCTAGGAAGACGTGGTTCCACTCACCAGGAACGGTGTGCACACCCAGGTGAAGGTCCCCACGGCAGCCAGGTAGGCAGACTTCTTGAGCACCTTCAGCTCCTCCTGCCTGATGGCCATCACCTTGTCCTTGAATGCCAGCTCCCAGGCGTACAGCTTGAGTACCTTGATCCCGTTGAGAATTTCGTTCATCAGTTTAATCCGATTGTCCTTGCTCTTCATGTGGGCCACCTGCCAGACAAAGACCATCAACAGGGCATCTGGGTTGGAGGGGCGCTGGGATCACATAGTCGCTCAACAATCACCCTGTACTACAAATGTCCTCCCCTCTCCGAAGGTAGAAAGACCAGTCCTGGGGTCCATTGAGCCTGACTCTTGGCCCCAACCCTATGCCAAATCAGTCCTCCATCCCAGACATAAGATAAAACTGGGTCACACCGTGTTCAATTAGCCAGTAGAGAACCGACACAATTCAGAATAGGAGATCGGAGGTAAGAAATGCCCTTCCGGCGTGCAGAGAAGACCTGCAGGGCCCACTCCACTGCAGACACAGGGGGACATGGGGTTGTTTTTCCTCTCCATCTTTTTGCTCCATTTCCAGCCAGTCCATGGTTGTTAAAATACTGAAATGTGTCAGCTGGTACTGACCGGCTGGTATTGGTTCCGAGCAGGGGTGCCAGATTGAAAGCTGTTAAATATTTATAAAACCATCAGGCATTTTCCAAGTGTAGGACAGCTGTCCAAGCATTTCCCGTGTGCTCAGCCATTCCCTGCTCACCAGGACCATTCAGGTCAGTGCTGTGGTCATCCTGGGGCCACCGATGGAGAAAATATGAGCAACCATGACCTGGACCAGCCAGGGAAGCTGTATCGGAGGTGAGTCACTTGGGGAAGGAGGACAACAGGCCACACAGACCCAGGACCCGGCCTACCCCACTGTCTCCATTGTACAAGGCCTCTCATCCCACCAGGGTCATCCCACGAGATCCTTCAGTAGGACCAAGTGCACTCATTTGAAATCCCAGACATGTCCTAAATGCCCAGCCACAGGGCAGCCGAGAGACCAACTCCATCTCTGTGACGATGAGCCATGGACACGGACTAGCCACACAGTCCGAGAGAGTGAATTCAGACCACAGCACAGAAAGACCCTGAGGCATGGAGTCAAACGACAAAACCACGCTGCTGTGGAGGCTCTTTGGGTGAAAATATATACAGAAACAACATCATAGAAGCACAGCGATGGACACCAGACCTAACTATGTAGTTAAGCAGATCTGGATAGAAACACATAGAAAGTTCTAGAAGGGAAGCAAGGCATGGTGACATGCATTGTAATCCCAGCACTCAGGAGACTGAGGAAGAAAGACTTAGTTTGAGGCCAGCCTGGGCTACATAGTGAGACTGTCTCAAAAGAAAAGAGAAGAGGGGAGAGGCGAGGTGGGTAGAGGAGAGGTAAAGAGAGGCGAGGAGAGGAGAGGAGAGGTGAGGGGAGAGGAGAGAAGGGGAGAGGAGGGGAGGAGAGGGGAGGGGAGAAGAGGAAGAGAGGAGGGGAGGGGAGGAGAAGAGGGGAGGGGAGGAGAGGGGAGGAGGCAAGACGAGGAGAGGGGAGGAGGCGAAACGAGGAGAGGGGAGGAGGCGAGACGAGGGGAGGGGAGGGGCTGGCATTGTACATCTATTTTGAGGGATAACCTCCATGGTATTTGAAGGTTTTTATTCACTCTACTGTCACACAGTTAAAAACTTAAAAATATACGAAGTGTCTGTGACAGTAAAACTTAACCCTGTGCATGAAATAAGTGCTCAATGGGAAGTATAGGGTAATTTTTACTCAACTCTTGAAAATACACAAATATCACAAAAGGAACTCATAGGAAAAAAAACTCTCTAGAAAGCTCTTGGAAGCCGTGACTTTGGTCTCTGGCTCTGGAACTCTTGACCTTGGCCACAAATGGCAAACCCTGGACTACCCCAATGCCAGGCCATTCAGGGAAGCAGAGACCCCAAACAGGGCTGGGACATCAGCATTTGTTAAGGCTCCCAGGTGACTCCCATAGGCAGGTGAGGCTAAGAACCTGGGACCTGAGCTGGAGGAACCCGGCTGACCCTGATGGGGAGAGGCCTCAGGCTGGCCCAGTGTGAAGACAGACCCTGCACAGACGTACCCCCTACCTGGTAGGTTTTGGTCTTCATGGCCATCACAGCATTGAAAGGCACCATAAGGATCATCACAGCCACACCAGCCAGGACAGAGGGACCCAGGTTCTAAGAAAAGAGATGACACTTAGTCACTCAGCAAACAGACAGGAACAAGGGCCCTAACACTCTACACGGGTTGTCCACCCGGCTCAGACTCTGTTCAGCAAGTCCAGGGCAGGGGTTCCTTTTACCCAGTGATGGGGTGTTAGTAGTCTGGAGTCTTGGGTCCCCCACAGCTTTGAGAATAAAATATACAAGTCCACATGACACATGGTTTGAAGCCATTAGGCTGGACAAGCTTTGCGAATCAGAACTGCAGAAGTTTAGATAAGTCATAAGGTACTTGGTAGAAAAGGGCTAACCCAGACTTGACTGGGGTTCTGGCTCCAAGGCTGATTGTAAGTCTGGCCCAACACAGGTGCTGGGGGTTTCCACCTCTCACAGGATTGCTAAGAAGGGCTTGGTGCACCATGGCTGTTTGCACAACTGAGATGGCTCTGGAAACAGCCCAGGTGTCCACAACTGATGAATGGATCATGAAATTGTGGTACATACACACAATGGAGCATTACTCAGCCACAAGGAATAACGACATGGGGTTTGAAGGTAACTGGATGCAATTGGAAGCCATTATGCTAAGTGAAGTTAGCCAGGATCAGAAACACAAAAGACGCATGTTTTCTCTCACACGTGGAAGACAGATCCAAAGATAAACATACACACAAAAACAAGCATGATCAGCTCCCCATAAAATCCTGGGCACTGAGACTATCATGCGTCCTTGGTGTGTGGGGGACATCACACACGCGTGAACCTGCCCTGTCGCTGGGGAACAAGCACAGAATGACTGTGCTGGGACAGCGCTCCTGGCCTTAGCTCCAGCCAGTGTCTTTCTCCTTTGCTGAATTTGTAGTAATAAATTATGGCCGGGTTGGGGGTGGGGGATGACTGTATTGAGTCCCCAGACACTTCCTAGTGGAACCTGTGGAATCGTGGAACATTCTAGTGAATCATGGAACCTGGCATGGTCATAGGGACCCCAACACAAGACACCGATGTCATGTATTTCTGCACCATCCAGCAGAGCACGCTATGATCAAATGGGCTGATGGGCTGGCAGCAGAGCAGGACTATTTGCACCAAGGGGACACTTCAGGTTGGGTTTTGCCACCACAGGCGCTAAGAACACATTCAGTGTGCAGGAACCTTCTGACGTACGGAGGTAGCAGGTAAGAGGTTCAGACTTGTTCTCCTTCCCCCGTTTTCAGATAGAAAAACTCAGAGCCAGACACACTGGCTCACACCTGTAGTCCCAGCTACTCCAGAGATGGAGGAAACACTGCCATTCGAGACCAGACTGGGCAAAAACATTCTTGAGACCCCATCTCAACAAATAAAGCTGGGCATGGTGCTTCATACCTATCATCCCAGCTACAAGGGAGGCATAAATAGGAAGGTGAAAGTCCAGGCTGACCCAGACCAGAAAAAAAAAAAAAAAAACCCAGAAATGAGACCTTTAAGAAATAACTAAAATTTTATTTTAAAAAAAGTGGGGGTTGGGGCGTGGCTCAAGTGGTAAAGTACTTGTCTAGTACAAGGCCCTGAGTTCAAATCCCAGAACCACTGAAAGAAAGGGAGAGAGGAAGGAGGGAGAGAGTCAGCCTCAGAAAGGTTAAGCGGTCAGTGTCTAAGGCATCCTTTGACTTCCTTCTGAGTTAGGAAGACACCTTGAGAAGCTGGCCCAGAGAACACTCTGTTAGCTGAAACACACAGCTGGGTACAGCACAGTGTGACATTTTTCCCTTGACCTTTCAGGGAAACAGGAATGTTGGCCCATCACAGTGTTTGCTCTTGAGTTTCTCCCTAGTTCTAGAAAGGTGCTGCTGATGCTTCTGGCCTTCTTGAGACAGGACACCAGTGAAGATCCCTCCCTCCAAGGATGAAGGCAATACCTACCACCAGCCACAGGATTCTGAATCACCTCTGTACCAAGGGACTGCACTGAGGTGCACCAAGCACTGTTCATGTGCAAGGTTCTGTCCCATGAACATCAGCTGCCCTGGTTCACTCAGCTGTCCCAACAGCCCTAGGACGAGGGGAAGCAGCGGCGGCAGGTACAGATGAGGAGACTGAGGCATGGACGTTATCCAAGGCTACAGGGCTAGAAAGGGAAGAGGGGCCTGATTCCACAGCCTACCATGTCAGCCACAATCCTGTTTGTGTTTAGGATGGTTTAAGAGAGAAATCCTAGTTTTAGTCTCTAGCAATGGTTCCCAATTACTGACAAATTGGGTCCCCAACAGATGTGACAATGACTGGGAACACTCCTAGCATCTAGTGAGCAGCGGTCAGGGGTGCCACTAAACATCCCCACCACACAGAATGACCCAGTCCCAAATGTGGACACGGCTAAGACTGGGCACCCCATCTACTATGCGATAAGACACTAAGAAACTTTTGGCCGGGCACTGGTGGCTCACACCTGTATCCTAGCTACTCAGGAGGCAGAGATCAGGAGGATCAAGGTTCAAAGCCAACCTAGGCAAATAGTTTTCGAGACCCTATCTCAAAAATACCCAACACAAAACAGCACTGGCAGAGTGGCTCAAGTGGTAGAGCGTCTGCCTAGCAAGCATAAGGCCCTGAGTTCAAAAGAAAAGAAACTTTCTATTTATTCATTAATTTATTTTTTTGAGACAGGGACTCAGGCCCAGGTTGGCCTTCAACTCCATATCCTCCCGCCTCAGTTTTCCAAATGCTGTGATTACAGGCCACCTGGCAAGCGATTTTCTTAACCAGACCTGAGGCAATTTTCAAAGAAGTGTTCCAAAAATATTTTTACCCATGGGTAGCACTTCCTGGGAAAGTAGACACCCCAAAAACTCTGGCTAAAGAGACTTTTAGTTAGATATTTAAGTTCTGGTGTTCGAGGCTGGGGTGGAGCTCAGTGGTAGAGTGCTTGCTTAGTGTGTGTGAGGCCCTGGGCTCTGTCTCCTGTCTATTGGGTTCCTTCTACGTGAGGCGTGGCTGGGTTGAGCCCACAGGGCTTTGCAAACAACCTCAGGCTGCGTGTCCACAAGTAGCTACCTCGCGACCAGCCAAGGAAGCAGGCGCAAGTAACTATTTTATATCCCTTTGGGTTGTTTTTTTTTTTTGGTGATATCTAGGGGTTGAACTCAGAGCCCTGCACTTGCTAGACAGGTGCTGTACTACTTGAGCCACTCTGCCAGCCCCAAAAAACTCTTTTAGAAGGTAAAATCAGATCAGTTCCTATACTAACATTTCTGGGATTCCAAAAGGGAGGAAGTCCATCTAATTGAGCAGGGGAATTACTTAGTGGAAGTGGCATTAGTCACAGCCTTGGAGGATGGATGGGAGTTCAAGGGAACTGCTAGTGAAGGAAGGCATGTGCAAAGGCCCAGAGGCGGGAAAGAACACGGCACACGTTAATACTAGAAGCCTCTGTGCTTACTACTTTTCACTCAGGAAACGGTCCACACCCTCCTGGAAGGACTCTCTGTCTATCCCATCTCTTCTGCAACAGGACAGGACCTGTGACTCTCAGACTTGCCAATCAGAGACGTCTGGACCACACTGATTGATTCAGAGATGGGAACAGGGATGTGCTAGACCCATCAGAACAGCCCCGGGACTATGGTGAAAGCAGCGGAATGCAGCCTTCTCTTCTCCAGCACTGCTCTGAACCCAAAGCTACGGAAGCCACCTGGGGAAACCCCACTGAGACTGATGCCAACTCAGGAAAACAAGACCAAGAAACAGCAGAGGAGTAGAGACAGAGTCCTTCAAACTGCTAGATCTCCTGGAGCCATCCATGCCTGAAAACAGATCCTGGAATTTTTCAGGTATTAGTATCCTCAAATTTCCATTATTTGCTCACATTAAAAGGGATTTTTTTTTTTTTAATCAGCACTGGGCTTTGAACTCAGGGCCCCATGCTTGCTAGGGAGGTGCTCTTACGGCTTTAGCCACTCCAGCAGCCACACTAAGAAGGATTTCTATGACTTACAAGTGACAGACCCTTCGTCAACATAATGAGGCCTCATGAAAGAGCGTGGCTCACATTTGAGAGATGGTGGGAGAGACGCGGTGCATACACTGTGGGGTGTTTCTTGTATATACTATCAAGAAAAGCAAACACAGCCAGGCGTGGTGATGCATGCCTATAAATTCCAGTCCTCAGGAATCCAGTACCTGGATCTCAAGGTCCAGGCCAGTCTGGGTTAAAAGAGACCTCGTCTCAAAAAATAAACACAAAAGACAAATGCAGCTGAGCCTAGTGGCTCATGCCTGTGATCCCAACTACACAAGAGGTGTGGGTGGGAAGATCACCGTCCCAGGCCAGTCCAGGTAAAAGCAGAAGCCCCTATTTGAAAAAAAAAAAACAACTAAAGCCAAAAGGGCTGGAGGCATGGCTCAAGTAAGTGGTGAAACGCTTGCCTAGCAAGTGTGAGGCCCCTCAGTTGAAACCCCGGCACCTCTTAAAAAGTAATAATAAAAGTAAGAAAAGACAAACGTAAATACGCTGTGCTCACCAAGAGCACATAACCCTGACAACTCAGGGAAGGAATAAAATAACCAGAAATTAACTGATGGGCCAAAAAATACAATGTAAGTGACAGCAAGAAATGTTCCAATCCCACTGCCCACAGGTGGAAACCCCTCCCTGCACACAAGGGGCGGCGCCAAACACACACCAGCCACAGGAGGTAGAGAGCAAGGATGACTTGCAGAGGGGCTGACCAGATCATGTTAATGTACGTGGCCAAGTCCATGAACCTCTGGGCGTCCACAGACATGAGGTTGACAATCTCTCCAACCGTGGATGACTTTCTCGCTGAGCTGGTGATCACCAGGGCCTGTGGGACAAACGAGAGGGAGAAAGGTAAGTGCAGCAGGTGAAGCACCCTGAGCAGGAAGGTGGAGACTCCATGGGTCTTTCTCCCCACACAGCTGGCCCACCCACGTCACCCTGAAGCCCAGGCTCCGATCAACTGCACTCACTGCCTCCCCATCCTGAGCTCTTCCATGTGGAAGGAGCCCCAGGGACCCTTCAAACCCGTACTTTGCACACTTAAATATGCACACACACCATGGCAGTATGTGTGACCTGCAGTTTCTCAACCTGAGATTTTGCATTTTAACAAGCTCCAAGGTCATGCCAAGGCAGCTGGCCCTCGATCCCAACAAAGGATGAAGACTAGGTCAGTCATTCAGCCTTCACATCCCAGCATCGGGGTCTGTGTGATTCTCTGTGTGGCCATCCTGTGTGCTGCAGGACATTCTGCAGCATCCCAGGCCTCTACCTGCCACATGTCCCACCACTCCCTCCCCCCTGCCACCCACCCACCCACCCACACACACACACACACACACACACACATACACTTGTCACAACCAAAGATGTCTCTGTACATTGGAGAACCCTGTCCAGGCCACTAGTTTCCAAACATGGCCCACCATCACCTGGGCCCATCAGTGATCTTGATTTTCTGGTCTGGGGTGGAGCCTGGCTGGCCCCAGGCCTCGAGCTCCCCACATGCATCATTCACAGATGGGGATGTGGACCCCCATTAGCTGCCTTCCCCAACCACCTACAAAAGGTCCTCTTCTTAACCCACAGGCCAAGCGGTGTCCTTGCCACTGAGAATCACGAAGGTAGTTTTTTTCCTTTAAATAGGACCCTGGGTTCCATTCTCACAGCAAAACCATAAATTTTTTTATGTGTATGGTATGAGGGATTGAACTCTGGGGCTTGTGCTTGTTAGGCAGGTGCTCACCACTTGAGTCATGACCCCAGTCGATTTGCTTTCAGTCTGTTTTTCATATAGGGTTTTGCACCTTTGCCCTGACTGGCCTCATACCGTGACTCCTGCCTCCGCCTACCACGTAGCTGGAAGCACAGACCTGCAACACCAAGCCTAGCTTGTTTGCTAAAGGGGTCTCAGTAACCTTCTGCCAGGCCTGACCTCGAACTGTAATCCTCCAATAGAGACTGGAGGCATCTAATCCCAAGTAGCTGGGATTACAGGTATAAGCCACCATGCCTGCCTAAAACCAAATTTAATTGGGATGGGTACACCTGTACGCCCCCATGCAAGGACATAGCCTGCCCAGTTCAAACCAAAACTGAGAACAAAGTCAAACAGGACATTAACAGCAGTGTGAGGATCTGAACTTGGATTTCCCCACACTGAGGACCAGAGAGCCAGCTAAGAAACCCAGTTACACATAGGAGACACATGGGCTCCCTGACCTCCCACACCCCAAGCCTTGAGCCCAGCTTTGCTAAGAGGCCATGCATGATGGCAGCCACCTTGGTCCCAGTGGCCAATGCAGCAGGAGGCCCCTACCTTCCGGTACACAGCCCCAATCACAGCGGTCTTGACACGCATGCCGCTGACGAAGCAGATATGGAAGTACTGGTGCAGCACCAGCGTCTGCAGGCAGGCACTGATGAACAGCAGCGCTGTGTAGAAATAGCCCTGCCAGTCAGGCGCCTGTGTGTCGTTCACAAAGTTGATGAGCAACCTGTCAGGGGGCAGAGAGAGACCTAAGTGTGACCCACGTGGCAGGACTGGCATAGTGTGACTTCCTCTGGAGCCAGGCAAGGGACAGGGCTCGAACTCACAGGTGCAAATGCCAGCCCACAGAGGTGATCATGAGGGGGTCCTCTGCCTTGGAATTCTCTCATGGATGGCCTGCCTCACCACTGGCAAGTCACCCACAGGTGACCAAATACACAGCAGAGGGACAGAGGTGGGGGGAAAGAGACTGAGCGTGAGGCCCCGCAGAGATGGAGGAGAGATGGGGAAAGGTGTCCAGCTGCAGGTACTCGAGCTCTGCCTGCATCAGTTTCCCAACACTACCATCCTCCCCACTTTGGACTTAGTGAGTTTCTGTTACTTGCAACCAAAGCGTCCTTAAGCAAAGCAGGTGAAGTCAGAGATGAGGACCACAAGCCCCTTTCAGAGAGAGGTGCTAGAGGGAGGCACAGAGGAGCCCGGATGCCGGGAAGAGCTCTTACTTCAAGATCTCGGGGCCAGCGAACATCATGAGGTCATGCAGAGCCTTGAAGAAGAAGCTCACGAGGAAGTAGGGCCCGAAGGTCTTGTACAACACCTTGAACAAGGAGGGGGCACGCTCCTTCTGCGGGGCCTTGACAATCAGGGCCTCCGCCTCCTCGTTCACATCCACCTTGGAACCCTCTCTGGGCTTGGCAGGCTCCTTGGCAGAGTACACGACCCTCACAGGCTGCCTGCAACACAAGGTAGGAGAAGAGGCTGTGGGTCCACTGGAGACAGAGCCCACTCTCCGAGGGACAAGGCTAGAGAAAGTCACCCTCAGGAAGGCAGAGACCCAGACCAGTCACCACAGAGAGGTGGCTCAGCACAATGGTTATGAATCCAGGCTCAGGGGCCACAGATTCAGACCCTGGTTTGGCCATTTGCAGCTGGGACTTCCAGGATATCAACTGCTCTAGGCTATCCTTATCTGTAAAATGGGGACAGACGTAGGAACTGCCTCACAGGGTAGTTGTGAAAACTGAGAGAGGTGACATACGTGAAGGGTTTAGAAGGGTGCCAGTCCCACACTGCCCTATAGCTCCAACACCACCCTATCAGACCCCAGCTGGCTGCTCCATAGGAGCTGATGTGCTAGTTCTAAAGCCCACACGGAAACCGAGGGACCCGAACAGCCAAAGCAATCCTGAATAACGCCGTGGGCCTCCCTAATTCCCAATTTCAAAACTTAACTACAAAGCAACAGAGATGAGGAACAGGACAGGCATAGAAACAGGTTCACACACATCAATTCAATACAATTAGAGTCCAGAAATAAAGCCAATGAGTTTTGGCACAGAAGTCAAGACCACTCACCAGGGGATAGGATGATCTTTAAAAAAAAAAAAATGGCACTGGGACCCTAGAATGCAGTGAGACCCTGACCTCACAAAAATCAATCAGAATGTGTCAGACCTGAAACCACGAAATGCTGAGAAGGAGACAGGGTAAATCCTCATGACCTTGAATTTGGTAATAGATTCTTAGGTCTAATATCAACAGCAAAATAAGTAATAAAAGAAAAGAGACTTCAAAATAAGACACTTCCGTGTTTCAAAAGTCACTATCAAAAGAGTGAAATAACCACTAGTAGAATCAGAGATCTTCAAATCAAAAATTAGATAAGTGAAACAAAAAAAAGTAAAAATTAAAGGAAAAAAACAGCACACCCATGTTTATTGTGGCACTATTCACAATAGCCAAGTTATGGAAACAGCCAAGATGCCCCACCACTGACGAATGGATTAAGAAAATGTGGTATCTATACACAATGGAATTTTATGCAGCCATGAAGAAGAACGAAATGTTATCATTCGCTGGTAAATGGATGGAATTGGAGAACATCATTCTGAGTGAGGTTAGCCTGGCCCAAAAGATCAAAAATCGTATGTTCTCCCTCATATGTGGACATTAGATCAAGGGCAAACACAACAAGGGGATTGGACTATGAGCACATGATAAAAGCGAGAGCACACAAGGGAGGGGTGAGGATAGGTAAGACACCTAAAAAACTAGCTAGCATTTGTTGCCCTTAATGCAGAGAAACTAAAGCAGATACCTTAAAAGCAACTGAGGTCAATAGGAGAAGGGGACCAGGAACTCAAGAAAAGGTGAGATCAAAAAGAATTAACCTAGAAGGTAACACCCACGCACAGGAAATCAATGCGAGTCAACTCCCTGTATAGCTATCCTTATCTCAACCAGCAAAAACCCTTGTTCCTTCCTATTATTGCTTATACTCTCTCTACAACAAAATTAGATAAGGGCAAAATAGTTTCTGCTGGGTATTGAGGGGGTGGGGGGAAGAGGGAGGGGGCAGAGTGGGTGGTAAGGGAGGGGGTGGGGGCAGGGGGGAGAAATGACCCAAGCCTTGTATGCACATATGAATAATAAAACAAAAAATTTTAAAAAATTAAAAAATAAAATAAAATAAATTTTAAAAAAAGGAAAAAAAATAGATAAGGGGCCAGCACCAGTGGCTCACACCTGTAACCCCAGCTACTTGGGAGGTTCAGATTGGAAAGATCTCAGCCCAGCAAAGAGCTGGAGAGACCCCCCTCTCTCCCACTCCCATCTCCAAAGTAACCAGAGCAAAATGGACTGGAGGTGTGGCTCAAGTGATAGAGCACCTGCTTTGCAAGTTCAAACACCTGAGATCAAATCTCAGTCCCACAAAAAAAAAAAAAGATTAAGGGGTTTGAATGTAGAGCAGAAAAGGAACACTTACAATTTCTTAACAAAAAAACAGCCCAATTGTACAAGCAGCAAAAAAAAATCCGAAGAGTATTCTCCAAAGAATGTATACAGCTAGCTGACCAGCACATGATTGCATCCTTAGTCATCAAAGAAAGGCAAATTCCAACCATGGGGAGACACCATCACACCTACCAGGATCAAAGAGTCAAGATAAGAAGTGTTTGCAAGGAAATGGAACAATCAGAGCTTCCACATCGCTGGTGTGAACAGAACATGACGTCATCCGTTTGCAAACAGTTGCTCAGTTCCATAAAAACTTAAACCCAGAGCTCCCCTATGACCCAGCAATCCTGCTCCGAGGAACGTGCCCAAGAGACATGAAGACAAGTGACTACCTACAACTTTATAAATGGATGTTTATGGCACTAACATTCACAACGGTCAAAAGGACAAACACGACGCAAATGAGTGAAAGCTATAAGCTACATGAGACTGAGGACACTGCACTGAAATGGAGTGTAGTTAAGGTTGCACAACTCTGAGAGTATGCAAAAAAAAAAATCACTGAATCTCACATTAAATGGGTGAATTGTGTGAGCATGAATTCTATCCCAATAAAGCTATTATGAAGTAAAAAACAAAAAGTACAGACAGTCCCTCAATTACAATGTTTTAATTTAGGATTGTTCAATGTTACAATGTTGCGAAAGCCACAATCATTCTGTAGAAAACCAATCAGATTTTGGATTCTGATCTTTCCCAGAGCTAGCAATGTGAATATAGTTCTGTCCCACAATGTGGGGCGGGGGCAGCAAGCCACAGCTACCAGTCAGCTACGGGATCACAAGAGGGCACTCCCAACATCCTACAGCACTCAGTGTGGCTAAGCTATGGCACTGAGTAGGTGAGGCATATTTGATGTGTTTTCGACTTAAGATATTTCCTACTTATGATGGGTTTGTTGAGGTATAAGCCCATCATAACTTGAGGAGCATCTGTAATACGTAATTGAGGTATTTCCTAAACAGGGCCGAATGGTCACTAGTATAGAACATTAGTTGGTATTGTATGTCAGGGGTAGAGGAAACATCAAACATTCCACAGTTCAACCCATTTGCTTCTCGGGTAGAATCTTGAGATTCAGAGAGTTTATACAGCTTGGATAAATCTCAGAGACTTCAAAAATGGGTACCAGGGCCAACTCTGTTGCCGCTCCCCAAACTTCATGGCAGCCAGCCTCAAAGATGGCTCTTGGCTCCTAGTATTTGTGCCCCAGGGAGTCCTGTCCACTCAGAGCCAGGCACTATAGGAATGATGGAGTACAACTTCAAGACGAGGTTATGGGAGACCCCATGGCTTCCATCTTGCCTTTCTTCATCATTCACACCGGACAAGGCCAACTGCCATGTCCTGAGGACACTCAGTCAGCCCCAGAGGACCCCCCTCCTACCAAGGAGACCTCAAGTAGAGCCAGCAATAACTTGCTAATCCCATGCAACCTGGAAGGAGCTCCTGCACCCCTCTAGACAGCTGGAGCCTAGCCGAAAACATGACGGCAGCCATGAGAGATGCTTGGTCAAAAGAACCGCCCAGCTGAGCCCTTCTCTGAGCCCTGGCCCAGAGAGCATGGTGGCAGAGGGTGAATGCACATTAATTACTATTTTAAGTTGCTACACTTTGGGGTCATTTGTTACACAGCAGTAGACACTGATACACACCCTAGCTCTCCTCTCCCAAAAATGCAATGAAAGCACATCCTCCTAGGATCAAATGACCTCCTGGTTCTGGAAGTCAGAAAGCTGAAGTGGGTCCACGGAGCTGGGGCTCTGGAGGGCTATCACATCCCTACCCTTTCCTGCTTCTAGAAGCTGGTGAACTTCCTGGTTCATGACCCCCTCCTTCCTTCCTCCATCCTTGAAGCCAGCAGTGTGCAGCTCTGCTCTCTGGTTTCGCCTCCCTCTTATAAAGAAGCATGTGATCTGTGATTGCACCAGGTCTGCATAGGTGATCTGGAATATTCTCCCAGCTCGAGACTCTTAACCTAGTCAAAGCTACAAACCTTTCACCATGTCAGATAACATCATCCCCAGCTGTGGGAAGCAGGAGGCGGACATCTGGAAGGAGGACAGTCATTCTTCTGCTGACCACAGAGGAGTGTTTCTGGGTTTTGCAATGTCATTGTCACCCCGAGGCCTTTCCCTGTTCACTGCACTCACTTCCCCTGAAGATGGTCTCCTAAGCAGGATGTGTAACAGGATTTCTTTTTAACCACACAGGCCTACTTGGGCAGGAGGAAGGAGCAGCCTGAACCATTGCCTGAGCAATGTGTGGGCCACCTGGGTCACCTTCAGCCTGGGCAGGCAGAGAGGAGAGCAGCCCTGGCCTCAGTGGAGGGAGTCAAGTGCAGTGTGAAGCGCCAGCCAGAACTGAGTCAGGAAGGGAAAATGCCCAGCAAACAAGAGGCCTCGAGGGAAGGAAGGAGCTCCTGGGGGTGAAGAAGCCACAGGGCCTCCAAACAGTGCAGCTGGGAGGGGACAGGAAAGGTAACAGGAAGGCCTGAGTCAGGAGAAAACTGCCCAGAACAGAGGGAGGACAGACAGGGGCCCAAAACTGGGGACTTGAGATAACAAGGGACTTGATGACCCAACTCAAATTTCAACACGGGCAAGGGTGGCAATCAGCCACTGACCCTGCCTAAATGCTTTCTCAGGATCGGAGCCACAATTCAGGAGCTGCTGCACAGAAACAATTCAGCAAATGTTAACTTCGTATACTATGTGAGCAGTGCCATCACGGGGGCTGCCTGGAAGAGGCAACATTTAAGTCAAGACCTGAAGGATGAGGGAACAGATCCAGCTGGTGAGGGAAAGGGTGCTCCAGATACAGGAAACAGAAAGAGCAAAGCCTGGAGCTGAGAGTTCTGAAAAGAGGTGAGGCACCCCCCCTCCCCCAGCCAATAAGACCCTTGGGGTGGGCAGAGTGGGGCTGAGGTGCAGGTAGGCAGAAGTGGCTTGTTAAATAATAATGACAGGAGGTCATTGTTTGGGACTAAGCTCTTGCACTAGGCCCCAACAGACCAGGCTGAAAATCAGAATAGAGTCACTCACGCCAGTTCCACGTCAATAAACTGAAACAGAGCAATCTGTCTGATCTTCCAAAATATCTGGATTAGAGAGTAAACAGCCAAGCTTCTGGACTGGCAAGCTTAATTAGCAAATGAAATTCCTTCCACCTTAATCCTTACACAGAACGGTAACCTGACGTGACCTCGAGCTAACCAGTTACTTTTCTATGGTTCCGTCTCCATCTTCCCACCCCTGCCTTACAAGAAAGTCACTTTGATATGAACACGTTCTAGTCTTTTTGTTTCACTCTTTTATTATTATTATTTTTATTTTTGGTGGTACTGGGAGGTTTGGGTTCGGGGCCTTGTACTTGCTAGGCAGGCACTCTACTGTCTGAGCCACACCTCCAGCCCTTTGTTGCTTTAGTTATTCTGGAACCATGCTCCTCCTATCTCTGCCTCTCAAGTAGCTGGGATTACAGGTATGTGTCATCACTCCCGGTCTTGTTTCTTCTCTCTTCGGTCTTTTCCTGTCTACCAACTCAGTTCAACCAAATTCAATTTTATCCTTTGATCAGCCTGAACCACGGCAACACAAGTTGCTCTTGGTGGGTTTGGCTGTCATTTATAAAATGAGATTTGGAGACTTAAGACGGTCTCAGTATCACACAATTTTGAATTTCCTGGATGTCCGCTGTCTGGATGCATGGTGATTAACACATCGTGCTGGGATGGATTCCAGTTGGGGATGTCACAAACAAAGCAGTTCCAAGTTTCTACAAGCCTGCCAAGAGCCTAAGTTTCCAGTTCTCTCAGATATCTGCCCGGGAGTGCAATGACAGGAGGTATGGTAACTATGTTCAACCTTAAAAAACAAAAACAAAAACGCACCACCACATTTTGCCATAGCTACCTGAACACATCACACTCATGCCTGCAGGATCCAAGATCCAACGTGGCTGTACACTACAGCAGCCATAGGCTGCAGAGAACAGAAGCCATTGATTAATTCAAGAGACTTAGGTGCAAGAGATCATGGCAAAAAATTCTGACCCAAGAGAACTCATGTCCTCTCTACCCCTCACACCCATAGGGCGTACAGGTGCCAGACCTGGCTCAGGTCTCTGGAAAAAAAAAGTGTCCCTCCCTAAGCTGAGTGTCCCTAAAGGACAAGGTACTAATGGAGCCGATTCCGAGTGGTCCACTTTTGAGTCCAAGAGCCAATTCTCAACGTTCTTCTTGGCAAGATGGAGGCATCCTGCCCAGGGCTGTGCCCAGGTAAACAAACACAATGTCCCCAACTAAAACCTGCCCTGGCTTAGGAGATGACATTTACCTCACACGCTTCTCAAAAACCCTGAGTAGAAAACAGAGGCTGGGAGGAAGGTGGGAAGAGACTTTAAGGCCTGTCTTTGAAGCCCTTCCCCTGGCCTCCTGCCTCCGCTCTGCTCTGCTCTCTGCTATGTGGCTATTATAAAACAGAACTCATGTCACACCACTGCCTTGCACAAATCTGCCTCTGTCTACTCACTGTCCCTGTCATTAAACCTTAACTCTCTAGCCCAGCCTATAAGAGCCCTGCAAACACTTCTCCCACCTTCATCCTCCCTCCCCACCCCACTCACTCCACGCAAGCCACACTGGCTGTCTTGCTGCTCCGTGAGCACCTCAGGGCCTTTGCACTGCTTCTTTCCTCTATGGAAACCCTTTCCCCCACCTCCCATCAGTCTTTCTTTGAATGTCACCTTCTCAGATACGCCATTCTGAGAACTGTATCTAAAACAGCTCCCAGGTCACCCTCACCCCACTTCTTCCTTGTAATAGCATCCTAACGTTACAGTGGTCTAAGCCTTCTCTTCATTTGACTCCCAATGCCCCATCTCTCAAATCAAGGTGCCACTGACACCAAACCATGCGAGGAGCTGGTCTGCTTTGTCCCAGTGCCTGACCCCAGGGCCTCAGCAGGACCAGCACTTTATAAAAGCAGCTGTCTGTGGCACCTGCTGAGAGAGTCTGTTAAGGGCCTGACCTTAACAGAAACAAGAAAGTCAGACTTTCTTGCTGGAAATTCCATCCTGTTTCCAAGTGGTCAGCTTGAGATGTTGAACAAAAACACTCAAAACAGCAGGAACATTCCAGATGCCAGATGCTCGCAGACAGGCGAAGATACATGAAACTAACTCAGGAAGGGAGGGAGAGCCCCACGGCCCGGGTCACGGCAACAGAACCAACCACGTTTCTCTTTTCTTCTCTACCAAAATTTCCCTGGCCAGGTGTGAGATTCCATTCCATCTGGCAGATGAGGAAACTGCAGCCAGGGGAAGGGAAGCAATTTTCCCAGAACCAGGAAGCTTGTAAGAGATGGCACTATCAGAGCACAGACCAGATTCAGGCCACTGCAGCAGGAGGGAGGTACCTGGGTCATCCAGGAGAGTGTCAGGCCTCCCTTGGAGTGCAGGAAAATTCACTTACTTCCGAGACTTGGCACACTCCTTCTTCCAGTTCTTCACCAACACCGGCACCACTTGTTCTGAAGTGTCCTCCTTGTTCAGCGACCAGAGGTCACTGGCCTCCAGGGGCTGGCGGTAGCCCCGGATCATCAACCTGGGGCCAAAACACAACAGGAAGACAGTGAGTTGTTGAAGGAGAAAGAAGCCACTGAGGACGCTGGAGCTCTCTCCACATGCCTGCTGGCACTGGTCTGCCCTCCCTCAAGTGAAGACTGGAACATAAATGGACTATTTCTGTTAGGTGATCCGGGAAAGATGGCTCTCATCTTTATAGAGCGCCACACAGAATGTTCAGGAGGGAACTACCAGAATGGCTCTGATTTCTCCTTAAATCTTAAATTAAAAAGGCTAAGGTGATCAGGCATGGTGGCCCTCGCCTGTAGTCCTAACTGCTCAAGAGGCAGAGGTAGGAGGATCAAGGACCTAGGCAAAGTCAGCACGAGACCTTATCTGAAAAACAAAGGCAAATACGGCTGGAGGTGCGGCTCAAGTGGTACAGTGGCTGCCTAGCAAGCATGAGGCCCTGAATTCAAACCCTAGTGCCACAAAAAAAAAAGAATCACAAATGCCATTAATATGGATGCAATAAATTGCAGTCCATAACAGAATTACATCAATTGTCCCAATGATGACCTTTAACTTGAAAAAAATATTAAGGGCCAGATGCACTGGCTCACACCTGTAATCCCAGCTACTGAGGAGGTGGAGAACAGGAACACAGTGGTTTGAGGCCAACCCAGGCAAGACTATCTCAACCAGTAGTTGGGGTGGTGGCATGCACCTGCCGTCCCAGTTATATGGGAAGTGGAAATAGCAGAATCGTGGTCCAGGCCAGCCCCAGCATAAACATGAGAACCTATCTTCAAATAATTGAAGCAAAAAGGTGTTTGGGGCTGGCTTAAGTGGTAGAGTGTCTACCTAGCAAGCATAAGGTCCTAGTTCAAACTAATAATAATATTAAAATATTTAATTAAGAAAAGATGTTCGCACCAAGTTTATAAAGACAAGATACTTATTAAGGGAGAAAAATGGATCCAAACAGTCCCCAGTAAGACACTGACAATGGAAGAAAAAGACGTGCTAAAAACACACAGGAATGAGGGAAGCCCATCTGGGAATTTTCTTGTTGATCTATGCGTATTTCTACAGTGTTTCCTCTGACGCGCATGTATGAGTTTTCTATTGGGCACAGGAACAATGGCAACAATGTCAAAGTTGGTCCTCTGTGTCTGTGGGTTCCACATCCACAGATTCAACTGACCGTGGACCGAAAATAGGGGGGAAAAAAAAGCCCTGCACAGTGCAATGTTTTTCTCGTCATGGTTCCTGAAGCAGCAGGGTGTGGTGACTGCTTAGACCACGTTCACAATGCTTTGGGCATCACAGGTCACCTAGAGATGGTTTAAGGGACACAGGAGAATGTGACGGGGTTATATGCAAATACCATGCCACTTTGTGTAAGAGACTTGAACACAGGGCGACTGCGGTGTCTGTGGTCCTTGGATACAGTGGGACATCATTAAGCTTAATATAAAAAATAACCTTCAATCCCAAGAGCAGGGTAGCCCAGGCCAAGTTTTCCACAGAGGCCAAAGTGGCTCATGGTTATTTGTTACATGAACTTGGAGGACAGAGTCAGTGGCCTGAGATCGTGCCCAGGGCAGGAGGACTCAGGACACAACTCTGCAGGTGAGTGATGGAGGGGGTCATGGGGGACCAGCCACACACAGGTGCCTGTGCATTCACTTGTTCCCACCCCTCGCCCCAGGCCTGGGGGCCCAGCCTTACCCTGTGATCCACCAGAAGGTGATCCTGGAAAGGAATGAGGCACCGGACTCCGGGCAAGGATTCTAGCAGAGAAAGTGGGATGAAAACTTAGACTCTTCACCTATGCAGAGCAGGAGGACAGCAGCCAGTTGACCTCCTGCAGAGGACTGGCACGTCTCATGGGCTCCTCTGCATCCCCACAAACCCTGCTTGAGCCCAGCAGGAGCAGCCTCGAGGCTCTCCGAGTCACCCACAAGTGTCTCCTGAGCCCCTTCGGTGTGCAAGACACTACAATGCACTTCAGCCCCGCCTAGTCTTATTTCCCACAACAACCCAGTGAGCTGCTGTTACCATCGTCCCCCATCACTCACCCCTTCAACAAGTACTCGCCGAGTACCTACAACATGCTTGCCATTCTATGACGTACTACAGACCTACCTTTTCCTACATCCCTACAACAACCCTGTGAGCTGGTGCCACCACTGTCCCCAGGTCACTCACTCATTCATTGAACACTACTCTGTGCCGACACTCTACAAAGAACCACATACTAGTGTGATTTTAGATCCTTCCAGAACCCATGAACATGGTAGGACTGTTATCTCCACTTCATTTACTCATTCATCAAGCCAGCAAGTACTTCCTGAGAAGATGTGTGTGCCAAGAAGCACGTACACCAATTGGAATGGGGGGGGGGTCTACAGTGATAATACTGCTAGCAGTACCTGCCAACCTACTCTCCTAGCTAGCACTGGTCCAGGTGTTTCACACAAATTTTCCCTCATCTCATCTCCACCATCTACCTCCAAGACAGGTAAAAATGTCACCTCCACTCTGTAGTTACGGGAATGGAGCAACAGAGGTGAAAGGACTGCCCAAAGTTGCCCAGCAAAAAGTGGTGCCCAGATGTGCACCCCAAATCATCAGGTTTCAGAGAGAGATGGTAACCAAGGGATCCCACAAATAAAGACAAAACTGTAACTGTGATGGGGGCGCCTAAAAGATAGGTCAATGAGACCAAGTAAGGGTCTAACGGTCACAGAAGGCCTTCTTAAGGAAGGTGGTCAAGTAAGGCTAGAGCAAGAGAGAGTAACTAAGGAAAAAGGAAAGCCACGGCATTTCTAGCAGACAGCAGTGTGCATGCAAAGGCCCTGGGGTACTTGGGAGCATAGCCGACTCAGGGACCAAGAGGGAGCCTAACAGGCCTACAATGGAGGGCTGGGGACAGAGCTCACATGTACAGTGCTTGCCTAGCATGTGCAAGGTTTCCATTCCCAACACCAAAAAAAAAAAAGTCTACAACTGACGCTGCACTGTACACTGAACATCACATCTTAAGGGTAATGGAGTCACTAACACACACTCCAAAGTGGCTAACCCCTTGCCCAGAAGCACAAAGTTGAGCCTGAGCAAAGAAAGAGACATGAGCACAGAGGCTCCCGGATTCCCAAGGCCAGCTCTCAATGCATTCACACCAGATCTAAACTCCGACGCACAGGCTGCCGGGGAGGGAAGGGAAGGGGTTCCCTGCACCGGGGAGGGAGGAGAGGGGGTCCCTCACCGATGGGACCTTCAGCCCAGGATGGTGCTCAGTGTTCCAGCACTTTGCAGACATGAGGCAGATAAGACAGCAGACTCTAATCAAACGGATTTCCACCAGGCTTTTGCCTGTTTGTTTGTTTGTTTGTTTTTGCTGGCGGGGGGGCGGGGGGACACACCAGGGTTTGAACTCAAGGCATCATGCCTGCCAGGCAAGTGGTGAGCCCTTCGAGCCTGGCCCAGCCCACAACATCGGTTTTCTACCCCAGAGATTCAGATTAAGCCGGCTGGGCACAGAATCAGAGCAGCAAAAACTTTTTCTGCTTTGAACTTTCAAATTCTTCTTGGCAAAGTCACTGGGCAAGAAAATGTAAAAGATAAGCCTAGCACATCTTGTCACACCTGCAGCAAAGAGATGAGATGGCAGAACTGGCTAAAGGTCCCAGAAATCACCAAAAGTAGCTCCCTTGGCCAAGAAGGGACAACAAATACTATGATGTGCCAAAACATACCACCTCTGTTTATAGACACAAATCCATACTGATAACGGAAAAACCAAACACCCAGACATCCTGGTGTTACAGATGAGAAGCAGCTCAAAAAGCAAGGATTTTTTCCTACTTTCCCCAAATGGACCCGCCAGGGGCAGCCAGAGGAGGGAGGAGGGAAAGTGCCTATTCACAGAGGAAGTCCAGCTAATGAGTGAAGGAGGGCCAGAATGTCACCTAATGACACAGTGAGCCACTGTGCCACCACACGATGGCTTACTGCAGCGTGTGATATTAACGAACTATGATTAACGTCTTTTTGGGGACAGTTCATTCTTTTTATCTTTCGGATACTGTCACTGGATAAAGCTGCCGGGAGGAGACACAGAAACTATTTTTGCTGGGCTTGGTGGTACACTCCTGGAATCCCAGGACTTGGGAGTTTGAGGCAGGAGGATCATGAGTTCAAGGCCAGCCTAAGCTATGCAGAGTCAAAAATAAAGAAACTACTGTCTTTGCAAGTTTTTCATGAACCAAGCTATTTCAAAATTAAAGTTATTAAAAATAAGAAACAATGTGAACCCTACAGCAACGTATACTCCTCACACCCTGCTCCCCACCCACCAAGCCCAGCCCAACCTGGTCAGGACACATGGGACAGGACCCTGGCCCATGCATACTTTTGGAAGCAAAGTCTGCCCTGCAGGTCGACGGACCCATGGTCCAGACACACCTAAGGCAGGCTAAGTTCTGACTATGGAGTCAGAAGGGTCTGGGTTCAAATTGGAGCTCTGTTATTTTTCTAGCTGAAGGACCCAAGGGACAAGTCCCTACTTCTCAAAGCCTCCGTGTTCGCAGCTGGAAAACGGGCGTCATTAGTCCCTTGGCTCCGCCTGCTTCACAGGAGCACCAGATGAAGGCTACAAGTCATGCTGTAAGCTGGAATTTTTCCAACCAAAGACAGAAGCATCACTGGTGGAGGAGGAGGTATTTGCTTTGTGGGTGGGGTGCAGAACATTTCACTGTGGCCTAGTTTCGATTCCTGCCCACTCCCAAGGTCAGTGGGTGGGTTATCAGGGTATCCACTACAATGTACTCGGAATGAAGCCCCCGTCCTGCCCACAGGAAAGGCCTAAGGTGCTAGCTGGCTGGGAAGGGCGGTGGTAGTGCCCAGCTGGCCATGACTCATTTACTTCTTGGGCAATTATTCAAGGAGGACCTGCTTCCTATGCCAGGATGAAGGCTAAGTGTTGGGGACAGGGCTGTAAAGGACATGGCAGGTCCCCTGTCCCCACCCAGTAGCAAGCAAACTACAATACAAGTAACTCTAAACAGTGAGAATTGCAAAAAGGGGAAAACCAGGGACTAAAGAGAGAAGGGCCTGTAAGCCCTCAGGTAGTGATAGGAGAATCAAGGTTTGAGGCCAGTCTGGCCTATCAAGACCCCATCTCAAAAATAAGCCGCCAACTGGAAGTGTGGCCCAAGTGATAGAGTGCCTTGCATTTTGCAACCACAAAGTCCTAAGTTCAAACCCCGTCCCCCCAAAAAAATAAAATAAAATAAAATAAAGAAATAAGCTAGGGTTAGCAGTACACCATCTATAATCCTGGCTACTCAGGAGGCAGAGGTGGGAGGATCAAGGTCCAAGGCCAAAAGTACAAGACCCCAACTAAAAGTGAATGCGCTGGGGAGGTGGCAGAACGCTTGCTCGTCTAGCAAGTACTGAGAAGGGGGCGGGGGGAGGAGGAGATGAGGCCAGGGTGGGGAAGGGCTTCTGCGGGAAGCAGTTGCTAGCACAGTGGGAGGGGCAGTCTGAATCTCAGCTGTGACATTTGCTGGCCATGGGACCTTGAGCAAGTTCCTTAGAGATGAAGATTAAATGATTTGCGGTGAAACAAGCTAAGTACTTAAAATAGGGCCTTCCCCAGAGCCAAAGCCCAAGAGATGGTACTAGTGGTACCATAGAGGTATCAATAATCCTAAAAAGCCATAACAACAGTTTTAGCATATGGCAAAACATCAAACTGTATACCTTAAATATATACAACTTTAACTGCCAATGTACATCAAAAAAAAAGCTGGAGAGAAAACAAAAACACTTGAAGCCTTCCTTTTCTTGCAGACCCAGGATGTAGCAAGCTCTGCACTAGACGCTTTATACAGCGGGGTGGCAAACTGCAGCCCACAGGCTGGCTGTTTGTAAATAAAGTTTTATTGGAACACAGCCATGTACATTCACTGACACATGCTCTAGTAAGGCAGAGCCAAGGACTGCAGAGCCCAGGTGCACTGCAAAGGCTGAAGTATTTACTGGTTGGCCCTTTATAGACAGATCTGGCTGACCTCTGCTGACATCAGACCTCACAGCACCCCAGGTCACAATGATCATTAAGGGATGAAACCAGGCCTCCGACAACAGTCTTCTGCTCCAAAGTCAGCTCTGACCTCAACAAGAAGGGATGGCTGGTGGGTGCTGAAATGCAGCCCACATCCAGTTCAACAAGACCCCAAGTCTTGCAGGGACTGGCTTCACTCCCCAAATTGAGTCCTCAGGCTTTCAGGCTATAAGCCCTGCTTTAAGGTTCTGTTTTTAGTTATGCTTTGTTTGTTTGTTTTGGTTTTGGGGTTTTTTTGGTTTGGTTTGTTTTGCTTCCATTCTTGTGTTACTGCAGTTTGAATTCAGGCCTTCACTTGAGTCATGCCCCTAGCCTTTTTTACTTTATTTTTCAGGTAGGGTCTCACACTTTTGCCTGTGGCCAAAGGTATGACCACACCTACCTTTGCCTTCCTAAGTACCTGATATTACAGGCATGTACCACCATGCCCCGCCCTAGGGTTGTGTTACTGATGGATTGTTTCAATTCTCATCCATATCCTCCAAGAGCTTCATCTAATCCTTCTTCCAGGCTTCTTCCTTCCTCTGGATCCAAACGAGGATTTTCAGATTATCTAAAGTTACAAGAACCAGCCCAGAAGGAAATCTATCAGCTTGGGCGCTGGTTTCTGGGAGCCTCTATATCCATGCCAGTCCTTCTTCAATACAAAGACAACTAGAC